ATTATGGGGTTCCACATTATAACAAATAAATGTAGGTCCTTTTCGTTAGATATTTTGTTATCTTTCTTTGCAATTATATGAATGCACAGTTTTCTAGTAATTTGCAACTTGGGATCAATTAATCTTTTACTTTAATTGTTTTTAATAAAAAAATGATAAGATAAAAATATTCTTATTCTCAAAATAAGAATATAATACTGTTACTAAATAACACTGATACAATATACTTATAATATTAAATCATTATCTATATGATTACGCATTCAAGAAAAGCGTAAATTTTTATTCCTTTTTTTACATTCAATTTGATAATGTTCTAGTATATAGATTAATATAAAATTATAAATATTTGTTTTATTATGTTGTAAATTTTTATTTATTTGACTATATATTTAAATTTCCAGCTCCTTCTGTTTATTTTGAGAAAGAATGTGAATGATTTAACACATTTTGATTTTTTTTTTATTAAGATTATTTTCCTAATTTAATTAGATTAAAGTATAGTTATTTTCTACCTTAAGATTTAAATATTTTTAATTTCCAACACATTCCATTGTATTAATCTAATTTTTATATTCTCATAAAAGAAAACTAAGTGCCTTAATTTATATAATAAGTTCATCAATTTGAAATCAAATCTGTTAAATTATCGAAATTAATTATTAATTAAGCACTGTTAACTTTCTTTGTACTAAAGACTAAATTATAATTAAATTTGTTGCTATAATGACTCTTAAATATTTGATTTTTCAAAATTATATTTTTAAATTCTTATATTAACATTATATTATTAATGCCCTTATACAATATTTTTCTATATCTTTTGATTTATTAAACTAGAAAATAAATATCATATTCAAGGTCTAAAAAAACCAAGTTCCTGACAAGTCGCCATCCACAACCTCTTAACAGTATTACTCTTCCTCCTATAACCTTAATGGTAAAACAAAAAGTGTTAACCTTCTCATAGACCCCATAGTCTGGCCTCAAAAAAGAACTACATTGATAGGCCCATATCTCAATCCTCTATTATTGTATATGGAGAATCTTTTTAGATAATTCAAATAGGTTGAAGGGGAATACCTGTTTAAAATTTATCTAACAACATATATCTCTAATATATAGAATAAGAGTTGTTTAAAGATAAAAATCATTCAGAAAAAATTTCGCAAGTAACAATTATAAAAATCTAAATCATTAAATTCAAACTTCTCATAGTTCAACTCACCTTAGAGTTTCTTACCTAAACTTAATCTAACCCGAAATCTCATTTATAATCTTTTCCAATTGCTCATTTTACTCTAATGCAGCATAGATTACAAAATTAGCTAATTTTCACCCAATTTCTTGATTTCCTATATCGTCTAATAGGCATCCTTCAATTATGTTTAACATTTGCACCCTTAGAACCTCTTAAATTTTGAACTAATTCTCAAATTGAGTAACTAATTTTCTAATATAAATACAAAATTTTACTATAATTTTCTCTTGTTTCAAATCATTTCCTAAATAATTTCTCCAGCTCTTCCCTAACTAGAAAGATTATTTAAAGTATTAATAATTCAAATATTTCTTCATAAGACTCCTAACATCAAAAGTTTATATTTATTTATTCCAACTTATAAAATAGTATTAAANATTTTCTACCTTAAGATTTAAATATTTTTAATTTCCAACACATTCCATTGTATTAATCTAATTTTTATATTCTCATAAAAGAAAACTAAGTGCCTTAATTTATATAATAAGTTCATCAATTTGAAATCAAATCTGTTAAATTATCGAAATTAATTATTAATTAAGCACTGTTAACTTTCTTTGTACTAAAGACTAAATTATAATTAAATTTGTTGCTATAATGACTCTTAAATATTTGATTTTTCAAAATTATATTTTTAAATTCTTATATTAACATTATATTATTAATGCCCTTATACAATATTTTTCTATATCTTTTGATTTATTAAACTAGAAAATAAATATCATATTCAAGGTCTAAAAAAACCAAGTTCCTGACAAGTCGCCATCCACAACCTCTTAACAGTATTACTCTTCCTCCTATAACCTTAATGGTAAAACAAAAAGTGTTAACCTTCTCATAGACCCCATAGTCTGGCCTCAAAAAAGAACTACATTGATAGGCCCATATCTCAATCCTCTATTATTGTATATGGAGAATCTTTTTAGATAATTCAAATAGGTTGAAGGGGAATACCTGTTTAAAATTTATCTAACAACATATATCTCTAATATATAGAATAAGAGTTGTTTAAAGATAAAAATCATTCAGAAAAAATTTCGCAAGTAACAATTATAAAAATCTAAATCATTAAATTCAAACTTCTCATAGTTCAACTCACCTTAGAGTTTCTTACCTAAACTTAATCTAACCCGAAATCTCATTTATAATCTTTTCCAATTGCTCATTTTACTCTAATGCAGCATAGATTACAAAATTAGCTAATTTTCACCCAATTTCTTGATTTCCTATATCGTCTAATAGGCATCCTTCAATTATGTTTAACATTTGCACCCTTAGAACCTCTTAAATTTTGAACTAATTCTCAAATTGAGTAACTAATTTTCTAATATAAATACAAAATTTTACTATAATTTTCTCTTGTTTCAAATCATTTCCTAAATAATTTCTCCAGCTCTTCCCTAACTAGAAAGATTATTTAAAGTATTAATAATTCAAATATTTCTTCATAAGACTCCTAACATCAAAAGTTTATATTTATTTATTCCAACTTATAAAATAGTATTAAATTAATAATTTGACTAATTATTTACTAAAAATGATTAATTTTACATATTTCTCCAAAAATTATGAATATTATAATTGTTCTATTATTATGTCTGATATAACATAACTTATTAGATTAAAAAACATATGAGAATTTAAATTATTGAAAAGAAAACAATAAACAGAAATCACATTAATACTTTGATTCTGTATAAAAGGTAGAAATAAGTTGATAATTATTTTTTGTTTGCCTTTTTATATTAATTAATTTGTTTAAGTTTTACTTAATAAATTAAGAAAAATTCAGATTTAATACATTAAGCTTGTAAAGAATGTAAAATTCTAATTGGATAGAGGTAATCATGAAAAATATAGATTTAATTTGTAATGAAAAATTTATGAAAACGCTGAAATCTATTAGTTATTAGTGGATAGTATAAATAAATAATTCAAATTGAAGAAATTGTACTATCAAGATGGAAATATGAATTAATTAGAATGGACAAATATCAAAATGATAATAGATTATCATTGTGGAATAATATTAGTAGATCTGTCCCAATTAGTTAAGTCATTTACAGTAATTGAATTATAGGTTATAACAAAAATAAATACTTTTCTCTAGAAATATGATTTCTTATAAAATTCAGATATTTCAAAAAAAATTGGTCATTTTAAATTTCGTATTTAGAAATTATTGCTTATACAAGCTTTTCTCTAGCAATCAATTAATTTAATTTGATCGACTTGTGCCTCTATAAATTTTTTAAAGAACAAAAAATGCCTGTTATTTCAAGAATATTGGCTCAAGATTAACATAAGATTATATCATGAATAAAGATGTCTTTATATAATAATTTGAAAAACATATTAATTCATGAAAAGAATTTAATTCAATTTTATTCTAATTCAATCATCATATTTCATCTCCTTAATTATCTCATTCTTTTTTATTTCAAATTCAAACCATGTACCAATTTTTTTGCCGTTTTTGTATTCTCCAATATAAGTTATTTACCTATCAACATAAAACCAATAACTCAACTCCATCCATTTTCCTATTTTAATTCCATCTCCTCTTTCATCATAATATCCATAACCACTAAATTTGGAATATTATTATTTATATACATTTAATGAAAACTTTCTTTATTCCACTCTCGATACATAATATTCCATCTGCCTACCTTTCTATCTTTTATATATTCACCATTATAAGTGATTTCTTTTGAAAACAACTAACTTTTCTTAAATCCTTCGCATAACTCAATCCAACTTCCAATTTTAACGCCCTAACCTTCTTAATCATAACATCCACCTCCACTTTTTTTATTTTAATATAATACATTTATTCATTATATTTTGTCTCAGAATCCTTATACCAAATATCCCATCTACCTACCTTTTTACCGTTTTTATTATATTCCCCTGCATACGAAATTTGCTCATGTTGCTTAAATTAATCACTCAATTCAATCCATTTTCCAACCTTTTACCCATCCCCTCCTTGTAAATATAATCCACCACCACTAAAATTTTCTAAATTTTAATACTTACATTTTTTCAAATTTATTTATTCTACGATCCCTATAACAAATATCCCATTATCCAATTTTTTTGCCATTTTTATATTCTCCATTATATGTAAGTTATAAATCCACAGAAAAATTGAAATTTATTTCAGTCCACCTTCCATTCTTTACACCATCTCCTTCAAAAGAATATTACCCACCTCCACTAATAATTTGCATTACATAAATATTTTACATTAATTCCATAATCTACCTCTTAAATAAAATATCCCATCTCCCAATCTTTTTACCGTTTTTGTATTCACCATTTAAAGTAATTTAAGATTAATCAGAAAAGTCATGACTCAACTCTCTCCATTTACAATGCTTCTAGCCTTATTCATTGTATAATCCACTACCACTAAATTATTTAATAAATAAAAATACATCTTATTATTCTTATACATAAATTCCCATATTCCTTTTTTTTTATCATTTTGGTATTGTCCAATTTGATATACTATAACTTAACTATATTTATAAGAAATAACTAATTATTAACCTTGAATAATTTTAAATTAATTCCTTCCATGGCCCTTCTTTTAATCCATTATTTATGTATCCACCAACTCCTCTTAAAACTTCTCCACCCCAAGTAGCACTCCATTTTTAATATTATCTATTGCTTTATCTATATTCACAAAACCATAGTAGATTTTTGATCTAATCCTTATTATTGAATAAGAAATGGTTGATTAAATATTCTTAAGGTTTTTCTCTATTTTATTTATAATTAAGGTTTACATTCTTAGAATTTCTCCATCAGAAGTTGAGTAAACGATTTCATTATTTTTCTTTATTCTGATTTGAATTGACTCTTTCACTCTTTTATATTTCTCTTAATCCCATTTTTTTGATTATTTCCAAATTATTGACTTTTGAAGAGCATGATTATTTTTTTTTGAATTCATTTTCTAAAAATATGAATTTTTTTTTAATCATATGCGTATATGCTATATTAGTAAATGGAATAAATAGAAAATTAAAACTATTTCGACAAAACAAATTAAGAAATTGATGCAAAATTTTAATACATAATCGAAAATTTATTTTAAATTATGCACTCTTCTTTCTTGGTAATTATACGATCTAAAAAAAATTAACTTAGTAATTTTTGATTATAAATTTTATTTACATCCTTAGATAATTATGATTTAGTAATATACATCATATATAATAAAATAGCTGCTATTCTGAATATTCATGTAATAATAAATCTTTTCAATTTAAAACCATAATTTAATGATTAAACTATTTAACTTTAATCTATAAAAGTCATGGTATCAGCGAAGTTTAACTAAAGTAATTTGTGAAGAGGAACATATAACAAATTAATAGAGAAATTATAATATCATTGGTAGTATGCATTCAAGTATGATAATGAGAGAAGAGGATAACACAGGACACAACAGTTTTACTCCAAGTTTCTAGTCTCTTTCTTGAAGGGAGGTACTATAAAGTTTCACCAATTAATGTCCTTCTCTCAATGAATTTTGTATGGTTAAAGCCATTAGCTTAAACTAAGTTTAATCCCTTTCCTTCATTGGCTTCATGTTCTTCAGTATTAGGCCAATCTAGACTTTGTCTTCTAGCAGCTGAAATTAAGGCTCAAAAATCCATGATTTATCTAAATAAAACCCATTTGGTATACTATACTAATAGGCTGCTAATACTTGAATTTTCTATGAAATCCACCGCCTAAGTAATTCATTGGGTTTACATCAATTATTTGTTTATCTTAATAAAATAAGCACTACCTATAGAAAATTATATCAATTGATTTCTCTCTCTTATTTTCGATTTTTAGAGTAATTAAAATATATATATATATAATCAAAAAGAATCAAAAAATTTTCTTACTTCTCTTGGTTTTGATATAGTACCTGACCTAAACTTAATAAATTCTTGCATATTTTGAGCAAAAATATAATAAATTAAATCCATTGTTCAACTTAATTTGATATTTTTAAAAGTATAATTAATGAATAAGTTTTAAGTTATCTTCAAATGGGGCAACGAATAATTTAAGAAAAAAATTAAAATTTTATAAGAATAACAACACATCACTCAATTATATATTTAATTTTCATTTTTGATAAGATTATCAATATTTTATTTATTTATTCCTCTTAAGAACATATGGATTTCTCTCTATATATTATACTCATTTATTCGTTAATTTTTATCAACTTATCCTAATTCAAATTCCTTGAGAAAAGATTATAGTATGGTTTATGAATTCCACAAATTTGTTTAAACTTGATTGATCCGCATATTACCTTAACCAATCTAGGTGATTTTGAGTAAATGAAATTATTATTAAAATGAGCTGCTGATTGGAATTTATTTATTTCTATCTATAATATATTAAATTTTTTAATATCCCAGTCATTGCGGGCATGTTAGTTCTAGTGCATCATATCTGGGTTAATTTCTTATTAATAAAACAATTTTTTTAATAATCCAAGTAATATTTTAACTTAAAATTTGTTTAAATTCATTTAATTTGATTTAATATATTATAACTATTTACATTTTAAAATACATTTTACTAGACATATATGTCTTTAAATTTATTTAACATATTATACTTAATTAAAATTTAATCTAAATTTAATATTTAAACCTGAAAGTATTTTAAAGTCTTTTTATTTGATTTTATATATTATATCAATTAACACTTTAAAATACATAATATTTTAAATCTATCAAAAGATATATCAATATAGTAAATTTAATTTTAAGTTTTAATAAGTAGATTTAAAAGTTTAAACAGTTTGATTCTTTAAAGCAATTAAAAGAGATTTTTATTTTTTTAACAAAATTTATTTATTAACTAAGTTTTTTTTAAAAAAACCAATGTATTTTCAATTCTTTAAACAACATAATAAATAATCTACATAATTTCTAAAACCATATTTTAAATTATAATTTATATTTTATTTAGAAGAAAGACTTTCATTAATTCTGCATTAAGATTACACCTCAAACATAATACATTACAAGATATCTACTAATGTCACCTATTATATTTATCATTTTCTATATAATTACTCTATCCATATAATGCGTTTTATATTTTTAATACCCAAGATTTTATTGTTTTTTTACAAACTTACTTATGATATATTTTTTGCTTAAATACAAACAACAAAAAATCAATATAAATATGTTATTAATTTATTTATTTTAACTTACTTTCTGATAACAGCCTAATAAAAATGAGGAATATTTTTTTTATGAAGTTATTAATTACTTTTTTTAAATTAATATTAGACAATTAAAATTTCGTTGGAATATGATTCTATTTTAGAATTTAAATTTTATCTAAATTATTTCTTTTTACTATGTAAGCTATTTTTAACAAGGTAAAAGCAGAAACAGAAACAGTGGGTTTCCTCAGGATGAAGAGTGTATTTCAGGCCTGTTTCTTGAATTAGCCTTATTTTTTAAAGTTATGATAGTATCATAATTTAAACACTCACCAAAACATTTATGGCTTCTTAGAAGAATATATTAGCATTGGTAACGCTCGGGTTTGTGAGGTTAGAGATTGGCTGAATTTTATTGGAATTAATCATAAGTTCTCATTTAATAACATTTTTCAGTTAAAATTAACCAAAACAGTATAAAAAATATTTTAATTAAAAAAATTACAGTTTAGGATTGTTAATTATGGCATATCACAATTAAATTTTTCAAAACTGAAATAATTAACTCAAGAAGACAAACTTCGAAAATAAATACTGAAATTAAAAAATAAAACTTTATAAAGTATTAATGATTACGCAAATAACAATTAGAGAAGCCTTTACAGTAATGGGGTCAATAGATTCAGCCTACAACAGGATTATTTTGAAAGGATTTTTCCTATCTTCTTGTAAGAAGATTTAAAGTATTTGTTTTTTCTAAAAAACAGATCCAAACATTTCATACTCCTTTAGTTAGATAGTCATAAGGCAGGTTTTTTAAAAGGTCAATGAATTAATCAAGTTAGATCTCCTAGACAAAATTAATGAATTAGCAAAGCAAAGTGAAAAAGAAAAACTTGTAATATTTATATTATAATCTTCATAAGATAATCTGAAATTGAGAAAGTTTAATAAAGGAAATTAATGAGACTTAATATTTAATTACTCAATGATAATAATGGAACGAGTCCGTAAAATTGATTTCTTTTAATTTGCTTCTCCAAAATTTAATAATTGAATTCAATTGTATTTTTAGAGAGATTTGACTCTACTCAATTCACAAAATCCTTCTTCTTAGTAGCCTCAAACCATTATTTAATTTAGTCATATCGAAATGAATTCTAAATTCTTTAACAATTATACTGTTTCAAGTAAAATATTAATTCTTATAACTAAGTTGTCCTTTTTATTATATTAAATGGGCGAAAGGAATAGAATTCCATAACTAAGTTCAATGTTTATCAGTACATCATTCTGTTTTAAAAAGGAGGTAAGGCCTACTACTGTAGTTTTAAAAGGGCCTCCAGCATATCCACTCTCTTAGGGCCCTCCGGACTCCAATTTCAGATTTTTGATCCCCCTTCAAATACCTTTATCCAGCCGCCCTCTATCCCCAAAACCTGTATGGGGAAGCTTAATATGCTGCTTCCGCTATGGGCTTCTTTTTACCTTTGGTAGCTACAGACTAACATAATTGGGTCTTTTTATCAAAGAATGGAGCTCAGGAACAGGAAGGCTTAATTTTTATTTAGCTAAGTTGTTTATTATTTTTCAAAAATTGTTGTTAAATTCAAAATTCAATTTAGAAAGTTCAATATTCATATTTTAATTAACTGCCCCAATACTCATTATGATTATTTCTTTTATTTGATCCAGTCCACTATGAATAATGTTGGGATGCCTGCAGAGAATTTTTTTGTGCTCTAAAAATAATATTATTGTTGAAATATTATTTAAATATATCTAACTATATAAAAATTTATGTTTTGTGAATAATAATTACTAAGTAGAATAGAAAAATGAATTTTGCTTACTAAAACTGGTAGAGAGGCTAATTTATCTGAAAGAAATGATTTATTATATCAGTTGTATTCATTGATTCTATATTTTTTAATCCTTTATCGACTAAAAGTACTACTTTCAATTATTCAAACTTTAAATTATTCAATTATAACTATAGAAGCCACCTTCATATGAAAAAAATAATTAGTACAACTTTTCAATTTTAGAATTAAAGCAACATTTTTTTAATATTCAATATCTAATTATTTTATAATGTTAGTAAGTAATCATTATATAGAAGAAAAATTAATACTTTTTAGAAAGATTAGTTTTTAGTGAGATAATTAAAAATAATTATTCTTTGAAATTGATATCATCAAGAAGATATGGACAAGTTTGTAAAGTGTCAAGAGAATGTCCATGACGCGTTTTTAGTAAAAAACTTGCTAAAAAACATGATTTTGATATACAAATAACATTAAGTTTTAATATATATTAATTATGAAGTATGTATAATTATATCCGCAGATCATCAACCATTATAAGAAAAAAAAATTGTAAATTTATAAGTTTGGATCAAAAGGAAACTGATTTTAAAATTGATTATGGACTAAAGTTAATAAGGTATCTTCATCAAAATATTTCCTTTTTAAAAAGTTATGGAAAGTAATAATCAAAAAAAAATAATAAATATGATTATGATTTATAGAATTAAGGAACATTTATTATAAAAAACGATGATTAATATTTATAGAATCAAATATTATTACTTGTAAAGAACATAAAAATAATGTGTTATTTTAATGTTAATAATACGAATTTATATCATTCTATTGCCATTTCATAGAGTTTTATAGTTTAACTTTCAACTATTTAAAATATTTAAAAGAATGTTGAAGTTGCTTATAATCTAACTTATGATTCTTGTTTTATAGTTCTTTCCAAAACCAACAAAGAATGTAAAATATTGGATCGTTTTTATCTGCAGATTGCTGTTTATTTTCTGTAATCTGGATAACTGCTTTGTAAAATTGAAATTGAAAATGTTAAATCAGTTTAAAAACAGTTGCGGATGATTGAAATTGACAATTTTTTAATTGTAGAATCAACATTTATTGTTTGATCAAAATTATCTTAAAGAGAGATTGCAAGTTCAGATATTTCTATTTTATTTTATAAAGACTGATCAAATGAATATGTTGATGATACTGTATACCTAGTTCCTAAGAAAGAAGGCATATTAGCAGAATCAATGATAGAGTAACTGCATTCATTTGTAACTCCATATAATAATTAAAAATTTCTGATTCCCCAAGATTCATTTTCTGCAATTTCATCTAAAGTACTTTTCAAAACCAAATTGATAGATGGCTAATCATGTAGAAATTCAAAATCTAAATTTTTAAAGTAAGCATTAGGATTAGATGATCCACAACTTACTTGCACTCCATTTAGACCAAATTATACTTAATAAACTTGAATTCCATCTGCAAACACTATAAACCATTCGTTATCCCAAGTATCAAATTTCCAAAATTCTAATTTGACTCTTATCTTTTTATGTTTAGGAAGATCAAAAGTTAAGGCTATTGAAGCATCTTTACCTAATAAGGGGAACCCTCCTAATAGATTAGAATTAGCACATATTGAAAATGGGGATTGATTATTATAAATATTTGATATAGTCCATCCAGATTAAGTTTGAAAATCTAAAGGTTAGAAATATTTTTTTAAACCCAACATCCATTTTACTAAAAAATAACTAAAAGTAAATACCATCTACACACTCTTAATTTTATAATATATATCCAGATTTGCATGCTGAACAGTCATTTTTATTTGGTCCAGAACAGGCAAGACATGAATCATAGCATTTGGCTAAAAATAATCTAAAAGCTCGTAATCCCCAAGATCCATTTGATGAAACAATATTTGATTTCATCTTAATTTGCATACTATCAGATATGTGATTCTATTCCACGCGAATATTTAATAGCTTTTCACCTCCATTACTATCACCACACAAATGAATGAACTCAAATTGATTAAAATTTGCTTATGCACTAATTTCTCCATCAATTTCTAATTAAAATTAATTATTATTCCAAATATCAAACTTCCATAACTGAACTTCCAATAATACTTTATAATGTGAAATCAAAGAAGAATATTACTTTGATAATTATTTACTTTATGTAATTTAACCAACCCCTCCTATTACCCAAATATTAACACATTAGCTCTTTGCTAGAAACTATAAATTATCAAGATTCCATCCATCAAAATTAAAATTTTCAAACCAATTCATCTGAATTAATTCATAATACCAGCATTCATCAGGTGTATCATTATTACATTTTAAACAGCCTGGTGAGCATAACATTACTTCGACTATAAAATTTCTAAATCCCCATGATTCCTTTATATATTACATAAATATATACATTATATGGAATTTCATCTAAATTAGTTTTAATAATAACAACAAGTGTTGGTTCTTAATGAGAAAACTCGAATACATAATTTGTTTTAAGTTCTCTCCATTCATCCACATATTACGGATTTCCACAGATAACATCTCCTGTATTCCAATACCAAGTTCCAGTTTAGACATAATCATCTAGAATAAAATATACAAATTCGTCATCCCAGCTATCTATTCTATTTCTAATTATCACAAATACTTCCAAAACTCTAAAGAAACTCGTATTCTAAAATGAGGAGGTAGAGAAATTGATTTTGAAACACTTGCCCCAGATCCAAATAAATTAAAACCTCCAAACAATGATACGCCATTACAAAAACTAGTCAATTATCCATTATTTCCTTGAACCCACCAGCCTAAATATACTTCTATAATACCTTCATTATCAATTATGTTGTTTGAAGTGAAGGCAGTATATTAGACATTCCAATATTCATATGCATTCACATATAATATCAGCACAACAAATTTGATGATCATTTATAAAAACAATATTAAAAAACTAAATCAAGATTTCTGTAAACCTACAATATTAATCATTTCAAAAATATTCTGATTTAATCCAAGCGTTTAATTAATATATTTTCACAGTTATTTTGCATTTACATGATAAAGATCTCATGATTCTTAGAATAATAAGGATTATCAATTTTATATAAAATAAAATGATAGTATATTTTTTCACAATATAAAATTCAAGACTTTATTATATAATCTGGTCTAAAGAATTCTGTATCTACTTAAATAAGTTGGTTTGAAATTTATAAAATGAAAAAATATTTTCCATTTAAGAATAGATAATACTTGAACTTGTTATTCAATATTTAAATGCGAATCTTATTTTATTTTCATTGATGTATTAATGATCAAAACATGCAATTCTTAAATGAATTAGAATGAACAATTCTATTTAATATATACAGAATTTTTTTAATAAAAGCATATGAATGATAAACTTAGGCAACAATATATGTTTTGTTTTTGTTTGATAATCGACTATTTTTTCATCTCCTTTAATCTTAATAAATCAGTTGCATGAATATCAAGATCTTTATTGATTTAAAATCCTTATATTAATAATATAACTTTTTATCAAAAAGATATTATTAATAAATTACTAGAATTATAATTTTCATATGAGAGTAGTTTTCATTAACACAATCTATTTTATGAATTGAAATCTTTAATTTATGAAAAGGATTTAATATTTCTTTGAAAGCTGTTCGAATAGTAGAAACAACAAATTAGATGAGTAATTAATAATTTGATTTTTTTAATTAGCTCTTACAATCAAAGGTTTTAAGTCCATTCTAATCAAATTAGCCATAATATATAAAGTATTTACTAATTCAGAAATTCGGCTAATTTACTTTAAATAAAAGAAGAATAATTAGTGGTAATTTGTTCTATCATTCCATAATAATATTTATTTAAATGGGGTTTAAGAATTAAATAATTTAAGAATAGATGCAATTAAACAAATATTATAAATAAATAGAAATAATATTTATTTTAATTTTCTGGTATATATTCATAAAGAAATCTAATTTTGTTATAAATAAAAAATTAGTTACTGTCACTAAAGTTTTGAGTCTATCAGAATAAGTCATTATAAAATTTTATTTTATGAAGATTTTATTCATTTTTATAAATTTTATTAGATATTTCTTCTTAATTAATCATTAAATTCATATAAACATGATTTAAAAAATAAGATAATATAATTTAGGAAAAGAAATAAATAATTTAATAATAAACTTTTTAATAAATATATAACAACCAATACTTTTTTGTTATTTTTAATCTCTTTGCATTAAATACAGCATTTTATATTTATCTGCCTATTTAGAGGTGACGATATGCTTGTAGTCAAGAGAATTAATCTCACTATTTTATTGCTCAAAAATATATTTATTTAATTAAATGCTGGATAAGCCTAAATCTAAAAAGTAAAGAATTGAAACATTTTGTTATTAATCAATCTAAATTTCAGTGTTTTATGATTATCTTATGTTTTCAATCGAACAGCATTTTTGAATATACTCTATTAATTTAAATATAACTAGAACTAAAACTCAGATTAATCATTTAGTTATTAATTATTTCATCTTTTAAGTAAATAGTTATGAAATTTTACACTCTTTTGATAGGTTCATATCTTATATATATATTAAATTTTTTTTCTTAACTATTTTTGGAATTTAAATTCATAAAGTAAATTAAAATTGATATTTTTAGAATTTACAATACTTAATAAATTATATATAGATTAAGAATTTAGAATCAATACCTATCTTTAAAACCTTGTCAATCAAGAAAATTAATATCCATATAAAACACAAAGAAAACTTAGTTGAGGGAAGATTTTTATTAATAAAATTATTAAGGTGTTAACTTATAATTAAAATTCAACTAATAGTCACATCACAACAGCAAAAATTCAATATTTTTCAAATACTTGAAACTAATTTTAAAAGATAGATTAATTTTATTAATTATTAATTTGGTTTAATATAAAAGGACTAAAATATTAATATCAAATTGTTTGATATATTATTTAAATAGATGCCTTTTCTTAATCTTATTCTTAATATAAGGCTCAATAAATTAGTTTACTTGGAAATTTGTGGAGCCTAAATATAAACATGATGAAAATTAATATCCTTATTGATAATTTAGAAAAAACAATTATTTAGCTTATAATTATTAAATTATCCAACTTAAATGAATTTTTAAACATAAAATAAACAAGTATGCTGTGAGTCTATGAGATGGACATAATGCAACAAAGAACATTATGTTTACTGTTGGGACAAGATCAGAAAATAACTCGATAAAACTCAAATCCTAATCACTATTGCACAGGATGGTTAAATCTTATATTTATAGAATGGAGTGAAATTGAGAAAGTAAATGAAAAATTTATTATTTGTAAAAGTGAGATTATTTAAGATAATTTCAGGAGTCAGGAAATTTACACAAATATGGAGCAGATTTAATACTTTCATTGGTAAGGTGAGTATGAGAAAAACTAGAGAAAAATAGGTTAGTGGACAGCTAACTGGAATGGAAAAGTTATGAAAAAAGTTGGTGGGTACTTTGATAATGGATTTAAACAAGGTTTATGGGTATAACCAATTAAAAATTATTGGAGGTAAATATGAAGTAAGTTATAAGAAAATAGCCAAGCTCAGGTATATGAAATTGGAGAATATTATAATGACTAAAAAAGAGGGAAATGGATATATATATATAACGACTGCTTAATGTAATATTCATCATTAATTATTAAGTGGTGGCGGTTTATATAACTAGTAGGCTTAAAAGAAAGGTAAATGGGTAGATTTAAGTGAAGAGTTTAATGATTTTTCATAAGTAACTTATAGTGGAGAATATAAAAAAGATTAAAAAGTTGGCAGATGGAATATTTTATATAGGAATTAGACTACATAAGAATTAAAATTGATGTAATAATTTTATTCACTTAAATGTTTTTAGTGGTTGTGGATTATATTATGAAGGATTTATGGGCATTAAATAGGGAAGATGGATTGAGTAGAGTGAAGGATTTTCGGAATACTCTTAAGTTACTTATAATGGCATCTATAAAAACAGCAAGAAATTTGGTAAGTGGGATACTTATATGAATTTTTTTGGAAATCATATAATGTAAAAATATTGAAATTTTTAGTGGAGGCGGGTCATACAATAAGGAAGGTTAGAAGATTAGAAAATGGAAAGACTTAAGTGAAAATTTTCATAATTATTCATAAGTTATTAATGTTGGTCAATATAAAAACGGTAATAAAGCTGGTAGATGGGATATTTTTTATAGGAAATAAAAACAGAAAAAATTTAAACAAATGTAAATATATTATCCACTTAAATTCTTTTAGTGGTGGTGGGTTTTATGATGAAGGAGGTAAAGAAACCAAATAAGGAAGATGGATTGATTTATCAGTCAAATTTTATTACAATTCAGAAATAACTTATGATGGTCAATATCAAAAAGGTAAAAAAGTTGGGATATGGGATATTTTGTCTCTTGATCATTTTAGTGATCAGTTTAAAAAGATGTAAACCTATTATGTAATTAAATGTGTGTAGTGGCGGAGGATCATATGATTATTAAGGTGATGGGATTAAGATTGGGAAGTGGATAGATTTAAATTAATTTTCATAGTAAATAACTTATAGTGGTGAATATTAAAAAGGAAAAAAAGTTGGTAGATGGGATATTTTTATGTAGAATTTTAATGGAAAAGAAATTAAACAGATGTAAAAATATTATATACTGTAATTTTTTTAGTGGTGGTGGATTGTATGACCCAGAGGGTGATGAGATTAAAATTGGGAAATGGTTTACTTTGGACGAGGCTTCAAATTAAATAGTTTATCATGGAGAATATTAAAAAGGTCAAAAAGTTGGTAGATGGGATTGCTTATTTAGTAGGTAGGATGAGTAAGAATTTAAATAAATGTAAAAATATTCTATATGAAAAATATTAGTGGTGGTGGATCGTATGATGATGAAGGTTATGGGATTAAAATTGGTAAATGGATTGATTTAGATGTGTTCTCAAAATATATAATATATAGTGGTGAGTATTAAAAGGGGAAAAAAGTAGGCAAATGGGATATATTGTTTAGGGTGTATTCAAGTGATCCATTTGAATAAATGTAAGACTTATGTATTTAGTTATATTCAGAGGTGGAGGATTCTATGATGAAAATGGTTATGAAATTAAGTAGGGTAAATGGATTGAATTGCAGGAAGGATAACAGTATACTTCCAAAGCTACTTATAATGGTGAATATAAGAATGGGAAAAAAGTTGGTAGATGGGATATTGTGCTTGAGGGAGTAAAGATGTAATTATTATGTAATTAAAGGCTTGTAGTGGCGGAGGAACATATGATTAAGTAGGTGATGGGATAAAGAATGGGAAGTGGTTTGATTTGGATGAGAATTCAAAGTATATAACTTATAGTGGTGAATATTAAAAAGGAAAAAAAGTTGGTAGATGGGATATTTTGTTTAGAGAGCATTATAGTTATCCATTTTTAGAAATGTAAGATTTATGCACCTAATGGTATTTAGAGGTGGAGGATTATATGATGACGGAGGTTAGGAGATTAAATTGGGTAAATGGATTGAGTAGAGCAAGTAATTTTGGATTAATTTTTAAATAACTTTTAATGGAGAATACAAAAATGGTTATAAGGTTGGTATATGGGTTGAAATGGATATCAAAATCAAGAAGAAACGTGATGAAATAAACTACGATAATTGAATCATAATATTAAACATCTATAAATATTCAGTATAATTAAATTTTTTTTTTATAATGATTTTTTGTTTTTGTTATTAATTTGGGCTATTTTTTGGTAATCATTGGTTATTTTTGAGAGGATATTACCTGTTTGTAATTTCTTAAATTTTATTCTCAGAATTCTACGACTCTTTAATATTTTGATAAATTAAATAAATTATATTTTCTTGTAAGGAATATAATATAACAAAATTTTTTGGACCCTAACTTATTAAAAATGATTTTAGAATAATTGGATTAGGTAATTTTACAATAAAATTTTCAGAAAATTCCATTCATAATTCTCTCTAAATCATTCTTGAACAGAAATTTTCAATGTAAAATTTAACTAAATAAAACAATAAATCATTTTTATGTATTGATTTATCTCTAAACTTTTGTATTTTGATGAAGGATAATTTTCAATTGATCAAATAAGGATTTATAATTTATTTGAAGAGTAATTGAGTTATAGTTTAGATAATCATTATTCAGAATGATTTTGATCTCACAAAGAGCATATTAAATATATTTATTTTTTAATATTGTAATACTCTATAATTTAAAATTATTCTAAATTAATATTTATTTATATATAAAACTTCAAACCAAATAAATAAATTTGAAATCGTTAGTGATAGAACGGTATGTTCGAAATTTAATTTTAAGAAATTTGCCATCCTTAGGTTTTGAATTTCGATCAATTGACCTAAAATTTATGTGCTTTTAATCTTTTATTTTTATCTACAATAATTTCTTGAATTAATAATAAATAGTTATGGCAGGGGATATATTAGAAAATTGATTTTCTATCTTATTTACATAGAATTTCTTTTTAGTTGTTCATTAAGATGTGGAAATTTGTTTTGGGATATTTTTTTTGATTTTTTTTATAGTTTTTATGTTGGAGATATATATTATAACAATTATTTATAGTTCAAATATATTGATCTGGTTTTTTTTTCATATTATTTGAGTAAAACCATATTAATTTTCAAATTTATTCTATTTTATTTATATCTATTTGATGAACCTAGTTAATTGAATTCTTTGGGTAGCATAAATTATTATAAATTAGAATTTATATGATTAATTTAGAATTCACAAGTATATTAAAAAGTATATTGGTATATAGAATATTTGCATAAATAAAGAATTAGAATTTTATTTCTAATAATAACTTTAAAAATAGATAAAAAAATATATAATGTTTCTTAATGATAAATTTCATAAACTTAATTAATTTGTTGGTTTAAGTTACTTATACCTATAACTTATCATCTATTATTTTTAACTTAATCAAATTAGATTAAGTAACAATTGTTAATACTTCATAACTCTCATTTCTAACTTAATAAATTATGATTAATAGTTTAATTTAATGAGTAATGTGCTATTATTATATCATTCTAATTCAATGTATTTCTGTTAAAATATATAAATAAAATCAAATGTTTAAAAATTTTGCTTAAGGTATCAAATAGATTGATAGATTTGGTGTAATATTTCGACCATCTGTTATAGACATCAATCCTGAATACAAATCAATTTTTGGTGGAATAGCTACTTTATTGTTATATGGTTCTTGCTTAGCATATTTTTTTTATTAAATCATTCAATGGTAACGCAATACTCTATTACCAAAAATAACTAGTATTTAGACTTCTTAGAGTTCAAAATATTACTATATGAATGATATAATATCTTCTTTTTATATGAGAAAAAATTACAGAAAAGATGAAATAGATCCATTTGATCCACAAAATATTATATTATAACCGATCCTATCAAAATTTAAAAATCAATAATTATTAGAGTCTAAGTCTTTTAAATATGATTAAAAATCTAGTCGATATAATAATACAGAAATAATACTTTAAGATTTAGAATTAAACTTAAATTTAGAAAATACATTAGACAATCCTCAAATTGATTATATTTTATCTTTTGGTACTTGCATATAAGAATTTCTATTAGAAGGTTAAAGATGTGCAAATAAAACATTAGTTGATATATATATGTAATAACATAGTCATGCATTGTTAATGAATAATTATGTTAAAGAATATAATCCAAAAACTATGAAATTAGAAAATGTTAAAAAATAATCTTTAACAATGCTTAATAATGATACAACTATGTATTTTCAAAATTAGATCAGAATTTCTAAGACTAAAATTGATAATGGATTCTTATTTCCATCTGAAACATAATAAGAATTCCCAGTTGATATAATTATGATTTCTTAATCAATAGATATAGATAGTTTTTAAACTATTTTTTACAGAGCTACATATTTGGTTTTAGCATATAGTTTGAGCGAAACATCTTAAGAATAATTTATTGAATATCCAAAACTTTCAGAAGTGTTGGCAGATATTGGATCTATTGTTTCAATAATATTAGTATTATCACATCTCTGTTTATTAATAAATGAATAAAAATTAGAAAAAGAGTGTATTTAAAAAATCATTACAATGTATTATCCAGAGACTGTTAATATCAAATTTAAATATAATTGGTATGGTAAAATTATAGATGTATTATAAAATGATAGATCTATTGATAAAGTTGAATTTTTGAAATATTATAATGAAATTAAAAGAGTAGCTATTAAAAAACTAAATATTGCTAATATTATTTATACATAAGCTAAATTATAATTTTTAATCCAATCAACATATAGTTAAATATAAATTAAATAAGCTCATAAGGTAGGAATAAGATTGAAATCTTTTCCTAAACTTTAGGATTAGACAAATATTGAAGAAAATTAAAAAAATATCCCTATTGGCAATTATTAAATTCATGATATATCTAATATGGAATCAACAGATCAAAATGATAATATTATTTCATCTTCACTTAAGAAGATATCATTAAATGAAAATCCAAAATTCTTGTTTATTAAACCTTAAAATGACTGTCATATACTAAATGATGAAGATTTTCATTTATTTACATTTGGTGAGTCAATTATAAAAGATAATGAACTTAATAAGTAGGATTGTTATTTTGAAAAAAATTATATAGATATTTGATATATTATATGTTATATAATATAAATTCTTTCTTTTTTATTAATTAATTTGAAATGAATTGCTCAAGAATTATAAAGATAATTATTTTGATGTTTTTCAGAATATTAATTTCAATAAGATTTATATTTTTATAATTGGAAACCTTATTGTTTCTTATATTTTACAATTAAGTTCTTATTCAAAATTATAAAAATGAAATGTTAGTGCATATAGAAGTATTTATAGGAATTATTTAGATTCAAATATGATATTAATTCTTTCCTCAGTAATAAAGATTTTACTTAAAATATGGGAAATATAATAGGCAAAATAAAATTTAATTAAAGATTAATTTTATAATAATAATTATTAAAATTAGTTTTATGAGTATTATTATTGTTACACCCCCTTTTAATAATTCATATTATTTTCAAATATGAGAAGGAATTCTGTTTCCTAAATTTTTCTTATAATATTTCTAAGAATAAATGAATCTTAAAAATTCAGAGTATAAAATGATTTCAAATCTTGGTTCAAGTTCAGATCATATTGTCTTTAAGGCTTAACATAATTTAACTTAAGATGTATGTGCTATAAAGATTGAAAAAAAGCCAGGAATTGGATAGATAGAGAATGAAATTTCAATCCTTTAATAATTATTTGGAATAGAAGGAATACCAAAATTAATCCATAATGGAAAGACTAAAGATTTAAAGTAATTTGAATATTAAGATTAGGAATTATCTAATCATACCACTATTAAAGTGTAGTTTATAAGATTTAGCAAAATCTAATTTACTATCTCTGAATAGCATTCTAGCGATTGGATTAAGTTTAATAAGAACAATAAAATAAGTTCATAATAGAGGAATATTGCATCTTGATATTAAACCAGAAAATATAATGATATCATCATGTTAAATAATTGACTCAGTAGAATAAATTCTCACTCCTGGGAATGTGTAATTAATCGATTTTGGGTTATCTTAAAATTTAAGAAATCCAAAGTTCTTAAAAGAAACCTTTATTGGGTCTTTAAGATTTGCTAGTCGTTAATCTCATAATAAATAACAATTAGGTTATAAAGATGATATTGAAAGCCTACTTTATGTTTTAGCATATTTAAGAAATAGTAATTAATATATTAACTCTTAGAAAAATTACCTTGGTAACAAACATAATAATTAGCCTTTTAATTAATGGATATTAAGAAAATTGGAATGATAAAAGATCAAGTTTATGAAACAGCTTTACTTTCTTAATAATTTCCACCTTAATTTTATCAATTTTAATTATATATTGATACTTTAACACATTCTACTATGCCTGATTATAATTACATTGAAGAATTATTCAAATAAATGCTATAAATAAATTAAATTCCAATATCACCACGTTTCCCAGAACCGACTGCTTATTTTCCAAAATACAATGATTTAGAAGATTAAGAATACATCAAAATGAATGAATCAATCTCAAGTAGAGATGGTGATACAAGAGCCATAATAGTCTCCGATTTAATTAAAGCTTATACAACTATAAAAATTAAATCCATAAAAGACATTCATTTTAGAATAACAATCAAATAAATCTACTGAATAATATATATATCATCTTAATTTTTACAATTTTATACTATTGCTAAAATGAATATTATATATGTTATGGTCTTAAATATATTCATAGTTAATAACAGAAATAAACATTATTATTTTAAATATATAATCAATAATAACTCTTTTTTCAATCTTTCTAACTTTTTAAGATTCTAGTTTAAATATAAGAAAATTTATAGAAACTTAATTTTATGATTCAGAAAGTTATTCATATATTATAGTTATTTAGTTGTTATAATTATGAAAAACAGTATAATATATATATATTAATTATGAATAATAACTATTTATTATATTATTTTTATATTTTATAAATAATCATTTGAATAGATCTAAATTGTTGTTTAGAATTTCAATTTATAATTCTAAATTCTTATTTGTAAATTCAATACATAATTCATTTCAATATATTATATATAATATCTTTATTAATTGTATTAAATAGATTTTTATTTATTTATGAAATTATAAAATAATAATATTTAGATTTACATCTGATAAATAAATCTAATTAATTAAAAATATATTCATTTTTAAAATAAATGATTCTTATTCACATATTCAAATATTATAACACACTATATTTTTTAGATATCCTGATTTAATTATATTAAGATTTTTAATATATTTATCTTTTGTTGATAAAATAGTTAATAATACTATTGAAATAATAATAACAATTAGATATATCTATAATATTCTATAAAATGATATATGAAATATTTTCAAAATTATTTCACTCCTGATCTACATTTTATCAATGTCTCCTCACATTATTCTAATAATTTTTAGTTTAATTACTTTTTCTACACAATGTCCATCCACTATTTGGTTAAATTTTTAATGCTTTCTCATAACAAATTATAGCTTCTTAATATCTTTTTTATTCTTATAGACACAAACCTATATGTAAATGGTTAAAAAAACCTTTTTAAGAAAGTGAGAAGTAACTATTCGGATTTATATTCAATGCTAAATCAAAAAATTTAAGAGCGATATCATATTTCTTAAAAATTCTTAAAATATCGCCTAATTAATATTTTATGTTACCCTTGGTTCCTAATGAATTCACATGCCTTGGATCTACAGCCAACGCTTTATCAGTCCAAATTAAGGCTTCTTTATATTATGATAGAGATCTTAAACTATCAGCTAATTGTTAAAGTAATAACAATACCTTTACAATATAAAGCATTAACAAATTTAGGATCGATAACCAAAACTTTATCAGCCCATTTGATTGCTTCATTATAATTACCAAGCAATCTTAAATTGTCAGCTATGATTTAGGTTTATTAATACCTTTACAATGTAATGTACTAATGTGATTGGGATCAATAGCCAACACTTTCTCTGTCCAAATAATAGAATCAGCATTCTTATCCAGGATATATAAAGTTTAAGCTAAATTATAAATATATAATAACCTTTGCATTACATTCCATTAATGTTATTTGAATCAATACTAAGAACTTTGTCTATAATTTCTAATGTCTCATTAAATTTGCCAAGTAATCTTAAACTATGAGCTTAAATTATTTTTGATTTATTAACCTTTACATAGTAATATATCTATATGATGAGGATAGATTTCTAGAATCTTGTCAGCAGAAATTATGGCCTCATCAAAAATACTAAGTTTGAATAAACTTTAAACTATTAATTTTTGATTATTTAATTATACCATAAATCTAAAGAATATTAATATTCTTGGGTTCATGATCTAAGATTACTTTTGCTTAATTAATGGCATCTTTAAATCTAGTCAACATATATAGACAATGAGCTAATTTATGAATTAATATTTTCATACCTTTGCACTTTAATGAATCTAAATTATATGGATGTTCATTTAACACCTGTTCTGATAATTTTAAAGCTTATGAATATTATCCCATATATTATAAGATATTTGCTTATTAAATGTAAATAAATATACCTTTACAACTTAATGCATCTACATAATTAGGATCTATAGTTAAAGCTTTATTGGCCAAAACTAAAGCTTCTTTCTATTGACCCAGTAAGTTTAAACACAAAGCTCAATATATATAAGTTTGATATACCTTTACATTACAATGCATTAACTGAATTAGAATTTAGGGATAATATTTTATCTATCTCAATAACTGCTTCTTTATATTACCCAAGAATTCTTAGACTATCAGCTAAAAATAATATAAAATTCATTTAACCTAAACACTATAAGGATGCGATATTATTAATGTCAATTTTTAAGATTTGATTGGACAATTCAATTGCATTTTCATATTATTTCAATTTAAATATGCATAGCACTATTAATAAATATTCATATACAAAATACATTTGCATTACAAAGTTTTAATATTCTTAGAATCAATGGATAAAGCCTAATCTGCTAAAACTAATGCATCTTAATATTACCCTGTTTATAATAAGTTGATAGCTAATAAATTGTAATATAATATCTATTACCTTTTTCTGAAAACGAATCAACATATTTTTGATCGACAGTAACATCCATAATAGCATAGGCATTCTATTATTCACTAAGTTACTGTAGACACTACTCTAACAAATATAATAATATATAACATTTCCAATTTAATGAATTAATATGTTTGCAATCAAAAGCTAATACTTTATCAGCCTATTAGATTGTATCATCCTATTACCCAAGGAGTCTTAGACTCTTAGCTAAAGAATTTTAATTCAAATTACCTTTAAAATGTAATATTTCTAAATTATTTTTATCTAAAATCAAAACCTTATTAGCACATTGAATGGTTTCCTAGAATCTGTCTTGTTGAAATAAACATTATGCTTTATCATAATAGTATATTTATTACTTTTAGATAACAACATAGATATATTCTCTGGATTAATAGATAAAGCTTTATCCTACCAAATTAAGGCTTCTTTCAATTATCCTAGTTATTTTAAACTATTTGCTGGTATATATATATATGTATATTGACCTTTGGTAATTATAATAGTCTCATCATTAGGATCAATAATCATAACTTGATCTGCATATGATATAGCATCTCTATATTGATTCAATGCATATAAACAAGTAGCTTATAATTCATGAAATTATAAACCTTTATAACGTAATGCACTGAGATGTTTTGGATTCAGAGTTAAAATTCTATCTGCTACTATAATAGCATCTTTATAATTTGCAAGCTACAATAAACATTATGCTTTTATAATTAAAATTGATTTGAACCTTTGCAATCAAGAGTGTTTATATCTTTTGGATTCATGTCTAAAACTAGGTCTGCTTATACAATAGCTTCTTAAAAACGATCAAGAATAAATAAGCTTTATGCTAAAAATTAAAGGATAGAGTACTTTTGTAAGTTAGAATTATCAAATGATTTGGTTCTTTACTCAATGCTTTATCAGCCCATATTATAGCTTCTTCATACTTATCTAGCATGCATAGACTTCGAACTAAATCAAATTAATAGTATCATACTCTTGCAGCATAATGAATTCAAATGAAAAGGATCTTTTTTTAACGCTTTTTCTGTTTCAAGAATTGCTTCATTGTATTAAAAAAGTAAATATAGACAATGGGCTATTATTTAGAATATTTATACCTTTTAAATAGATAGTGTTTACATCAGAGGTCTCTATTTCTAAGGCCTTGTTGATCCAAGTTAAAGCATTTGAATAGTTTCCTTATTAAATTAAACTTTCCCCTTAAAAATAGTATAAACAGATCTCACCTTTGCATCTTAATGAATTAACATGATTAGGATCGAATTTAAAAACTTTATCGACCCATTTTTCAGCTTCTTCGTATTTGTCTAGCATATATAAGCACTTAGCTAATGTTGATATAAAGAATCACCTTTGCAATATAATGAATTAATATGATTTGGATCAATTTTTAGAGCTTTATCTGCCCATATAATTGCTTCTGCAAATTGACCAAGTGATTTTAAAGTTGATGCTAGATTGAATGATTATAAATTACATTTAATTGAGAATGCAGTTAAATTTTCAGAATTCAATGATTAAGATTAATTAAAGATTTTGATTGTTGATTCAAAAATTTCATTTTGATTTAAAATACTTAGTTATTTGCCTAATTAATTTAATATCTACTTCCATTTTGATTATTTTGTTATTAATTATTATTATATTCATTTTATATACAATAATTCAATTCATCTATTCTTAACTTAACAATAAGTTTAGTTAAATCTTAATAGAATGTTTTTACACAATTATTTATAGTATTTTATGCTTATATTTTATATTCTTAGAATTATATCATTTCACCAACTGCTATATTTAATTATTACACATTCATTTTTGCTAATCTTTCTTTATTGAGCATATATTTTAATTTAATTCCATCTTTTAATTTTTCAAATAATTATATAGATGATTATATTGAATTTGAAATATCAACCAAGAATTTATTACAATCTTATGCTTAATTATTAAGTTATTCATATATTTATGGCATATCAATCCATGATTCTAAATGAGTTTGATGAAATTGATTTTAAACACATTTCATACAAAATAATCTGAAATCTTTACAAAATTCATTTAAGCATATCATTTTAATGTTATAGTTATGTTCTTTATTTTGACACTTTAATTCTAAAGACTTTCCTTAAATCATTTTTATATAAACAATTATATATTAATCTAATATATTATATAAATTATATAATATATATCAAACATAAACAATTATATATTTATAAAATATTCATATAATTACATATGCAACTTTCTCTATAAATCTTTTAGCATAATCTTCTGGATTTTAAGCAGAAGTGTCTAAAGCAATATTTGCATGAATAGCCTTTTTAGTATGTTTTTCAATTATTTTTTAAGCATTCCACTCTTACAAATAATCAATAATAGCTATATGATAATAAATTCCTCTTTCAACAGCATTTATACATGGTATACATTACAAATCAGATGAAAAATAATTAGGTATCTTTTATATATATATGATATGAATTTTACTTCTACTTCTTTGATATTTGAATTATTCTAACTATATGTATACCAATCCATTTTAATAATCAATAATGAATAATCCATTAATTTAATTTTACTAAAAAAGTTAGCATCATTAATCAAACATTTTCTCAATCTCTCTCTATATTATTATGGTATATGTAATTATTATTCTAAATTTTGAAAATCAATATCTTTTAATGTAATTTTCTTTAATTCAACTTCACTTGCTTTTTTATTTTTCTTTAACACTTATCTTGAATGTTCAGATCCTTTTATATCATAAGTTCTAATTCTATACATTGATGGTATTTGCATAGCATTTCTCATTACTACTACATTAATAGATTCTTCAACCTATATTTATAATATAAAATATTATACATTTTATCTAAATAATTTATATATACCATAGATAGGAGAAATGATTGTTTCATTTTCACTTAAATGTAAAAAGTATGGAATAAGATTCTTTCTAATTACTGCTAATTCTTGATCAGATAAAGTTTTAATGATTAATTTATTATCATGAGTAAAAAAGAAGAAAGCACCTCCCTTGCCTCCATCTGGTCCTTTAAATTATTTAATTTATTCTTAATTAGCCAATAGATCAAATGATTTTAAATGATTAATCATTTTTTTATCTTTATCTCTAATTTTCTAGAAAATAGTTGGTGCATAGACAGTCAAAGTAGATTGTAATAATTTTAAATCAATTGCTTTTTCATTCTGAGTTCCTTTATTATCAATTTCATAAAGAATTTCTTCAATAAAATCATCAGTAGTTAAATTATAATTAGTTTTCAATTTGATATTATCACTATTAGATATAGAATCATTCTAGAATTTAAAATCTGTATATCTTCTAAGAATATTAATATGATCAAATTCTTCTGTATCTAATTATAGATCTGATTTACAAACAGCTCTTATACCAAATATAATTGTATTAACTTAATCAAATTTAAGATTTTAATGGATATTATCATAAAAATTAGCATCATCTTCCACTAAAATTATATCATTAATAATATTTACGTAATTCACTTTAGACATTATCTCTTCTCCAAACTTTTCTCCATAATCTTTTAACTTATTCTTTAATAGTAGGATCATTATATCTTAAAATAGATAACACTACTGGTGTACATAATTTAGCAGAATTTCCTATGGTTATAAAAATGAGAAGAAATCCTTCATGAAAATATGAACAATTAAAACCAGCAATAGTAAATGATATTGCTTCACATGTCCATATTATACATGAACCTTTTATGTAACGATAATAGTATTTTGCAAAAGTATCTTTGATTTGTCTGTATTTTTCATCATCAGGAATGGCTTTATTGAAATACCATATTGTATATAATGAAATCAGAGTATATAAGAAGACTAATACTATACCAGCTAAAGGAAATCCTGGATGATACTTGAAACTACAAGTTCCAAATATTGAAAGACCATTATTATGAGTAAATTTAGCTAATAGTGGTATTGTAATCATTGCTATCCATGCCAATGAATGTAAAATTATAGGCAATTTAGGTATTACTTTAAATTGATTTTTTAGGGTTAATCGAATGTATATACAAAATACAACATTATAAGAAACTTCTCCAGTTCCTGCAAATATACTAAACATTGAATTAATCTAACAAAATGGACCTGAACTCAATGGATTTTCACCAAATGTAGTGTAATAACAAGCAGTCAAAAACCAATGTATACACAATATTGCATCAGATAAAGATATAAAGAAAACTATATCTCCAGGCATCTTCCTTGTATTTGGATACTTAATAAAACTGTATGTGATGAACATAGTACACATAAATGCTAATGGAGCTAATTGTTGATAACACTCTTCAAATACAAACTATCAAAAATATATATTGATCTAATGGCTACACTTTAATCTTTTCAGAAAGTTCCTCGTCAGTCACATCATCATAACAAAAAAACACATCAGCATCACTATAAATTCCTAAGGCTGTACTTAATAATAAAAAGTATATTATCAATTTTATCATATTATTAATAATATACAATCTTAATCAATTTCTATTACATACCTATCAATATTAGGTTTTATTTTACATTCAATCTAGAATATCATTATTTATCTTATTTTAATACAAATAAATACATACAACAAATTTCTTAATTTAATTGAAATATGCAATTATTTATAGTTTTACAACAAATCTCTTAAAATTTTCAATCAAAATATTGAAGATGAAAGAAATTATATCTATACATATCGGATAAGCTGGAATCTAATTAGGAAATAGTTGTTGGGAGTTGTATGGCATAGAACATGGAATTTAACTTGATGGTTAGATGACATAAGATAAGACATTAGGAATTAATAATGATGCATTTAATACTTTCTTTTCAGAAATAGGAAATAGTAAACATGTTCCAAGATCTATATTTATTGATTTAGATAGGAATTGTATTGATGAATTAAAAAGAGGTTAATTTAGAGATTTATTCTAACCTGAATAAATGATATCAGGTAAGGATGATGCTGGAGGTATTTATGCAAGAGGTTACTATGGAGTTGGTAAAGATTTAATAGATTAAAGTATGGATAAAATTAAATAATTAACAGAAGATTGTATGGGTCTTTAAGGATTTCTCATATTTCATTCAGTTGGTGGAGGTACTGGTTCTGGATTTGGATCGTTATTATTAGAATCGATGACAGAAGAATATAATAAGAAATCTAAAATTGGATTTGCAATTTTTCCATCTCCTTAAATTTAAACATCTATCGTTGAACCATACAATACTGTATTATGTGAAAGTGCTTTAATTGAGCATAATGATGTCTGTATATTATTAGATAATGAAGCTATTTATAATATTTGCAATAGACATTTAGATATAGAAAGATTGTCTTATACAAATTTAAATAGAATAATAGCTTAATTATGTTCATCCTTAACACTTTCATTAAGATTTGATGGATAGTTGAATTCATAATTGAATGATTTTTAAACAAATTTAGTACCTTATCCTAGAATTCATTTTATGTTATCATCATATGCACCAATTGTAGCAGCATAAAAAGTATATCATGAATAATTAACAATATCAGAGATAACAAATTCCATTTTTGATACTTAAAACATGATGGTTAAATGTGATCCAAATCATGGAAAATATATGGCAAGTTCATTATATTATAGAGGAGACATAGTACCTAAAGATGTTACTGCTGCACTTGCATAAATAAGATTAAATAAAACAGTCTAATTTGTTGATTGGTGTCCAACAGGATTTAAATTAGGTATTAATTATTAACCTCCTACTTTTGTTAATGGAGGAGATTTAGCAAAAGTAACAAGATCAGCATGTATGATTTCCAACACTACAGCTATAGCAGAAGTCTTTGCTAGAATTGATCATAAATTTGATCTCATGTATTCCAAAAAGGCCTTTGTTCATTGGTATATTTAGTAAGGAATGGAAGAAGGAGAGTTTATATAAGCAAGAGAAAATATCTCAGTTCTTGAGAAGGATTATTCTTTTTCTATTGAAACAGCTGAAGGAATAGAAAATGAAGAAGGATTTGAAGGATGATATATTAACATTATATCTTTTGATGCAAATAATCGCCCTTTTTATTATTGAATTTATAACTTTATCAAACTATTATGATCTATTTCCAATTTATAATTTCCAATTGACATAATATTAGTAAAATATTTCTTTTTTCTTTTTCAGATAATTAAGTTTAGTTCAAATTCCTATTTATAAATCATAATTTATAATCTAATTATTATTTAAGTATGAATAATATTTTTGAATTTAGAAACTCAATTAATCAAAATATATTTGAGGCTTAAATTCATCTTATTATAGAACTTTTTAATGATTTAAATCAATCAACTATTATATACATTTTTGGTAAAATTCTCAAGAATATTTGATTAATATTATATATAAAGAGCTATTCTAAGTAAATAAATTAGTCTTAGTAAACAATTTGTTCTTCAATATGATATTAATTGATTGATATACTAGTGATAATATATATATTTTATTAATTAATAATATAATTAGTTAACTAAATCATCAGTTCATTCTGTCAGAAATCAATATATTCATAGATTGATAATATTTATATGTGATTTGATTAATGAAACAGTTATTATTATATTAAAATATTTGTATGTAAAATATATTATTTGGAGGAGCACAAAGAGCAGCAAATGGAATAGTTGATGAGCTCTCTAAAAGACCTTCTCGAGCTTTGAGTTTAAGAGTTCACAATTAAAAAGGAGAAAAAAAAGGATAGAGAAAATAAAAGTTCACTTTTAAACCTGAATTGCCTTTTGATTAATAATTTGCTTTGTTAGAGGTATAAAAATGTTCATTTTTAGATATATGCATAACAACACTTTCGAAGAAGGTTGTAGATTAAAGGATTTAAAGGTACATTTAAGATTGAAAATTGGATTAATATTGAAACAAAATTACGTGATATGGAAGGATTAAAGGCAATCGGATTTGTAGATACATAATTAGATAAAGTTCATTTAGATGTATTATGCAGATGGCTTTCATGGATAGAACCATAAAAATTGATTATTGAATTGTAACAGAATGAACTTGATAATGAGGATTGTGCTGATTTCCTTTACTTTTTATTTGAGAGAAACATAGATGTTCGTAGTGTAAATATATATATTAAAGATAGATATATATAATGGGTAATCCTGGTATTTATAAAGGAGTCTTATTAAAAGAATTGAAAGATTATTTATTTAAAAAGTTCGAGAATAATACGATACATTATTATAAATTGATAAAAAATAAATAAACCTTTTCGGTTGCAATCTTAAGGTTGTTAAGGAGGAAAAGTGATGAATTAATAAGCAAAAGAATACATCGAGCTGAAGCAAAAATAGATTAAACTTAGTATTATAAACTATAATTGAAAAATTGTTTTACGGATAAGAATTGGAAAGGCTTTTAAGATCTTATATAAACAACATATAAGGAGGATAATCTAGAATAATTAACTTATTTAGATATAAGTAATAATTTCTTAGGGACTCAAAATGCATTTAATAGTATGTGTACATCACTCTCTTCTGCTAAAGGTTTACTGGTCCTAAAAGTTGCTAATTAACCATTGATTCATAATTCTTAAACTATTGAATTATTAATGGGGAATAGATATGATAATCTTAAGTTAAGAGAATTAGACATTTCTGATAACAAAGAAATGTTAGAGAAAACTTTTAAAGCACTTTCAGATAACATATTTAAATCTTGTAAGATAATAACATTTACAGGAAGTCTACCTTAATAATTATCTACATTATTGAAAATGTTTGTTCTGACTGAAGCATTTGCAGATAAAACTAAAGAAAGTAAATAAATCTATAGAGAAAGTAATTTATTAATTTGATTAAAATAGAATAAAAATTTAGAAAAGATTATTTATAAGTTTTAGATTTAAGTAGTGTTGAGAATTATAATCGTCATGATTTAGTAGAGAAATTACTTCTTAATACTGTATTCACTGAATTTTCTAACATTAGGACATTACGTATATTTAACTATTATTATTTTAGATGTTTAAAATTTTGATGTTGGAAGATGTTAAGCTTATGTCAAAGCCAAAAAGAAATTTTTAGTTTATATGGAAAAGAAGAAATAAGATGATGCATTTTTTAAAAATTATAAACATCCATTAAAACATATTGTTTATCCCAAATAAAGTTATAGAATGGAAATATAAACTAAAAAAGAATTCTTTTAAGAATATCTATTTACAGAAAAAGGTAGTATCATTGAAATTGAATCAATTGAAATATAAGCAAGCACATTTAGGTAAGCAAATAGAGCAGAAGGATTATAATAGGCATGTGAATCAGTTATAGAAAAGACAGCTAATAATCCAGAAACTAAATATTCAATTAAAAAAATAATAATGAATGAAGGTGATTATTAAATGGATTTAAATACTATTAAATGTTATTTATGTTTGCCATCAGTTTAATTAGAAGAATTAAGTTATTTAAATGACTCTATGACATTCTAATGGAGTAGGTGGCATCAAGAATTGATCTCTTATTGTTCTAAATTAAATCCTGATTAATTTCATAGTTTGAAAATACTCAAACTTAATAATCTATATGATATAACTATAGAAATCCATTAATTTATAGAATTGTTTATTTTTAATCCAAAAATATAACTAAAAGAACTTTAATTAATTTAAATTTATACCAGTAATAACAATGATAATTATGAATCTTTGAAAAAAGCAATTCAATTGAGTGAAAAAGTCACTCTTGAAAGATTATCATTGGGAGAATTTTTTGAAGGTTAAGGAGAAGACATAATGCTTGAACAAGTTGTTTTCAATTAAAAAGTTAATTTACAAAGTTTATGTTTAAAAAATATCAAGCTTCAATAATTTTTAAATAACATTGAAAAATTAGTATAAAATAATCAAGATGATAATCCACTTTAATTGTTGACAAATTTTGAAATTGATAATATAAATATAGAGTCAAAGGAAGATTGGAAAAAAGTAATTCAATTTTTTATAATTAATCAAAGATTGACACTTTAAACTTTGAAAATAAAAGATAAAGTATTAAATTAATAATTCTCTGATGCACTTAATCAATTAATATATCCTTTTGAATAAGAATTATTCAATTTAATTAAATCAAAAAAAGAAGCAGCAGGAATGGTAAGAGATATAAATGAATAAAATATGCTCTCTTAAATATAAAATGAAAGCATAGGATTACCATTTGCTTTAAATTAATTAAATTTTGAAAATTGTACAATTTAAGATGATGTTATAAGTGGATTCTTAGTTATTTGTGAACTTAAAAATCTCTCAATTATTAATTGTAAAGATTTTTAAATTGGTATCAAAAAGACTATGGATATTATAAAATAATTATAATTGGATTAATATTATTCATTTAAAATAAAATCTTTTTCATGTGAAAGAACTGTTATATAAGATATTGTAACCTTTTAATCATTAATTAAAGAGATTGTCTTAAACTCAAATAGATAATTATTAGAAATGCTCAATTTAGATAGTTGTGCTTTAAATGATGATATGTTATAAGCATTATCCAAATAACTTATGGCAATCAAAGAAGAATAGAAATTATATAATAGAGTCTTTCTCTTAAGAGATTTAAATTTGAGTAATAATAATCAAATGTCAGTAAGTTCATGGCAATAACTTTGGGATGTTCTATTGAATGAAAGTAAATTAGAAAAAAAGGAAGAAATACCTTAAGATCAATCTATAACTGTAGTTAATCCATCATTATTATTAAGTACATTTGAAAAAGATAGAGATAATACTATTAATGAAACTTAAAAGCTTATTGAAACTTCATAATTATGTTTAAAGGAAAAAACACTTTATAATTATTAGAAATTTACCCCTTAATTTCCTAAGCAAATAACTAGTCTAGTTATGAAAATGGATTTTAAAAATCTTAATGATAATGAATTAAAATTTGAATATTATAGATTAATTGTTGGTTTTATAATTCATCCTGAAAGTTAATTAAAAAATTTAGAATTAGAATCATTAAATATGATAATTTTCATAAAGGCCTGTTTGGAAGCTTATGAATACTCTAAATTTTATTTAGAATCAGCATTAAAATAATCTAAACAAGATCATAAAAGTTAAATAAAATCAATAAAGATTAAATCATTAACAGCTAATGATGCAGAAAGCACTGAAAAATTTATATAAATATTTCTGTGTTCTAAACATATAGAATTAACTAAATTACATATATCTGGATGTACTTAACCTATTTTACATCTAATTCTAAAGAATATTGATAGAAAAGAGGATTACTAATTAGAAGAATTATCTCTTCCAGATTTAGAAGAAACTCTAGATTTAGAAGATACAATTAATTATTGTTAATGGTTAATATTTGGTAATAAAATGCCAATTAAAAAATTAAGTAGTTCTCCAAATTTATCTGAAATTAATGAGGAGAAATATGATCAATTCACACTTTCAAAAGTTAAAATAGAATCTATATATTTAAAACATAAATAAGAAACTTCAAACAATATTAAATAATATAGTATGATTTTATTTAAATTAATTTTAAATGGATTGTAAGAAATAACAATAGATAAAACTGATGCTACTTCTATTATTGTAGATACTTTTAATTAAATTAATAATTTTGATAATTTAAAATTAAAAAAGTTAATATTTAAAGGAGATCTAAAGATTAATAAGAATTTATTTGAAAAATTGTCTAAGATATTTGAGAAATTAGAACTATTCTAGGTATAAAAATTACTATTAGAAAATGAGTTTGAAATTTATGATATCTGTTCATTAATGGATGTAAATTAATTAAAAAATCTTAAATTTGAAGTCAAATAAGTAACATGCAACAACCCAAACGAATTTTATAAGAAATTCCTTTTCAACCCTAATGTTGGTATAACAGAAATCATTTTAAAGGATCCCTAATTATTGGAAAATAAATTTGAAATATATGAATTAGGATAAAAAATAAGATATTTCAATTTAAGTATGGGTTTGTTGTACAATTCAGGTACATAATTAAGTGTTAATGCCTTAGAAATTATCAGTAAAATGCTTATATATAATGAATCAAGTAATTTAGAAGAATTAGTATTACATTAATGTCATTTCAAACCAACAGGAATAGATGCTCTATGTAAATATGCTTCAACATTTAGAGAGAAGATCGGAAAGGAGGGAAGAGAAAAGACTGCAACATTAAAATTAAAACGAGTTACACTCTATTATTCATTATATATAGGAGATGATGGAGTCAGACAATATGTTAATAATCTATTATATTTTGAATACATCAATATTGAAAGATTTGAAGTATTAGTGACTAATTGGAATGATGCAATGACTAATAGTTTATGTTAGACAGCTTAATGTTGGTTATAATACTAAAAAGATTTGAAAAGATAATATTCAACAAAATACCCACTAAAATATTTAGACATAGGAAGAAATGAATTTGTTGATGAACAAGAATCTTGGTCTAATTTTCTTAAGACATTTGTATTTACTGATAATACTCCTGATTTAGAAACATTGAACATACATTTTATGGCATTAAATGATTTAAAAACAAGATATATAATAGCAGAAGCTCTTTAATTCTTTTCAAAAAAACCATAAAATTATAAATTCAATATCAAAAAGATTAATTTTTCACAAAATAATTCATTGACTCATTTAGGATGGTAAAATTTATTTAAAAACTTCTTTTTTCATCCAATGGTATATTTGGAAGAATTGAACATGATTAGTACAATGTTAGACAGCCAAATAAAATTAGATGTAATAGCAGAAGTAATAAAAGATAGAGCTCTTGCTTCTCCTAATAAAAAAGTACCACTTCACACTTTCTTATGTTACAATGTTAGTTTAAAAGATTATATTGCTGATTATTTATCTGAATAACCACCAAATTATTAAGTTCCTTATGATATACCCGTAGAAATAGAATATGATAATAGTCTAAATTATGGATATTTTGATGGAGTCCCAGAATCTTTTGGTGACATTTTATAAATGTTTTAAAGGATTCTCAAATTAAGGTAGAATATTGTTTATCTAAAAGATTGGAAACTTACTCGATCAAAATATTCACCTTATCATTTAAATATGAGTGATCATTATTTAAATATCTTAAATTAATATTATACTGCTTAAGGTAATGATTAAATTGATATTTACATCAGTTTATAATCTTTAGATAATTTTGCTAATCATTTTGGATATATAACTTAATATCCTGGTTCACCTTATCCATATAATCTATTATTTTAGTAAAATACTTTTGATTTTTTGTAGGAGAAAAATTGTAATATCTTTAAAATTAAAGTTATTCAAACAGAATTTGCTGAATTAGAATAAATAAATTAATTTTAAATTTTGAAATTATGGCATAATATTAAGCATCACAATACTAGTATTGATTAGATATAAATTGAATATGATTTAAATGATGATCTTGTAGATGAAATGTTTAGATAAGGTTATGATGAAAGAGATATTATATCTCTTATTAGATTGATTCCTCCTTCTAAAATTCGAATTTAGAATTCTCTAAGTATTTAAGCCATTAAAGGTATATACTCTATACTTTATGACACTTATTATTTTAAATATGCAATGATAAGTTATAGTTTTGATAATTTCCTCAATATTGGTATTGGTTACTCTTTAAGAGAAGTATTTTATAATTATAATGCAGCTGGACCTATCCGAAAATTCTTTAAAATAGCATTTTATAAATTTTTTAATTTTTTTGTTATTCCTACAAAGAGATATCTATTTAATGATGAAGTTAAAAGATTGAATGATTATTTATCCTAATAAAAATTCTACTTTTTTGTTATTGTCATTACAAACATATTATTTTTTGTAATTACTTTAGCTGGACCCTATTTATTAACATATAAGTTATTAGATAGAGATGCTTCTTAATTAACTAAGAATTATATCTGTGTTAATGGAACAAGCAAAGAAGCTTCATATTTATATTACGCATTTGCTGTCATTACTCTTATAACTGAAGCTATTCTATATTATAAAGTGGCTTAAATAGTTCCCAATCATACTTAAAGAATAATTGTTAATAAAATAGCTAATGAAAAAGAAGATGATGAAAATTAATAAAGACTTGATGAATAAGCACAAGAAAAACAAAAAAATAAGATACTCCCAGCATCCGAAGAAGATGTTAATATGATTAAAAAGTAATCTTAAACATAAAATACTGAAATAGCTAGACATAGTGTATTTTAAAAAATGGCTACAGCAGTTAATAAGAAACTTTCATAAGTTGCTGGTAAATTTACAACTGCTGTTACAGCTTAAGCAGAAGAATTCACTTAATCCAAATGGGGAATCTTATTAAGTTATGGAATAACTTTATTATCCTCTTAATTATTCAAATTTGATCTATATAATGATGTTGTATTCATTTTAAATGCTTACAATTGTGAAGAGTTTATAGTATTTTTATTAGCTCTTATTACAACTGCATTCTCATAGGGAATTTACATTTTACAATTCTTTTATTTAATAGGTGTCAGAGTAGTTTAAAATTAGAAAACTGCAAAATTACTATCAAGTAAATTTATTAATGATTTCTATGCTATCAGTTTTCTTGGTAGAAATGCAGCACTTTCAACACTTTTAGATTCTTCTGCTCCTTTTAATGTTATTATTATACCTAATACAAGAATAGGAAGATATATATTCCCACATCATGCTGGAAAAGCAATGAGCAATTTAGTTAAATCCTATTTCTTTTAATTTTTATGTGAGGATTTACCTTAAACTCTACTACAAATGTATTTTGTTGTTAGTCAAGCCATTAAAAGATCCAAAGAGCTATAAGTCTAAGTTTATATTTCTATTTGTACAGCAATCCTAACAGCTTTATTATCCTTTTATAAGTAAATTCTATTTATTATATATTAGATTTTTATCTATTAGGCCTACCAATTTATTACAAGATAATTTTGATGAATTGTCATCAAGGCTATCTAAAGGTTATAATTAGTAAATATAAACTTGCCTAAAGTAGGAGAATGATCAAATTAAAACTTATATTGATTTATACAACTCTCCTGATTATGAAGTTGTCCACGTTGAATAATCATAAGAAGAAAGACAATCATTGTTAAATTGAGTTTATTTATATTTTAAGCTCTATCCAATTATAACCATTGGTTAGATGTTTCTTAATAATTCTATACTATGTTTAAATTAAGATTAAATCTCATGTTGTTCTATGCTTAAATTATTAATATTTATGTATAATAATAAATAGTATTAATATATATATATATTATGTTTTTGTAATTTAATAAATATTAGAAATTTTGAATTAATGTTTATCTCAATAAATAATATAACTTAAGTATTTATTAATTTTTTCTAATATTATTTATTAAAATACTAGAAATCTTGGTATCTATATATTGAAAATATGAAATTCCTATCAATTAATATAGAGAAAAAGTATAATTTACAAAAATGAGAATTATGATTATTATTATAAATGGTAATATAAANTTGTGAAGAGTTTATAGTATTTTTATTAGCTCTTATTACAACTGCATTCTCATAGGGAATTTACATTTTACAATTCTTTTATTTAATAGGTGTCAGAGTAGTTTAAAATTAGAAAACTGCAAAATTACTATCAAGTAAATTTATTAATGATTTCTATGCTATCAGTTTTCTTGGTAGAAATGCAGCACTTTCAACACTTTTAGATTCTTCTGCTCCTTTTAATGTTATTATTATACCTAATACAAGAATAGGAAGATATATATTCCCACATCATGCTGGAAAAGCAATGAGCAATTTAGTTAAATCCTATTTCTTTTAATTTTTATGTGAGGATTTACCTTAAACTCTACTACAAATGTATTTTGTTGTTAGTCAAGCCATTAAAAGATCCAAAGAGCTATAAGTCTAAGTTTATATTTCTATTTGTACAGCAATCCTAACAGCTTTATTATCCTTTTATAAGTAAATTCTATTTATTATATATTAGATTTTTATCTATTAGGCCTACCAATTTATTACAAGATAATTTTGATGAATTGTCATCAAGGCTATCTAAAGGTTATAATTAGTAAATATAAACTTGCCTAAAGTAGGAGAATGATCAAATTAAAACTTATATTGATTTATACAACTCTCCTGATTATGAAGTTGTCCACGTTGAATAATCATAAGAAGAAAGACAATCATTGTTAAATTGAGTTTATTTATATTTTAAGCTCTATCCAATTATAACCATTGGTTAGATGTTTCTTAATAATTCTATACTATGTTTAAATTAAGATTAAATCTCATGTTGTTCTATGCTTAAATTATTAATATTTATGTATAATAATAAATAGTATTAATATATATATATATTATGTTTTTGTAATTTAATAAATATTAGAAATTTTGAATTAATGTTTATCTCAATAAATAATATAACTTAAGTATTTATTAATTTTTTCTAATATTATTTATTAAAATACTAGAAATCTTGGTATCTATATATTGAAAATATGAAATTCCTATCAATTAATATAGAGAAAAAGTATAATTTACAAAAATGAGAATTATGATTATTATTATAAATGGTAATATAAATAAAAAATTAATAAAATTCAATATTATAATAATAATCAATCGAAATGTGTATAATAATTTAAACAATTGTTTTATAATTATAAATATACATAGAGTTTATTTCCTTAACAACAAGAATTAAATATAGTAAATAGATATTTAATGATTAACAAAATAATTATAATTATATTTATTGGATATAAATAACAAATTCAAATTATTTTATTTAGATAATAATAATCTACTTCATTATAGATTTCCTCAGGAATCGTTTCAATATATTTTTGGTTTCCCCTTTTTGAAAGTGATAACAATTCAGCATCATCTTCATTCAAAATAAAAGGTTCGGCTTATGTATTAATTTTTTAATCAGACCTATAATTTGAAAGATAATTATCTTCTTTAACAGTTGAAAGATTTAATTTAATTCCTATTTGATGAGATTTTAAAAGTTCATCTCTTAATTTAATGGATCTTATTATAAGATATATTCTTGATATTTCATACAATAAATTCATATAACTTAGTTTCTATTGCATTTACTTTTTAATCTTATCATAAATTTTATAATACTCAATCTAATCTACTTAGACATGATTTAGAGTAATTTTTGTTACTTTAAATCTCCAATTTTTAATGATTTTAATATTTTTAAATTCTGGATAATATAAATTCATCAAATCAGATAATACTTTTTAGTTTAATGAATATTGATTCATATAGATAATGATATATTTAAACATGAAGAGTATTGATATAATAGATCCTATGTTTGCTAAAAGATCTCCCAATTTTGGATATTAAAATATTGTTTTTGTTTATGTTCCATTCATTGCAACATAGATTACAGCCAATGCTTCATTTTAATAGGTTAATTTACATCTTTCTGATGAAAGAGATTGAGTTTATACTTTTGCACCACTAATATATTCCTTTTATTTAGAAGTTCCAAATAATAAATAATCTTAAATTTCATAAAAATTGGTCTCAAGAAATGTACTTATTGAATAGCAACTCTACTATTCAAGTTCAATATATATATCTTAAATTGTTATTTATTCTGATCCATCTCTAGAATCTAAAGTTGTTGATTCTACTTGTACACCAAAAAAATTAATGCGCTGTTGAAAAAATTATTCCCTTAATTCGGCTGAACCACATTTTTCATCTTCTTTTAAATACTTTTCTTCACAAAGTGATATGAATATGTACATTTATTTCGATGTTTATTAATACCCATCAATAAATGTATAACCCAAATCTAAATTTGGTACATACAATTTTCCATTAGAAGCATCTACACTATCTTCAATCAGTTTTATCTATGTAGGAAGAAAATTTTCCGTATACATTACTAAAGGTAGTAAAATTCGTGATTGAAAAGGATCTATTACTCCTTCATAAGCTTCATAATAAACACTGATTTTCCCTGAGTTGAAATTTAGTAGAGAATAATCAGAAACATACTTTGAATTAGAAATCTTTGGACTCATTTAATTACTATTCCATAAATAAATTATCCAAAATGAATAAGCCAAGCTTGTGATGCCAATAAATACACTTAAAAACCCTCCTAATGCGCTTTTATACAATGTTTGTTGCTGATTTATATTTTGTAAAAAAGGAACACCAAAGAAGTCAACATTTTTTAGAAAATTCATCAATAAATTTAAATGTAATTATCTTTCTCTGAAATTAGTAGAAAAATGAATAAACTCAATAAATTAAGTTATTTAGATAGAATTATAAGATTAATTATTATTTATTTTAAGTTTATTACCATTGTCACTATCTATCTAGCTTAAGTATGATTTATATATTTTTGAATAAATAAATATAATTAATATTAAAAAGTATTATTATCATTTAAATGTTTTTATATTTTCATGAATTTCTAAGTTTAGATTATACAAAACTTAAAAAAATTATATTATTTTAAGACTAAAATAAGTTCTATATTATTAAATTTAGCTTTGGTTATAAGAGTTCCATAATAAGTATTTGAATTCTAATTAAAATTTTAATATTTTAATTTGAACTCTATATATAAAAAACCATTATAAAGTAAGTTTTGTTACCTATTATTCACTAATTTCTTTATTCTCTAAATTATAATCGACTAATGAGTACTTTTCTTCTATTATTAAATTATATTAATTGATTATTTTTAATAGCAACCTTCCATTAAATTTATATCAGAATATCATAATTTTCACCTCTTAGTGATAGTAGAAATATATAATTTATATTATAATTTATTAATCTATTTTGGTTTTGAATGACTTCAATCCAGATTTAATCGAAATGGATGACCAAATAAAATATTCAATTATTAATTTAATTCTTTTTTTAATCTCTTTAACATCCTAAATAATTTAGGATTATACTATTTTTATGAATTATAAAAATTCTTTTTTACTTAATATATTAATAAATTAATATGGTTATAATAAGAATGTGTTCTAATAATATTGATATTATAATTAATATTTATTTTTAAACAATTGATTAGAATTATATTTTATATACTACAACTAAAATATCAAATTTAAGTTTTAGATTAAAATAAAAAATATTTATAAACATTATATATTGTGATTATATACAAATAAGAATCATAATGTGAAAGCAGAATTAAAATTATAATAAGAATAAATTTAATTAATGTCTGAATAGCATTTACAAGAGAATAAATTTACTTATGTAAATATATTGTAGCTAATTATCTATAGAGTTCAAATCTTGTGATTCAGAGAGAATCTGGACCAAGGACTGATGAGCCAACAGGTGAGCCTGAATCATTAGTTGGAAAGATCAACCCAAGAATGATGGGTACAAAAGCTGTGAAAGATAAACCAGTTAAGAGTAAGAAGGAGTAGAGTTTAAATTTGGGAAAGCAAGTGAATATGGAAATAGAAGAAGGAGTTGGAATGCCTACTTATGAAAATCTATTGTATATTCCAAAAACAAAGGACAATAGATTACACTATGAACGATTATTGTCTATAGTTTATGGATTATTTTAGGAATAATCATAAGATGTGATAAAGTCTATAGTTGATGAAGTGTTAGCAATAATGAAAAATGATAATTTGAAAGATTCTGAGAAAAGATAGGAAGTAGAAGCAATAATTGGAAAGTTGACAAATGAGCTATTTTCAGATATTGTATTATCAGGTAAAGCAATAACAGATTATAATCCTGAAATAACACAAGGAAATACAGATGAGATGCAATTACCATTGAATTTGGAAGAAGAATAGGATTCAAGTGATATGGAGGAAATAATAGAAGAAGAAGATGATTCATAAGAATAAAATGAATAGACTATCAAAGCAAAAGTATAAGTAGAAGAGACAAGAAATAAAGTAGTTGATATAGATGGATTTTGGTTATAGCGGGAATTACAGAAAATATATTAAGATCCAATAGTAGCATAATAAATGGAATAAACAGTTTTAGATATTTTGAAATTATAAACTGACATAGAATGTGAAAATTAATTAGTTTTATTATTTGGTTAGGATCGTTTTGATCTTATTAGATTATTACATGCTAATAGACATAAGATATTTTATTGTACTCTTTTAAGTAAGGCTTAAAGTGCTGAATAAGTTGAATAAATCCATTCTTAAATGAGATAGACATAAGAAGGTCTTTAAATTTTAATGGAATTACAAAAAAAGAAGAAAAATGATGCTTAATTTTAAATAATTTAAGAAGAAAATGAGAAATAATATTATGAATCAATAAATATTACTGATCAAGATCTTTAAGGACTTTCAAAAAAGATAGTTGATTTAGAGTAATTGCAGTTTGTATCTTAAGGACATTTGATGTCAAATGAGAAATGTCATTTACCTCCTCATTCTTTTAAAGTAACAAAGAAAGGATATGAAGAGATATACATTCCTGCCCCAAAACCTAATGTTCATAAGGATAACTTGATATAAATAGGTGAATTACCTGAATTTGCTTAATAAGCATTTAGAGGTTTTAAAGAACTCAATACTATTTAAAGTGTTGTTTATGAAAAGGCATTATTAAGTAATGAAAATATGTTGATTTGTGCACCAACTGGAGCAGGTAAAACTAATATTGCATTACTTACAATGTTATAAACTATTGGTGAATATTATTAAAATGGTATTGTTGATATTTAAAAATTTAAAATTATTTATATAGCACCTATGAAAGCATTAGTAAATGAAATGGTACATAATTTTCAAAATAGATTAGAACCATATAATATTAAAGTTGCTGAAGTTACTGGAGATACTCATTTAACTAAACATTAATTGAATACAATCTAAGTTTTGATAGCTACACCAGAGAAATGGGATATTTTAACTAGAAAGATATAACAAAATGATTTTATTTCATTAGTAAGATTAGTGATTATTGATGAAATTCATTTATTACATGATAGTAGAGGTCCAGTTATAGAATCAATAATTGCAAGATAATTGAAATTAATGGAGGAGAGATAAGAAGTAGTAAGAATTGTAGGATTATCAGCCACTTTACCAAATTATTCTGATGTGGCAACATTTATTAGAGTTAAATAGAGTGGAGTATTCTTTTTTGACAATTCTTATAGACCAGTTCCATTATAATAATAATATATTGGTATTAATGAAAAGAAACCAATAAGAAGAATGTTATTGACAAATGAAATTTTATATGAAAAAGTTATTGAAAGAATCACTAAATCATAAATCTTAGTATTTGTTCACTCTAGAAAAGAAACTGTTAAAACAGCTAAAACATTAAAGGAAATGGCATTTTCAAAAGATGAATTATCTAAATTCATTAGAGAAGAAAGTTCTTCAAAGAAGATCTTAGAGACAGTAATTGATAAAGAAGATATCAAATCAGCTGATCTAAAAGAATTATTAGCAAGTGGTATAGCTATTCATCATGCTGGATTATGCAGAGGAGATAGAGATTTAGTTGAAAGTCTTTTTGAAAAGAAGAATATATAAATTTTGATATCTACATCTACATTAGCATGGGGAGTCAATCTACCTGCACATACAGTTATAATAAAAGGAACATAAATATATTCACCAGAATAAGGAAAATGGATAGAATTGAGTCCTTAAGATATCTTATAAATGATGGGTAGAGCTGGTAGACCTAGATATGATACATCTGGAGAAGGAATCATATTAACAACATATTAAGAACTTAAATATTATTTATCTTTATTGAATGTTCAATTACCAATAGAATCTTAATTTGTATCATAATTAGCTGATTAATTAAATGCTGAAGTTGCTTAAGGTAATATAAAGAATTTGAAAGATGGAGTAAATTGGTTAGGTTACACTTATTTATATGTAAGAATGTTAAGAAATCCATAATTATATAATATACCAGACTATAGTAATGATTAAGCATTAATAAAATATCGTGCTGATCTTATACATTCTGCATGTTTATTATTAGATAAGAATAGTTTAGCTATTTATGATAAGAAGACTGGAAATATTGAGAGTACAATATTAGGTAAGATTGCTAGTAATTATTATATAAAATATCCAAGTATGTAAGTGTATAATCAACATTTGAAATAAAATATGGGTATGATTGATATTTTCAAAGTATTTTCATTATCACATGAATTTAAATTAATTCCAATAAGAGAAGAAGAAAAGATAGAATTATAAAAATTAATGATGAGTGTACCAGTTCCAATAAAAGGATCACCTGAAGATTCAACAACAAAGATAAATGTATTATTATAAGGATACATAAGCAGATTAAAATTAGAAGGATATGCTTTGAATTCTGATATGGTTTATATTATGTAAAGTGCAGGTAGAATAATGAGAGCATTATATGAAATATGTTTATAAAAAGAATGGGCTTAGAGTGCATTATAATGTTTACAATTATCTAAAATGATAGAGAAAAGAATGTGGAGTTGTATGACTCCACTTAGATAATTTAAAGGATTACCAGATGATTTATTAAGAAGAATAGAGAAAAAGGAAGGAATTACATGGGAACATTTATATGCAATGTCATCATAATAATTAGGAGAACTTATAAGATATTAGAATTAGAATATGACAAAGTTGATACATAAATATATTCATAAATTCCCAAAGATTGAGATCTAAGCATTTGCTTAACCAATAACTAGATCATGTTTGAGAATAGATTTACATTTAAGTTGTGATTTCTAATGGGATGAAAAAATTCATGGAAGATAAGAACCATTTCATATATTTGTATTGGATTCTGATGGAGAGAAAATATTGTATCATGAAATGTTTTTAATGAAATAAAAAAATTAAGAAATGGAATTTACTCTAACAGTTGCATTATTTGAAGTTATGCATCCAATTTATTATATTAAAGTTATATCAGATAAATGGATATCTTGTGAAAGTGAATAACCAATTCCATTTAAAAATCTTATATTACCAGAACCATTTAATAGATGTACAGATCTATTATAATTAACATTATTATCAATTGATTAAATTAAACATTAATAGATTGAAAATATATTGGCTAAAAAGATATTATAAAATAGATATTTTGATTAGATTTAAACTTAAGTATTCTAATAAATATATTAATCTAATGATAATATTTTTATTGGATCATCAACTTATTAATCTAAAAGTATACTCCCCATTTTAGCTATTTTATAAATGACTAATATATAGAAAGGATATAAAGCTATATATGTTTCATCCATATAAACTAATTGTGATATCAAATACAATTAATTCCTATAAATATTCAATAAAACTATGTCATTGAAAATAGGAAAATTGAGTGGATAAACTTAAAGTGACAATAAAATCTTAGAATAATGTGATATTATAGTATCTAATGCAATTAATTGGGATATCATTAGTAGAAGATGGAGAGCTAAAAAAGGATTCAAAGATATTAGAGTATTTATAGCTGATGATTTACATACTCTTGGTTAATCTGGTAGTGTATTAGAAGTTATAGTATCAAGAATGAGAATGATTTCTATGGAAATTCCATTCAGAGTTGTAGGATTATCTTTATCTGTAGCTGATTATAAAGAAATGAGTGATTGGATAGGAAGTAAACATACTTTCAATTTCTAACCTATTGTTAGACCTAACAATATTTAAATATAAATTTAATCATTTGATCAATGTCAAAGACCTTTAAGAATTTAAGCTATGATTAAATCATTGAAAACTAATCTTTCAAATACAGATTTAAATATCATATATGTATCTGATCGTAAATTAGCTAGAGTATGTGCTCTAGAACTTATGATTAATAATAATAATTCATTATCAGGTTTTACAATCAAAGAAGATTAATATCTATAACATACACTATAAGCATCAGTTGGATTCCTATATGAATGTATGGATCCATAAGATGAAAGTGAAGTACTTAGATTTATATCTTCTGGAGAATTAAGAGTTGTTGTAGTCACCTATAAATTAGCATTATATTATAATCTTAAAGGAAAGGTATTTATTTTAGATAATTAAAAATATGATGGAATTGATAAGAGATATGTTGATTATACTATTGCTGAAATGTTAGAAATGATTGAAAGTACTACTTCTTAATGTCATATACTCACATATAGTCCAAAGAAAGAATATTATTAGAAATTCCTTTATGAACCTATGCCAATAGAATCTCATCTTAATCATAATTTAGCTAATCATTTGAATGCTGAAATTGTAGCTAAAAATATTCATAATACATAAGACTGCATTGATTGGATTACATGGACTTTTATGTATAGAAGATTGACCTAGAATCCAAATTATTACAGTTTACATGAAATTAATGGAGTAGCTATTAACAATTATTTAAGTGAATTAATTGAAACTACTATTGATGAATTACATGAAAGTAAATGTATAGCTGTTGAAGAAGATAATGAATTAGAAGCTATTAATTCTGGTATTATAGCCAATTATTATTATATTAATATTGAAACAGTCAAAAACTTTTCAGATAAAATAAATGCAAATAGTAAACTTAGAGATTTATTATTCATTTTATCTGAAGCTAAAGAATTTGAAGTCTTGAATATTAGAAATGGAGAAGAAATTCTTTTGGCTTAATTACTTTAGAAAATACCTTTCTAACCTATTAATGTTAAACTTAATGAACCTAATACAAAAGCTTTAATTTTATTATAAGCTTATTTTAGTAGAATCAAATTGAACTCTGATTTAAAATCAGATTTGACTATTTTAGAATTAGCAATTAGATTAAGTACTGCCATGGTTGATATTGCCTCTTCAAATCTTTGGTTAAAACCTGCTATTATATCAATGCAAATTTGTTAGATGATTGTTTAAAGTCTTTGGAAAGATGAAGATAGTGTATTATTGTAATTACCTCATTTTAATAAAAACACTATTGAATAATTAAAATCTATGAAAGTGTCCGATTGGGCTGATTTCTTCGATATGGATGAGTCTGATCGAACTCAAGTATTAAATCAATTTACTTAACAATAAATTGATGACATTGCCTAAGCTGGAAATAGGTATATTCAATATTCATATTAGATTACCATCTGTTGAAATTTCAGATATTATTGCTGAAGAAGAAATTGTCCAAGGAGATATCTTCCATGTTCAAGTAGTCTTAAGTAGATAAGATAATATTTATACTGATTATGTGATAGCACCACATTATCCTAAATAAAAAGAAGAGCAATGGTGGGTTTTATGTGCTGATAGAAACACTAATAGATTATTTGGAAATAAGAAGGTCTCATTTTAATAGAGCATTAAAGTTGATCTCAGATTCTAAGCACCTGAAGCTGGAGATTATGATTTAACCATATATGCCATATGTGATTCCTATATAGGTGTAGATACAACATCATAATTCTAATTGAAAGTTAATCCTATTATTGAATAAGAGTAAGAATAATGAAATATTACAATATTATAATATTCATAATTAAATGCATAAATAATTGAATTCAATAAGTTTCGTTTCTGCTAATAGTGGATTCTCTGATTTGTAATATTCTTCTATTATTAAAGGTAATCATTATTTATTAGCCAAATCAATTGATCACAATCCTGAATTGATTTAATAACTTTTTGAAACTAAAAAGTTAGAGAAAACTAAAAATATATTTTAAGATCCACTTAATCTAAAAATTTTACAACATGATCATGCAATTGGACCAAAATATGAAAAAAATAAAATTGTCCCTAGAACTATTGTAGGAAAACCTGATATCTTCAAAAAGAAATAACCTCTTCAGCATTTAAATTAAGACTTACAGAATCCAAATTAATAGATAAGTCTATTGGAGTCAATTAGTATGTCTAAAAAGGAATCTCCCTTATAAAGAAAAATAACACAATTAAAAATAGCTTAAACACCTGTCAAGATTTCTAAATAATCAAAAACTGAAAATCTTATTACAGGTTCCGAGTTAATTAATAAAATTACTTAGTTGGAAAAAAGATTAATCTAAAATAGTATAGATGAATAGAAGTCAATTGATAGAATGCCATTTCTAAAAAAATAAAGTTTATATAGAGATCAAAGAGCTTTAGAGGATTTTGATAAGAAAGAGAAAATTCATTCTGAACTACTTCATTCTTTATCAGCTCGTATATCTAGAAATCCAAGTTGTTCTTTAATGATGGATTTGTATAATTTTAGAAGAAAATAAGAATATTCAAGTACAAACGATTAAATGATGGAATTATCTGAAAATAAAAATCAATAAATAATGTAAACATTTTTATAATAAATTAGTGAGATGTAATAATAAAATCAGGTACCCATCTTCATATGTACTGATAGATAGTAAATTATTAGAAAACCATATCTATTTGAAAAAGATTAAACTATTTCCACTATTCTAAAATAATAAAATGAAGACTAAACATTTTAAAGTTTTACATCAAATAGAGTATTAAAAGAAAATGAATTAAAATATAAACCAATGGCTAGAATAAAAATTAAAATGAATATTGATGAATTGATGATATTTGGATAATCTAAATATGAATAAGAAATCTCTATAGATCCTTATCATAAATATATAATCAATGAAATCGAAAAGTAACCTATAAATGAAGATGAAATATTATGATTTTAGATTATTTGTTAGTATATGGGTATGATGAAAATGATAATTTAATTAATTCTTATAATTATCTAATCTTATTAAACTTCTTATTTACTTAACATTAAATTTGATAATTGATTAAGAATCATCTTTTTTTTAAATTTTACATAGTCAAAATTTTAGGAAATAGGTTGACTCTAAGTGTTTGAATTTTTAACTCTATTTGAATAGTATTTTATATCTAATTTTATTATCCTTTATTGTTTTGAAAATCAATTTCTCCTTAATTGTAGCTTTCCTCATCTTCACTAGCAGAATTAACAAAATTTTAGATAATATTTTTTATTTTTTAGATTTATTTCTTTTTATTAAGCGATTATTCCATAGAATCTTGCCTAATAGCTGATTATTAGCATATTTGGAACGATAGACCAATAAAATGATATCAATTGAATTTGATGATTCTAAATGTATGTAATTTATTCTAAATTGTTATTTAACTTAACAAAGACAAAATTAGAGAGCTCTTTACATAAAAGTATTATTCAATGTGATATATAATTTATTTATAATTCTAAAATTTTAATCAAATTAAACATATGTGTGTAATTTAGAAACATTAAATTATCTATTTATGATATTTATTGTAAATAAAAATTAGTCTAGTAAAAATGATAGTATATGATCTTTAATAAGATAATATTGATAAAATGGTTCACATACTTTTAGATAAATCAGTAGTGCAAGATCTCCTTTTATTAGACATATATTTTTAGAAACTTTATTTTCTATGGACAATCTATTAACTTAATCTTTTATTAACTAAATAATCAAAAGATTAATTGGCTGACTTTTGAGGAGTAATATTAGTATGAAATCGTTTGTCTTTGAGTTTATTTGGTTTTTCTATGGTTTTAGTATTACTTATTTTAGTTGACTGTTGGGTATATATTTCAATTTGTCTATAGTAATTTAATTCTTCTTATAAGATTTTAACTTTTGTATAGAGTTCCTCATTCTCTTTTTTTAATTTCTAAAAACTAATTATCGAATAAATAATACATTCAAATTCTTTTTTGTATTTTTTAAGAATTCATCTCTTTCTTATTCTAACTATTTGATATAGTTTTTCATATCATCATATTTCTAATTCATTATATAAGATTCCTGAAATGATAATATAAACGATTTACTCTAATATTGACTCTGACTTCAGATTCATATTTCTACAATTATTTTTCTAATTCTTTGTAATCCTATTTGATTTTATTGTTTTAAATATGCTCAATTATAATATTCAGTTATTGAATTAAGTTCTGAGATTTCAAAAACATTTAGAAGGATGTGATATCATTATGATCTGCAACTAGATTGTATAATTTAATTAACAATTAGGACACTGACATATTTATATTAATATATAGTATATACAATCATTTCAATCTGGTTTTGAGTTTGGCTTAATAATCAAGATTGTCTTTTTAAACTTTTTCAAGTTATTATGACTTTTCTAGTATTTTCATTCTAAGTCTCTCAATTTCCTTATCTTATAATTCACATTTGCTTTATAATTCATTAATAGTTATATTATTCAATTTGACATCCTCTGCAAATTTCTAATATTATTTGTGTTATAGAGCTAAATGTCTATAATTATCAGCTTATCTTGATAGATCATTGATTAAACTTTCATTTTATTACTTTAATAAATTGATTTCTTATTCTTAAATTTAAATGACTTCATGAATTTTCTCATCTTCTCTCTCTTAACAATTGTTAGTACTCTTCATCTACATTTCAATAATTACTAATTCTTGATCCTTTTAAGCAATGATGTTATTTAATCTATTGCATTCCCCTTCCAACATATTAGTTTTACATTCTAAATCTCTAAAATTATATTAATAGTATTATTTTAATTCATTTAATTGTTTATCTAACATTTGATTATCACTTCTCAATTAATGATTCTACTCTTTCTATTAAAGTAATTCTTATTATAAAAATTAAATCAATTTAGCTTTAGATTCTTAAATCTCTCTTACTTCCATTTCTCTATTCTTTTATTCATTTTCTAAATTAACTTATAATCTTTTAATCAATTCTTAATCTCTTTATTATTAAGTTTAAAGTAAACATATTTATTCAGATTGTTTTCCAGTTGATAATATTAATTCCTCGACTCTTTATTATAATTAGGCTTTATGTTCCTAATAAGTACTACTCACATGTTTGAAATCATTCTCCAACTCTTTTACTCTACTACTTAAACTGGATGCTTGAGTAGTCTTATTATCAGCTACTTCCTTCAATTTCTTTACTTATGATAACAAATCAAGATTTTAATCTTTTTAAATCTAAAGTTTTGATTTTAATTCGTTAAGATATTATTCCTAAGAATTGATAATAGTTTATTATTTCATTAAAGTAAATTCTTAGTCTTTAGATTAAAGATCAAATTAAGAAATTGCTTAATCTAATTTCTCTTCCAAACCATTATTAATCTATTTAACTTAAATCAGTTCATTTTCCTATTTATTAATATATTATTATTACCAAAACTTGGACTAGATTCTAATTGTTATTTTCTACATTAGAAATCTTAGAAAGATTTTATTATAACTTTGCAATCTCTGATTTGTATTACATAATTTCCTATCTTGAACTTTACCTATGGTTGATCTCCTATTGTTCCAATTAAAACTTTAAGGTAGCCACATCCTATTTCCAATTGATATCTAATTGTCTTAAGGCATCTGCATGGGTCTTCTCTTATACCTCATTTTTATGTTATAGTAACTCCAATTAATTCTAATGAATAACTATTGATAATATACTTTTAAGTCTTGATTCTCAGTAAGAACCTTTTGGTTTTCCATAGTCATTGATATGGATGGCTATTATTTAAGACGATCTTTCAACTTTTGATTCTCTCCTTACAATCTGTCTATTTCTTTAAGGAATGTCTCTATTTCAGAAATCGATTTGCATGATTTCTCAGGGTTTCTCTCTACTGAATTATAAGATTAGAGTGGTTATCTAATATTCATTTTGTTAACGGATAAATTAATTAATATTAAATTAAAAATTTTATTCACATATATATACAATTTAAAGGTGGGGGGTGTTGAATGCGCATTCACATTCCAACTCTACTTATTATTTGAATATTATCCTGATCTCCACTTTATTTAATTTTATATCCACAACATTTAGCCTTTATAGAATTCTATTTCAGAATATAATTTAATTTTATACTGCTGCCAATTTATTTCTTATCAATTCATTCTTAAACGACTTTCGATGAGCGAAAAGTATTGTCTTGGCTGATGAGTACTTAATACCAGCTTTATTGGCTGCCTAATTGTAAATTTAAACAAAACTTTACATCTTGGATTTTATAGCTTTCAAATAAAAAGAGCTAGAGGAACAATAACTTAGCCTCAGAACTAATGTAAGTGTAATTTCTTGGTTTTTGTTCGAGTTTTCTCTTCTTTGTAAAGTGGCGATGCTTTATAAAGGTAAATTATGTCTAGTCAACTGAGGCCATGACGTAATCAATTTACAATGAATTTATTAAAAAAATTATTAGCTAAAAATTATGAAAAGTCAGTGTTCATTAAATTATTTATTAGTATTTATAAATAAGATGTGTTAATCATAACAATAATTTAATTCGATTAAGCAATCTTCAATTTCAATCAAAATTTTAAATTATATTTTAGAATTTCTACAATTCTTATTCCAACTTTTTATCCATAAGTGCTTACATTAAAAGAAACATAAATATTGATAGAATTCTGAGTACTATTCTTTCCTTTTTATAAATCAATGTATAATGATAAGTAATAAATTTATTCTCAAGAGTTCAATAATAATAATCTATATAATTATATATTAAATTTTTTATTATTTCCTCAGAAATATATTTAAAATTTAAAATTAATATCTCCTTGTAAATATATATATACTTAACTTTTTACTTTTCATATCAAACAATATCCATTATTTATCTATTTAAATTATAGATGAAAGTATAAAATTTAAATTAAGCATTTTTAAATATTATTATAATTAGAAAAAGACTATCTCTTAAAAAGATTTTTAAATTGAAATCTTTGATACATTGAGAATATTTAAATTATACAATTACTTTATTAATTGAGAATCTAATATTTAAATTTCTCTTATTTTTTCACTATACTAAAATGTCTGTTTTATAATTATGAAGAAGACAATAATTAAGGAAGTTTGATAATAAAAATATGTCTTAATGTTTTGATATTTTCATAAATTTTTGAATTTTCATAATAATGAGTGGATCTAAAATATACATTTAATACTGAATATTTATGAATAAATTATATTTATTTAGTTATTATTTATGAAAATTTATAAAATTAGTTCTAAGATAATTTTCTAGTATAAAATGGAATTAAGAGCAACTCAATGGATTATTTCTAATTGACATAGAAATTAAATATAATATAATAATAGTTATTCTGTGGAACATAGAAATATATAAAAATCATCAAACATAAAATATAATTTATGGTCTTCATAAAGACTTATGTTTCTATCGATTATAATAAAAATTGTTAAAAAAATTTGCATTAAAACAAAGGATTACTCTTTTAATTCAGTTTGGAATAATTAAAGAGTATAAGATAATTAAATCTGCTCCTACTAATATAGGTGATGGATTATAGAGATTTGGAAATGAAAGACAATTTCTGATATTATTTAAAAGTGAATATATTTTGAGAACATTTAACAAATATTGAATTCCATAAATATGTTTTAAAATATTTTAATATATAAATATTAATGGAAAAAAGCATCAATCCTGTTTTAAAATATCATAAGAAATTAAAATAATAGAAATAACAAAAAAGGAAAGAAGCTCATGAAAAACACAAGAAATATGAGAGAATAAAATAAGAAAAACTTTAAATGAAGTTGTAAAAGGATGCTGAAAAGTAGTAGGATTCAGATGGAGAGTAAGAAAAAGAAGTAATTGTTAAAGAAAATGAATAACCAATTATTAATGAACCTCCTATAAATTTAGAGTAAATAAAAGATGAAAGAATTAAAGTACCAGGGTATTCCTAAGAATTTTCAAAAAAAGCAATTGAAATTAATAGAGCCTTTTTGGATCCTTAAAAAAGAAAATATGTTCCATCTCATGAAACAAAAATTGCATCATAAATTAATGATAAATTATTGGAGTATTAAGCAAAGCCTAATGAGAAAATATATAAAAGTATGAATAATTATAGATATAATCTAGATTCTGATGGAGTGATTATTACAGATGAAGTTTTAAAAATATTTGGGGGTAAAGTAGATCCTTCTAAAATAAAAATTGGTTATAAATAAAAATAACTCTAAACATAATTTTCTACTTACGATCCATTTAGTAAGGTAACTGAATAGATGAACTTTGATTATATCAAAAATTTAGAGGAATAAAGGTTACCTTAACCTCCATAAGAACCTTAAGTTGAATAAGCTGAACCTTAGCCATTGAAAAAAATATTTTTACCAGATGAAGAAAAAGAATAAAAACCAATTTGTCCAGATGTAATTGTAAAGGAGAGCACGGTTAAGAAATGCAAGATTGATTTAACCAAATAGTAAGTACCTTTGATACCACTTCATTTATAAAGAAAGCAGAATTAATAATAATAATAATAATAATAATAATAATAATAATAATAATAATAATAATAATAATAATAATAATAACAATAACAATAATAACAATAACAATAATAACAATAGTAATAATAATAATAACAATAACAATAACAATAATAACACCAATAACAATTATTATAATAATAACAATAACAATAATATTATTATCAATAGTAGTAGTTAATAAAAAATTAATAAATCTAAAATAATTAAAATAATTTTAGATAGATTGTAAAAGAAAGTCAAATAAAGAAAAAACCAGAAGATGCTTTTTAAGATTTTATGAAGGATCTCGAAAATTTGTGATTTATTTAATATTAGGATTATTTTAAGCTAATTGCTAAATATATTAAAAGGATTACATAGAAATATAATAAATATTATATTCTAATTAAATTTATATATAATTAAAATCAAATCTGATTGGATGAGTCAATTTCGATAAGAAGATAATTAAAAATAAGAGATCTAAGATGATAATCTAATGTTTTATATAATTTTTATTTTATAGAAGGCAAATACCAAACTATAGTAGGTTTCTACCTATTGCTAATATAAACAGGATCATGAAGAAGGCACTCCCTGAAAATGCAAAGATTGCTAAAGATGCAAAAGAAACTGTGTAAGAATGTGTTTCAGAGTATGGAATAATTTAAAATATAGATTCATATCATTCATAACATCAGAAGCTTGCGAAAAATGTAAGAATGAGAAAAGGAAGACAATAAATGGAGAAGACTTATTGTATGCCATTAATACATTAGGTTTTGAAAGTTATGTTGATATATTAAAACTCTATTTAAATAAATATAGAGAAGTATGATATGCATAATATTGAATAGGCAGTTAAAGCGGTAGAAGGTACAACAGGAGCAACAAATTAAAAAAGGAAAAGACAAAATTCATCTGATGATGATGAAGAGGATGATGAAGAAGATGAAGAAGATAATGATGATGATGATCAATCCTGAACATTTATTTAGAAATAATGTTAATAAGTTTATTTATTCAATTCTATCCTTCATTTTAATTTAATGACAATATTCTTGGTTCAACATTTTTTATTATTAAATTATCTATAGAATTGCTTGTATTTTCAGTCATATATAGTATGCTGTCCAAACAATTTCTTAAGATTGTATAGAAGTCTAAATCATTGATATTTAATGATAATCGACTTAATTATAAATTATTTTAATAGTCATCTTTGTAATTGGTTTTGTAATATTTCTTTATTTATGAATGTAATTATTGTAATGAATTTCGAATTTCTTTACTAATGATTTATAAATTCTAGCATTTTAGATAATTAAGCGAAGTTTAGATTTGATTCTTTTCATATTTCAGTTATTCATTATCTTTAATTTTTAATTGGTATTACTCCTCTAATTATTGTATTTAAGGTTGAAGATCGTTAAATTAACTTAATTATTTAACTAAACTTTTATTTTATAAATCTAATTGCTTTATTTTATTTTATTATTCTTTAATGATGCCATCTTTCTATAATAATAAGGTTAAGAGTTGCTTTTTTTCTCTTTAGATTTGTTCTAGTATTAGCATATAACTATTGATTTATATTATTTTCTAATCTTATTATTTAGGCTTGATTTCTGGTTTAGTGAAAATAGTTTAAGATTTTTTTAAGAGATCATCAATTTTGGAATTGACCTCAAGCAAACGGGAATTGCTCTAAGGAGTTTAGATTGTAGTAAGAGGATTAGTTCTAAATGAAAGATTAGTTAGATGTGTAGAGGAAGATCTAGAAAACTTCATTTAGGTATAATTTGTAATTTAATTTATAATTGATATAGGAGAGGGAGTGCGATAATGATGATATTTTAGTTTGTATAAATAAATAGATGATTAATATATAAAATAATGAATTTTACAATAAATGAAATAAGGAGATCAGGGACTCATGTAAAATAATTTATTATGACAGACAGAAGAAGAACTCAATTAACTAACATTGGATGAGAACATGGGAGAATTGAGAAGAGCACAATATATTCTTTAGAGAGGTCATCCAATTTAAAAATATGCAGTATTATAGATAATAATTAGATTTACTCAAATATCCATAGGTTATTTAAGGTGAGTGGATTTAGTTTATTGTTTCCAATAATTAATGAGGATTTGGTGAAGTAAGATGAAGACACGATTGCAATAGCAACTAAGGAATTGTTGTTGATTGCAAAATAGATGAAAGAGAAGGAATAACAGTTGTTACTTAATCAGACGATTCATTTCATGAAGAATTATAATTTGAAATTAGCAGAAGGATGGTTTGAGTTATTTGAAATGTTATATTGTTGTGATATACACAATTCAATTAAGTTGATAGATGAGTTAACTGATATTGAGGCTGAGACACATTTACGATAGAGAGGAGCTCGATTACTTCAATATATACCATAGATAGAGAAAATATAATTGCTTTGTATGGATAAGGATCCTTAGGTAAGATTTGAGATTGTGAAAACAATATAGATTGTTTACTGTACTTTCACTCCTGAAAAGTTTAGTACTTATTTGTAAATGAAGGTATATAAATCATATTACAATTAAAGATTTTTGAGTTGATTTATGATTATGAAGTACAAGTAAGGATGGCAGCTATTGAGATGTTTTTTATGGTTTAATCTCATTTATAAGATAGGGAAAAAATGATTACAAAATAATTTTTTGAATTTCTAAGTTCCCAGAATGTATAAATTATAACAATAATGTCAAGAATATGTGGGAAAGTATTAATGGAAATAATGGATGTAAAACCTGATATTTAAAAATTTCTAAAAGTGTTCATATCATTTGCTGATAATACAAATGAAGAATATAGAATTAACTTTGCTTACAATTTTCCTGCCATACTCCAAATCTTACAGGGGGAATGTTATGATTAATTAAAAGAAACCTATTTAAAATTAATGCAATTTGATACATCTATTCAAGTCAGGAACTTACTCTTGGCAAGCATCCCAGATGTTATCTCTACTTTAAAAATTCATAAAACTCAATCACTAATACCACTTATTCGTAAAATGTTAGATAATCCAATAATATAATACAATTTGTATTCTATCATCTATGCTCTTTGGCCAAGCTTTGATCAATAAGAACAATTAATTTTATCAGTAATTATTAATAATTATATAACATAGAAAATGTTAGTGAATGATATCCTAATAGACTTAGTAAAACAATTAAATTGCAAGGCCACTATAATGTTATTAGAATAATTACTAAAGTAAAATCACATTATATATACAGAGACTTCACGAGTTCTTTTAATAATGCGATGCATATCTATTATTATTAAGTCCACTATAAAACTTATTATCAGCAGATTCATCAAATATTAGAACATTGGCAGCTCAAAATATAGCATATTTGGCATATCATGATCAGTAATGGAAATATCTAAATTTCATAGATCTATTAATAGTTAAATGATAAACCAATGTATGAATAGTCACAAATTCAGAATGCGTATCTGTTATATTGATTTCATTTCTTAAACTATTGATCTATGTTCTAAGAGATATTTCCATGTGAATAATTTCATCAATATATTGGTACTCAGTTAAGATAAGATTTTTGATGTACGTATTAAACTAAGTCGTATCATGAAAAAGATTTAAACAATTATTTTAGATAATGATGAAACTGCATGTATTTAATATGATTAAGCTATTAAACATCTTTCAAGAGAACCTATTATCAATGAAGTAATTAATATTTTTATTGAATATAGATTCTTAAACAGAATGAATCATTGTAAATTTCATTTGGAGATGATTTACTAAAAGAATAAAAAGAACATTTATGTTTTGCTAGGATTTCAGCTGATGATATTGATGCTATCGAAAAAAATGAACATACAGGATCCATTTCACCATTTATTATTAAATCTAAAAATGGATATGGACATAGTAGAAAACGTTCATCAGTCACTCGTTAACCCATCAATAGATCTTAACCGAATGCTTCATTTACTTAAAAACTTACTCAAATTTAAACTAAATACAATCCTATCAAAATTTCAGAAGACATGAGTCGTAGAACTTCTGTTCCTCCTGTTCCTGGTCGAAAATTACAACTAACTTTAAAACCAACCAATACTCAATTCAAACCCAAATTAAACTAATAACGATTGAGAAAATGAATAATATATTATTATTAAATGGACCCTGTACCAAAAAAGAAAAAGTCTGTTTCTTCAAAATAAGACAAATCCTAAGCAGGTAGTGTCAAATCTAAGAAGTAATTACCTCCTGGTGAAATTTTGGAATAATAAAGTATACTATTATTCAAATCTTAGACTCATAACATGATCTTTAAATTGATGAACCATAATAGCATGATCCCTTTATTCCTCCTCCTATTTAAACACAAATAAAAGTTTGCATTCATCACAATCTCCCATTCCAGTTTTTCTGTGAAGCATGTGAAGATCCTATTTGTTAACAATGTACCATCTTAGGTCCTCATAACACTTAATTACATAGAATCAATAGATTAAGTGATTCTTTCAAATTGAGATGTGCTAAAATTGAAGAATCCATAAAGGCAAATCTATTAGGGAAAAGAGAATAACTGTTAGCATAAATTCATAGAGTAAATTAACTAATCATTCTTTTAGATAGAATATAGAATTGAAGAGATTAAATATGTCAAAACCATTATTGAAAGGGATGCAAGAGCAGAATTTGGTGGTGTTTTAGAAAGATTAAAATAAAGTGAAGGATAAAAATTAGCAATCCTTAGTCATGAGATATCAGAATTATAAAGGTATATATATAATTATCAATTATAATTTTTAGAGATTTAGATAAAATCAATGAGGTAGGTTCATAATTTTATGATCTAAAAGAGATTCCTGATCCTTGTCCTTTTCTTTTGAAATCAAGAAATATTTATGATTAAATTGAATATATGGTTGCAAAACCATTCAAAGTTTAAATTGATGTTTACCCATATGATTTACCAAGAGAACTAACTGAATTAAGATTATAATTATAAAGGGCATCTGCTTAATAATAATTGATTGAATTTAAAAATGAAATTATATGGAAATTACTTAGTGAAAAATAAATTGATGAAGAAGTAATCAAGTAATTATTAATAAATATAAATTGATAGACAAGAATTAGAAAGATAAGCAAGTGAAGAAATAACTGAATGGAGTAAATTAGTAGATAAATTTTCATTGGAATTAAAAAAGTAATAATTAGTATGTTATTATTGTGGATGTAAAATGGAAAAGTAATATGTTAATTCAATCTGTGCATAAAATAGATAAGATTAAGATAGTAAATAAATTAATTAAGAATTTAGATGATAAAGTGTTTTGTAATGAATAACCACCATAAAACTATCATGGTACTGGTAGGCATTATTTTTCAGATCCAATTTTATGAATATAAATTATATTTATTGATTTTTTTAATATTAATATTATCTAAAATATTCAATTTATAAATATATATATGAACATTTATACTATTATAGAAATTATCAAACACACTGAATAGAGAGGTATAGAATTACTTTTAGATACTTTAATAATTGGAATAGAAATAGGCAGAAGAAATATTGAGAACCAATAATAAATTGTTGAATTAGTTGAATCTCTCTAAAATTTGAAACATTAGATAGATTTCAATATTGTATCACCTTTTTTAAGGGATGATATATTTGATAGAGTACTTAATAAGAAAGATAAGGTATAAACAATTTCAAATTTAAAGTTAGAAGATATTCTTTGTATGTTATCAAAAGAATGTTCAACATTATAAAAACTAAAATAACAAAGTAATATATGTTAAATATGTTCTTAATATATCGATAATAATTCTGATAAAAAATTTAATGCTGTTTGTTCACATCAATTTCATCAATAATGTGTTTCTAATATATTGATTCAAGGACTAAATATTAATATTGGTTTTAAATGTCCCATATGTGGATATTCTACTTTTCAATAAGATATAGAATATTAACTTAAAGCTAACAACAATTTTAAGACTTCATGTTGTCCTACTCCACAATGCAACAAATATTTTTCATACATAGGCTAAGAAATTTATAGATGTTCAGAATGTCAAAAGAAATATTGTTTAAAATGTTAATCATAGAATCATCCAATCAATCAATGTAAAACTGATATCAAGACTGCTAAATTTGAAATGGGTGATAATTATAAGGAATGTCCAAAATGTAAATTATGGGTAAAGTAATTGGATGATGAAAAAATATTGTATTGTTCTTGCAGATATACTTTTTGTTTTGGTTGTGGTAATAAGGAAGGAAATTGTATTTGTAATAAGGATGGAAGTATTATGTAGAGTGTTAAAAACAGTCTCTATCAGATGATATAATGATCTATATATATATATAGATAGATATTCATCTTTTTTTATCTAATGAATTTTTAATAATTACTGAAAACTTATTTTTATAATATTTTTATCTTGTAAAAGACAAACGATTATTAATTATACTATTAAGATTAGAAATTATATAATATTTTATTAATAAGATATTATTAATTTATTTATAAATAGTAAATTGGTTATTAGTGATAGAAAAGGAATCAATCATATTTTAAGTAATTTATAAATATAGATTCCATAGTATAAATATATTGGAGATTTTTTAATATGAAGTATCTCTAAATAAAAACGGTTAATTAAAGTTATTACCATATTTACTAAATGTAGAAGATGTAAGTTTAATTGATCAAGTAAAAAAAGGCACAATAAAAATAATTGATTTAAGAATTAAAATTATATTATAAAAATGAATTTAAGTCAATTATCTGGTGAATAAAGTTCAGATGATAGTGATGAATCACCATAACAAATTTTAAAGCATAGATAAAGAAAACAACTTTCAGAGATTGATGTTCTTATTGCTACATTATAAATTGAACCAAAATAAAGAACTTGGCAACAATTAAAGTTTCTTTGTGATACCCTTGAATAAAATGTCCATTATTTTTCTTAATTACGTAATAAGCTTACAACTTAAATCCTAATCAAATTGATGGTTACCATCTCAATAGAATAATTTAATACATTTAATGTAGTTTTTAATTAGGGAGAAACTGGAAGAAAGATGTATATCATATTAAAAGGAGAGGTAGCTGTGCTTATAAAGACAGATGATTAAAATGAGATAGTTCTAAAAGAGGATAATAAAAGAAGAAGTATAATCATAAATTAATTTAGGGGGTACAAAGACATTCGATGAATTGATATTACATAGGTTTTCAAACTATAGAATTGTAGCCTATAAAAAATAATATGATTATTTTGGAGAGATAGCAATTGAATAAAGGATTCCTCGCACAGCTACAGTAATTGCCAAAGAGCCTTGTACTTTGGCAATAATAACTTTTGATGCCTATTAATCATTACTGAGTGAATTATAGGCTGATAATTTATAATTGAGACAAGTAGTAATAGCTAGAATGTATCCATTTAGTTTATTGAATGAATAACAGTTTTAATAGATTTTACACAATTATGAAGAACTCAATATACAAGGAGGATGTTTGTTATATAGAGAACAATAAAATGCAGATGCATTATATCTGGTGATTAAGGGAGAAGTGTTAGTCTAGATTAAAGAATTAGTTGATAATGCTGCAGCTTAGATTCAAGAATAGAAATATTTTGTAAATTTCTAAAAGTAATAGAGAATCAAGAATATTGGATTATTTGGAACAGGGCAAATTGTTGGAGATTATGAATTGTATTTACATAAGAAATACAAACATAAGTTGATAAGAAGAACAATATCAATAGTTAAAAGTGATTCTAAAATTATAAGGATTCCAATTAAATAATTTTTAGATGTAATAGAACATGGATTATCAGCAAAATGGTTGTTACGTTATTTAAATGAGAAGTATGAATAGAAGGAATAATTACCTATATTATAATTGAAAGATGAATAAGAGAATAGAAAAGTCTAGTCATTTATATCTCCTCAATTCAAAAAAATGATACTTCGTTTAAAAAAAAATCATGATCATAATAAAATATCAAGTGATCGATACTAATAGGTTAATTATAAACAAAGTTTTGAAGATGGTATTACAGATGAATAATTTACTGGATTAAAGAAGGAAATTAATTATTAAGACAAATCAGTGCTTAAATATTTAGCAAAGGATCAAATCTTACAGAAAAGAAAGAGCAATACTCTTACTGGATTTAGTATTGAGAAGTTTGCCTCAACTTTAAAATCAAGGATTAAGTTTACTAAATTGTTAACTCAAATAGATGAAGAGTCAACTTGTTATAGGTTTCATTCTACTCCAACTAAAACAAATGGATTTTCATTTAAATAGGCTTAAACTCTTACTAATATTCAAACTACATCATATAAATTCAACTAAACATTTAATTTGAATTGATTATTATTTATTTATTTATTTATTTATCAATTTATATAAATAATAATCAAATTGCCATTATTAATCTAAAAAAATAAATTACGTATTGTAATAATTAATAGAACAATTATTACAATAAAAAACAAATTTTTGATTTAAGTGTGAATTAAAAAAATAGTCAATTTAAATGGATTAGCTACTGAACATATCATTCTTAAATAATAAGATATTATTTAACAGATGGATAAGAAAACAAGTAATAAAAATACGATATATTATATTAGATATCCAAATTTCTATTAGATGTAGTATTCAATTTTCAGAATCTCAAAATTATATTGTTGATTTATAAATTATATATTTTTAATATTAACCCAGACATTCAATAATCATATAGAATAAGTATTGTAACTAAAAAATTGAATAAAATGAGATTTTTATATTTAAATACCTAAATATATATATGCAAAATTATTTTATGTTGAATTTTATGAAAAAATAAATAATGAAAAAGAAACTCATTTAAAATCTTAGTATTATTGATTAATTCATATTTCTATTTATATTAAAATATTTATTAGGTTGTTCATATCATAATACATCTTCAAAATAGATAATGTTTTTATGAATGGATTTAATTAATAAAATTAATTTTATTTGATTATAAAAGAATTAATTGGATCAACTAGAAAGGTACTTTTATAACCTTAACTCTAACTAAGTGATTACATATTATATGATTTATTAAACTTCATTAAATAAAATAGAAATTATATAAAAAATCTCAAAATTATAAAAATTCTCACTCTCTTATAACTCTGTTTTGAATTAACAATAAGATTTTAGATCTTTTAAATATAAATTAATTAGAAAGCTGAAATATAATACATTACTAGAGTATTTTTGATATAAAAAAATGTAAATCTAATATTGACGTTGATAGTTTTTAAACATAAATTCTCATTAAGTCTAATATTTGTTCTGAAAAGAAATGAACAAAAATTATGAGTATTCATAATTTTGATAATTTGTCAAAATATTTAAAGTGAGATCCTTATTACTTTTATATAATTTTATCTTCATTTATAAAACTTCAATGATACATTCTGAGGAAGAGAGTGTTAATAGTTTTACACCTGAATCGTATTATTCATTTGTTATCTATAGACAAGACTAAAACCCTGAAGAACATAAAAATAAGGACTCTAAAAAATATGCGATTATTGATTAATCAATTCGTATTCAATTACTACGTCGTATACTTTCAAAATAGGCAACAATAAAGGATGCTGCTAAAGAGTTTGGAGTTAATTTTTCAACTGCTAAAGCAATTTTGTAAACTTATAGAAAGGAAGGAAGGATAGGAAAGAAAAAAACAAGAGAAAGAAATAAGAACAAATAGGAATCAGGTGAAAATAGTTCACCTAGAAAGATTTAATCAATGTATAACTTAGAATAGCCTCAATAAATGAGAGCAATCTCTCCTGAATAGAAACCTTAAGCACCACAAATTTAACCGATATTCCCTGTGATGAGTTCTCCAAATTTAGACAATACTGGGGCATAGATAGCTTTGGCACTTTGTTAAAGAGAATTGGCTCAATAAAAATTAATTAATTTCTAATTATTGATGATGATTCAAGTAACCTAGAATCTTTATTAATTTAGAACTTCAAAAATATTTCACAATTATAAGTCAAAGAAGAACCTAATATAATTAATTGAATTATAAATAAATTTTATAATTTATTTATCCATCTATATATATATATACAATATTAATCATCACTATTATTATGGAGCTCTTTCTGCTGATTGTAATTCCTCTAATGTATTTAATAAAATCAACATTTACCCATTGGCATTTTTTTAACCAAATATAACATTACAACAGTTATAGCAATCATGAAAAAATACTAATTTTGATAGATCGCTGATAAATTCAATTCTTCTTCTTTCTATTAAGATATTATAGGTTAATTACTTCAAAGTAATCTTTTCTTTAAATTATCTCAAATAACATTTAATCTCTCGTTTGTATTCTTGATTACTTATTTTATTATTATTATTTAGGTCTTTATCTTAAGATTGGATGAATTTTAGATACAGCAACATTTGTACCTTTATTACTTGTATATACATCAATAAATGCTGATTCATATACAAAATATCTAGAATGAATTTCTAAGAAGTATCTGCCATTTGGTATATTGTAACTAACCATTATATTGAGTATTATACAATGCAAAGATTCCATTTTTTTATGTATATGTTTCATATTATCCATAATTAAGTGTTACTTTGAGAATTGGATCATCTTGTACAAAATCTCTTTGTAATTCTTGAATATATTAAAGAAAGTGTTTTACAATAGAAAACCTTGCCTTCAATTTTGGATTAAGCAGTAAATACAATAATAGGAAATGCTAAGAGTAATAGATAATGAAAAATGGCCATTTAATATATAATATATATTTGTTATAATTTGAAAATGGAACAAGGAATTGAATAATTGAGGTTTAGTAATCGAAATAGATAAGTGGGATAAATAGTGAGTAATGGAAAGAGGAAGAATATGAGAGAGGAAGAGGGATTAAAAATAATAAGATTGGATAAACTGAGATAATAAATAGTTAGTTTGGAGATTGAAACTAAGAAGCCAAAGTCAAAATGCAAGAAACTAAATAGTGAGAACATGTTATTGAAGGAGAAACAATAGTTGGAGGATGACATAAAGGATATAAGTTAAAGATTAGAGAAAATGAAATAGAACAAAATATAGAGTAGATAATAATAAAGTGATTTATTACAAGATAAATAAGTAATAATGAGTTAAACTTTATAAATAGGATTTTGAATAAAAATGGAACAATATTTAAAATGAAGATGAGATTTAAAGCTTTTAAGAAAGAATGCAAAGTACATTATTGTTGATATATTCTTAATTTGATATTAGCTTTACTCAACGAGGATTAGGAACCACCCAATCATGAAATAGAGATCTTAACTAAAGAAGTGGAGGATCTTTTATGTTTCAAAATAGAGGAAGAACCAACAAAGTAAGGTAACAGTAAGTACAATTTGTTCACAATAGAGGAAGAATAATAGGATTCATCTTTTACTTGAATTATTATTATTATTATTATTATTATTATTATTATTATTATTATTGTTATTATTGTTATTATTATTATTATTATTATTATTATTATTATTATTATATACAGATATGAAATGTTAGATGATTGAAATTGAAAATGATGACACTTTACTTGAAAATCAAGATGGCTCTATTATACAGCGTACCAATTGCTGCTTACAACACTAGTCGAACCATATTCTAATGATGCCCAAATACATATTACTTAAAGAAATGTTGAAAGAGAAGATGAAGATTCCCAGGCTGACTCTATGGATGAACAAATTGGATAGGCCATTCCTTCTCTTGTTAATTCAATCCTTGAAATGATGCTCAAATAGTAACTTACTATTCTCATTATCGTAATCCTCCATGCCATTTTAAATACTATGTTTACATTCTTGGGTATCTGTTTTAGATAAGATACAATCAATAAATTACAAGTATTATTAGAATCTTAAGAACGTGCAGAGTAATTATATTGGTTTCTGACTATTATTGACATTTTGAGTTGTCTTATCTTCTATTATCTTGCTATTTCAGCTTACAGAACAAAATCATATTTGATGTATTAATTATTACTCAAATGGGTATATTATTGTTTCTTTATTTAAGTTTTCTTAGCCTACATTAACAAGTATATATATTTATAACATTTTATTATTAGATTGAACATATTATTAGTATTTCTCAAGATACTTACTTACATTTACTCTAAGTTTGTAGCCTAATTAATTAAAGGAATTGTGACTCTTCCAAGATAGAGAGTTGATTGATTGAATGATTTTATTCATAATAATTAATACTTTATATACTTAATTTCACTCCATTTTATATGAATATCATTATATACATAAATTACTTTAATTTTCAATTTCTTATCATAAAAGAAATAATTATATATTAATATTTTTAGTAGTTCCAATTCTTATAATAAATTAATTAATAATAAAAATAAACATAAATTTCTAGAAATTGTAGGCAATTATTAAAAGGATTATATGATATTAGATTAATAGTCAAGATTGAATTAAGAGTCCATTAATTAGAGTCAATAATCTACTCTCAAGAAAATCTAAGATGCTGCATAATTATACAAAAAAATCATAAATAAACACATCTCAAAAATACAATTAAATCAAAAAAAGATATCAAAATTATAAAACAAATAATCAATATTAAAATTTTTGGATCATAAATATCTTAAATATATGAAATATTCTTAATGAATCATACTTTAAAGGAATTTTATAGATTTTCTTAAGGACTTTATTAAAATTACTTAATAATTCCAATTTAATTATAATTATTTATTGAATAAGTAAGTAATAGTTAAAGCATAAATCCATTAGAAATACTCAATTTAATTTATATAAATTTATGTTTTTATTTTATTAATTTATATTAAAAATATCATTTTTTTAAGAATTTTTCATCTAGATGATTTAAATACCTTGCTAATTACAATAACATGCTAATGAGAAGATTGAATATTATTGTTTTAGTATTTGCTGCTAAGAGAATAGATTACTTTGTTATAAATGCCTTTAGCAAACTAAACATTAAGACCATCAAGTCTTGAAATTATCTGGATTGAATGAACACACAAAAGAATTTTCTGACAAATGCTAAGAAATAATTAGCAAATTATTAGATTATAAATTTTAGTTTATAGAATGTATTGATGAATTAGTAATAAATTTACAATAAAAATTCTAATAACAACCAAATAACTTAAGCCAATTTACATATGATTAATTAGAATCTTATTTATCTGGACTCTTAAAATTTGAGGAAAATAATCTAATGATACATAATGAAGTGCTATAATATTTAGAATTAGCAAAAAATAATATTTTACATGCTATTGATGGACTTGATGTAAAAGCAGGCTTACATTATTAAGCTCCTCCTGAAATACAATAATAAGTTATAGAATTATAAAATTTAGGTTTATTAATATTTCATTTATTTAGGTACTTAATTATTCAGAAACTAAAATATCATGCAAGCCTAAGATGTGATGAATCGAACTTTAATTTTAGATCCTAATAATTCTACTACATTAGTAATGAAAGGTATTCAATTTTACTTAGATTCTAGGTACTTTGTTACTTTCTTAAACCAAAAATTATGAGGCTTCAAAAATTTTTGATAGAGTTTTGAAAGTTGATCCTAATAACATATAAGCAATAAATGGTTTAGGTATAAATTAATTTATATTTAGGGGATGCCTTAAGAGGAAGAAGTAAATTTTCTGAAGCTCTTCAATAATATGAAAAAACCCTTGAAAGAGATCCAGACAACAAATAAGCATTGTTGGGAAAAGGTATTAAATTTAAAAATATAAAATTTAGCTCATTGTTTAGGGAAAGATAAAAAATTCTAAGATGCTAAAAAGATATATGACCGTATATTGAATTAAAACCAAAATGATATGGATGCTCTTTGGGGTTTGGGTAATTATATTTATGAGATTTTAATAGCTGATCTTGTACGAATACAATAGAAAGATGAGGAGGCAATAAGGTTGTATAATAAAGTCTTATAATTAAATTAAAATCATGTGGAATCATTAAGTGGCAAAGGTATTTTATAAGTGTTTAACCATTTTGAATAGGTGATTGTTATAGATTACTTGGAAAATTTGATGATGCAATGAAATGTTTATAGAAAGCATAATAACTAAGTCCCAAGCATGTTTTAAATTTAACTAGAATTGGTAAAAAAGATTCATAAAATAAGGGGATTGTTTAAGACAATAAAAGAAATTTTTAGAGGCTATAAATTATTATAGTGAGGCTTTGAGCATTGATCCTCAAGATGAATGGTCATAGTCTAAAATAAGTATAATATTATTTTATTTCAAGACGAATGCAGAATAAATATCCAAAAAAGATAATAATGATTTTTAAATATAAAATTATTAAAGGAGAATTTAGAATATTATTTCGATGATTCATGATTTTAGCAACTTTAGGTGGAGTATTGGTTTTTAATGTAGTGGTTACAATTTTACCATTAATCCATTTGCTTCTAAAAATAGTTCCATTAGATTTAATGATTTATTCATTTCCAAATTACTATCCTGCTTTCCAAAGTCCAAAATATTGTTAACCATTTGACCACATTAAAATACAATCTCCTTCTCTAAAATAATTATGATATTAGCCATCATATTTCCTTTCATCTGGCCATTCAAAAAGTTCTTTGCCATTTTTAATACCATTTTTCCATTCAATCTTTTAAAGGTTTATAAAAGTATTCTATTAAACTTATGAGATTTCCTCTATAATCATATCATTAAGAGAACTCTTTTAATTTAAGATTGAAGAACTTTGCTTTTAAGCCATTGATCAAGTATATTAAAAATCAAATTTTCTAAATAAGATAGGATAATACTTTCTAATTATTTAGCCTCTGAAATTTGCTTATATTTCAATCACTCCTTTTATTTCTTATTAGTTTAACTTCTATCCAATATTTTGTTTATTCTTTGATGTCTTAGTAGTTCAGATATCTTGTGTCTTATTTGAAAGAGAATCATTACACTATTAAAAATTTCCCATATGACAAGTTCAATTTTTAATATTAATGATTCTTGTCATCTAACCAACAAATTTATGATTTTCTTATGTAAAATATTTAGTTAAAAAGACTTACAAAAAAAAGATATAGATTTATTTATAAATTGAAAACGCAATATATTGACATATTTAATATAAATTATTAAATCATCCATAGTTTTAGAAGATAATATAACTTTGAATGTAAATAATAATAGTATATATATATATATAGATTCAACTTAATTAAGATAACCAAATAAGTAGAATATCTATTATTATAATTATTTATAGAATATCTAATTAATGTAATATCTTATAAAATGGATTCATCTATTTTAGTATTTTTGAAGTATATTCAATAAAAGAAGGATATATATACATTTAGAGTGAATGAATAATGATTGTTGATTAAATGACATTTTATTATTAAATTTTAACTGTTAAGCCATGAATACTTTCTATGCATAGAATTTAAGTCTGAGTTAATTACGTTAATTGCCACAAGAACGTATGCATGTTAAAATGTACAAAAATGAAGAGTACTTTAAATATTGATTAAATAAGAATAACATTGACACCTCAGAGCAATCGTAGTTAATTGAATGAAGTAAAGTGCTACTCATATATATCAAGGCTATCGAAAATCTCGAAATACAATGGCAATCTATACGTAGATAACATCTAGAATAACGTTCTTGCAGTCGAAGTCCAGCCAAAAATAATCTAATGAATTAATTGCTAAAAAATAAGGATAAATAATAATAGTGTATTTTGAAAAAGGTTGTACCTTTATCAACCATTAACTTAGCCAGAATCTAAGATTAATAACAATAATAATAAATTCAATACAATCCTTAGTAATCAGCTTAACGCAATCATCTTAAAGTAGTTCATTTCATATTTGTTTAGGATTCTTCTCATTTTCAATATATTGCTAATAAATACTGTAATATATATAGAAGACCCAGTCCAGAATAATAATATTTGGTTAATTCTCTTAGAGATAATGAATAAATGAATTATTCAATTGGGAGAAATCAAGTTCCATAATAATAATACCAAAGAAATAATCTTAAAATGTTAGATGAACGAGTTAGAGTCAATTCTCAAGATAAATATGCAGCTTAAGCCTTATCAAACAGTAATATACTCAAAAAGGATGGACCTTAACGCAAAAGAGTTTCACAATATTATAAAGATGAAGAAAACAAAATGACATCTGTGAAGTCGGCAGCTATGTAAAATTAAAGAATTATTCCAAAAAAACGACCTTGAAGTAATGTACATAAGTGTATTATATATTGATAAATTTTTATGTTTACCTAATATAATTTTTTGTTTATCCCTAAAAAATACTGTCTTGATCTCAAAAGACATTATGAAATATGAAAAATGCCCTAATTTTATATTTCATTAAAACTCAAAAAATATAATCTTATCTATCTCATATAATACTTTAATTAGACGATTTGTATAGAATATCAAATTATTTTTTAAGAATGATTATAATAACAAATTAAAAATTAATAAGATCGATATAAAATATAGAAGTTCAATTTTGTGATATTTAATAAACATCTCTACTATTCTTTGACTATGTAATCTAAATTTAAATTCAAATAAATTGTATTAGTCTATAAGAAAAAATTATTTATACTAAATTAATTATTTAATAATTTTAATGATGCAAAATATTTTGTTTTATTTAAATATTCTGGTTAATAATTTAATTGATGAGTACAGAGTTATTTATTATATATTTTAAGTAGATATAAAGTTTAAGATATGATAAATAATAAGTCATTGAATAGAATGGTTTGTTTTTCAAAAATCAGCATAATAATATAAATTTTATAACATTAATGATTAGTGATTACATGAGAAATAATTTATAAATTGTAATCATTTATGTATATAAGATGTTAAAAGAATCTGAATTTTTATTAAGTATATGTTAATTATATTGATATATATGTTAATTTGTTATTTTACATATAGAAGTGTAGTATTTTTTGATTATGAATTTTAAGAATTTCAGAAGGTTATTGATGTAGAAAATAGTATTAATAAGTGAGATATAAAAATACTGTTGTCAAAGAGAAGAGAGTTAATTGAGAAAATTAATTAATATGGGAAAATTATGGAACTTAATTAAAAATCAGCTCGTAATACTCTTAATGAGTTTGCTTTTGATTCTTCAATGTATTTTTGGTTCAGAAGAATACTACTATTTGTTTGTGGTGTTATTATTGTAAATTACTCGTATGGCTTGGGAGTATTTTGGAGCATCTTAATTTTAAGTGGTACTTATCATACAATATTTGGGATACATGACAGTTCTGTATTTAAGTAGTTAGAAAAATATGTTATCGTGCATGTGTGTGATGTAAATTGGATAGACTTTATTATTTGAGAATGAATTCATGAGTAAATGGTTAATAATATTGTTCTCGGTAGGAGCAGATATACTTGTGCTATTTTTATTTAAGACTGATGAAATTAGTCAAATATATTTACCTTGCATATCAATAGTCATAAAGACATTAACATAATTGATCAACTATCCTAAATAAAATGGAAACTTTAACTTCAATTAAGAAAATTTGTTCGTGGATAGTAATCATCATTCTACTTACAGATTGTCAAAGGATCGTAATTTTCATTCTGATAGTTAACCTCCAACACCAAAAAATGAACCTTATTAAGTGGAATTATTGAGTTTTTTTCCTTAGGGGATAGCACTGGTTGCATTAAATGATGATGTTTAGTTTTGCAATGAAAATATGAAAAAGATTTTTGTTTAAGGTGGAAATCAATAATCCATTTTATAATCAATATTTAGTTTGGAGGAACAATAGGTAGTAGAATAAGCAGAGAAATAATCAATAGAATAACCAAAATAATCAATGAGTTCATTTTCAACATTTCAACCTGTACCTATACAGAAGACTTCATTTATAAATGCAGCTAGATCTTAAAATAAATAATCAGGAACAGTTATATAATAGAAATTAAAAGAAATGCCATTACCAAGAGCCAAAACATAGCATAAATAAGATACATTAAAATTATAGGATACTTTTATTACTGATTGCTGTGTAAGATGATCTTAATAATTGTTTAGGTAATTGAATAAGAGATTCAATGTATGAAGAAGTAGATTTAAAGAAAAGAAGTATAGAATTTAATGAAAACTACTCATGTATAAGAACATATTGTTGTATTGGGATATATTAGATCAGAGAAACAAAAACGTAGATAAATAGAAATTAAGTTATATATTACATTAATAAATGATTGTCCTTACATTTTAATAGTTGCACGAGATATAACACATAGAGATTATATTAGATCATTAAAGAATTATAGTAATTAGAAATCAAAAATGTTGGCTTTTGTTAGTCATGAATATAGAACTCCTTTAAATTGTATAATAGATTAATTAAATGAGAGTTTAAGAGATGAATGTAGAAATAGATCAGAAACTATATTTTGTGAAAAAGATAAAGAGATTCATAAACATGTAAAGGTTGCTTTACATACAGCTAAATAATTGTTGAATCTTTCTGATGATCTTCTTGATTTGGCTTAGATTAGAGAAGGTAAATTTAAGGCAGTGAAATAAAAGTTTAATTTAAAGAATATGATGAAAAGTTGTCTTGAATTATTTTCTGCTACTGCTGAAAAATAATAAATAGTTTTGTCTTTAAATTATAATGCACATGTTCCAAAAATAATAGAATAAGATTCAAATAGAATTAAATAAATAATTATGAATTTATTAGGAAATGCATTTAAATTTACTTAAAAAGGTAATATTACATTAGAAGTAACTTAAGGATAAGATAGAAAGAAAATCACTATTTCTGTAATAGATACAGGTATAGGTATTTCAGATGATGATAAAATTAAATTATTTAAAGCATTTGCAAAAGGTAATAGTGAGGAGAGTAAGAAAATGAATACATAAGGTGTTGGATTAGGATTATTAATCAGTAATTAAATATTATAAAATCTTAATGGAGATATTTAAAATGGATTAAAATTACATTCTTAATTAAATAAAGGATCTACATTTTATTTTACTATATAAATTTGTGATGTACAAGAAACATTTTCATTACATGATTTAGAAGAACATAATTAAGAAAGTGAAAATTCAGAATAAAATTCTTTGTTTATTCCAGATGATGAAAAACCTTAATAATTGAAAATTATAACAAAGAATTTAAATATTAAAGCATCAACAAAAGTTTCGATTGGAGATCCAAAAATATTAATTGTAGATGATGTATAATTAAATGTTGAAATGATTGCACGTATGATATAAGATACAGCTGTAGATTGGGCTTTGAATGGATATTAAGCAATATAAAAATGTAAGGAAAGAATCAAACATAATCAGGAATTTTATAAGGTTATACTTATGGATTTAGAAATGCCTATTATGAATGGATTTTAAGTGTCTAAAGCAATTATTACTTTATGTTCTGAATTAGGAGCATCTACAACAATTATTGGGTGTTCGGCGTATGACTCAGAGGAGTAGATGCAAGAATGTTTAAAAGTAGGAATGACAGCATACTTATAAAAGCCTGTTGAATAGAAAGCACTTAAAAAAATCTTATTTAAGTATCTATGAATTATATATTCTTATTACTTATATTCTTTTTTGTTTTCTCAAATATAAATATTTTTGCCCGGAATTTTATATAATTTAAAAATAATAAATGGACCCACATCAAATATGTAAGTAATTGCAGGAATAGTGTTATTTAGAGAATGATGATGTAACCAATTTCATTTCTAAAAGAGCTGAGAAATCGTGTGGCTGAGATGGAGGCCAAGAATGCTGAATATTAGGATCAAATTGAAGGGCTCAAATAAATTATTGAAGAAAAAGATGCCAAAATCAAACAATTAGAAGACACATTAGCTAATTTACAAAATTAGCCAATCAAAAAAACCATTTAAAAGAAGAAAGATAAGAAGCCAACTAAAAAGTGATATAATAATTTACTTAAATTATCAAACACAGTCCTTAATCAATTATCGTCAAATTTAAAACAGAACTTTACGAACCTCATCTCTCTTTTCTTACTAGATGATCAATCCCAAAACAACCAGCCCTTCATAAACTCTTCAGCTATTTCATTTAGATCAAGAACTCTTTACTAAAATAATTTCAATCAAAAGTTTAGAAGTAATGAAATCAAATTCAAGAATCTCAAATTAAAAACAATACTTTAACAAGTACACTTTAATTATAATTATTACAGACTCAAATATCTCAAATAAAAAGAAATAGATCTATAATAATTATAAGTCGATCATTTATGATTGTTTACCACAATTTGTTACATACAAAATGTAAATCTGTTAAATTTAATTACATTCTTTCATTATAAGAGCAGATTAAGAATCAATAACATGAATTCATTAAATTAAGATTAGTTTTAACAAATTACTCTCAATTAACATATTTAGAGAAATCAATTATTCAAAGTATGTTTAATGATCCTGAAATAGCTGTGTGTCACTCAAATTAAATGGCAATTATTGAATCACAATAAATTCATATTGATCAATGATTGAAGTAGAATAAGTATTTAAACTCTGAGTTTCCAATATCATAAGAAAACAAAAGTAAATTAAGAATTATTAATATATCATTCAACATATAGAGTAAAAATTTAAGATAGCTTCAAAAATAAGTCACCCAAAAAAGAATCAATTATAACAGTTTCAGAAGCACCCAAAACTTATAATGATTAAGATATTCATCAACTTGATTTATCAATCTTACAACATAAATCAACATATATAATAGAATCAACTCATATCAATTAATATGTCTTAAGTATTTGTTTGTATTAACAAATAAAAGGTTATTTTACTATTTTTACTCTCTAAAAATACGATAAATATTTAAAGATATTTAGTTTATGCAATTAAAAGATTATGTTTTTATTTAATGTAAATATCCATTCAATAATAAAAGTATTGTAAGATAATATTAATATATACTGTTCAAAAATAAAATGAGAAGATACTAATTGTTTATATCAAGAATATGATGCTCTTATTATTTTTTGATATTTCTTTAGTGAATATAAAGGAAATAGATACAAAATATTATTCATTTAATTTCAAACCAATCATTTAGAATAATTTAATTAATATTTGAAAGTCTTCTAATTAAACGATTCTAAATATAATATAGATGATTAAATCATATATAAATTAGAAAGAAATAGAATTGAGAATTAATAATGATTATTAATTAAAAAGTTCAAAATACAGAAAAACAAATTCAGACAGATTTGATTTTATATAACTGAAATGAGTGAAGGACAAAGAGCAACCCTAAATAATTAGAGATCTATTATGAAGAATTATGATGATATATATTATTAATAAATTAATGCAAGAATATCCTTAAGGTTTGTTGAGTCAAGGAACAACGAAATACTTAAAAAAAAGATTAAGTCTTCGCTTCCATTATCTTCTTAAATAAAAACGAAGAACATCCAAATTTCCATCAAAATATCTTCAAGGATGGGGAAGACAACTAAATTGTGCAGGTAAGAACACATTCAAAAATTATAATTTATATTTACTTTAGTGGTATATACTAATTGATATTGCTTTGTTTATTAATAGATTAAGAAAATTAAGAAAAACAAAAAACTTATCTAAAATTATAGTATTAAAAGAAAAATCCCATAAGTAAATAAAAAATGCTTTGTTTTCAATCACTTTATCTATTTTTATAATACCCCTTTTATATATTTTCAATATTGGATTGAAGTCATATCAATATATCAATATTTATATAACTTGTTGTCTTTGTTATTAAGGAGTATTGAGATTCATTTTATTTTTCACTCTACCAGCTTATGCTATTTTAATAATAATGGCTATTATTTTTGCAGCTATAGAATTAATTAGGTAAATTCCATTGTTGATTTCAAATAAATAGAGTGTCCATTAAATACTATTTGGAAAATGATTTTTTATAATATATATATTTTTAATGTACTGTTAATAAGGTGGTTATCACAAGGGTAATGAGTTGCCATACATTATGAGATGAACATCTGGAGATGGTCTGTCTTCATAGTACTTGCATAGTGAAAGGAGAAGTTCTAAATTGCGTTGTTTGTATAGACGAAAGACACAAAGGTCACAAAATGATCCCCCTGTAGAAATTACTTAATCTAATAAAAAAACAAGAATCTTTAATCATGTTAGTAATTATTACATAATTTACATTATCAAGAACACATTTCATTAATCCTAACACTTGGAGATGCAAATTAGTCAATTAAATAAATTGTAAGAACAAATTAATTAGGCAATATAAAAACAACGAGAATTAATTGAATAGCAACTCAAATTTGATAAAAGTATGTAGGCATCTTAAATTTAGTTATTATATCATACTAACTTATAACATCAATTAATGAAGAAAAACTGTTAGGCTAACTTATTTAAAAATTATTACTCAAACTAGAATACAATCCAAGAGCTTAATAATTAATTACAAGAACTGAGTCATTAAAAGAAGAATAACCATAAATCAATCAATTCTTAACTAATTTAATAAGTTTCAAAGATACATTATAAATCTCAAATCCAGATACATAATTAGTACAAGCCTCAAGAACAAGTAGTACCTATAGGTAAAATAGAAATAATTCAATTAACACTGAAGGCTATAGAACTATGAGATCATTTGATCGATCTCCCCTATCTCCTTAACCATTTGAAGACAGACTATCTGTTACATAATCTTTATCTAATCAATATTATAGACCTAATTCATAGGGAAAATAAATTATTGGAGAACCTAGTCCACCTCCTCCTATGAGAGAAATAACTTATAAATTTCATTCTGAATATCATGGTGTTGGAGCTTAAGTTAAGGGAAAATTGGTCAAATAAATTTTAAATACTGATGGCAATTTAGCTTTGATAGGCCCATCTATATATGGTAATGGTTTGATTCGAGATAGTAATTTAAAACTATTGATCAGATCATGTTAAAATTAGAATATTAGATATCCTATGGCTCTTGGAGTATGTGATTAAAAGAGAGTTAAAGAAAAATAATATCAAAAGGATTCAGATGGATGCTATTTTCTCAATTCTTATGGGTATATAACTTGTGAGAATTAGACAAAAATTAAATGTGGCAAACGCTTTTATAATGGAAGTTATGTAGAGTTGAAGTTCAAACCTTTTTAAAGTGAGTTGCATATAACAATTGATGATGGAGAAGTCATAATAATAAAAATTACATTAAATTAATCTAAATTGATTTATTTTGCTGTTAGATTAGGAGATTTACATGATGCTATTGATATTCTATGATTTTAAATATATTATTTATATATTTATATTAAATAGAAATTAATTCTGATTTATTCTGCATTCAAAATAAAGAATATTTTATAAAAGAATAAATTTTAATAATGATTTTAGTCAATCTAAGATATTGTTTATAAAATATTTACATTAATAATAGACTTTAATGTTTTTATATTAATAATATTTCATTACATATTAGACATTGTATAAAAATATTTTATAAAATTCTAAAGTATTTTCTTTTCTTTAATTTACTCTTAAGGAATCTATACTGAGATTTATTCTAAGAATCATTAGGATTTAATTTTTAAGGAAATCTATGCATTATGCTTATTCTAATTAATTAATATGATATAATACTTATTTTGATTAAGAATCAAATTCACAAATATATAATTAAAAAAAAAAACAAGTGAATATTTTAAATAGAATATATATCAAACAAATACAATATATTTCATATATATAATGATTCTATAAGTAAAATATTAATGAATTCTGCACAAAATTTCATCAAATTAAGATATTAGTTATAAGAATGAGTGAATTATTTAGATAATCAATTATAATATGTAAGATTAGATCAAGATAGTTATCAATCGCCTTAATTAAGAGAGATAATTACTAAAGGAAAGATAGAATACCTTTAATTATGAATGCTCTCCAAATATAAGAACTGGGTTTTAGATGTAAAAACCAATTACACTTGATCCTCCTAAATTGTTTATGTAGACAATATAATTTCCTAATGTGAAAGCTTAAAGACAAAGAAATGTCAATAATAAATTAAAAATCAATGCAAATTTTAGGAGACGTAGTACAAGTTAGAAGACAGAATAAAATAGTAATCCAATGGTTGGTATTGTAAAGAAATTTGATTTTTCTTTTTTTAATTATGATCCTTTACCTATTGTGTATAATAATTAAAGTAAGATGTTGAAGATGAAGAGATAGAGCTCTAATATAATAAGAATTTGATTTTTTTTAATTTTTATATAAATATTGTAAATAATTAATACAAAGTTCAAAATTAGTCACTTAATTTGTAATCCAAATACTAGATAACTAATATGGGTTTATCGACTTTAAATGTCTTTTTATTTGTGGGAGAAATGTTGCTGTCCCAAGAATCATTTAAACTAAATGTTTCAATTTCTTCTGATTAAGGACTTGGTAAAGGTCTATTGTTATATAAATAAAATTGATACCTTGTTTTGATATGATGAGGAGTATTTGGATTTGTGAAGTGAGATTGTGTTTAAAGTTTGAGTTGATAAAAGTCTTACATCAAAGGGAGTGATAAGAGTTATAGAAAATAAATAATACATTTGAAATTAATAAATCATATTATTTAAAATGCTTTCAAATATAATAATTGAATATAATTTGTTCTAGAATGTACAAATTGTTATAAGTGTGTACTGAAAATTACAATCAATATATATTTAAATAATTACATAAGATTAAATAAAAATACGTTAACTAGAGCTATTATTCTATTTATAGATATGTTTTTTATTGGTATATAAGTAAGTAATACTTCAAATCATATATTGGAGTAGGTTAACAGAAATAATTATTTTATTTATTCATAAATTAAAAGTTTATATATATATATATATATAAATGAATTATGAAATATCACAGGATGAAAATGAATAAAGTGATATGTATATAGAATCATAATTTGATGAGTATAAAAAGCAATTTCAAATGGATTGTTTTGTTTTGGAGGATAAAGTATAATTTTCGAATTTAAATATGAATGAACCACTAGACATGAAATCACCTTCTGAAACTGTATAATTATTATTTAATTTTAGATTCAAGAGTTCATATTTACTGAAGAGAAATTAGAAGTACAAGGAAAGGGTTTAATTAGTACTTAATTAGATTAGAATAAATTTATCAATATTAAGCTTCTTGATTTATCTAGATGCAAACTTTATTAAATTCCAGAAGATGTGAAGTAAAATGAATCATAAAAGTAGATAAATGATAAATTTATAAAAAATGTATTTGAGTTAGAATATGTTGGTAAACGTACCACATTTTATGGAATCCTTAAATTTTTTAGAGGTTTTAGATTTGTCTTAAAATTAATTATAAAATTATCAAGTTAAAATGAAATGTTTAAGATAACTTAATCTTGCTTGTAATTATATTAAACAACCTTATTTATATGAATTGGATATACTTTGTATTTAGATGAATCCAATTACTTAATTACCAAAATAATTTTATAAAGCAATAAGAAAAATGTATTAATTAGAATTTGATTGGTTTAAGTATTGTAAACCTCCATTGCCATTTAAATTAAATTTCAAAAAATATCCATGGGTTTAAGAGAAATTAATAAATGCACTATCAAAATAAATATTGAATTTTTAGGAATTTATTTAATTGTTGAGTTAAAATGAATAGAATTTTAGTAGTACTGATTATAAAGAGAGAAACTTATTTTGTTAAGCAGGTATGAATGATGAAATAGGAGTGTTGTATTGTTTAAATTAGATTATACCTTAGGATATCAATAAAACTGATTTTGATAATAATACACCTTTGTCAGTTTGTTATATGGAATGCAAAATGAGGTTAGTTTTCATAATAATAAAGATCAGTGAGTATATTAAAGGCATTTGGTGGTAGATTTTCATTGAATACTATTCATTGTATAAGTCAAAGAGCAGATGTGTAGAATTTAAAGTTTCTATTAGGAATAAAAGAAAATATATAATAATAAAAGACACATATTTAACATTATATAAATGATGAATCCTTAGTAATGATGAGAAATATAGATGGTAATACACCATTACATTAATTAATGATGAATTTTGATAAACATGAATAGAGTTCAGAATTTGCTGAAATTTTATTATTATATGGAGCAGATCCAAATGCTGAAAATTATGAAGGTTTTACACCACTTGATATGGCAATTAAGAAATAATAAATAAAAGGACTTAAATTTGGAAATGATTTCAATATGTCTAAAAATGTTGATATTGCTAATAAAAGATTCTTTAATTTTTATCATTAATCAAATATTACAGGTTATAATTTATGTCATATAGCTGTAATTGTTGGAAATGTTGAAATCTTAGAATTCTTAATTTCTATTAATGCAGATTTTTTCTCTATTAGTAAATATAACAAATTACCTAAAAATTTGGCTACTTAAAGTTTAGTGGCTTTAAAGAATATTAGAAAATTAGAAAAAAGATATATTTTTAATAATGTGATCAAAGAAAAATCTTTATTAGAACAATAAGAAAAGTAAATTAACAACATTAATTAGAAATGTTTATTAGATGAGACATTAAATTGAAAAGAATATTGTTTAAAGACATCATAATATGATCTAGAAATATGCAGACTAAGAAGAAATTGAAGATAACTAATCAATGGAAAGTTATAATGATTTTAGTCTCTAAGTAGGAAGTGAATGTACTGTAAGAGAAACAGTTGCAGAATCTGCTCCAATATTTAAAAAATAATTAAATTTACAAAAAGAATCAAATACATCTCTTTAATAGAATATTGATTAATTATCATTACAAGAGTTTTCTGATCATTATCCTGATATTCAAAAATTATTAAGAAGTGGTAATATTGATACAGCAATTAAAAAAATAGAGAATATTTTATAATATGAGTAAATTAGTGTTGCTGAAAGACTTAAATATAAAAATTAATTGTCTTTATTAAAATTAAAATTCAAATAAAAAAATGTTGAATTAAAATCTAGAATTGGCTAGGATGAATAATTAATCTTAAATGAATATCAATTTAAATCATTAAAAACAGAAAATAGAAGTAAATAATCATTAAACTATAATAGATAAATATTTCAAATATGTTTAAACTATATTAAATGCATAAATCGAAATGGAAATATCTAAAGCTTTAAATATAGTATCCAGATAAAAAATAATATGTTCATCCTATAATTTAAATAGGGATCTATTAGTTACTGATCTATCTCTAATATCTGATCTTAGAACCAGACTAAGTACAAATTTAGTCTATGACATAAATAACTATGCATCTCATTTATTTTCTTCATAAAATTAACTATATCTATGGCTTTATAGTTGCTTTTCAAAAAAAGAAAAAATTCTATTCTTAACAAGCTTTTTTAATCTATAAAATTATGAATATCTATAAATGATGAAATTTAAGAAGAAAAGAGTACTTGTTGGAAAAAATGATGATCTTAGTATTGAGAAAGATATGGCAGAATTAAATCCTGTTCCAATAAACTATATAATTAGTAATAATAATCTGTTTTGTAACAGTAAAAGAAATTGAAGCAAACAATCTATATTTATTATTATTATATTCATTATAAAGCTAATCATCAATTCAAAAATTTACATAAATACTTGTATTTTAATCAATATTGAGAAAATCACCTTCAATATTTAAATTAAAATATTTTAATAATTTTGAATATCCAAAAGTAAGGATTAATCCACAAAACGCATTCCAAGGTATAGTCTTTCTTAAATACTATTAATTACATAACCGAAAATCATCACCCAAACATTATCACTGTTTATAAAATCTAAAAATTTCACAGTTGATAATGGTATTATCAATAATAAAAAACGAAAACACTTTTATTTCCAATTTAATTATAAATAATTTAGAATAAATTCTTCTTCTTTATATTTTCCATTACTTAATTTGATTCCAAAAATTATAAAAAAAATAAATGTTATTTCAAAACTTTTATTCAGACAATAATTTTGAAACACTTAAGAACTATTTATTTAAAGAATTTCAGTTTAATCTGGACATTTAGTGTAAATTGTATTTAACCATTATGTAAGTTTTGTTTAATCTAAGTATATATTCTTTTCATTCAAAAAGCAAAATAATAATGAAATAGATAGCCAAATTACAGTAGATAAACCAACTATCAAAACTAATTTCCAAGATAGAGATCTATCAATAGAAGACAATCTATTTTTGAAATATTCCATTATAGGTTAATGCATATAGAAAAGATAAATTAAAATAAAATAACTTGAATATATCCAACCCAAAAGTATCTATCCTATACTATGCATTCCTAAATAAATACGAGATAATGCAGTCATAAAAGTCCATATAGAAGCAAAACATATGATTATACTTTTAATTAGCTTTGGCTTTTTGTAAAAGGTATTAGGCAGAACCATCAAAGGCAATAAAAAAGACATCATCAATGATCCCATAGCATGTCCTGATGGTTTACCAAACTCTTTATTGCAAGACAATGCTACAATGTCAGATTCAATCCAATAAGGTCTTGGTTAATGATATACATTTTTAAGAATTGAGTTAAATGAAATTGTAAATTATATTAAGCACATATATATGATGGAGGCCAATTTATTTTCTGTAAATATAAACATTAATAAAGCTATTCCAGGAAAAATGTTTATCCAATTAGAGAAGAAATTAAACATACTTTACAACCCAGGGGTTTGCTATTTTTACATATATTTAGTAATTCTTGTATTAACATCCCATAATTGTTGATCATATATTACATCAAGGATTAGACATAAAATAAAAATGATGGTTGCTGCTATAAAAATCTTCATTATTGTATTAATAAATATATATATAATATATATTATTTCGATATTTGTCTGTTTATGAGTTGTGATAATAATTAAGAATATTATTGATTATTGTGTATTAATAATAAATAACAATTATTTTAATATAAATGATTAAGAGATTCAAGAAACTATTTTAGGTTCAAAGTGAGTTCCAATAATTTCTTACAAAATCTAGTTTAACAAAAGATAATTTTGTATACAAACAAGAAGATGTAGAAATTTTAGTGCCATTCTTAACTGATGATTAAAATATAATCGAATTTTTTTAGGTGTATTAAGAAGATAACTGTCAACTTTATACAATAAAAATGAAAATGCTTATAACAATTCATTAGGTGCTCAATATAAGTGATGAATTTGCCTCATAATTCATTAAAATAAATTTTGCATATTTTAATAAGTATGAATGATTTAATAGTAGCAGACCTTCACAAAAACCAGATACATTTGTTTTTAAGTAAGTGACAAATGAAGTATGGTTACTGGAAAATCTTTAGATACCATTTCTTTAATATTTGTAAAAATTGGCATTGAATGTATAAGAAATAAAGAGTTATAGAAATCATCAATTTAGAAAACCAATACATTAATCAAAGTATTATGTCTTAAGTTATTTAAGTCTTGTAGTTGAATGTTTTAAATTAGAAAACTTAGTTAATTAAGGTTTATCTCTTGTGCCCTAACTGAAAACGTCCTTATCAAATTTTCCACATGATTTTCTCTTGAAGAAATTGGCTTGCAATCTTTATAGTGAATTGAGACAATTTCAAAGATAATTGATTAATTCTCTTTCTGCTTTATTGGATACCAACTCTAGGGCCTCAAATATTGAGATATTTGAGTTCTTCAGAGAAGTAAGATCTCTCTCTCACAATTCACATAGGTGTAAATGATAGAGAAGAAGACCATGTCATATTATATGTTACATAAGTTATTTGATCCTGGAAGAAAATTAATGCCTCCTTTGTAATTGAAGATTGATCTAAAAAGTGCAAAGCATCTTGAGTAGTAAGCTTTAAATGAACAATTAAAGATTAATTAGCAAAAGTAAATGAGAAGTCAAAGGAATTCCAGATCAAATAGTTTAGATTAATAATAAAGAGTGTCTTAAGGTTTTATTAGTTAAAGAGAACGCCGTTTTATGATGTATAGTAGAGCAAAGAAACAAGACACAATTTAAGAAGATATTGAAATGCCAACAGAGGAATAATAGCCATCAGAGAAGAAAATAATACCTATTGATAATTAAGCCAATGATATTATTCCAAAACAATTTGATCAAGTGGATAAAAATAATAATAGCTAGATTTTAAAAAAAGAAAGTAATAATGAGAGTGAAATTAATGAGATAAATAGTTAAAAAGAAACTAATGATATTGTTAAAAATTAAGAAAGCACTAGTTAAGCAGATTAAGATGAAAATTGATATATTTGATTCATAATAAAGTTGTTTTTTATATTATAATATATATTATGAGTGCAGTAGAAGTATCATAAGCTATTCAATTAAGAACAACTACAGAAATAATAGTTACATTAGGTACTAAAGTACTCACTCTATAAAATTTTTAATCATTAATTAAAAAATTTAGTAAGAATATCATCAATAAAGAAGTTGAGGGATGTTATTAAAAAATATTAAGAGATTTTGATAGTAGAGTTGGAATTACCTAAGAAATTAGTGGAGAATTTATGGTTCAATAATTGTAAATTTTTATTGATTTGTTATTAAATAAATTATAATTAAGAGAGATGATCAAAATTTCTATTTGAATACTATACCTATTTAAGGGAAATTAAATAGAATTCTTTGATGAATATAGTTTTTTTTTAAGATTATTCACCCTTTTATAAACCTTTTTATAAATTTCAAAAATTATACTTTAAATTTAAAGAACTTAAAATTATATTTGTTTATCTAGACATTAAGAATGAAATGGATATTGGAGCTATAAAAGTCCTCTTTGGATTTAAGAGTTGAAATATAATGTATTATAAATTTAAGATGGCATTTTCTTTATGTGCATAGATGATTTAAAACAATTTGAAAATGCATATATATAAAAGTCACTTATATTAAATTTTTAATTTAAAGATATTTATATAATCAAAGATATTAAATAATTGCATATAGATTTCGCTCTAGGATTTTGTAATCATTATTTAAAATTTGGCTAAATGACAATTTAATACCAAAAAAGAAATCAGCACATATATTAGTAGACATTAAAAAAGATGGAGAATTAAATTTTTCTGCCAAAATATAATAAAATATATAAATTTTCTTTACTATTAAAATCATAAAGAATGTTAAAATAATCATCAAAAGATTTAAAATATTGATAATTTGAATATGTTTAATACTACCTAAAATTAGTAAGAATAATTTCATTTAACCATTAAAAAATAAGATTGAAATAGATACAATTACAATTCAATGAATATTTTATGTTTTTCATCAATTCTAAATAAATTATTAATCACATTAAAATTTTAATTTAATTTCAGATTTCTAAATTAAAGACCCAAAAAATGACTTATATTATAAATGGAAGATTGTAGAAAGGACAATATATTCTTCAAATTAAAGCTAATTGTCTAATGGAAGAATAGGAGTAAAACGATTTTCCTTTGGCTTCTTATGAAGAAGGCATAACCAAGATGAAATTTTTGTTACAAATTTCCAATAAACATCCATTTTATATGAGGCTAAAGAAAAAGAGCAGGTCAGGCCTCTTAATCCATCTCATACAGAACTTGTAGTTTTGAAAAATAAATCTTAATATTATATTAAAATATTTAGATATTCTTATCTCTGTAGTTTAAATATAAAATATAATTATATTACTAAAATTTATCAAAAGAAAAGACTTTCAATTTCTAATTAGCATTTTAAGGAGAAATTAAATCAAAGTAACATCATAGAGGTAATTAAATCAAAATTGAAATTTAAGCCAAGCCAAGATAAATTGAATGTGAATAATAAACTTAAGGTGAAAGAAGACTGCAAATCTTTGAAGTAAACACTATATTTAAATAAGATTATATAGAAAGTGAACAATGGTTTTGCATTAATATAAAAACTTGAGATTTCAACAAACTATTAAAATTTTGTATCATAATTACCCTTACCTTACCATATCATAAGAAATATATATTTATACTATTTAAACAAATAACCAATGACTTTTGATCTCAAAAAGATAATTGGAAATGATTTTTTTCTTATTATTTTTTTATTTCAATTTCCCAATATAATCATAATAGAAATACAACTTAAATCTGAATTTATATAAAAATTATTCGATTTTATAAATGTTAGAATCTAGTATGGAACTAAAATGCTCCAAAAACCATGATCTCCCTATTTAAATGGTTGTTTTTGACTCAAAATTACAGAAAAATGAAAGGTTATTATGTTCAGAATGCTTGGACACTTTTGATTCTGATGCAAGAACCATTGGATTCAAGAAAGTAATTCAAATGATTGAAGATAATAAGAAAAAGAATAAAGAGAGAACAGAAAGTTAAATAATCTCTATAGTAAAATCAGTTGAATATTTTCAATCAGAAATTATTCAATTAAAATCATCGATTATTCAATACTTGAATGAACTGTTAAGATTTACAAATGAATGGATTGAAAACCTGAATAATCTAGGGTAATAAACCAATTAGGCATACAGCTTTTTCAAAGAATTAGATGATTTAATTTAGAATCCAAAGGGGGATGATTAATAAATTGCTTATGCAGATATAGACAAAATTAACTATTCATGGGGTTCGAAATTGATTCCAAAATTAGAGCTATTTTAATCATTCTAAGAATATTCTAAATGTGAAGAATGTTTGAAAAAAATTCTAAAAGAAGATACATTTAAACAAAATTCAAGTAAAATAATATAACAACAGAGTAATACAATAAATTCCTCATAAGCACTAACAACAGAGTCAGGGAATACCTAGAATTTTGAGCCTTTATAGCAGGAGATATATTAAAAGCAGGAGATAACTTAAAAGCAGGAGATAACTTAGATCAAATTAAAATTTATTGATGATTCATAGGAATAAAAAAAAATTTGCCCTTAAATTACATTTGACTCAAAAGCATAGCTCTTATTAACATGCTCAACTGATTAATTTGAAAGAGCAAAAATTCTAATATGGAATTATAATAATGGTAAAATTAAATTAAAATCAACACTTTAAACAGGAGATCGAGATAATATTTAAGGATTAATTTTTAGCAAAAAGTAAACAAGATTTATTTCATATTAAACTAAATTATTATGCTGGAAATTAACCCCATAAAATGAATGGAAATCTTCATAACCTGTAGGTATTCCTTCTAGAGATGGATTTCTACCATACTTATATTGTGCAGAATTAAATTAAGATGAAACTGTTCTATTTTGTGGAGATTCTACTGGATCAATATAAATTTGGAAATTAGAATGGGATTAAAATGAATTAACTTTTTTAGAACAATTAAAGCACTCGAAAGATTCTTAAAGAATAATATCATTAAGCTTAAGTCCTTCAGAAAATACATTAGCTGTTTGTAATGATGCAATTAATATATGGTAAAAAGGAGAATCTGATTAATGGATTTTCAAATATGCTGTTAAACCAGCAAGTATCACATAAACAGGTAATAGATTAAAATTTTTATCTGATGATTAATTTATTTGGATACCAAAAATGATTGATAGTATTTGTGTATTTGAAGTTTAGGATGGATTTTTCTAAGAAGATTTAGATAAGCAAATTTAATTAACAAAAATTAATGCTGAAGATAAATGTTAAACTCCAATTTAATTCATCAGAGAAAAAAACTTAATATTAGTTATACGTAAAACCCATGTTTATATCATTTAAAAACTTAATAATGGAACATTTAAAGTAGCAGAAAGATTAGGCCGTAATGGTGCTATTATAAGTGGAGCTATATCAGATAATGGCTAAAATTTTGTATTATGGGACACAAGTAAGCAAGCCTTTATCACATATGAAATTTAATACAATTGATAAATAATGAAAATTATTTAAAAATATTTCTTGTATATTTATATTTATAAAAATTATTACTTTTTTATGTTTAAAAGTAACTTAGTGTTAGTGTTAAATATATAAATGAATAGAGTATAATTTAATTTATGAATATGATTCAAAAAGAGAGATATAGGTTTTAACTAAAAATTAATATATTCTTCCTGAATTCATTCCAATTTCAGATATAACAGAACCTAAAATGAAAAATTAACAATTTCGATATAAATTATTCTTCCAGAGATAAAAATATAATTTGTTCTCAAATTTAATTCAATTTCAAATACTCTAATCATATTATTCAATATGATTAATAAGGTATATTTAAATTTCAATACTAAATAAATACTATGAATGAATGATCCATCCAAATCAATAATAAAATCTATATTCAAATTCCCTTCATTTCCTATCTCATCTTTATTATTCATCAGTTTTTACTTTTGATTTCAAAGACAATGTTAAGCAAATTTAACCAACTGTACTTTTCTTTAACAAATATAGTCTGTTTATCAAAGAGTTTTTAAAGATATGACTTCTTTAAATAATTATAATAATTTGCTAATAGATGCAAAATTGTAATCTTAGATATCTTCATTTGAATTAAGCTAAATTTTCAGCAAATCAGTTGATTTAGTAAATTTTATTTAAAAAGGTAGATAGAAGTACTTTCAAAAGATTTTTTCTATAAATGATAAATTTTTACTGTAAAAATACACTTTAAAATAAAAGCATATTATTAGAATATAGTTTCTTTCTTTATTAAAATTTAGAAGTAAAGAAGGTATACTAGTAATTTATCAGCTTGTTCAAAATTTGAATACTATTTTTATTAGTAACAAGTTTTTATTTATTTCAAATTATTTATAAGATTTAGTTTTCTAGTATCAATGGACTGGGTTTGGGGTTAGTAAGGGAGTACTATCTTTGGTTTATAATAGATAAAAGGATAGTCCTACGTACAGTTGGGGCTGAGGCAATATTCGTAAATGCACATCCTCAACCACAAAGAACGTTTTTCAAAAATATCTTTTGGGAATAATAACTAAGATGAAATATCAAGTACAAAAATTCAAATATGGAACTGTATAATAAAAAATTTATAATTTTTAATATTTTCATAATATATCAAGCTTATTAGGAAAAGTACTTATTGAGTAAATTTTACAATGTATTAAGTGATATAGGTTTAGGTATGAATTCTTTCATTCCACATAGTCGGCCCTATTCAACATTTTCTTCGCCTGTGTAAGCTGAATGCATGACTATGACTGATTGGGCATTTACTTTTTTCAGGATTGCCACTATCTATAAATCAATTGAATCTTACTTCAGAGGATGTTTGGAATCCATTTTTACCTGGCATTTCTAAATCCATAAAAATAATACGGTAAGATTTACAACATTAAGAATTTTTAATTCTGTCATTTACTTTTTCAATTGCCTAATCTCCATCATAAGCACTTTCTGATAAAATATTAAAATTATTGAGTATTGCTATCAATGCAATATGATTAAAAGGTATATCATCAACAATTAATATTTATGGACAAATACATTTTTTTAAAGTATTTTTGCTTGCTAATTTCATGATAGTTTCTTATTCAGAAATATCTTCATCAATTTTCATAAATTTATCCTCAACAAAGAAATTAATTGAAGTGTAACATCCGGATTAACTTTTGATTATTAAATCACCATTTGTACTCAAATGTTTAACTATACCTCTACTTACTTTCAAACCAATTCCTAATTTATTTGATTAAAATTAATTATCAGTGCCTCTATTACTTGAAACCATACTATTTGGTTATTAAAAAATATTAGACATAGTTTAATAAGATATTCCTTTTCCATTATCCCAAACTGTAAATTAATATAAATTATCTCTTTTTTAAACATTTACAACAATCCTACCACCTTAAGGTGTAAATTTAATTGAATTACTTATTAAATTAATTAAAACTTAAGTTATTCTTTCTTTATCATTTCTAATAACAATTAGACAATCAATTTCTATTATCATTTAAATTTATTTTTGAGCACATTCTTATATGAAAAAATCTTTTAAGGTTTAAAATATATCACTAACACTAAATTCACAAATATTAATTTTAAAATCTTAACATTCAATTTAAGCATAATCTAATATATCATTAATTTAATATAATAGACGATGACTAGTTACAATAGCTGGATTTAAAAAATCATTATTAATTTCATCATTTTTTAATTTACTTTTTAAAGCTTGTAATAATGATAGAGTACAATTAAGAGGTGTTCTTAATTCATGACTAAATGAATTCAATAATTATTATTGAAAAATAAATCTATTAGTTAATTATTTTAATTATTCTTTATTAGTGATATTTTCTACAATAAATAAAAAGAGAGTTGATTTAGAATTTGTTGGCATTTTAATTTCATAAATTTTAATTGATATATATTTGTATTTAATAGAGGATTCTTAAGTAATCTAATATTTAACAATACCACATTATTCTGAGTTGATTGTTATATTATCATTTAAATTCTTTAATTTAAACTCATTGATTATAGTTTATAAAGATGGATAAATCATAGAGTCTCCTTTTTAAAAACTGTAATTTAATTATTATCTATCAGATGTCCAAAATTACTTTTTTAAAGATGAAGCTAAAGAACCAGTGTAACTAAAATGCATTTCACTATTTTATTTCATAGATTTTAAATGTAAAGGTCTTTTCCTATCTTTTTCTTTCATTGGAACTTTATTTTTTTATGCTCTTAATTATGATAATAAAATTACATTTTGAGTAAACTATCTAAAGATGAAGGAATTATTTAAGGATCCTTTATTTATAAATATTACAGAATCTTAGAATTATGTTTAATTATATTGAAGTATTCATCAATAATTACTAATCCTTCTGGTATATAATCAAAAAAGTCTTCACTCATATTAGTTTTTGTTACTATCTCATCTAAACCTTATGTATGTTAAACTTATGGTGATGAAATTGTTTAAAAGTGTACTTAGGTAGTAATATCTTCTTTCTTTTATGGTTTCTTTGATTTTTGTAGATATAATAAATAATGATTTAGTGGTTACCATAAGAACATAAGAAGTATTTCTGAAACTAATAAATTAGTGAATTCTCTTATAAGAAATCTAAGAATAGCATAGATTAGTGCACAATGGCTTAAGTAGTCAAAGAGACCATTACGTTTTTAAAGATAGAGTTGAATTTACATCATATAAATTATTGCACTTTATGCTGAAATAGTATTCCTTTCATAAAATGCTATCTCATAATGTATTACAATAATTGTTTAAATTAGTAGGTGAATAATGAATTTCTACTTTCCAAGATGATAAATCATAAAATAGCATACAAGTATTGAAACTGATGCACATGAATTCAATCCTAATGCAATAGCATCTTTTTCATCTTGACTACCTCTCTCTATAATATTCACAATGTTTTTCAATAATAACTAACCCATCAATAAAATTATGCTGATATTCATTTTTATTTATAATGAAATAATTGTCTTAGACTTCTTAATCATACAAACATAAACAAAAAAGTGAACCCTCACTCTTACCAAATATAGATATTCTTAAAGAAAATGTTAAATCAAGTTTTGCACTTGGTCATCTAAGAGGTCTATTAACTTATAAACAAGTTCGAGAATTACCAAAAACAGAAATATAAATGAGAAGAGATTAAACATATGGTAAAGCAAACAAAAAATCAAAAAATAAAAGATTAACCTTTTTAAAATTTGGATTTAGAACTCATGAAAAGAAAAATAATTATTATCTCTAACCTTTAATTAAAAAAGTAAAAGATGCATTTGGTGAAGTTGCTAATGATGGTTCAATGGGAGTTGTGGATCTATGGAGTGATCGAAATATGAATAGATTAATGGATGCAATATAAATGACAAGAGATAATTTAATAGTAAGAAAATTAGGTAAAGAACTTAATGAAGCTGAACATTTTTTAATGATAAGAATGGAAGAAAAAAAAATAAGAGATAGAATTTTTATGGAATCATTAAAATTGCAATTTTAAGAAACTGATACATTCTCACTAAAATTTTAATTATCTGATAAAGATAAGAAAATTGTATAAAGAGTTGCTTAACCTACAATTTCAAGTAATCTTAGATATAACAATCCAAATGAAAATATTTAAACAATAGTAGAAAGCATAGATTAATTACATTAAGAGAATCTAGAAATTTACACAGATTTATACAAATAGATTAAATCAATTTAAAAACACATTAAATGATTTAATTGTTCTACTATAAATGTTTCTAATCAAATGAATAAATTTATCTGTCTAATTTTTGCATTATTTTTACATTTTATTATAATAAATTAATTAATTAATAATTGAATAATAAACATTATTTTGATATTTTAATAATAATAATTATATATATATATATTAATAAAAAATATCTATATAACATTATTATTGTGACTATATTAATTTCATGAAGATAGTACTCTATTTAGATAATTGTTTTCATTTTTATAAATTCTATCATGTTCTCGTTTAATTTAGTATAATTATTATTTTAAATCTGTTTTACAATTATCAATCTTTTTTGCATTTTCTTCATAAAACCATTTAGCATCTTATAATTTAATTTGAAATTATTCTTTTAAATCTTCTTCTGGTTCTGTTTTAAATACTCTTTTCTCAAATTATAAAATTGCTTCATTCTATGATTTTAATTATTTAAATGCTGCATCTCTATAATTTTATTCATGTAATTATCTTTTAAATGTTTTCTCAGCTTTCTTTATTTTATCTTACATAGATGGTTCTTTCTTTTCTAACATATGTTCTCGAATAACAATCCAATCATCACTACTTTAATATGGTTATAATTTAGTTTTTAGTTTCCATCCTACTCCATTAGGTTCTAATTCTTAATTTTATTGAATTCTTTAATATTTCTTTAATAATTGTTCCATATACTTTTTCAATTGATTAGGTGTTAATTTATCTTTCATTTAAAATAATAGTCTTGTTTCTTTTATTTCTTAATTAGATCTATTCATTCTCTTCATTGAATCTTTACTATTTATTAAACAAAATTTGCAATAATCTGGTAATCCTGAATCTTATTGCATTTTAATCAATTCTTCTTTTATTTCTATATATTTATTATCAGTTTGCCATCTTGTTATATTAAGTTCAGAAGGATTATCTATTTTTTTGAGTAAAGCTTAAATGTCACGATTACGTTATCTATCCTCTTTTTTAATTCTTGATATACTTGATACAATATCCTCACAAGTATGACTTACTTCATTAATAATATTTGATAATTAAGAATTTACAAAACGTGTACGAAATGTATCTGAGTGTTCTTAAAATTTAGTTTCTAATGATTTATAAGGTTTCAGTTTTTTTTTGACTGTAATCTCTCTACTTCTTCCTTTAACAATATTACATTTATTTTCAATTTGATCTTTAAGTCTTTTAAATGATCTCAAACGATATTCATCTTTTTTTCTAAAATACTCAGCATCCTAATATTATTATTACATTTAATTAATATATTTGGATAACTTTGTAATTAACTATTCTAATGATTTGTAATAATATTATATATATTAGATTATACATATAATTTTAGTAATGAAATGTCTTCTTATAATGTATTATTTTTGTTGATTTTTATATTATAGAATAATTCTCTTATTTATTTGAATTAGAATTGAAATACATATGTTAAAATAGATGTGATTATATTAAAATAAAAGAAGTTGGATTAAGTTAGTTTATAATCTATAATAAATTCAAATTTATTATTGACGCTTGAAACGATCTTTAATGAATTATGTCTCTTTTTCTAAATTAGCTGCTAATCTGTTAGATGTTTCAACAATCTATTCAATTTTATAGTTAATAAATTTACTCTTTGATATGTTATATCTGTTTCTTCTATCATCTTATTGTAATTAGCTAATTTAGATTCTTTATCTTTCAATATTGTAACTCTTAAGTCTAATTCCATTTACATCTTTCGAATTTATGCATCAAATGCTTAAAAATCTGTTTTCTCTTTTTGATATTCTTATAAAAGCTCATCTCGTTCTCTTTTCATATTTTCGATGGCTTAAATATTATGAGAATAAGATTAATACCATTTTGAAGATTAGAAAAAGCTAATTCATCATCCATAGTAAAACAAAAAATATAAAATTAAACAAAAATTAGAGTAAAGTCATTATAATAATTCTTAGTAATTCCTTTCTAATCTATGGGACAAATCACTTTTGTTTTAGAAAGCTTAAGATATTTATTTAGCTTTCAAAATTCCTTTTTATGCCAATTCAGAATTACATTCTAATGCTTACATAATTCCCCAATTCATTAATATTTATGCTGCTTTCAGTGATTCCTATTTTACACATTAAAAGGCATCATGGAAATATTTTTATGCTTATTTGTAATCATTTGTATTAGCATATAATATACCTAATAAATTATAGACAAGAGATAATTATGGTTTTAATTCTTAAGGAGTACCATTTGATTCTTTATTTGTATTAATTTCCTTATTATTATTGATTTCATAAATTTGAATAGATTATTCAGCAAATTAAAATGCTGCATCATAATCTTTACGTAGATATGCTAATTCAGCTAATATGAAATATGTATCAGCAATACGTTCATCCTCTTCAGGTAGATAATCTCGATATATAGCTAAGCTTTCATAACACAATTTACTGGCTGCATCCGGATTTTCTTAAATTATTGCACATAATTACTCAACCATCCATTTAATCTTGATAGCTATGTTAGAACATAGGCAATGTCAAGACGCCAATTAAGTTATTCATAATGTAATAATGCATCATAAAAGTATTGTTAACATTTCTAAAAGTTTTTTGAAATGAAACAAACTTTACCTGCTTCAATTAATAGTTTGCCCTTAAAAGTTGGTTCATTAATATTAAACTTAGTTAAGCAATTTTCATAATATAAAATTGCATGTTAATAATCACCTTAAAGTTTCATTGCATTTCCTAAGATGTATAATGAACGTAATGCCAATACAGTATATTTGTATAGAAATTATTTTCTACTAACATTCTTGATTAATAATAATCGGATTTATTCAAATAATGCTTTAAGAGCAATAACGACACTAGAGGAATTATCGCAATTCAAACCTCGTTCTACAGAGTCTAGATTATTAGTGATATAATCAATATTCCATGGTTCTTCATCACTATAAAATGATTGATGAGAGAAATCAGATTCACTTTAAGAGTATTAATGCTAATTTAATTAAGCCAGCGTATTAAGGGGACCTTGAATCTTCTTAGAAAAAGATTAATCAAGAAATGCACCGTTCTCTCGCTCCGAGTTTGTGATTAGTCCATCTAGTTCTGTTCTACCAGTAATGGGAACTAATTGTTTTTCATCTCGAGACATTCTGTCTATCTATTTTGACATTGTGAGGCCTTACTTCACTACTTAGTGTCTTCAGCTCTACGATATGTCCTGATAATACTTTTTCCCTAATCTTGCGTAATACATCTATTAATTATTCATCTCTTAACAAAGTCTCTCTATCCACTCGTTCGAATATACGAGACATTCAATAAATTAAATTTAATATCTATAAATTTGTATTCTCATTACTCTTTCCTTTTACCTTATCCAAATTTGGTAATCTTAAAAAATCCCCAAACTACAATCATGACTATTTAAGCAACCCATCCAAGATCATTCATTGCTTTATATACTTTATCCCATTTTAATAATCCTATTGGTGTTGCAGTTGAATTTACAGCCAATTGACCATAAATAGCACAAATGACTTTCTGAATTGGTATTGGAATACTTATAACATAATATATTAGTATATACAATTTGAATTTATCTTTTGCTCTATAAACTTATTTTGTAATTTCATTAAAAATTGCCCATTCTATAAAAAATACATAATAAGCAATAAAGAATCCATGCCTTTATAATATAATAATAATTATACCAATAAGCACTTAAAACAAAAGTAAGAAGCAAAGCTGATTTGTGTTACTTGTATCTATCATAAAAACATGTTTGCAACCATGCTTAAACACTTGAATTCCAATGTTTTGTTCTTTTTATAGGTGAAAATTCTATCTCAAATTTATAATTAGCCAAACGATAATTACAAAATTCTAATTATATTATCTATCATAATATATACCTTATCCATCATAAGTTATTCCTCCTGCATCCATTGATGCCTAAGAGAAGTTAAATGCAAGAAAGTATTTAAACCTCTCGCAACATGAAATCAATTAACATATAATATGACGAGTCAAAAGGGAATGCTCTTCCCATTACTGAGTACTAAAATAAGCAAAACTGAACTTTGGTCTAATTAATTGATCAGCTAATCAATATTATATATATTCATACCTGCTACAAACAGAATAGCTTTTAAAAGGGACTTGTAAGCCATTTAAAAACTATAACCCATGTTTACATAGACTCCTTTTAAATTGATAAAATCAATATAGGCTGTAAAAGGAACTGTGCCAACAATGATGTTAGGGAAATAGAATACATAACTCATATAATCGAGAAATGTAAAGGATATTCGATCTTAAGCAGCAACTCCCACGTATACGAATCGACATGTCAACATCATCTGCACTACGTTAAATCCCATCTTCCAAGACGAGTCTGCGTTCTACTGATAGTTTGCCATTAACCATGATGCGGTCGTAATGTAAGTAGCCTAAAACGAGAAAGCTGATTGATGCTATGGGGATGAATGGTCTTCTCAGTAATCTCAAAAAATATATGACAAGTGTCTATGCCATAACCAACTCTATCCATTAAGCTCCCAAGTACAACATAAAGAATAGTCCCCAAAATAATGTATAAATTTTTCTTATAATCGGACTTTTCAAGTATCGTAATATAATTCCCAATGGAAAAACAAGCAACTAAATACATACTATTAAATCATTACAAAGTGCACAAGCAATTTAAATTAATCAGCTTGTACTCCAACTACGTTCAGTTGATTAATATTCATAGCAATCTCGTCAAATAATCCAACTATAGTCATAATTAATTATTTTATATTCAAATAACTCAATTATTCATATTATAATCAATTCATTTCCTTCAAATTCTACTATTTCTTTATAACATTATTGTAATCATAACAAATTCTTAAATTATATAAAGTGATTATTATTTTGAGTATTAAAAAATCATAGTTACATAACATTCAATTAGTTTATTAAACTTTCTATTTAATTAATGAAAACATAATTCACTCATATACCTTTATTTCTCAAAGACAAGGATATCACAGATAATGACTAAACTCTTATCTTACGCAATAAGAATATCAATACATGGCCAAATGAAATTCCAACTAAATTACTTATTCTTGATTTAAGTGGAAATAGATTTCAGACTATCCCAAATCAAGTCAATTTAATTTAACACCTTTAAAAACTCATATTACGAGATAATTCAATTGATACTATTGAAACACCTCTAAATCTACCATAACTTTTTTATTTAGATCTTAGTTATAATTACATAAGTAATTCTCATTTAACTATTAAGGAAAGGTGCCTTCCAGCCTAATTAGGTTGAATTCCTTGCATCATTTAAACTTGAACTCTAATTTGATTGATGAATTACCTCGTCAACTCTTTGACATGTAATTGTTCTTCTTAGGTATTGCAAAAAATGCCTTCATCATGATTCCATAAGAAATTTGCAAAGTTATCTAAAAATTAGAATAATTTGAATTAGATTGGTTAAATTATTGTAATTTCTCCTATTTTATGGATGAATAATAATGTAATAAATTAATGATTGTTTTTGCACATGATTGCACTTTTTAATAATTTTATGAACATTTTATGAATTCATAATTTACATATAATTTAGATAAGATAATAACAAATCACTCATTAGGAATACTCAAATTAACATTTGAATTTTAAAAAGAAGTTTCTATGAAAAGTTTAATTTTTGTTGTTTCTTAACCTGGAACTAAAGAGAACATTAAATTTATAAATTACTTAATAGATCTCTTAAATTAGAATGATTCAGAATTATTAAATGTTGTATATATATTAAGTGCAAGAACAAATTAAACTTTTATCATTTAAATTATATCCAAATATTCAATTAATTTACATTACCCTATCAAATTTGACTTAATTTGCAATCATAAGATTTTAATATTAAAAGGTTAAACACCTTATACTACATTATTGTAACATAGTCACAATATAGATGCTATTATGGAGTTTTGGGTATAAAAAGGATTTAATCCTAAAATTAAACATTAAGGTGAAAACTGTTTACATATAGCTGTAAAACAAAATTCATATGAAGGAGTAAAATGGGCATTAAAACATTGCAATGTTGATTAAAGTGATGGTATTCATAAAAATACTCCTTTGCATATTCTATTTCAAAAATAACAATCAGTTGATATATTTTATTTATTAGAAAATTATAGACCTAATCCATTTATTATTAATCGCTATAATAAAATACCACGTTAATATTAAACTTAGATGATATAATTAAGATTTGTCAAATTATATTTAAAATATGAGAAATGTTATTTAAGATTTCATTTCTTAACATATAACTCAAATAAATTTCATGGAATGATTACTTTAGGAAGTAGATCTAATGCTAGATAAGAAAGTGAAATCTCAGCTATTAATACAACTGACTAGAGCATATTAAGTGGAGAATAATTACTTGAATATTTACTAAGTGAGATTTTAAAAATATTGAGATCTTCAAAATAACTTCCAATAGTTATTAATAAGATTAATCTACTCATGAACAATTCCTAAGATTTACAAGCTAAGATGTGCTTATAATCTATATTGCACCTTTTAGTTTGTAAAGCTAAGTATGGTTGGAATTATAAATCTACATATTTACCTTAGATCATAACCTAAATTAACATGTTATTCAAATATAAATTCTATTTAGAGAATAGATTTTGTTTTTCTCATGATATTAAGTAAATGATAACTGAAAATAAAAAACAAATAATAAATCAAAGTAATATTGCATAAAATAAGATTGAATAAGATCATCTTATGAATTTATCTTAAAAGCTTAAATTCAATATCTCTAATGTAATTGACAATCAAGTTAATTCAAGATTTCATGAGTAATATGTTATCAATTATATCAATATTGCTTATCTAGGCAAAAATATGAAAATGTCAAGATAGGATAATATTAACATTTTAAACCAATTTGAAGTGTTATAGATCAAGGATAATTCAACCGATGAATTAATAGATATACCAGAAAGTCCACGTAATACTCTTCTTGAGAAAATGAAACATGCTCCTGTTGTGAATGCTAAATTCAAAGATTTTCCTAATATAAGATCAAAGTCCTAGATAGAATTGTGAATAATTAACTAATAATTAATAACTAATATCATTCTTAAAAAAATAGCAATACCTCTGACTTTGTAGTTCTATGTTATAGTTTATAGTTGAACTAAAACTATTAATTTTGTTTTCTTTCTAACATGGGATAATTGACAATAGACTTATCTTTCTTACTTTACTCCAAAATTAAATTATCCAGTTCATCAAATTCGAATTGATGTAAACTATTGATTTTTGGACTTTATAACGGACTAGGTATAATTTATAACTGTTTTGTATTTGGAGAAGAGAGTTGTGAGCCAGTACTTACTAAAGTATTGCTTACTCCACTTCTTTGAAAACGACCATAATCCTAATTAAAAATCTTATGATTAATAGCTTAAGCTGCAGTAAGTCTATGAAATGGATTTCTAGAAAGTAAACTTTAAAGGAAATCCAAAGCATCTCCATTTACATTTACTATACTCCAATCAATTAATCCTTATTTATTTAATTTGACTCTTTTATTGTAATCATCTGAATCAAAAGGGTTTTCTCCAGTCAACATTTAAAAGAGAACAATACCTGCACTAAAGACATCCACTTTGAAATCATATAATTTATTCTATAATAACTCAGGAGCACAATATCCAGGAGTTCCACAATTAGTAAATAGATATTAACCATCTTTTCTATAATAATCTGCCAAACCAAAATCAGTTAAGACCAGTTCTTCTGAATTTCTAAACATAATATTTTCTGGTTTAATATCTCTATGTATAACACCAAGACTATGCATATGATCTAAAGCAACAAGTAATTATCGAATATTGTTAAAAGCTCTTTTTTCACTAATTTTCGATTTTTTTATTTCTTATCGCAGATTGCCTCCCAATAACAATTCAAAAACTACAAATATAAATTATTCAGATTCAAAGGTTTCATAAAATTACAATAAGTTTGGATGCTCAAACAGACGAGCTATCTCTAGTTCTTTGGCTAAAGCAATTTTATCACTTGGTAGTATAAGCAAAGATTTTTCAAAAGTCTTAACAGCAAACTCTTTTTAGTTACTCTTATTCTTTACTCTATAAACCTAACTTCTATAATTAATAAATACCTTTCCATAAGTACCTTATCCAATTAATTTGAGAATGGAATATTTTTGAGTGAAATTTGATTAAATACACTACTTTTTTAGTTTTTCCAACAATTCTTCTATCTTACCATATATTTCAATATAGTTTTATCCAAATCCTAATTTACACCCTTCTCCAAATACATTATGTCTTACTACTTCTAATTAAGAATTTCCAATATCACAAACTTTCAACTTCTATTATAGTCTACATATATATAATTACATGATTCCTGCATTTATAGAGGTTTTAGCCTTATAAGTATAGACTAGCTTCTCTGAAGACTCCTAATTTGTAGGAAACATGAAAACAACCACTTACACTTGAGTCTATTGGTTTAGTACTAAGAGTCCACAGTTAAGTTCTGTTGGATTGAAGCAAAAAGTTACATGTCTTTACAGTGTTACTATTATCGATCATTTATAATAATATAGTAATTTCAATTACAATCTAACCAAATAAATGTAATAATTAATTAATGAAATTTTTCATAATTATTACATTTGCATTATGTTTATACATAATACTTGATATCCTATTAAACAATCAAATGTGGGAAGCTAATACTGTACTTACAGTTTATTTACAGGAGCACTAATTTCCAGGAGAAAAAGAAATATTTTTATTTTTTTCATATTCTCTTTTTGCAATGCCAGGAATAGCATTAATTGCATTTTTATTTTTTGATAATAAATTAGGTGCTTTACTTTATGGTTGCATGATTTAAGCAATTTTTGCAGAGAATTCAGTTCTTAAAAATCTATACCATTAAGCACGCCCATATTTTATTGAAGACTCTATTTAACCATATGAGTGTAATAAAGAATATGGGAAACCTTCAGGTCATGCAATGTCATCATCAGCTATGTGTTTTCTAGTACCTTGTATAATATTTCCTGCTATTTTAAAGGATCAATAAAAGTAATTCAAATTTATGAAATAGTTACAAGTACTCATTGAATTTTAGAATAATTATAATGTTTATAGTCACTGTTTGGACATTTATGACAGGATTATCTAGAGTTTTTATGGGTGTTCATTCTTTTGGATAAATTTTATTAGGTTGGGTTTATACAGCCTATACGATTATAATATATATGCATTATTTTCATACTCCAATATCTAATTACATTAAGTAATGCTTATAACCAGGATCCTAAGGAGTATCAAGTAAAGTGATTAAAGGAGCGGGATTATTTGCATTTGGATGGACTTGTTTATCAATTTTAATCTTTGAATTCAATAACAAAATATTTCTAGATGAAGATGAAGTGGAAATTTGGTTGGATGCTTTGTATTAGAAATGTGCAAATTAAACAACTCATTATAATATCAATAGTCCATAAGTTTTACATAACATTTGTTTTAGTTTAAGCTTATATATTTGGTTTCCTTTCAGTTTCATTTTAGGTGTTAAATTAACTAGAGGAATTTATAATGAAAATCAATTTAGTATTCATTACAAGATGCTTACTTTCTGGTAAAAACTAAGTAGAGTATTGATACTACTTTTATTACTTTCAACTTTGATTCCAATAATTTTAATCAAATATTAAAATACTTATTCAGAAGCATTTGGAAAGGTAATCAATATTTTTATTAATAAGATTCTTCCAATATCTATTTTAGGTGGATTGATAATCACCTATGTCTATTCTTAGATTTTAAATTACTTCAAACTTACAATTGAAGGAGATTTTATATAAATATCACCCTAATTAATTTCAACACCTGAAGGATATAAGGCCAGTGAATTAGGATAGATAAACTTTTGAATAATTTTAGAATGTAATTTGAAAAATTAAAGGTTCTCACAATATATAATTTTTAAGAAATTTAATATAATTATTAAATTATGTAAAATCTTTATAATAAATTACCCTATGTCATTATGAGTAACGATTTTATTAATCTAGAGTGATCAAAGGATTGGATATCTTTGGATAATCTATTACCTTAAATATTAACAGATAGAAAACCTATACAACAATATTTGGAGGATTGTCATCCATTCTTATCATAGCTATTCTTGTTGCATTTTTTTAATCCAATATTATATCATTTTTCAATAAAACTGCTGTTATTTTTTCGACTGAAACACAATTCGATCAAAGCCCTGACTAAATTATAATGAATATCTAAAATTATATGGTTGCATTTTCAATAGAACAAAAAAATTTTATTGGGAATCCAATGTTTAATATTACAATAGAATAAAGGTAATTAAACATATATATATATTAATTTTAGACATTATTATCGAGATAAACATGGTAATTAAATAAAATAAATTAATTATTTATAATTGGAACCATGTACATTAGATCATTTCTAATTTCTCTTAAATCAACCTGAATCTAATTTTGAATCTGAATATTATATGCTTGAATTAGATAAATGGCTTTGTCCATAGTAATTAATTAATTATTTTATTATTTAGAAAAGATTTTTAATTTAGTATATAAGGAACTTACACTAGCAGCCAATTTGATTTTATTAGAGTTATTGTTAATGACTGTGATGATTCTAAAAATGGCTATATAAATTGGAAACCTACTTGTGCTAAATAATCTGAAATTAATGAGCATTTAAATAAAGAAGGATAATTTAAATTGTAAATTTATTAAGTCAATAATGTTATCAATCCAAAAGCTCCTGAATAATATTATTAATCATATCTTGATGGAGAAATGTATTTTACTTTTGTTCCTAAAAAATTGTCAAGACAAGCAAATTTATTTTTTAGAAAATATGATTTTTAAAATGATGATTCGTTATTACCATATCAGTAAAATATATGTACATATAGTTTAGATCTATTAATGATAAAGAATTAATTGTTAGATAAAGTGTAGATTATAGAGATTTAACAGAGATTGGAAGAGATACTGATGAAAATTATGCTATTGCTTATCTAAGAAGAAGTCAATTCTCAGAATTTATAAATAGAAGATATATTAAAATTGATGAATTATTATCATTTCTTGGAGGATTTTTATAAATTATGATTACAGGTTTCGGAATATTTATTATGTATTATAATAAATTATCATGTAAACTATTTTAATAATCATTTAGTATAAATTGAATTATCCAATAAATTGTATAACTTCCCAGAAAAATAAGAAAAAACCAAAATCAAATAAAATCAAGTTTAACAAACCTTAGAAGGATCAATGTTTAATGATTCTAAATTGATTGTAAATTCTGACTAAGGAATTCCTAAAGCCACTTTAATATTTGACAAAGAAGAATGCAAATTTCCTAAACATATTTTAAAATTATTTGAACAATCTTAAAGATTAACCTTATCTCTGAAATCATTAATTAATCATTTATCATTCAAATTAATTTTTAATAATGATGAAGCTTAACTTTTCTAAAAAGCTATGTATTTAAATAAGTCAAATATTATAGGGATGCTGTTGATTAAAATTTGGATATTTAAGAAATCCTTTATTAATTACAAGAAATAGCTAAATTAAAAGCCTTAATTCTGAAAAATCAGTAAATAACATTATTTAATTTTACACCAAAACCCAATTTGACATTAAAAGATGAAGAACAGATTCCAAATAGATTAATTATAGAATAAACATTTTCTGAATAGGATAAATAAGGAACTTATAAAGAAGATTTAATAAATGAACTTTATAATGTAAATCATATAAATTATTATATAAGGCATGGTTAGAAATAAAATCTGATAAAACTTAAAATATTTGTCAATATGAATTAAATCAGAGACTAAATCAAGGATTAGGTAATGAATTTCAACAAATATTTTCTGATTATGAAAGAGCATGTATTAATTAGAAAATATAGAAGGAATCTTAATAAACAATTTAAACTCAAACATTAATATAGTAAACCTTAAATTGATTATAAATTTAATAATGATGTGATATTTCTATTTATAGAAAAATGTTTATTAAGAATTTAAAACAAAATACTTTATTTTTTGTTCACTCTATTTTAATTTTATTTAATTGATTTATAAAGAGAAAAAGTCAGTATAATATTTTCTTCTTTCATGAGTAGCAATTTTTTTAAATCAATTTTCATTATATTTCTTTCTTATTATAGTTTTTTCTAATTGATAAACTTCTCTCTAGAGATTTTATTAATAATAGAGAATCTATAATAAGAAAATCCATTTAAAACTATTGGAAGCTTAAGTCATGAAATTTACATAAACTCATAACTATTAGAATATTAATTAATAATTGTGTTATTTTTTAAATTCTTTTGACAATTATTTATATAAGAATAAAATATATATGTCAAAGAAACTCAAAATAAATTTAAATATTTTAATGTAAAGTTTACTTAAAAAATTACCTTTGATCATTTTAAGTAAAGATCTTATTAAACCAAAGTTGTCAAAAGCTTGGATATTTTTGGCCAATCCATAACTTTAAATATAAATAAGCAAAAAGCATATACAACTGTTTTCGGTGGTATATCATCTATTTGCCTCATCTTCATTTTGGTAACAATATTTCAATCCAATATTGTAAACTTTTTTTAAAAATCTGATGTCATTTTCTATTCAAAGACTGAATTCGATCCAAACCCTGATAAAATTACAATGAATATATAAAATTATATGGCTGCATTTTCAATAGAACAAAAAAATTATGTAGGGAATCCAATGTTTAATATTACAATAGAATAAAGGTAATTAAACATATATATATATTAATTTTAGACATTATTATCGAGATAAACATGGTAATTAAATAAAATAAATTAATTATTTATAATTGGAACCATGTACATTAGATCATTTTTAATTTCTCTTAAATTAACCTGAATCTGACTTTGAATCTGAATATTAATAGCTTGAATTAGATAAATGGCTTTGTCCATAGTAATTAATTAATTATTTTATTATTTAGAAAAGATTTTTAATTTAGTATATAAGGAACTTACACTAGCAGCCAATTTGATTTTATTAGAGTTATTGTTAATGATTGTGATGATTCTAAAAATGGCTATTTAAATTGGAAACCTACTTGTGCTAAATAATCTGAAATTAATGAGCATTTAAATAGAGAAGGATAATTTAAATTGTAAATTTATTAAGTCAATAATGTTATCAATCCAAAAGCTCCTGAATAATATTATTAATCATATCTTGATGGAGAAATGTATTTTACTTTTGTTCCTAAAAAATTGTCAAGGCAAACAAATTTGTATTATCGAAAATATGATTTTTAAAATGATGACTCATTAATTCCATTTTTTAAGTATATTTAGTACATATAGTTTAGATCTATTAATGATAAAGAATTAATTGTTAGATAAAGTGTAGATTATAGAGATTTAACAGAGATTGGAAGAGATACTGATGAAAATTATGCTATTGCTTATCTAAGAAGAAGTCAATTCTCAGAATTTATAAATAGAAGATATATTAAAATTGATGAATTATTATCATTTCTTGGAGGATTTTTATAAATTATGATTACAGGTTTCGGAATATTTATTATGTATTATAATAAATTATCATGTAAACTATTTTAATAATCATTTAGTATAAATTGAATTATCCAATAAATTGTATAACTTCTCTTAAAGATTCAACAAAAAATTTTCATTCAGATAAACTGATAAATAAACTGTTAATGCATTAAAATTAAATGAATCAAAGGTTGCTATCTAACCGGATCAAACAGTAAAAAAAGACGATACATTAATAAATGATAAAGATTAAATAGTTATTACGCAATAAATTTTAAATCTATTTGAGAAGTCTACAAAATTAAAGTTAACATTAAAATAATTGATAAATTATATTTCATTCGGATTTTTATTTGATAATAAAGAATCCAAACTTTTTAAAAAAGCAATGTAATTATTAATAACAATCTGCTAGGGTTAGGGTTGATCAAAGTTTAGATATTTAAGAAATATTATATTAATTGCAAGAAATAAATAAGCTAAAAGCCTTAATTCTTAATAAAAATTAGATTATATTATTTAATTTTACTCAAAAACCAAATTTGACTTTGGAGGATGAAGAATAACTTCCAAGTAGACTTTAAATTGAATAATATTTAACAGAAAATGACAAGGAAGGAATTCAAAAAGAATTAATTATATAAGATCTATTTAATGTAACTCATAAATTTAATTATAAAAAGGCATGGAGAGAAATAAAATATGATGAAAATGAAAATATGTGTAAATAATAATTAAATTAGAAACTCAATCAAGAATTAGGAATTGAGATTTAATAAGTTTTTTCTGATTATGTAAAAGCTGAAAACAATCAAAATAAATAAAAGGAAAGTTCTAAAGAGAATATTATTGAGCAGAATCATATAAATTAATTTTAGAATTAATGAGAAAATAATATTTTATATTTGAAATAAAAAAGTTATTAGAGAAATTTTTGAATTTAAGAAATACAAATCATCCTTCAGAATCAGGATTGACTTAACTAATCTTAATGCTTCTGCGAGGTGTGAAACGTTTTCTTTGAAATACATTTTTAAGTTCAACAATTTTTGATATTGATAGACCAGGTTTACGAGGAAGGTTTCTACTTGTTTTAAGTGAGCGTTCTCTCTATTGAAGTTTCTAAAATTTCATTACGTACTCAAATGGAAAGTACATATAATAAATAAGTTTATTCATATAATGAAAATGGTTAATAGATCTGTTTCTTATTTCTTATAAGACTTTATTGATATTGTGACTTACCATATAGAGATCATAATTTTTAACGATTTCAAATTAATCTAATCCCTACTCTGATTTAAATTTCAGATAAAGCATTTCTATATCTAAAATGGATTTTAAATTTTCTAATTATTCATTTATAGCAGATTTTCTCATTTTTAGATATAGTTGTTCAATTTACTATTGCATCATTTCATTAAAATCTGATAATTAGTTTTGTTCAATATCTAGTTAAGACTATTAAGGTTATTGTTATTAGTATTTACTCAAGTAATTCTTTTTATACATAGATAATTTAGCTGTTGTATATTTATTAAATGGAGGTGGTTTAAGATCAAAGTCATAATTATTTTGACCTCTTTTGATTGAATGATTATTATCATAAGAGCTTTAAGAATCCATAATACCTTATTTTCGCCGATGATTTTGGGAATGAATCATACTATGTATTGGACTAATAGGTTAGGGTGGAAAGTTGTTAGAGGAGGAAAAGTTTTATGATAGTAAAATGGAGTCTTATTTTCTTAAAAGGATTTATTGATTATGATCATGAGTTGGAGGAGCAGAAATATTTTCATCTGATTTCATAGGATTTTCATCAACTTCTTATTCAAATACTAATTATTATTGTAATTGTGATTTGATTAATTTTTGTTTTTCATTTTGAAAATAGAGTGTAAATTATTCTATTATATCTAAATCAGTTAATGTCTAAAATAGATCTTTAATCCTTTTTGAAGATCTTTTCCATTCACTTCTTTCTTATGGTTTAGAATATAGGTGTCTTTTAATAACAACTTCTCTATCAATAGTAAGTTTGAGCTAAGGACATCCAATGAGATCATGATCATTTTGTTTACAAGCTGCACAATAGACTCCATAAGGTAACTATTTCTTTTGAATACTCAATTTAATATTGTCTTTGAGTTGACAATAATGCTAATAATCTTTGGGGAAATTGTTTAAGACTGCAAGAAAATCTATCTAATAATTATTTAAAGGAAATACTTTACTAAGAGTCAAAAGACTAACATAACCAATGGCTTAGTAGATTTGAGTGTTTTCATTTTCTGATACGAAATCCTAAACTTAAAGGAATTGTCCTTAACATTAAATTCCTTTGAGTGAATGACGATGTCTATTTAGATATTGTAATTGACCTTACTCGACAAAGCAGAGATGTGGCTGCTTAATATTGCCGAGTGTAAAGATGGAGAAAGTGTTTTAAGGTTGTATGATAGTTCGAGCAATATGACAAGATAGAGCATTCTAAAATTCTAGGCTAAAATTACTGGATAAAAAGGAGCAATGACTAAAAAATACACTATTTGATTATTGCCTTAACTCTTATTTCAATTCTTCTGATAATTCACCTAATAATTATTCTTCTTGTTAAAGATCTATTTCTGCTTCTTCTTTCCATCTGAAATTAAGATATTCTCGAATTCTAAAATCTATAAAAAAATGAATACCTATATTATAGTCCATAAGGAATATTTCTTTTATGCATATATCTATTAATAACTCTAATTTTTTTAATTCTCTCTACCATATTTTGATTAATTTCTTTAATAATGATACCAATTGTATTGACACTATAACTAAACCATAAACATGCTCCCATTATAAAAAAGATTGCTACAATTTTTTCATTTGAACTTTTTGGTACATTATCTCCATATCCAATAGTTAACATAGTAACAATAGCAAAATAGAATGCTTCTAAATATTGTACTTGCCATGTTTACTAATCTAAAAATTTGAATTGAATCCAAGATTCCTCAAGACTCAAATTAGAATTGAAATACCAAATACATGAAAACATATGTAATATGTACATAAGAGTTAAAATCAATTTCAATAGACTAATGATTCCTTTTTGAGATTTACTAAAGTATTATGATTCTTCACTCTTTTATATGACTTCACTGATATATTTGAATTACATTAAAGAAGTAAGCAAAATAATTAGATAATAATTTGATATTTCGTCTCCATTTTTAATACAATAATAAAAAAGGGGTGTTAAAGTTAATACATCTATAAATAACACACTAAATATTTATTGGCGTACTATTTCGAAACGATCTAAAACTGCATGTCCTTTTACATAACATATAGTATTTAATCTAATTAAGACATCAAAAAGTAATAAAGATGAAAGTAAAGTAGTGAGTGGTAAAATCTAATTAAATAAAATTCCAGGATTATAAGCAATCTCAAGTGGTATTAATACCAATAATATCAATCTAATAACAGTTATGAAGTAGTCCCACATTAATTTCTTAGGACTTTCAGGATGGAACTGAGGAATCTTTGATAATTTCTCATAGGCATATTTCCTTAACATTTAATATTTCTCTTTTATGGATACATATACAGGATTCTCAGGTTTCACTAATGTATGTTATCGAAAAAGTCGGGAGACATTACGAATTTAAAAAACAGGGCTTGCAAATTTCATTTAAGTCAACATAACCTAACTATTGTTGAATAGTTTATTTACTTATCAGATCCCTAATCATCAATCAACTAAAGATGACTTTCATTTATATTTTGCAATTTTTATCGATGACTTCGTATTTTCTATACAAACCGTTTCACAAAGAAGAATGCCATCAAACTAACACCAGTACGCTATGCTCTTTTTGTCCATTCTGGAAGTAAGGCCTATTTAGGAGTGTAATCAACCTCATTCGTTCTCCGAGTGTCTAATTGCGACTTAATCACAAAATTCGGACTATTGAATGTTCCTCTTAAACCAGTATTCAGGTACTCTTGTTCATATTCCAATTCATTAATGGCTTACAATTCTTGTATTGGAGAAAAATTATGTTGTTGGTACAAGAAATTTGATTAATTCATAATTGTATTAATAATTGTTATACATTAACTCTATTGATTGTAAATTGATTAAGAATTTTTATAAAATGTAAATCAGCAATATTGACAATTCATTTTAATTATTGTAAATCATTTCAAATACAATTTGTGATATTAGTAATCTAATTTAAAATTATCAAACTCAATAATCTTTAATGAAATTAAGAATGAATTTTTTCATTAAATTATTTTATTGAGTTTTGTTTTTCGAATAAATATTAATTAATAAATGTAACAGGACCATTAATATGAAAACACATACTACTAACCAAAAGGACTCAATATGTATGTCAGACAATCAATTAAACCCTTCCTTTTACCTTAAACAGAAGCCAGCACACATCGCTTCTCCTAATTAGACTATTTTACAGATCCCACATTAAGTATGTTAGATCCTTAAGGACCATAAACTGATCGAACACATATCAGAAACAATAAATAGATTGTTAAACATATTAAACCTGCTAAAATAGAACCTGAATCCAATATTCTAAACGAAGAGAAGAACAAACTATAAACAAAATTTAATTTACTAGACTCTTTTACTATAAGACATTCATAACATCATTTACAAGTTAAAAATGAAATCAAATAAGAAATTTTATAAAGGAAATTTAGTGAATAAAAAATAGGTTTCAAAGTATAACAATTAGATGAAGAACAAGAGTCTCAAGTAATTTTAAGAAGAAATCAGTTTTTTTATACTTCTTTAAGAATAAAAGATCGATATTCTCCTTTAACTCTTTAAATAAGAATTAAATAAGGTGATCCAAATACAAGATTACGAATATTTGCATCACCTAAATTCATATAGCCTAATCGATTTAATGCTTCTGTTGAGGTAAGTGGAAGATAATTAAAATACACATCAAATTCTGAAATTTTTTAAGAAGATACTTTATATGTTGCAATCTTAGCTTTAAATGAAATATAAATTGGTATTAACATAGAATTTGGAAGACCAACTACTAAAAGAGTTGTGTAAAGAGAGAGAAAAGAAAAATCTATTTATGAATTTCCTCCTGATTTAGAACTTCAAATAGAAGAAATTATGATGAGAAGAAGACTTCGTTATGCAAATTAATAAAATTATGTACAATTAAATAAATGTTCTTAAATGTCCCGTAGAATTCCAGAATAACCATAAACACCAAAACATTTAGAAATAAAGCAAAAAATAAGAAGAATTAAAGTTGAATAAAATTTAAAAAGATAAGCTTAATTATAAGTTCATGATATAGCCAAATAAATTCATAGAAAATAATTAGAAATGTAAAGAGAAATAAAACATAGAGAATATGTCTAAAAGTCTTGGCTTAAAATTATTTGTTTAATCAATATTTTAGCTCCTGGTATAAATGAATTTATTGAAAATCAAAGATAAATAGTTGCTAAAAATATGAAAAAATAGATCTCTTTAATCTAACTCTTAAATAAAATTAAAAAAAAAGTAGAAAAATTTGGACCTAATTGTAAATTAAGGACAATATTATAAGGAAAATAGTAATATTTATTAATATTTGAAATAGTTGTTTAAAATTGATAGCAAATAATTCAAGAATGATGGCTAAAAGAAGAGCTTAAAAAATAATTACACAAATGTTGCAAAATAATATTACTTGCTTTATTACTGAAAGCAAAGGCACTCATGTTGTCAATTTAAGTAATGCGAAAAACCATATGAAGTAAAGAAATGCGTGAATCGATTAGTGAAACATAAAAACAGTAGAATCGAGTTTATGAGCAATCTAAAACTATATCTGAGTGTCTAATATAAACAGTTGTACCAAATAGCTCTTAGATACAGTAAATAAAGTGATTCAGCTAAAAATAAAAGAGATCCTATACATTTTCTCTTATATGATGCGTAAATAAAATATTTTTTTTAAGTTCCTTTCTGCATCAAATGACTAAGAAATTATTAAGTCATGTATTTGAAAAGTGGAATAAGAATTTTATTACTTTTAGAAATGCAACATAAGAAGAAAGAGAAAAAAAAGGTAAAAAAGGAGTAGCACTATTTTGGCAACCTCCAAAACTTTTCGAATTACCTTAAGATATAGTGGTTAGATTATTTTTGTTTGAAGAGCTTGAGAAGAGAGGATTAATAACTGGAGAATATAAAGATTGAAAATTAATGATACTAATCATATTGAATCCAAAAATTTCCATAGTATATATCTTTAACAATTTATATATATATAATCTAATTAAAAACTTATAATTATTACAAATTAATTGTTATAATTATGAATTAAAATTTCATTTTTTTTTTGTTGTATATGATCTAGATTATTATGTTTAAAATCCTTCTGCTTTTATAGTATATGCAATTAAATATTCAGAATTAGGTTATAATGTAATTTAATATTGATTTCCTCTTTCTGGCTTTTTTAATTTTAAGCCAACCATTTTAGAAAATGTACTTTTAACTTAAATAACATCATTGCCAGTATTTTTATAATATTCATAACCAATTCTAAGATAAATATAATTAAAATACCCATATTTAAGAGGAAGATCTGATATTATTTCAAGATTTGGACATCCACTTTATTCTTTCTTAGGGTTTTACTTTGCTTAATCCAATAGAATTTGTTAAATAAACATTGGATCTTTTTAAATCTATTTTAATTTTATTTCTTTTGGTCCATAAGTGCTAATAACAAATTTTTCTTCATTCCAAAATAACCATTTTACTTTAACTTATAAAACATAACGACCTTTATCTAATAACTCCCCTACATATACTTATTAATCTTGCTCTTACTTTGCGTATTCCCATACATAACCTTATTTAGTCTAAGAACCAAGAATCATTCTTATAGAAGAATAATCATAATTTTTATATTTTTCTTTAAAATGTCTTGATGATTTTTATTAAGCAGTAAAATAATATTAACCTGCTACATCAATGTTGAAAATAAAATAAATAGATTTATTAGATTTACTTACAATTGTTTAAGAATTATATATATAGCTTTTTTAAAAATATCCAACATAGATTGTTTTAAAATAGTTAATAAAATCTTAATAAGACATATAAAAGATTCCATCCTCGGCTTTTTCAGATACTCTTAATTATTATTTTATTTCTTTAGTCCATGATGGACTACCATCACTCCATTCTCCTATCCATTCTTTTTTGCCCCAAGGATTTCTCAGTTTGATTAGCATAACCTCTCCTTTCGATGGATGCTAAATAGTTCTAATTTTTAAAATAGAATATGCATGATCAGCTATGAGACCCATAATTTCAGAATTATTTGTTTTAGAAAATGTTCCTGTTGTCATTAAACATTTTCTTTACACATTTCCAATAAACTGTTCTTTAAAATCTGACTAATCAGTTTTTAAGCTCCATGTTGGTCCACCAGTTAGACTACGAATGACTTCTTTTGAATCTCCAGATATGATATTTGAATAAGATCCAAAAGATTTTGCCCAAGCTTTTTCCATTAGTAGAACCCAGATTTCTTTTGATGGGCTTTATGAAAATGCAGGCTAATTCCCTTAAGTAGGAATATAATCATCAAGAATAATAGCTTTCCAAACACCATCAATGCAAAGTCTAACTGAATAAATACCACATGGGTTTTTTGTTTAAGTTAAAAATAAATCTAATAAAAAGTCAGGCCTAGAGTATTTGTAAATTTTATTACCATCTACATGCCATTGAACTTAAAACTGATAGAAAATAACAATCTCCCAATTACCCTTGACAAATATCTTTTGGACTTATCCATTTTCCTAAACCAAACCTAGATTGGGTTACGTCTTTAACAAAAACTTCATATGTAGGCCATATATCTTTTATTCGCTTCCATTAAAATTGTGTTAATTTTGAGCCTAAACTCTACACATTAGCTGGGAATTCATTATCAGTAAAAATTTGTTTCTATCTAAATAAATCATTAAATTTATTTAGAAAGTCCTAAACACCTGGTATATTATAGTCTAAAATTATGTAATTCTAGAATTGTATATCAGATTTTAAAATATTGGCTTACTATGGATCTTCATATAATATAGATTCTAAAATTGGATTAATTTTTCTTTAAGGAGAATCTTTTATAGGGTTTTTCAATTATTGTATTTATTATTATTATTGTTATTATTATTATTGCTATTATTATTATTATTATTATTATTATTGTTATTATTATTATTGTTATTATTATTATTTTTGCATTTGTAATTTCAATTATTCTTACTAATCATTTTTCGGTGTTTCTACTTTAGGTTATACATAATTATTTTATTATTATAATGGTTTCTAAGGTAATAAAGGTTTCCTAGTTGGTGTAGTATCTCTCTATTTATCTTGAGTAATTGGTCTTTTTTAGTCTATTTTTTAATTTAATGGATTTTTTTTTGGTTATTATAATGCTTTAATACTGTTTCTCATTGAATTACTTTCTTATATCCAACTCATTAGATTGTAAAGAGTAACTTTTTAAGTAGGAATTGTATTTTTTAATTTAATATATTCATCAGGAGATAGAGTTGGGACAAAATATTCCAAAAATGTCCTAAACTCCTTTTCATTTAGAAAATTATCCTTATCAGAATCAAAAATACAAAAAATTCTCTCAATATCTTAATTCTTAACTTATAGAGATTTTGAAATTTAATGAAAAATTTCATTTGGACTTCTTATTTAAATATTCTATTTTGCCAATAATAAACTAGCTTTTCGAAGTAAATCATTGATAATATAGGTTGACATAGCTGATGCTTCATATTCTATAAGAGTTGATATATAAAAATTTTAAACTTCTGTTTTAGGAATTTAATCATTGAGTACTTTCATCATTTCAATAAATCTCTATTAATCAATGACACCTCTACCAAAACGTTTAATAATCGTTATAGAATCCATTTTATTTCCAAGTTTTAAAAGTGATAAGAGTATTTGATCTGAATAAGTGGACATTATTTAAATTAATTAAGATCAAAATATCTATAGTTTTTGTATATAAATAAATAAAGTAAATAGAATTAGATTATCATTTATGATTATCAAAAAAAAAAGTAATAATATAATAGTGTTTCATTTGATTTTTATAATTAATGAAGAAATTTTATTCAAGTAAGATGATATAATATATTAATAAGCAATTCAATAATTAGACATATTTGGTCAAACAATCACATTAAATATAAATAAGGAATCCAATTACAAAACATTTTTTGGAGGAATTTCATCAATATTGATAATTGCGATTTTGATTGCTTTTTTTTTTTCAAATGTTATGGATTTCCTTAATTAAACAGAAATCATATTTTCACTTGAAACTAAATTCTCTATTAATCCAGATGATATGATTTTGACATCATAGAATTATATGGCTGCATTTTCCATAGAATAAAAAGGATTTGCAATCAATCCATACTTCAATATCTCAATAGAATAAAGGTATTATTATATTTATTTAGATAATACATTCGAGATGAAAATGGAAAATTAATAAAAAATATAAGTTATATTCCTTTAGAAACTTGTACATTATCACACTTCGACCTCTTATTAAACCAATCAGATATCAATTTCTAGGAATAATATAATTAGCTTGATCTCTCAAATTGGTTATGTCCCAAGTATAATAATTGAATAAATTAAGAAAGGATTTTTAATTCAAACTTAGTGGTACATATTCTAGTTAGGAATTTAATTTTATTAAAATCATTGTAAATGATTGTATAGACAATAAAGAGAATGAAACAGGAGGATGGAATCCAATTTGTGCATCAGAATAAGCTAAATAATAACATCTATAAAAGGAAGGCTAATTTAAATTTTAAATTTATTAAGTTAATTCTGTTGTTAATCCAGGCTAACCAAAGACTTATGTAAGTTCATATTTAGATGGAGAAATGTATTTTACATTTGTTCCAAAAAAGATGTCTAGATAAGCTAATTTATTTTACAGAAAATATAAGTTTTTTAATGATTTATCACTATTACCACTAGAGTATTTATATGAATATTTATTCTTAAGGAATATCCATTAAGAAGAAGTTGTAGTAAGAGAGAATTCAGATTATAGAGACTTAACAGAAATAGGAAGAGATACAGATGATAACTATGCCATTATTTATCTGAGGAGAAGTTAATTTACTGAGATAGTTAATAGAAGATATACATAGATAGGAGAATTACTTTCTTATTTAGGAGGATTTCTATAGATAATGATAACTGGATTAGGAATATTCATTATGTATTATAATAAAATTTAAAGTATCAAAATAATATATTTATTATTTAGTGCAGATAGAGTTATCAAATAAATTATATAATTTTAAGATAAGTCCTGGGAAGGAATAAAATTAGATGAGTATAATAAAACCCAGTTAGATATCAAATGCAAAGGGTTTATCATTATCAGTTGAGGATTCATAGAATTAGAATTTAAATGATAGTCTTGTTGATGAGAAATACAAGAAGAATTATCTAAAGAAAGCAATTATTAAATAGTTTTAGTAAATGAATCAGATTAGTTTATCAATGAAATTAATATTAAATTAGATTACTTTTGGATTATTATTCAACAATAATGATTCTTAATTTTTGAACAAAGCTATGTATTTATTATTATTAATAGTGATTAATTTTAGTAATAAAGTTAATAATGACCTTAATATTCATGATATCCTTTATAAGATTTAAGAAATATAGAAATTGAAGCATGTATTATTGAGAAGATCTCAAATAATTTTATTTAATTTTACACCAAAGCCTCTGATTACTTTGGATGAAGATTATCAATTACCAAATCGTATGGATATAGAAGAAAATTTAAGTGATTTGATAAATTCTAATTTTGAAGAAAAGAATGAAAAGAATTTATTCACTGACATATATCATGTATTAATTCTTATTATATGAAGGCTTATTTGGAAATAAAAAAGGAATTAGATGATGAATCAATGCCTTTTTGTTAATTTTAATTGAATGCTTAATTGGCTTTAGAATTAGGACCATAAATGCAAGAAATATTCAAGAATTAAGAGTAGATTGAGAATTAAGAAAAGGTGGCATTTTCAATTATATTAAAATCTGTAAATGAATGAAGTAAATAAAAGTAATATTTGGCATTTAAATATTATTTATTATATATATAAATTAATAAATATAATGGATTCAAAGAATTAATGGAACTAAAAATCATCAGTACAAGAATTTGGAATACAAAAATCAAGTTTAGCTAAACCAGTGCATCAATAAGTAAAACCTACATAGTAGGTGGCTCCTAAGAATGAGCATGATCAGAATTAGCTTGTGCGTAGAGTTACGAAAAGAAATATTGCAATAAAGAAATCTATAGTTTCAAATGAAGGAAAAATTTATGAGACATTTGAGCCTTTAATGAAGCCATAAACTCCATAAGATATTGGATTTATTGTAAAATGCTTTTAATCTCATTTTGTATTTTCTTCGATGAATGAAACTTAATTGTAAGATTGATAATTAATTGAAGAATACAATTAGCAAAGAGTATGTTCTATTGTAGATTGGTGATTGGATAAACTATAATAAAGTAAGGAGATGGAGCTAGTTCATTTTTTGTATTGGAAAAAGGTAAGATTAATGTATTGGTTGATGGAATCTCTAGAAAATAATTAAATTAAGGAAATGGATTTGGTGAATTGGCATTATTATATAATGCTCCAAGATCAGCAACATGTGTGGCTATGGAAGAATGTTTTTTATGGGGAATAGATAGACATACCTTTAGAAAAAGTGTAGAAAATGTAATGAGGAGTGAATAAGAGAAGAATAGATAATTATTAGAATAAGTTAAGTTTTTTAGTAATCTATTATATTAAATATTTTAGATCAATTAACTAAGGATTAAAAAGATGCTATAGCAGGAGTATTGATTTTATAAAAGTTTAATCAAAATGAAATTATTGTAAATGAGGGAGATTAAGCTAGTTCATTTTATATCATAGTTGAAGGCAAATGTGGTGTTTTTAATAAGGAAGATGTTTAGATTGCAACTCTAAATCCTAAAGACTCTTTTGGTGAATCTGCATTAAAACATGACAATCAAATTAGAATGATGACTATTAAAGCAATTGAAAAGGATACTAAAGTTGTAGCTTTAGGAAAAGATATGATTACATAGATATTAGGTGATAAAGTTCAATATATAATCTATAAGAATATTTGTAAATGGGCATTAAATAGATCAAAATTATTTGGCAAAATTCCATAAGCAGTATAAGATAAATTAATTGAAGGAGTTATTTATAGGAAATATACTGCTGGATAAAAGATAATTAATAAAGGAGATAAAGTTGGATATTTGTATATAGCTTTGGAAGGAAATGTTATAGATGAATAGAAGAATTTAATTGTTAATAGTATCTTAAATGAGGAATCTCTATATGATGAAGTAGCTAATACAAAGTATTTATAATCCTTTACTATGGAGACTGAAGGACATGTGGCTGTTATTGATTATGATAAATATCGTAATACATATGGAAGTGTTGAAAAATTGTAAGAAAATGAATAAAGTAATGTTCACTCTAAAGAATATTAATAATCTAATGACTTAGTAAAATAGTTTTAATTGAAAGATCTGATTTTCTTAAATAAATTAGGATCTGGTTAATTTGGATCAGTTTACCTTTGTAAGAATAAAAACTAAGATACTTTATTTGCACTTAAATATGTCACTAGAGCTCATATTCAATAATATGGAATATAAAAACATGTCTAATAAGAGAAGACAGTATTGGAAATGATGAATCATCAATTCATACTAAAATTTTATAGATCATTTAAAGATGCTGAAAACATCTACTTTCTTACTGAGTATATTGCAGGAGAAGAATTATTTGATGCAATTAGAGAAATTGGGTTATTAAGTAAATATGACTCTTAATTTTACACTGCCCAAATGATACTTTAAATGGAATATCTACACACTGTCCATCAAATTGTTTATAGAGATATTAAACCAGAAAATGTTATGGTTGATTAAAATGGTTACTTAAAATTAATTGATATGGGCACTGCAAAAAGTCTAAAAAATGTTTGTAATTATTATCAATTTATAAAATAGCTCCACCAAAAACATTCACTATTATTGGGACTCCTCATTACATGGCTCCTGAAGTTATTTCTGGTAAAGGTTATGGATACTTTGCAGATTTGTGGAGTGTAGGATGTTGTCTCTATGAATTTTTATGTGGAGGTTTACCATTTGGAGAAGATTAAGATGATCCCTTTGAAATCTATAAAGAAATAGTTAAGAACCCTATACATTATCCATAATATATTACTGATAAGACAGCTAAAACAATAATTGAATAATTGATGAATAAGATTCCTGAATGTAGATTAGGAGGTTCATATTCTTCTCTCAAAAACAATTAATGGTTTTCTGACTTTGATTGGGTATTAATCAATTAATATTCTATTTTAGAATAAATTATTATAGCGTCAACTTTAGCCTCCATTAATTCCAAAGAAAGAAAAACTAATGAATGATTCACAAATAGAGGAATAAATAAAAAAGAATATTTTGGTTATAGATTAGATCTAAAAAGATACTATGGGTTAGAAGAAAGTGTTTGCTTAACCAAAAGATACAGAATGGGATTCAATATTTTGATTATATATTATATATAGACAACATATTAAAATATTAATTTATTGTACGTTAATTAATTTATTATGTTATGAATTTTTTTAATTAATGAAATAAGTATTATAAAAATATGTTTTACTAAATATTTAATATAATGAATACTTCAATTTATAAATAATAACCAAAGAAAATAATTAATATTGATGTAATATATATTAACATATACTTCATTATTGAATAATAAAAGTTTATTTATTATGTAATATTAAAATATTAACATATATAATTTAGTTATTTATATTTTGATATGAAAAATATGAAATAATAGCCAGAACCAGAGATTCCTACTCTCTAATAATAGGATAAATATTTAGAGAAGATGCGTTAAGGATAAGGGTTGGAAGTAAATTTCAAATTGTTTAACGACTTTCTAAAATTAAGAGCTGCTAGCTTTTCAAAAGTTACTATCATGTTGATCGTTTCGTTTTTTCATTAAGCTTTGAGTTATATTTCTTAGTAAGGCTAATTTTTATATTCTGATATAAGCACCTTGCAGATTTACATTATTCAACAGAGAGTACATTATTAAATCAAATTCTCAGCGCATGTCAATATGTAGATATCCTGAGTTTATTACGTATTGACACAAATTTTTCATATTTCATCTTTACGATAGCATTAATCTTTACAATTGGTCTAACTCTACTCTATTTGATTATTTATATATTAGGACCAGAATACAAGCCTAGAAAAAAGTTTATTGGGAAAGTATTAATTTATTGATTATACAATAGTTATTTGTGTTTCTTTGTGATATTTATATTTGGTTAATGTTCTTTCCATGTATGATTACATGTTTTGAATTTTGTCTATGTAATTAAGAATAGGAATGTATTTTTGATGCAGTCAGAATAATCTTAACATTGTTAGCTATTTTAGGATTAATATGTGGATTACTTAATATATTTGTATTAACTGCTTTGTTTCATAATAATTGGGAAAATAAAAAAGATTGTTTCAATGGAGAAAATGTAATTTATCTAAGTAGTTACTAATTTAGTCGTTTTGTAATGGCATTCTTTGTAGTTTTTAGGTATAATTATAATATCATATCTAAGTACTAAAGTATACACATTCTTATGGTTATTTATGGTGGTGTCATTTTTGATTTACACTTTATTTTTAGCAAACATTATAATAGGAAATGGTTTCTTAGCTTTTGGGACTAAATATACTAGATCATTATTTATAATCATGCTAATATTTTTGATTAGTACAACTTTTTCAACTATAATTGATGAATTACATCGAAGTTAGAATTATGATAAAACAGTTGAAAATTTTAGTGTTTATTTTTTATTCACTTTGATCTTCCTTTTATTGACTATTGGCTATAATTTAAGACATTCTTAAAGTTTAACTATTTAATTTGATATTCATTCTCTTACTGCTGATGCATTATAGAAATAAATATATACAACTCTTGCTTTTCTAGAAGTATCACTTACTGATATTTCAATTGATACTTATTTTAAAGGGATATTATAGAGACATTTAGATTTTGAATGTTAACATCCTGTAATTAAAGGGGAAGGAAGATGTTTTTGTAAAAAGAAAAGAGTCTATGATTCAAAGAAAAGAAAGGAAGTAAGAGTTGAAGAATGGATTACAATGAAAGCAATAATTATGAAATTTCTAATAAAAAGTTGGATTGAAACATATCTTAGTGATAGACCTAATGATGTAGGTATTAAAATACTATATGCAAGGTAAGAAATATAATTAAAATATAGGTTTATGTTTAGTAAATTTCATAATCATTAAATTGCATTGCATATTTTATCAGATTTAGAAAAGAGATTTACATTTTTATTGGATAGATATAAATCTTATTAATTAAAATGGAAAATAATAAAATTTATAAGACATAAAAATAATGATAGTTATAAAGGTAAATTAGAGATTGAAAATGCATTATTTGTAGAAGAATAAATTGATTCAATAAAAAATAATATAACAAATATTTTAAAATAGAATTGTATATTTTGGAATAATCTTTAATAAACAACAATAGATATGAGTGAAATGGACAATCTATTATAAATGTAATTCAAAAAAATAGAAGAAACAAAACATTTATGGATAACAATTACTAATTATTTAGAATATAAAAAGAAATGGAAATTTTATTATGCATGGTTCACACTTTATATTTTAAATAAGAAAATAAAAAATAGAATTTTAGATAATTTTTAAGGTTTTTAAGTAAATGAGAATGATATCTTTTCAGAAGAATTATAAGAACACAATGCTGATGAAGATGTAAATAGTGTTAAATCAGGATTTTTAGATAATGAAAAAATAGAAATAAAAAGCAGGAAAATTATATTTGATAAAAAAGCATGTATTATATAAGCAAGTGATGACATTTAATCATAAATTCTTAAAGTTAATAAATAATTTACTCGTATCTTTGGTTATTCTAGTGAAGAAGTAGTTAGAATGTAAATATTATTATTATTTATTAGATTACCAATCATTAATTTAATGCCTGATGTTTTTAGTAAAGTACATCCTCAAATACTTAATGATTACAAATAAACAGGTAAAAGTAATTCTCTTTATTCATAAAGAAAGATTTATTGTCTTCATAAATCTGGTGTTATGTTTACTGCATGGAAATTCTTAAAATTATATGTAGATTTGAATGGATTATCTTAATTTGTAATTATGGTGAGACCAACTGATTTTGATAATGAAAAGAAACATGATTACATGATAATTAATAATGATTGGGAAATAAATGGATTAACTAATAATGTACTTTCAGGACTTAATCTTGATCCTCGTCTTTTCAAAAAAGTATCATCTGAATTTATACTTTTTAATTTACTTTTATTTGCACCCAAACTTATTTAATATTCTAGAATTGCTCCATTAATTAATGAAGAAAAAGATCTACCTATTTTTGGAATGATGAAAAATCCTAGAAAACCAGTTTAAAAGATTATACATCATCAAAATGTTCTTGAAAATTAATTATCTAATTCAAGTAAACCTAAAATTAATGTCAATATGCTTGGTTCAGCTTCACTCAAATAATCACTTGGAAAACCTATTTAAGGTATGTATTCTGATCTTGATTTTGGATCTAAAGTATTATTACCATAACAATCTATTGATTAATAAGCACCATAATAATTAGTAGTCTAAAATGAAAGAGATAAATTTCTATAACATTAAATGAGTTCTATTAGTGATAAGAATGAATTTGAAGATTTCAATAAATAATTAGGTTAATTTGATAAAATATAAAATCTTAATTAAGAAATGGAAAGAAGAGCAGAAGAATAAATTAATTAACTTAAAGAAACATAATTTTAAAGTAATTATCAGAAAATATAAACTATGGGTAATAAAGAAAAAGATGCTTTTAGTGAAGATAATGCAAGTAGAGATGAAATGATTGAAAAAATTAAAGGAATTAAAATGTTAGAAGGTAAAATAAATAGTGGAGAATAAATTTAATTTAGAATGAAAATTCCAGAAAATATGGATAAAATTATTGATTATTATTCATCTTAAAAATCTAAAATGTACTAATTAAAAAAATAATAAGATGATGTATTATAAATTATTATATTAGTAAGTTAAATAAGAAGAAGTTATAGATTAAGGAAAGAAAAAGGAAAAAGAAAAATTCTTTACTAAATAAGGAACATAATAAAGAGAATTTAGAAAAAAAGCTAGACTTATGTTTTAAAAAGCAGCAGAAATGAAAAGATGTTAAGATGATGTGTAATTTATTTAATTATATAATATAGAAATTTCTATGAATTATTACTTGAAATCTATTAGAAACTAATAACAGAATAAAAAACTCGTACATATAAGGTGAATTGTACTATTTAATTCATTAAAATAAAAGATGAAAGAGTAGGTATAATCAAAGTTATATCAATAAATGAAATAATGAAAATTAAAAGAGTTACTAGAGAACGAGATAATAATCGTAAATAATCAATCTTTTTAAAGAATATATAACCATCAAGAGAATTAGGTGGTAAAGGATCAAAATTATCAGCTACAAATTTATCAAATTAATTTGAAAATTCAAAATTTGTATCTATGGCAAGTGAAAATGATACTAAATAATAGATTAGTCCTGTAGATATTAAATCTAATCCAAAGATGTCTTTAGTGAAAGATAAATCATTTAAAGGAAATTTAGGTTATCAAATGAATGCTCAAATTCAAGAAATTGATGATGATAAAGATCTATTAATTGATAGTAAAGCATTTAATAAAATGATTAATTGGGATACCTTTTAATAACAATTTAAAATGTAATAAGGAGCACTTAATTTTTCACTTAATGCTGGAGATAATATATTTAGAAAAGAAGACAATAATAAACCTCGTAAATTCTTAATTAAAATTGCTTATTTAACTTGGTTTTTGAGAATAATGTTTGTTGCCATCATTACATTAAATCTATTAACTTATTTCCTTAAACCCTTTTTAGAATTTAATCCAATGATTTCTTAGGCTAATAGAATCTTAGCATTATCATAAATGTAAACAACTATGATTGAAACATATGATACTCTTTTAGATCTTTTAATATTCCGAAATGAATCTGATTTTAATGATATGGGAATGTCAGATAAATTAACCTATTATAATTATCAACTATCATCTATTTAAGAGAGTTATGAATTTCTTAAATTACAAATTAAAGATTTAGATTAACTTTAAACTTTTCTTGATGATAATATTTTCTACTCCAATGCCATATTAGATGAATCTATACTTGGTTAGGCTAATACTACTCTTACATTAGATAGTAAAGACTTTTTTACTAAATTTATTATGTTAGAACATTAGATATCAATGATGGATGCATCTTTATTAGAAATAATAGGTCCATCTGACCCATTTGTTAAATTTATTAGATATGTTACAATACCATAATTATATAATTAACTAAATAATGCAGTAATGGAATTATAAACTATAGTTTTAGAGAAATCTGATTCTATTTCTGATTTTGTTGTTGTAATATTAAGTATTGAAGGTTCACTTTTAGCCAGTGGATTTTTTGGATTATTAGTTATAATCTTTTGGATTAGTTAAACATATAAGGCAGTCTTAAAGATATTTATACTTATTTAAAAGAATGATTTAAATAAGATTGTAAAATAACAAAAGTTCATAGAAAATCAATTTAAATATATAATAACAAAAGATTTAGAAATTAGTGGAATTTAACCAAAAGGTGTTTATTAAAGATTTAATTCTCTCTCATCTAAACATAATTTTCAAATGTAATAAAACTTCCTTTTAATTAACGAAGAAGAAGAATAGAATATGAATAAGAAGAGAGAGAAGAATATCATTGATAGATAATTACTCAAATCTTTAACTCTAAAATTATATGCAACATACATAATATTAGTATTATTATCTGCTGGAGCTTCCTTTGCCTTTTTCTTTACATTAAAACAAGCAAGTAGTGATATTAGTAATCTAATATAAATTGGATAAATTACTATATCTGATTTTTCTGATAATTAACTCCTATTAGTATCTGTTAAAGAAAGATATTATAATGAAGATAATTATGAATCTAATTACCTTCCAAAAGTTAAATCTTTACTTCAAAGTTAAATTGAAAGTGTCAAACAAACACCTTAAATTGATAATCCAGGATATGGACATTACTATAATGGATTTCAAAAAATTTATTTTGATAATCTTTGTCATTATCTATTTAATTAATCTTGTAAATAAATTATATTAAATATAGAACTATCTTCAGCTGAATAAACTGATTGTGAGTCATTAGTGAATGGTAAATTAAAAGATGGTATAGTTGCATTTAATTAGTATTTCCTCTCAAATGTCTAAGATTATGTTCTATTAAATATAGATAGATTTGGATATATCAATAATAAAATGATATGGAATCTAAATTCTTGTATTGACTATGTTAAAGCAGCTTTTAAAAATTTACTAACAGAATGGGCTAAGGTATAATATTATAACAATAATATAAAGGATTTAAATTAATTAATTGATTCAAATATTACATTAGTATTAGTGTTGTTAATTGTAATGCAATTATTTTAATTAATTGTATTTCTGGCAATTGCTGAGATGTACTTGGTAAACCAACTTAATAAGACATTTTCTTTTTATCGATTAGTTTACAAATCTTATATGCCAAATGATATAATTTAAAAAGAGAAAATAATAAGAGCCTAATTAATACGTTACAATATAATTAAGAAATGACTTTATAATATATAATTAGTTTAATCCAATTAATAATTATTAGAATAAGATATTAAATGTAAAAGGATAAAGTCTTAATTCTAAGAAGATATTTAATTCTTGAAAGAATATTTTAATTAGTTATAAAAATATATTATCTTTTTCAATAATAATAATTTAATTATAACTTAATTATTGATTTAGTCAATGTCTATAAATTATTTCTTTTTAATTATAAGAAAAAGTTTCATAAAAATTAATTGGCATTTATATATATCTTATTTATTATAAGATTATCATTTTGGGGCTTGTTTAATTAATTCATTTAATGGAATATTTTTCTTATTGACTATCATTTATAAAACTCCATCTTTATTTCTATTTTTGAAGAAGGGCAATTCAAGAGCTTGTTCAGCTGTCAATCTAGTTTTAGAATTCTTGTCTAAAACTTTTTCAATAAATTCTTAAAATTATTTAGAGAATTTATTTGGCAATCGTGGTGGATCATTAGCTGTAATTGAATACATAGCTTTTAATGGAGGAACTCTTAAATAAGGTGGTTCACCTTATGCCAATTCTATAGCAATTATTCCCACACTCCATATATCTACCTTCTCATCATAATCTTATTTCAATATCAATTCAGGTGACATCCAAGCAGGTGTACCTACTACAGATTTTCTATGTTGTCTCTCTGCTGTTAATTGTGTTGCAAATCCAAAGTCAGCAATCTTAATTTCACCTTTCTTATTCATTAAAATATTGTCACTCTTCAAATCTCTATGTATCTTTTTCTTTTTATGCATATAGTTGAGTCCTGATAAGATCTCACCACATATATAAGCAATTTCAGGTTCTTTCATAGATTTAAAGTTCTAATAGATAATTTCAGTCAAACATCCACCATCCAAATATTCTACTACCATGAATAAACATTATTGATATATGTATGAATCATAATATTTGACAATATTTTGATTTGCACACATTTTCATCAATGCTATTTCCACTTTAATTCTTTACATATCATTCCCTATTTTCATCACTCTTACTGCTACTTCCTCATTTGTATTTCTATGTATTGCCTTATAAACTTTACACATTGCTCCCTTTCCCAATTGTTCAGTAAATTTATACAATAAAGAAGGATCTTATTCTATGAATTTTATATCCATCACTTATTTAATAAATTCATCATTTGTTGGTAATGTTAATTTTGTTTGTCTATAAACACCTTCTTCATAATTTGAAATGATTTAAATCATAACCTATGGGTTTTATTCAATATCTGCTTTTTATAGATCAGCCTTCTTTAGCTTTTCTATCCATTCAGGTGGAAGACCCTTTAAACCTAATTATGCTGTTGGATCTATTTCAATATGAATTTTATGTTGTAAATTAAAAGGTGCACTCATTATAGGTTCATTGATTAAATCAAGAATTGCTTCTGGAAGTTCTGAGGGTTAGACTGAAGCAGGCAAATACTTTGTCTCCACTGTTTTATTTTGATCTGAAATTAATTATGTGGGATTCAACCTATTTCAAGTTTGAGACCATTCAATTCAGCCCATTCTTTTGGAACACCTTACAATTTTCCTGTTATTGGATCTCTTGTAATTTGAATATGACTTTAGAAATTTGAAATTTGACCATCAGGAGTATGTTAATTCTTTTCTTTAGAACTTTTTTATCCCATATAATTCTATATGTTTATTAAAAATATAATATTAATATATTCAATTATTCATAATTATTAATAGAAAATTTTATCATTTTGATAGTGATTGTTCATATTGCATGAGAAGTTTTGAAAATATACAAAAATGACATTCTTTATTTGAAAATGTCACAGTCTTCACATAATTAAAATTATTCCACCTTTAAATTGAATTAGCTTTATAAAGCAAACAAAATGCTATTTTATAACTTAGAATTTGAATACTAGACTAAAATTTCTTTAGTATTTGAAATACTAATAATCTTTGCTCATCTACATTTTATGTAAATCACAATTATAATCTAAAATCTATCTATGCTTAAAAAGGGATGGTTCTGGTTCTAAAAATAAATATAAAAGTATTATTACTATTATTGGATTTTCAAATTCCAGTATTTAGATATCATAGAACATTAAAAATTGAACAATTAGTTAAACTTATTTAATAACTTTTTAGAAGTTGCAATTTCAATTTGAATATCACATTAATTACAAGTTATCTGATAGTAATATTGAATGTTAAAATTTCGATTAAATCAATATAGCGGATAAAGGTGTATCTATGAATAAATAATTACCTCGATTAAAATAGAGATTGTATAAAATTTGTTAAGAAAATAATAATATTTAAAAAGGGATAATAAATTTTAGTAATATAGATAAAAAAGGATACAAATAAATAGTAAAAGATATACATATAAACTTATTGTATTATATAGTTTAGATTATATGTGTATTTTATAAATTAATCTTTATGATATAAATATAATAATAAGTAAAATATATTTAAGATAGTTATAATAATAGATAAATGATATTAAAATCAATTTAGTAATTGATATATATGAAAATTTGTATATGAAATTTATAAATACAGAATTATGATGAATGATTATTATTATGTCTAAATTTTATTTTTCAATATTAAAAAATATTGAGTCACAATTTAAAATCAATCTCAGTCAAATCAATCAATATATAAATTCATCTAACTTAGATGGATATCAAAAATACAAGAATGTAACACACTTATGCATTGGAGATATATAAAATACAATTAATAATAATTCCTAATTTTAATTTGAGGTTGTATAACACATTTTGATTATTTCAAAAATCAAACCTAATTTACCCTATTAATCTATGATTTTAGATATGATTATTCATGCATCAAAACTATCTTAATCAGATATTGTTTAAGAAATCATCTAAAATTATCAATTTAATTAATAAGGTTAAATTCATTTGCTTGATGTTATATGTAATTGTAATTATACAATACAAAAGTTGTTACTTAATAATTTAAGTTCAATTTAAGAATTAAGAAATGTTTAAGATGTTGATTAAATATTTAAAATACTTGCAAATTTAATGAAATTAAATAAATCAAATTTATTGACAGAAGAGAGTGTTGCTAATTTTTCAGATCTCCAATATGATTTTTGGTTGAAGAATACTGAGAATAATGATATTTAAATACAAAAAGAGGATGTAATTAAAATTATGATTAAAGAATTAAAAGATAAAGTAGAATGGTTAATAAAAAAAGGATAAAAAGTTTCATCTAATATACTTATATAATACATTTAATAATTTAAATAGACTACTGAAATAACTTTTGATGATATAAGAAATTAAAATTATTCAAAGAAAGAAGAAATGATTCTCTTCAATCTCCTAAAATCATAAGAACAATTTGATATCATCAAAACGATTAATTATATCAAATAAAATCATTCTTCATATAATTTATAATATGTTTATAAATTCTTGAATAATTAATAAACTGTAGACTTAAATCTTTTATAAATTGTTGAAGATAATATTCAAAATGAACGTGTAAGAATATAAAATCTATTATAATTTTATTCAACTATTCCAGTTGAACCATCTTGGAAAATTGCTTAGATATTAAGAAATATTTTAATTAAAGAATGGGATAAAATGACAATCTCATAATAATTGACAATTGTAGGATAATTATTTAGAATAGAGAGATTGATTTAAAAACCTGAACCTATTGGTAAATTCTTTATACTTGATACTATTTTAATAAGTAAAATAGAATAAATGATTTTATAACTCAGATTTCAAGATTTAAGTTAATTAGATAGACTTAAAGTATACTTTTTAATGAATTCTTATTTTGGAAAAGATTTATTATCTAGTAAGTAAGATTTATGTAATTTTAGGCTATTTCAATACTCAATATGCTCTTTATATTTAAGCATATTTGAGAAATCAATTTCAAACTTAACCTCGAAATTAAAGTAAATTACAAAAGTAAGTTGAAGAAAGTCTAATAAAAAATAATGTATTTTATGAAAGAGAAACATTGGTAGAGAATTGTTTTGCTGTAGATTTTAAATTAAAGAACACAATAATTGAAGTTAATGGCCCATATCATTATTGTTCAATCATAGGAGATACATTACCTAATGATGCTCTTTAATATTTAAGTACTAATTAAGCTATGTATGAAACATTAAAAACCAGTTTAAAAGTATTGATTAAATTTAAATTATTATAATAGACAAGACTTTTGACAAAAAAAGGGTATAGAGTTATAAATATTCCTTATTTTAAATGGGATGGATGGTGTATTAGTAATAAATAAGATAAGATATTGAATGATATGTTAGAAGGAATATCATTGAAGGATAGTGAATTGTTGAGTAAAATTTGAGTTATTTATATATATTTATTAAAATTGTAAAGAAAATGTGTGATGCAATAAATGAAAAAGATGAGAGATATAAATATGCTTCTGAATTAATGGATAAAGATGGATGTAAATAAGTTAATTTAGAATTGACTTAATGTCTGAAATAATACAAGAAAGATTGGAGAATGTGTAAAGTAGAACATATATATATTTATTGATAGGATCAAACTACAAATTTATAGAAATGTCTTATTGAATAAAAGAACCAGAGACCTAAATGATTTGATATATTTTTAACAACAATTAATATTTAATAATATGAGTATATATATATATATATATATGATCATTATTTTATTAACTTATATACTCTACGAATCTTAGAAATTACAAAACATTTAATGGAATAAGGTGATACAAATGATTTTTTATATTTTTTATGAATACCAATTTAATAAGTTTGTTATCTAATGATGACTTGATCATAATTGTTATGTGGATAGTAGATCTTATAATTTTTCATTTTTTCAAATTTATTAAAAATGGCATCATTTATAAAATATCCTTGATTCTAAAATTTCATTTACAATTACATCAGGAGAAGTAATAGCTTAGAATTATGATTACTAAGCTAAATTACTTTACTTTGTTCCAGTTCTTTAACTCTTTTATTTATATTTATTTTCATCTGATTAAGTATTTGCACTATTTGTCTTTTTACAATTATCTTTTGTTTGACTTGATAATTTCAATGATTTATTTTATCTAGAATTTGAAGATGGATAATTTGAGATATCTTTAGAATATGAATTTGTATATGTATGAGATCTATTAGTTGGTTATCTTAGAGATTATTTCATATTTCCATAAGAAAACTATTATTAAATGAAATCTTATTTAATTATTTCCTATTTTGTCTAAGATGCAATTTCTTTTTAAAATTGAAATGTCAATTTATTAGGACTACTCCTATTGTTAGAAGATAAAAATAATTATTTTTAATTAACTAAATCGTTTTTCTATCCTTCTTGCAATTAAAATAGAATTTCTTTCTCATCTTTATCTAAAGTTGAATAATTTTAATTTTATGGATTCCCAACAAATCCAGCAGTACGATGAGATGTTTTATTTGAATTTTGACGTCCTCTTTTAATTGATGAATCCAATATAGGTGGATGTATATCTTCATATTATTCTTATTCATAATTTAATTATTCTAAACTATCAACATTTACATTACTATTGGAAACTTGTTAATCTTAACTAGCCTTTTGATATGGCATAGAATTGCTTACATAACTTACAGAATAAGTTTAATCTAATTACATCTAGAGACATACTTTCAGAATATGGTAATTATGATGCTTCAGGAAGTTCTTCTGACATTATATCTTAACTTTATTTATTAATCACTAATTTAGCTTTATCTTAATTTTATAAGAGATTTTTCAAAGTTAAATATTTTTTATTTTTTCTTGTATATGTTTGACGAATCTATTTAATACTGTATAAATATTTCTCAATAACATTTTATCTTTATGGAAAATATTAGATATGATTACACTCTAAAATATAATGACCTTTAATTTTGCAATAGTAACAGTCAAATAAATGTTAATTATAACTTGAATTGTCTTTCATCATACAAAATATCTCATTATCTTATGGAAAATTTGAAATTATATCCAAGAATTCTGATCTCTTAAGTTTCATTAAAGTTGTTACTCCACAACTATATATACTTATATTTGAAGGTACTCCAGAAATAAAAGAGTATTATCCAAATGCTTAACCTTCCTTTAAACGAGTGACTGATCTTTTATTATTGGCAAGAGATGATCCTTAGAATTATACCTTCACTTCTCCTTTAAGAATATAATACAATCCCAAATCCTCAATTTAATGTTCCTTATAATATTTTAATTATATTTACTATGATTATATTGTCTTCTGGATTAAAAGTAACTTATTCAATTGCATACAACAATTACTATTTGAATTAAGGTGAGAATCTATTCATTAATTCTATTTTATCAATCATTCTTGTTCTCAAAGATATCTCAATTTCATCTTATAATGCAGGACTTAATTTTTTAGTTAATTGATCTTTTGATCTACCTAAATCTTCCTATATATTTATATAATATTATTGATTGTTACATCAATTCTAAAATCTAAATATGAGTAACATCTTCTCAATAAATCTTAATCTCTACATTTCTCTTTAAACAATTCTACAAATCCTTTCAACAATTTTTGTTTCTCTTCTTAAATCTCTATACCTGGTTTGATCCAAACATATAATAATATGAATGTATATGCATAACATAAATATGAGATCAACATAAAGACTGAAATTATTAATGAATTTTATTCAGTAATCTCCATAGCTCAAATTAATTTATCATTTAATACATAAATTTTAATTTTAAGTAATCAATGATATTGAATACGTTATATAATATCTAAGAGAATATTCCTCTTCATTAAACACTCTTAATAAACTTATAAATATACTTTTCAAAAAACATGTACACATAACTATTATTGATATCCATAATTATATAATGAATATTATATAATGAGTAGATCTGTAAATATTTTCAAAAGGTTCTAAAGTTCTAATCAAATCTGAAATTATCAATAACAATATCAATATCATTAGAGTCATTTCATTATCAAATTTAAAAAATACAATTGCTACTGTAGATATAGTTCGAAATGAGTCTAAATATATTTTATTTTAATCCTTGAAATTAGTAATCAACTTTCCTCTAAATAATTTATATGGACCTCTTTAAAAATATACATCCTATAAAAGTGTCCACATTTTAATACCAAAAGCTATTTAATATATAATCTCTGGTCCATTAAATACAATTGTAATTGGTATAAATATAATAGTTATTAAATTTGAAATTATTACTGAGAAAAATACATACATTGTAAAATAATAATATCTCAAAGGAGATACTAAAATTATATATAAAATATAATACCATTATCTTATTCTTATGTTACAAGTGGATCATTATATTTTGAATAATGAATTGAATTCAATAACTTTTATTTTATCTAATTTACTATAATCTTAACTCTCCCTTAATCAATTGTGAGTTTCTTCTTATGATCTGATAGCAATTGAGATTATAATTGAGACGAAGAATAAATAAGTGAACTATCATTATGAATTAACACTAATTTCTTTGATTCAGATTTTTAATGCAATTTCTCAGAACTCTTATGAGAAGCTATATTTGTTATTGTGGGGACCTTGTAATCTTCACTACTCTAAAGATCTATCGGTTGTTAAGGACAAGTCTATAGAAAAACTGGCTTCAAATAACAAATCTATGACAAAGAGGAGTGTTCTTCCTCTTCCTGAATTGATTCACTATTCTTATATTATAAAGTCTAGCTAATTCTATGAGATGGATTATAATCAACAACTTCTTGGTCTTTTACTTATTTGAGTAACTATTTTCTAATTAACATTTAATAAAATTAGTGTCCCATTTAATAACTATAACTCAATATTTATTTATAGCCTATTATTAAATACAATTAACAGTAATTTCAACAATTCAGAAATAAACCTAAAATAAACTTCAAAGATCATTATCAATTACTAAAAGTTAATACTTATAATATTAGAGAAATAGATCTTAGTATAAAAAAATAAAAGATAATCTATAAGTGTTTAAAATAGCATTAATAAAATTCCTGATTGCCAATGTCATTTATAAATGCATATACTCAACTTTAAAATTTTGATAACATAAAAATAGAATTGTTTACTTAATTAATTATAAATTACTTAATAAACATATTATAATTGAATCACAATTATAAATTAAATATAGTCAATCATTAGATAAAGATAGATGTGATTATTAAAATAACTAGTAGATCCCAGATATTATATAAAACACTTTTATTGAAATTATTGATTAATAAATATAATTTAATCTTTAAATACAATCAAACTAAGAAACCTTCAATATCTTGCATTAACATTTATTCTGATTGATACAATTTTCTCTTTTTTTATATTATTACTTCGTCATCACTATTAAAATCAGATGTTGGAAAATTTTTAAAACATTTTTAAATTTTGAATTCTTTATTATCAATATCCTTTAATTTATCAAATCTAATCTTTTTTTACATTTTGATATTCTTTGTTCCTGGAGGTCTACCAAGTTTCCTTCTTAAAGAGGATTCAGTTACTACTTATGATTTAATGTTTTTTATTTTTTCCAACAATGTATTTTTAAGATTTTCTTAATCAAATTTTACATTGACTTATTCTTTATTTTAAAATGATATTAGATTTTTTAATAATTTTGATATTTTTTGATATTATCCTAAATAATTAGTAATCTAATCTTTAGGATATTATAAATAAGCTTGAATATTAGATATTGTGTCTTATTCAAAAATTCTCTTTTCAACATCATTTTTAATTAAAGATTGATATTCTTCAATTATTTCTAACATTTAAATAACAATTTCCCATTAATCAAAATCCTATTTTTATAATTACTAATTATAAAAGGTTCTTGAATAGACTTTTGATTAGGCTATAGTTTAAAAATTATAATGAACTGATGATAAAAAGAGAATAAAAATCTAATTTTCTTAACATTCTATAACAAATTCTTTAGTTATATTTAATATATTTAAACTATTTGGATCTTTAAGATTTAAGTATGATATTATTGGAGGAAATGGATATCTATTTTTTATCATTTCACTTAATACTTTATTTATAGTTAATAAAGATTCTACTAATTGTTAAGAATTTAATTCTTTCCTTTCATGACTTTTGAAAAAGTATTTTTTTATAAATTATGGAATTCCTATTTAATCTAATTTTATTAATGGTTATTCAACACTATTACAAAATTAAATAATTTTATTAAGTGTCTAATAAAATTAATCAGCATAATCAATTTATAAATGAAATTTTTTCAAATCAGAATGTAATTACTTAAATTATTGTTATTCAATTACATCCTTCAATTCATTAATTAAATAATGTTTCTATTAATAAATCAAATCTAAATTCAATTAAAATAAAGTAAAATTATTCTCTTTCAATACATCTTCATATTCTATAAATATTTTATCTCTATAAGATTACATTTCAGTTAATTTAAGTGTATCATTATTTATTAATTAATCTATATTTAAAAGATAATTCAAATGAGATAGTTATCTTTTTGAATAAAGTTCTTTGAATATTTCTTTAAAGATAGAAAATTCTAAACAAAATAATTATTAATTTTTATTCATATACAATCTTGTACAAAGTAATAATGATAATAACGGAATTTTATTTCTTATTGCCATTCCTATAATAATAATCTAAGCTTTAAAATATATGTAATATTTATAGTCTTCTGTAATATAATTTATTTTTGGGGTTTTTTATATCAAATTCTAAATATAATCTAAAATGACATTGTTATTAAAGTTATTTGTTTTATTAGCATCATATATTTTATAGTAAAAATTAAAGAATGAATTAGACTTAAGTATTTCATCATCTAATTATACATTATATAATTAAAAGAGCTCAAGTTATTTAATTATAATTTCTTATTCTGTCATTTCCAAAGTGTCTGATTGTTATTATTGAACATCTTGAATTTTTAATAAATGTTTAAGTAATTATTCACTCTTTTTAATTCGTATAACTCGTTTTGTATCTGAGAAATTCAAAAAATTAAGAATTTTTGGAAAGATGATGTTTTTTAGTGTGATATTGTTTAGAATTGTCATAATTTTTTAATCTCTCTATTTAAATGTTGACTAATCAGAGTTACTTCCAATTTAATTACTTTCAATTGAAATCATATACTTTTAATAAAAGTTTGTTCAAGCAATAAATGGAACTCAATAAATCATTCTAAAATTAATCAAACTAAAAATAAGAATGAAAATAAATTAGCAATAATCAAGAACTTCTATGATTGATGATTTATAAAACATAAGAAAAGTATTTAGTTGTATTTATAATAAAATAGACGATTTAATATTAATATTTACTAACTTATTATACTAATGATGCAAAATAAAGTAAATTATTCAATAATGTAATCTGCTAATGAAATTTTTGTGTTTTTCATTAATAAAAATAACCCTTGAAATTTTATATGAGCTAAGAAAAGTTTAAAAGATATAAGTTAAATGTGTTTCAAATATAGAAAAACAAAATGAAATCTGAAGAAAGGGTTATTGTAAACACATCGTCAAATTTTAAAGCACTCTCTCCCTAACAATCTCCAAAGATTAATTCCATTCTAAATCGTACAAAACTATCGCTGGAAAGATCGCGATCCTCACATAGAATGGAAAATATTATAATCTAAAATAAAAAGAAGGTTTCCAAGAATGATATAAACAATTTCAATAAAACTAAAGATTTCTTTAATGACAATCCTAATTTATTAGAAGAAATGAAATAAGATATCAATTTATAGTTCTTAAAAGAATGTAAATCTAATAACGCAGGAGCTTGTCTATAACTATTAGAACCTACTATTGTTCATTAGGTTTGTAAGTTTATCAGTCTAATTTTTTAGTAAATATTTCACCTTCAATTCCTATAAGAGCAGATTTAAAGGCAAATTTAAATATTTAAGATGACAATTAAAATACTGCTTTACATATTGCAGTGAAAAATGGGAACGTTTAATTAGTCTAAGCATTAATTTACAAATAAATTAATATAGATATTGAAAATTCAGAAAAGATGACTTCATTAATACTGGCTAGTTATCAGTATATTATTTTATTTTTATTTTTATAAGTGGAAATCAAGAAATATTCTAGATTTTAATTAATGCTGGAGCATAAATTAATCATTAAGACATGTATGGTAATACATCTCTACATTATGCTTGTAAATTTAATCGCAAAGAAATTGTAACTATTATACTTAAACATCCAAATCTCATTTTTAAATCAAATAATGACTAAAAATATCCTGATTATTATGTTCATGATTCTGAAATCATTCAATTATTTACTCAATTTTAATTAGAACATTCAAAATAAAGTAATATCATTAAAAATTAAGATAGAAAAAAAAACAAAGGAAGTTTAAATACAAAATATATAAATGGAATATTATTGTAAATCAAGTAATTAAACTAAAAATTAATGTAAATTACATAATTCTCCTATCCATAATTTATCACTTGAAACTAAACAAGGAATACTTAAACATATAAGAAGTTATAATTAAATTAAGAAAGGAAAGGCCAATACTCCTTCCACTATTGATTCGATGAAATAATCTAAAAGAGAAGATAAGGTTGGTCCTTAATAATTTCAAGTCTTAGGTTTATTAGGTAAAGGTAGTTTCGGATAAGTATATCTTGTTTAAAAGAACAAAAAATTATATGCAATGAAGGTACTACATAAGAATATGATCTTAAGTAATAAATTATAATTTTATATTTTAAAGAATAAAACATTTGTAGATATGCAATTACTGAAAGAAATGTATTATCTGTAACATCTCATCCATTTATTGTGAAATTAAGGTATGCTTTTTAAACAGAAGATAAATTATTTATGATTTTGGATTATTGTCCTGGAGGAGATCTTGGGATGCTTCTTTGTAAAATTAAAAGATTTCCTGAAGAACTTGTAAAATTATATACTTGTGAAATAATTTTGGCATTAGAAGATCTTCATAAAAGAGATATAATATTTCGTGATTTAAAACCAGACAATATCTTACTTGATGCAGATGGACATGTTTTATTAACAGACTTTGGATTGTCTAAAGAAGGAATACCATAATCAAATAAAGGAGCATAATCATTTTGTGGTTCTGTGGCTTATTTAGCTCCAGAAATGCTAAAAAGATAGGGTCATGGAAAAGCTGTTGATTGGTATTTATTGGGAGTTGTAATGTATGAACTGTTAGTAGGATTACCTCCTTATTATGATAATGATAGAGATACATTATTCTATAATATTGAAAATGCAAGTCTTAAAATTCCTTAACACATTTCAATTGAATGTCGAACTCTTTTAAAATCAGTAAAACTATATTGCTAATTATATAGTTACTAGAGAGAAATCCAACTAGACGTTTAGGATCAGGATCAGGAGATTCATTAGAAATAAAAGCTCATCCCTATTTTGCAGATGTTGATTGGGAACTAGTTCTAAATAGAGAACTTTCATTGCCTAAACCTGATTATAGTTTGAAGATTAAAGCAATTGGAGAATAGAATGTTTTTGATTTGTAAAGCTTTGTGGAATTTGAGTAATCTCATGTGAATGGATGGTCTTATGTTTAAACAGAATGAAATATATGTGATTATATTGATTAACTAAATCATTCAATATTATGATGGCTGTTTATCAGATTTGGCACCAAAGAATTTCAAACACAATTATTCAATGTCTTCTAAAGTCACTCTTCCTGTTCCCTTTCCTATTTTTAATAAATTTAGATACTATCCAAAATTCTGGAATATGAAGCAATGTCTGTAGGTGTTGGATTAAATCCTTTATTCATAGCTCTATAACAATCGCTTAACATATATCCAACTTCAAAAGAATCAATATTTCCATCAGAGTTTCCATCATAAAGAGCAAGGATTCTTTAAGCTAATTATTTGCATTATTCTGGGTCTAGAACTCCTCCAAAATTTACAGCATCTGTGATTTGATAATGTGAGTATTTGATTTACTTATTTGGATCCATGAAAAACTGTTAATTAATTATTGTATGTAAATACTCAAATTCAAAATAGTTTTAGTATGGAATTCAATCCTAATGTTTAGGTAAATATTTTTCTATCATTTCCTTCTGCCAATATAATACATTATTCACAACATTTATTGGAATATCATAGACTTCGGGTAATCCTTCATGGAGCTCTGTTTTCTTTAAGTTGTGTAGTCTTGTATATTTATCTAAAGTGATGATTAATTACATTCAATGAATACCTTCAATATTTTCATATGAATTGAAATTGTTACAGAAACAATAATTAAGAGCAGCATAACCAGTTATTACAGTAAAAATTGTAGCTACAAAGAAACTAGGAATTGCAAGAGCCCAATATTTCTAAGGAAAGTAATGAATTCCTAATGACTTTTGATTAATTGATAAGAATGAATTACATGCAATGCTGATTCTGGTAAGAAAACCCATGCCAAATAAACTACAAAAACTATATAGGAGGCTATCCATCCAATGAATCCATATATTTCAATACTTTTCATAAATATATAAAAATAATATAAGAAAATCAGAGTAATTTAAACAGTATTTATTTATTTTGTATTCTTTTTTTGATCTCGCAAGGCAATAGCTTATCTATTTTCTCTAATATTTATTCTTTATTTAAATGTTTTATTTTTTTTATGCCATTTATTTTGATGTTATTATTTTTTATCCTTACGTAATGGTTCCCTAAAATTTTATGTATTTTTATTATTTTTTTCTCTTCATCACAATTTAAAAACTAACCATTAAAACGTAATCGTCTATCTGCTATTTATTTTCTACATTCATAAAGAGTCCTATTCATCCACATTTTCTTTTTTGCTCTATACCTTAATAAACATTCCTTGCGAATTATATTTTTATCATTTATTTTTTCTTCACCTTGAGATATTACAACCACACTGTCTAATTTAGATTCTTAAATGGTTGATTAAGTTTCATTTGATATTAGATAATTATTAAGAACATTCATTTTCTGTAAAAGTTATTACTACTATAGTAACACTAAATTTAATACAGACTATTTCCCTAAGAATTTTATTAACTCGTTTTTCAGCTCCTAACTGATCTATCCTAAATCATCAACGAATTGAGGATAGTTGTATAGATATTGCATTTGTTTTTCTAATTAATGTATTAGAAAAAATTAGGATTATTCGATCATTTTGAATCACAAAAACATTGTTCTCAGAACAAAATGCAATGGACCCCCTTTACTTTTAATTAAATAATTTTACACTATCCTTATTCTCAATTATATTAGCCAGAAACTTGAGACCTTCATTATATATAAAAATATATTCATTATTCAATTTCTCTCTTATGACCACATCCCCCACAATATTTATGTCCTAATTACATCTTGTTACCACATTAAGTACAAAATTTCAATTAGCTTTACAATTATATATCTTTCTCCTTTAAAATCTTTTTCATTTATGGCTATTAAGTGATTATAGCAGGTAAAACAGGTTCTAATTTCTTTGGTTTTAGTAAATTAGCTTAATTTTTTAATTTTAATTCTTGATTTGACATAAAATAATTTTACTAAATTATTCTTTATTCGTCAATTTTTCACAAATAGGAACATGACGAAGTGCAGCTTTTTGATTAAATTTACGAAGACAATGTGGACATTCAGTATCTGACAAAGCAATTGCCCTTGTTTAACAGTCCATAAATCCTAATATAATCATTTTATTTTATTACCAAATCCTGTATAGATAGCTTTCTTTAATTCTGGTAGTTTTCTTTTCTGAACTTAAGCTGTTTTCATCAAACTCTAAGCACGAAAAGATTGCTTTGTTTGATCAATATTTTCATTCTAATTTGTAGTAGATGCAGTGCTTAACTATGTAGTTCTTTTCATTTCTTATTATTAATTTTTTTTTGGAGGCTTAGGTTTAGCTTTAATTTCTTTGCATTTAGGAATATGTCTCTCAGCAACATCTATTAATATTTGTATTAATTAATACATCTATCAAAACTACGTTTGCAATATTCACAAAATACATATTGTGAATTCTCTGTTAATTCTGGAGTCTTTATGGTTCTCTCCTCACCACCTTAATTTTGAACCTCATTAATTCATTCAATGTACTACCTCTTTTTCTTTTTTATTGCAATGAATCATCTCTTAAAATTACTTATGTTATTCTCTCCAATTATTAACTGTTTTATTTTTCACTTGTTTCTCCTTAGCATCCAATTTCTATTATTGTTCACCTTTCTGTTATTATTTACGTTTTATAAGCTTTTCTCTTTCCATTTATTTTTATTAAGCCTTCTAACATACTTATCTATGTTTTCCAATCCTCTCCGTATGAAATTTTCGTTAACAGGTTTCACATTGTTCCAATTCCCCCTCTACCTTCCCCTATTACTCTTATTCGAAGTTCATAAATTCATTATTTTCATCTATACACTCTGAATGCTCAAATTATTCCTCATCATATTCATCCATTAATTATTATATATTACTTTAAATATCTAAAGAACTCAATAAAATAAAAATTCATATATTAGCAATGTCATGCAATATTCTTATTTTTAAATCTTTTTCTTTATTACAAAAAGCATTAAATAACAATTAATCTGAATTTTTATTTAATTAAACTCATTTTTATCTTTAATATCTTAACTTCTTTTTACCTCTCAGATTTCATTTATAACGTTTATAATGAACAAAATAACATAATTACTCATTTTTTTATTTATATTTTTATATAATATATTTACTACTTAACTTAATAAATAAAATTCTAAGAAAGTTATCAAATCCTTCAAGCTATCTTAATATATAATCATAATATAGTAAATCTATATAATATGCTAATACTACTTAATAATTAGACACATTAGTCAAATTTTCTATAATACTAAGAATTACTATAATAAGGTGAAATCAAAAATAAACCTTCCTTATTAGAATAAAGTTTATTTAGAAAAATTGCTCCAATCTAATAATAGAGACTCAAAAGCCAAAAAATTAATTCACCTGTTTTTTGAAGAAAGATGCTCTTAAGACCTCAAAGTATAAATAGAACAACCTTATCTAAATCATCTTAACATTCTTGTTTGAGATAGAACATGGCCATACTTATAAAAAGATTTCCTTTATGAATCAATACTACATATATAAACCATCTAGATAGAAAAATTAGAAAAGGGTAGCCTATCAGTTTCAAATAAATCTCCAAAACATTTGTAAGATTGTCTAGTCTAGTCTGGTCATTATGAAATCTAACTATATAGCCCATAGAGCAAGAATACTTATTAAAAGAACATATTAAACTTCTAAAGAAGATCTAACAAGGAATTAAAAGGTAATTTAGTTCATTAAAGTGTTGAGAAAATTCAATAAATGAGCATTTGTTAAGCAGAATGAATTAAAAAGAAGTAATAATTGGAGAAGGATAAATCCATAGTATTGATTTTAATTATTTGACTCTGCATATGTCTAGCAAAAAGAAATATATCAAATGACTTAATTTCTATTAAAAAATATGCTGATTTTGATGACATTGATATTTTGAATAGTTCTCCTATCTATATTCAAAATTACAGAATATAATATTCTAATTATTGAAGCAATCATTTTAATTTAATTATTATTTAGGAATAAAGTAAAAATTTTAAGTGAAGTGATTGATAATAATAAAAGATATTGTATTAATAATCTATAAATTTAATTTAATAAATATGTGAGATAAGAAAAAGAACAAGATTTTTTTTGAATAATTATTAATATTTATTAAAATATCTAATTAAATTTTGGTTTTAAGTTAAAAAGGAGAATCGATTGAGATATAATTGATATTGATTATAATTTCATTTGATTTTATATTATTAAATGAGTTACCATAAAAGAATAAACATAAATAAAATTTGTTTCAAATTAATAAATGTAAGTAATATATTAAAATAGACATAGGAATTAGGAATGTAATAATATGTAAATTCTTTTTAGTATTAAATTTAAATTTCAATTCATATTATTAAGTAAGATGCAATATAATTTTTACATTAAATTAATTATCACAATTAAAATTTATACTATGATTTCTAGAATTCCCCTAAGACTTGTCAGATCATTAAAGCCTCTTAATATGACAACAGTTTGTGCTCCATTCTGTTCATAAATAGAAAAGGTCAATAAAGGTATATATTTTATATTAATGGAAATCAGCTGGTTAAAAATTAGTGAAAATAGTTGAAAAAGAACTTAAATATGAGAAAACTAATTATGTTCCAGATGAATCAGCTTTAGAATTTGTTTAAAAAGCTGGATTCTAATTAGTTGATTCTGAAGGAGATCACGAAGTGACTTTAGAAAAAAAAGTAGGTGACATCAAAGTCATTGTACAATTCTAATCAAGATAACCAAACTCTGAATAATAAGAAGAGGATGAGGTTGAATAACAAAAAAAATAGAAGGAAACAGAAGAAGAATAAGAAGAAGAAAATCAAACATCTGATTATGCTGATTTCACTGTTTATCTTTAAAAAAACAATGGTTAAATTCTATGTTATGAATGTACAACCTCTTAAGGCGAAGTAATATTTTCTTTTAAATTAAATAGATTAATGTCAACATGGTAAGTCTAGTAAAAGACTTAGAAGCACATAAGAAAATTCCTAGATTCGAAAGAGGTTTATAAGATTATTAAGGACCAGAGTTCATGACCTTAGATGAGGTATAGAATAAAATTAAATATTCTATTAGAAATTATAAATGACATTGGTAGAATATTTGAGAGGATATGGAATCAATGATGAACTAGGAGCATTTGTTGAACACTATTCCTTAGATAAAGAAGAGAGACTATACATTTAATGGTTAGATCAACTTACAACATTTTTGAAGAATTGAGGAAATGAAATCATCATTTATTGTATATTAATAGTCAATATTTTTGGAATAAAAATAAATATATATGTCATAAATCAATTATTTGTAATCTGTAATAGAAATATTTATTTTAACTCTGCTAATTAATTTTGAACATTTTATTTTATTGAAATACCTGTATTTGTAAGACTAAAAGTTATTTCATTAATAGCAGTCATTTATGAGTTTATACGAATATACATTGTAACAATATTCTGACCTCTTGAACAATAGAAATTTCTCTTTATAATTTTATTAGGATAATTCAATTCAGTATACAATTTTTAAGTAGTTGGACAACTGTATTAAATAATTGCATTCAATTAAGATAATGAAGACTAAACATAAAATGTCTAAGTTGTTTCACTTGTATAAATTAGATTCAACTCTTCAAATTATAATTATATAGTAGGGATAGGAGAATTATTATAATTATCTTTTTAACTCACTCTAATTCCAGAAATGGCCATTGGTAGAAAAGTTTAAGTTATTGATTTAACTATTGTTATATAAGTGAATCTTAAAGCATTAATAGGATTTCCAGACCCTTTAATATATTATTATATAGTGTACAAGCTGCAAATGTATAATAGTTGGAATATTTAGTTAATCTAACTCCAAAATTGATTACAGCTGGCCAATTAAATCCTTATGTTGAAACAGTCCAATCTTTATCTGTTGGAAATGTCATAGTAGGACTTGTATATGAGCCACTAGGTTATTATATATAAGTTGTTTCCATTACATCACTAGTTGTCAACATTATTTAATATCCAATTTATAATAAATTGTTGGTGTTACTAACTATCTTCACTTTTACTTAAGTAATTGTAATTTCTTCGATCTATTTATAAAATTCAAATATTACAGACAATACAATATCGAGTCCTCCTTTAAATTAAAAGGATGTTATAAATAGTAAAGCTTTTGTAAAGTTAGGGTTGCTGTGAGAATAAGTGACATATTAAGTAAAACTTGCATAAGGTGAGCTAAGAATGTAATTGAATTCATTAATAACTTAAACTCTTTTATCATCAAAAGCATACCATTAGAAGGGCATCTCTGTAGCCCCACTTGAATATGGATTAGTCATAACAACAGTGAATTCTAAACTTTAGTTGAAAATATTACTTGTTGTTGTAATACTTGTAATAGTGGCTAAATTTCCTCCTGAAGTTTAGTATTGTACATTGTATTTATTAATAATGATGGCTACCTAAGGTATCCTTTCAAATGTTCCAGAGAAAGTAAATTCTTTAGTGTAAACATTATTGCCTGATGCACTAAATCCATTGTTCCAATCAAAAGAGGAAGCATATCCTGTATCATATTTAATAAAGCTGTTCACTGTTATAAATAGTAAAATAATAAAAATCTTCATTGATTTTATTAATATTTGAGTTCAATTTAAATTCTTTAGATAAGATGTGAAAATAGAGAATTAAGATTTTATTACTCAAAACGAATTTATATAAAAGTTCTTATATTCACAATTAATTATAATAATAAAATTAAAAAAATTATTTTAATTGAATTATTTATTTAGAGAAGACTTAAAAAATAAAGATTAAAATAATTTCTATTTGTCAAACTGCTTTCAGTTTTTTAATTTTAGAATGTAGATTAAAAAATGAGTAAACATTATCCTATTTATTTCTTTTTTTGTTTAAAATTTATTTAATACAATAAATAATAATATTGGTTGTATTATAAATATAATATCATTATTCAAGAATAAAATCTTAAGGAACTTTTAGAGATTTATCTAATACGCTTTCTTATCCAAGATCTAAACTAGGTTTAACAGTGAAAGATGGTAGATAAGATTTTCCATTAATATTAACTCTATCTTCATTAAGATGATATGAATGTGGAAAGTACAAATCTCTTTTAATTTTACGATTTGGAAATAGATATGGAGCCTAAACAACATCATTATAAATAGGTATTTGAAATTCATCATTTAGATAAATATTTCTAGTAGACTCATTTCGTAAAGTAATTTAATTGAACTATTATGCTTAAAGTAATTCCAATGCCTATTCTGCTGTCAACCTCTTTTTAGGATTATATTCTAGTAAACCATATAAGATTTGATTAAGTATATTACTGTATTAAGAAATAGTATGTTTAACATACATGCATTTCTAATTTTTATTAATTAATTCTTTAGTTTTATCAGCAGTAAATAGAGGCTATTTAGTCATTCTAGATTTATTTCATATTTTTACATTCTATAAAGCATAACACCTATACCAAACATATCTATTTAAGGTGTATAAGAAAATCTTTCATTTTTATATTTATTTTCTTCATAATTTAGGATTTCTGGAGCAATATAACCAGGTGTACCACAAACTGCAAATGGATAATCTGGAGTATTAAATATAGCTAAACCAAAATCTATGATTTTAATATTTTCAATAGAATTAGATTTAGAAAGCATAACATTTTCTAATTTCATATCTCTATGTATTATATTTTGTTGATGACATTTTCTGATTCCCAAAAGTAATTGCTAAAATAACAAATAGAACAATTACTTATAAAATTGTTCTTACATTTTATTCTGGTATTTAATAGGATTGGTTTTTTATAAACTTATGTAAGTTCTCACCTTCCAAGTAATCAAATACTAAATAATAACTATTTTCTCCTTCAAAAATCTCATTTAGCTTAATTAGATTTGGATGACATTTTAATGTTCTTAATATTTGTATTTCATTCACCAACCTATCAAATCTGTCTGAAGTTCTTTTCTTTTTTATATAATCCTTACTAATGCATTTAGCAGCATAAGACTTATTTACATTATAATCCTTAATTAAAATCACTTTACAAGATGCACCTGTACCTATAATATCATGTGAAGAGTAAAAGCCTGAAATTCCTTACATAAAGATCTTTGTTTAGATATATGTTTTCATTTGATTCATCTAAGCAGATTGACCAGTAAACCACTTTGTTTTATTAAAATACTTTATGCCAAACTCTTTAATTTTATGATCATCATGATGTTTCCAACTTACTTGATTTTTTAGACTTAGATCAATCTCATACTTAGGAGGATGTTCTAACTATGAGAATATCAATTTTATATACTATACATTCTCTCTGATCATGATCTTATTTTCAAATATCTATAGTTTATAATGTTTATCAATGAGCAAGTGTTTACGAATTACTTCACACTGAAAGATCAATTAATTGCTTTTATTTTGAATCTCCATTTATAATTTATATTTAATGAGACAAACAACTTAAACTAAAATTCTTAACTCATCTAAATACAAATTCTTGAGTAACTTATAGAAAAAGATGTAAAATAAACTTAAATTTTAATAAGAATAGTAATAACATTACGAATGAAAAATAAATACAAAACTTTCACTCATGATAAAAATAAATATATTTAAAATTTTATGTTTGTTTACATTAATCAATATTGATGGCATTTATTATTTGAAAGAGTCTAAATGAAATATTTTAAATGTTTAAAAATTACTCTATCTTCAAGAATAATTATAAACGATAAAACCCTATAAACAAAGGTTCTTTTATCAAAATTAATTTTCATTATAATATTTGACTATTTTTAGATGACTTATCAATTTTTATCACTCCTTATCTTTACTATATTTACCATATCATTTTAATCCTTAAAATATATTTTACAATATTATTATTTACAGAAAACTATCATAATGATTCACATATTATTTTGTGAATTTTTGATAAATAAATATAATATTTTGAAACTTAATTTGGTGGAAATCAATTTATTCTTTGTATTTAATCAAAATTATTTTTTATTATGATACTTGTTCCAAATATAATTTTTAATTAAAGTAGATCTTTGCTAATTGTAACAATAATAAATTAATATAATTACTAAATGATCTATAAAAAATATATATTGATATATAATATTTTGTAATATATACACTTTGACTATTATTATAAAATTATTTAAGTTTACTTATTTGAATATTTATTCATTTAGTAAAATTTATATTTAATTTAATAGCAATTTCTTCAACATAAAAGCCTGAAATATTGTAATATCATTTTGTTTATTTAAATATATCATATAATTAATGTTATAATGCTAAATTTCTAACAAATAAATTAGTTCTAAAAAGATTATTATGTCTGAATCAAAAAAAGATTTAAAATTTAAAGATTATATCTTTGTATTAATTATATAATTCATTATTAATTTTAATGGCACTCAAAGTAAAAATTATACTCAGTATGATAGCATTACCTTTAGCTTTATTTGCTGCTTCAATTTTCTGGATTGTTTCAATATATTAGACAATTATACCATAAACCTAATTATCTGTGTAATAACTATCACTAAAATTATTAAATGAAACTTTATAAGTATGATAATGTTCTATTGTTTATAGTTTGAATCAAGAGCTCTATTTTTTGTAACAAGAGTGAATTAATCAATGTAATTCAACAGTCCTTTTATAATAAGAAATGTAATATTGGATTAATTTACAAATAATACTTTAAGAATGCTTGAATAGACAGATATACATCGTTTAGAACTTTTTCTGGCTCCTTTATATAAATCTCATAGATTAGAATGTTTTACAATTTTATGTAATGATAAATAATAATTCTTATCTATGGGTGATAGTAATAAATAGTTTATAAAGGAATTTATAAATTGGAATAGTCTTTATGAGGCAAACTTAATAATCAAAGATGATTAAATTAAGATAACTATAGGAAATGATAAGTACTAAATTTATTTATATATTAGTTGTAATATTCAAGTTTATTATGGATTAAAAGAGTTCATTATTAGTATGTTAACAAATGCAGCATTTATGACTAATTAAGTATAATCAAGAGCAGTATTGCTTGATGCTGATCCATATGATATTATTTGGGAAGAAAATAATGAAACTAATTTAGCTAAGATTTTAGATGTAGATCATTCTAGGACATTATAAATTTTAAATTTCCATAGATAAGAAGATGAATTTGGATGTTTAATTTATGAACCTTAAACAATCTTCTATGAATCAGACACATAAAATAGATTAATAAAATATATTCAATTTTCAATAAGTGATCTTCATTACTAATGTAATGAGTAATATAGTGTAAAATTAACTTATATGATGATAATATCTCTAAACCAATTTCATTAACATTTGGGTACTTAGGATCTTAATTATGATAGACTTAACTATGCTACTAATAGTTATGCTTGTCTTATCATTTTATTGATATTTTATTTTTATAGAGTTGCTGTTAAAGTTGGATTATCATTTGAAGTTCCCATTGAGAGAATAATAGAAATAATAAATGAACCTTATAAATTTCATTATGAAAATTCAAATTAAAGAATAGATTTAAGACAATAATTACATAATTAAGAACTTTTATAACTTTATGATTCATTGTTATTATGTGTAATTATGCATCAATTTCATTAAAAATAGTAATTATTAAATAATAATGATAAAGGAGCAGAATATTTATAAAATTTATGTTAAATTAAGTCTTTTTATAAATTCTGTTAAAATAAGTGGATGGTAAGTGTTTGTGGTAATAATATGGCTATGATTCATTATAAAAATAAAAGATATTCTGAAGCTCTTAATTAATTAGCTGAATCTATAATGATAGGTAATAAAGAATTAACAAGTTTGAAATAGATTGAAAAATTAAGAAAAAAGATTGAAAGAAATCATTTTGGAAAATCTATTTTAAATAGATTATAATCCTATATAATTAATAAATTTGCTGGAAAATCTTCAAATATTATTGATTAAGCAAGATTCAAATCTTAAGATGAATAAAATAGAGCATGTCTTTCTATGTCTATTCATAAAAGTATGGCTCTAAAAAACTCAATAGAGGATAAATAATAATGTTATCAATCTATTGGTTAATAATAAAGTTAAGAATATAGATAAAATTATAAAAGAGACAAAGATTAATTAACATTATGTTTATTCTTTAGAAAATATGCTTACATTATTATTCTATTTAAGTTTTGTATAAATTCAGATTCCAAACTATTTAATGAAACTATTCAAAATATTAAATAATTAGAAGAAGAAATCAATTAAAAACAAAAATGGAAAAAAAGTAAATATCTAACACTTATGAGAATTAAAGCATAAATTAAATTATTTTATTGTTATATGTAATTAAAGATGTATGAAGCTGCTTAAATAACTAATTAATTTTTATTAGGACAATATGATTACTATCTTGGATTAGAAGATGATTAAATAAACTATCATATAGGATATAATACATTCGAAAATATTCCTATCAGTTATTTATAAGTTTAATTAACATTATAGAAAATAGTTTTAATGAAATTTAATAATCAAAATTATTAAGCTGCATTAGAATCTGCTTATCTATTTTAAAAATTAGATGATCAAAATTAAAAAGTATCCTTATAATTACTTAAGATATTAGAAGAGATTTTTATATAATATTAATTAGATAAAGATTTGATTACAATTTAAAGAGAAGTCATAAATTAAGAATAATAAAAAGTAATCATTTTAATTGATTACTCTAAGACTATGGCATTTAATTAAATTTAAATATCATAGACCTATTGTAAATATATTCTTTAAAGAGTATATAAATCAACTTCAGTTGGATTATATTTATTTAATGAAACTCTATTTGAAGCTTTTAAATTATAAAATTAAATGTATGCATAAGATCTATATTCATAAATATTGGATAAACTCTTATTACCTCCAGGTGGAACTAGTCAGTTGTTTGAATTTATCAAATAAAGTGTTAAACTATTTCGTATATCTGATGAAACTAAATTTGAGAATTATTTGTGCTTATTCACAGAGTTTTAATCATAAAATATAGAATAGAATTTTTATGAAATTAGAAATCTATTGCATTTCAATAAAATTAAATTAGTAGTTTTCTAAATTCAGAATTCTAATAAAAATATATAAATTGCTTAATAAATATGTGATTATTGTAATGGTATTTTAATATAAAATGAAAGATAAATAACAAGTTGGTTAGATTCTTTAGGTCATAGAAAAGTATAACATAGCCATTACTTTGAATTTTGGTGAACTTAATTTATAATGTATATATTAAATTAAACTATTTATTTTTTAGATTATCAATCAATAAAAAATAAATATATTATTAAAATAAATTGTTTAAATATTCACTATTATTTTTTAAAATGAATAATTCAGATTTGATTATTAAATTCAATGATTCTTTTAAAAATTTTCTTTCTGGGAAGATTCCTGAATATCATCTTGATTTTAATGAAATTCTTAACTTAAAAACCTCTATTTTATAGATATATTTGATATAGGAATTTATGATTCACATCTCTTATGTTTTTGTTTCAATCTAAATTGTTAGAATTATAAATATTACTTATTCACTTGTTATAGTTCATTTTAAATACCATCCTATTCAAATTGAAAAAATGAGTGTTTTCTGCTAGTATCATCCTCCTCTTAAATGATCTATTTAGTTTAAGCTAAAATTTTCTATCAGAATTAGTACAATACATCCTTATTCTTTAAATTCTGTTTTTTTGTATGGAATAGTTGTATTATATGATTATAAATCTATTTCTGTTTAACTTAAAGAATGTATTATTTTAGATTTTCTTCTACGTTCAAGACGCATTTAGAAAGCATCAGTTTGAGAAGCCATTTCATTTTGTATCATACTTTATATTTATTTAACTTGATTAGTGTGATTGTTAACAATTCCTTTAACTTGAGCCTCAATCAAAAATGTGAAAATTATACCTCTTTAGATTCTGTTTAGCTGTAGATTAAATCAAGTTCAATACGTTTTGATTCTTCTTCAAATTTAGCTCTCTTATTTATAATTTATTCTTTTGATAATAGAAATTCTTCATTTTCTCTTTAAGTGGCAAATAGAATGAGAGAATTGAGTTTTTTTTAAAAGAAAAAGCTTCTTTTATCTTAGATAGATTCATAATATTCTATTCCAGTCTATTAAAAATAATAATAATAATTACCATATAAAGAGATATTAACTATTATAATGACGAAAGTTAATTCTATTCATTAATATCAATCTCCATTTCTAATTTCAGAATTTGATCTGCAAAGTTTTATGGAAGACTTTTCTTAGAGCAAAAATCTAATCCAAATTTGAACATTTAATATTTTTATATATTAATGAAATTAGGTACTGTAAGAAGTTTGTTTGAGTTTAGAGATACAACAACAGAGGGAATTTTAGAAAATCTCATAGTCTCTGTAGGTATGGCATATGTAAGCGATAATATATAGGACAACTCTAAGGATTAGGACTGCCTGATATTTGTATAATTTGTAAGAAATAACCTTTGGGAATGTTTAAATCAGGATTTGATCAATGGTCAAGTTTCCATTGTGTATTAGGGATTTGTCCAACTTCTTAGGCTGAAGTTTCAGCTTATATTCAATCATTAATGATGAATTAAGAAAAAGACACTTTTTCTAAAATATTTGGAAGTGATGTCATAATTTTTAAGGTAATTTTAATTTGATTAATTATTAGATAACTTACATAACATATGATATCTTTTCAAAGATTCTTTTAGTTTGTTAATTTGAATAGCCAAGTGAAGGGTTATCTTAGTTTAAAAATTATGGAATTCAATAAAATAAATAATGTATTCAATTAACAAAAAGTCATTGGGAAGGAGCACATATAAGTGGAATTTTAAGGATTTTAGATTCCAATTTCAAAATGCCTAATATTGGTAGATTCTATAATTAGACTAGTATAAACAATCCAAAATTTTTATAAAATCTCATATCAAAATTGCTATAAAAAATATCAGGTCTAGATAATTAATTTTAAGATCTCAACAAAATAAAATCAAAATCTGAATTTCCTCCTCTTAATGATATAATGTTTTATCTTAATTGGCCTTTAAGTCTTATCTTCAATTATTTATACAATACATGTTAATTAGATTTATTACTTGAATAATTCAATAACTTAGAAGATAATATTATCTTTAAATTAATTAAATCTTTAATACACTACAAGATGAAGTAATATATAGTTTGATTGTAGAAATTACAATAAAAGTTTGAACGAATTAATAAAATTGTAGGATTCCAACAATTGGTTTAATCTACCCAAATTCATCATGGCAAATATTTTTATAAAACAAAATAATTTTGAGAAAGCTTTTATTTTATTAAAAGATTTGTTAGTGGAATGTTATGAAAATTAATCTATTTGGATAACTATGGTATTAAAAATATATTTAATAAATTAGTCTAAAATATTTAGAAAATAAAAGTTATTTCAAATTAGTCTAATATTCTTAAATAGAGCTATTTCTTTGCCATAAAAATAGACAGTGAAATTAATATGGAATGAAATGAATTTAATCAATTATAGACTATTAACTCAAAATAAGACATTATAATTTCCTTCATAATTAGATTAGATATATAAAATTGTACATCCTTTAGCAGCTGATAAAATTGAATGTTATGTTCAATTATGTGGATATCCAAGTATAGATAATTTACTAGTTCGACCTAGATTAAATAATAAAAAGGATTAGAGAGTATTATCTTAATTTAATTTCTCATAGCATACAATTGAAATCATGTCTAAACACTTTTCAAGACCAGAATTTAAAGTCAATTAATAAACTTATGATATTTTAATGCATAATGAACTTTTAGAAATAGAAAGTGAATTATCTAATATTCTCAATGAAATTATTAAAATTTAATAAGTAGTAGGATACTAAAAATTAAAATCTTATATCAATTAGTATTTTTATACTTCAGCAAAAGTAATCTAAAAATAAATTGATTAAATATATGATCCTAGTGAATTCTAAATTGCTATCAAAAATCAAAGAAATTTAAATTTAAATGTTAGTTAAATAAGCAATACTAATGTATTATTATTATCTTAATAATTTAAGAAAAGCATGTGTAATCCAAGACTCTTAGAAGACATAGATGATTGTGATTCTGATGAAGAATAACCAGAGTTTCTTAAAAAATAAAAAATCAATAAATCATTTGATTTTACAAATGTAGGTCCTAAAATGTATTAGACTCCTCAACATAATAGTAAGATTGCAAAATCTCCATTAAAATTTACAAGTATCAAAAAGAAATAATAATAATTAAAAAAAGCAAACACAATAATTATAGAAAATGCTTTTGAAAGTATTGAATCTGAAAGATAAAACAAATAATTCATTACAATTGTAAATAGAGTTAATATTTAATAAAATGAAATGATATCATAAGCACCTAAATCAGGTTAAGATGCACAACCATAAAGATTATTTATATATGGTTTAATATCTTACTTAAATTAAAATTTAAGTCAATAAGAATAAGTTTAGATGAATGAATAATTGAAAAGAAGAAAAGAATAAGTTAATAATCTCCTATCAGGAATGGTGGAAACCATTAATAAAATATAAACTGAACTAGATTCATTATTTTATCCTTCTCAAGAATAAAATAAATAACAAAATAATTAATAAAACTCTCAAATAAATTAAATTAATGTATAATAATCAGCAAATTCATCATCACCTTTATTTAAGTCAAATCTAAAGAAGGCTTTATAGAACAAATAGCATTTAGGTGGATAAGTAGAATTAAAGGAATTCTATATTGTACATCCTTTAAATGAAGATGAACCAGATAAAGAGAAGACATATATATCTTTTATTAAAGCTGAATCAATGTTTTTATATAAATGTGCTCGTTTAGCATAGAAATTAAAAAGGAATGATTTAAGCTATTCTATCTTATAAAGATTGAGTAGTAAAATTATATCAGTATAAATTACAGCACTCTTTTTTAATATCATTAAGGACAACAATAAATTGCTGATTAGACAGTAATAATTATTTATAAAGATATTAATAGAATTTAAAAGATGTTAGCTGACTTTCAAGAATGTGGAATTAGTCAAGTAGGATTTGTACCTTTATGGTTAGAGATGAGAATTGTTAAGATGACAAAGTAATATGGGGCTAATTAAATTCTTGCATTACTATCTTCATCAGAGACTGACTTCACATTTTATTTAATTAAAAAGATCATTCTAACAACTGACAATTTAATTTGATTATTTAAACTTAATTATTGAAATTTATTTATGTATTAAAACTACTTCATATTATAACAATTTAGAGTAGATATTATGATATTTGATTATATTATTAAAATATTTTGATTTCTTTATTTAATTTATATTATAATAATAATAACGAATATATAAATGTTAATTATACATAATCTATCTCATATAATTTCTAATATTTTATAATGATGTTTTTTAATTTTTTATTTGTTATTACTCTCATAATTTATTTATTGAATAGAAATAAATAAAACTTTAAATATTATTAATAATAAATGAATTCCTTTTTGGAGTAACCATTTCAATATAGATAATTAAGATCTATATCATTCAGTCCTTACAATGATAATAACTTCATTAAACAATTAAAGAGATAACTTCATTATCCACCTTAAAAAATAATGTAATTAGAGTCTTATGAATATGTGTAAATTCCAGAATAAGATGAAACAAATATTATCAGTTCAGGTAAGTGTGTGCTTTGATAAGAATATAGATTCCATATAACATTACCAAAAATTAACAAAGGACAGAAAAAATTCATTAAATGTTGACTTAAATCCAATAAATTTAAAATAAGAATCAGCATAAAGTGCAGATATTAATTAATATAAATTAAATGTACCAAAACTAGTAGTAGTCAAATAATTGAATTAGAAGATAGTTAGAAAAAAGAAGAAAAAGATAAATCCAATTAATCCTCAAGATTGTAATGATGACGACATCTAACAATAGACGATTGTTTTAGAAACCAATAATATGAATACCGAGACGGAAACTAAAAAAGACAAAATTTCCTTCTTACCTGAAATAAAAAAAACAAAATTATAAATTGAAGAGTAGCCAATATAGAGATCAGCAAGATATCAATAATTAATGGTATTAAAATAGTTATTTAGAAAAAATCTGTTGAAGATTAATTTGTAGAACTTTAATCCTTAATCAAAAAGATGTAAAAGTAACCAATAAATAAGAAAGAAAAAAGAGTTACTTTTCTTCTCTGAAATATGTAGCTTTTTGTTTTTGAATCATAAATTTATGTACTTAAGTGTTTGTATATAAGATGATATTTCTGTATAAAATATAAAATTTGTTGTAAATTCAAATAAATAACATATTTTCATATAGTTATAAAGAAAAGGGAGAAAATTAATATGTACTACAATTAATTAAAATTAAATTTATATAAAAATTAATATTATTATATTCACTTTATGAAATTAAATACAAGCACATCTAGTGCTCCATTCATACCACAAAGACCAGTTAGTTAAAATTCATCATTTGTTCAAGGAAGAATGTAAACTCCTCCTAGAGTAGCACGGTTTGCTGATACATCACCTCATGCATCTTTCGAATTTGAAGATTTGAATTCATTATCACTTGAAGAAATCAATAGAGAATTAGATTAGAATAGTATGTATATTTTTAAGTAGTTAATGAGGTGATCATGTTGCTTAATAGAAGAAAAAGTTTGATTTTAAATAAAAAGAGAAGACTCAAGGAGGAATTTTCAAATAAAATTGCTGAATTAAAGAGATATCAATATGAAGATTATGTTTAAGATTTACAAAGAATAGAAGATCCATTGATATAATCACTTATGCAATAGAAAAGCTTACCAAAAATGCAAAAATTATTAGGGAATGTTATGAGAGATTAATAAGATCGTAAAGTTATGGAATTGAGTAAATCTTAGGAATTCTGGTAACACAATAAAAATGTTGAAACAGAAATTGACAATCTACTTAAAAAATTGAAATATTTTGATAATGAACTTGAAAAAGACAATAATGAGATTTATGAAATTTGTAGATAATTAGATTCAATTGATGATAATATTAGAGATTTACTTATTACTAAAGTAGATGACAATGTTTAAAGAGCAGAACCTTTATTTGCAAATAAATAAAGATAATAATCAATACTGAATGGTAAATTGAATTAGAGAAATAAATTAAAAGATGAAAAGATGAATTTAATTTATAAAATTATAGAAGAATTATAAAGATTAAGAGGATTAAGATAGGAAAGGATAAATAAATTAAATATAGTATTTGGAGATGAAGAAAATATATCAAATTAGAATTTTTAAGGATTGTAAAATGTTTAAGGTTCATAATAGAATTTAGATTAACCTTAACCATCTAAGTTATAGGCTTATATGGATTTTATGGAATAATTTGATAATATAGCATAAATGAGAGATTAAATATCTAAGTTGGAATAAGCAGAATAAGCCTTATTAAATGATTTAGATAGATTGTATAGAGAAAGTGATCAAGTTTTCAGTGAATTAATTAGAAGAATTTCAGAGGAAGCCAAGACATTTAATGAATGGACAGAGAATCTTAAAAAAAGGATTAGATATATAAAAGCAAATGAATATTTCTTTTCATAAACTAATTTACCTGAATAGTAAAATGGGTTAGTCAATTCTTTACAATTAGATTTGAAAGAAGTTAGTAGAAAATTTAAAGAAAATATGAATTATTTGAAACCATTAATTGAAGAAGATGCTACAATTAGAGCAGGTTTAGAAAAAACAGGAAGTACTATATAATAATTTAAAAATATGATATTGTATAATATTATTATAATTTTTGTTAGGGCTATTTAAAATGAAAAAGAGAGGAGAAGAGAATTACTTTAAATTTTAGAGAATTGTGCAAGATTAAGATAAGAGGAGGATATGTAATTTAAGAGACGTTATTTTTAGGAAAACTGAATAATTGAGGAATATTGAATTAGAAATAAATAAAAAATTATAATAGAAACGTAATTTAGAAGAAGATTTAGATGGAGTATTAGGTGATGCTGATTTAAATACATTTAAGAAAATAGGTATTATAATTAAAAAAATAAAATTAGAATCTTTATTACATGATTATGATTAAGAATTAGTTCATTTAAATAATTAAAAAAGAAAAATAATGAAAGAAATAGAAGAGATTAACTAATCTGTTATTAATCTATTGGCAAGAATAAAAAGTGATTATGATGATATTCTAAGAGAAATATTACCAAAAGATTGGACTAATACATATGATTTAAAAAAAATTACAGATTTAAAAAGAATGAAGAATTACTTAAAAAAGACATTTAAACGTTTTGGTATAATGTCAGATTGAATTCATTATTATTATATTATAGTGATCATTTATTCATACCCAATTATGATTAGGTTCTTCTTAGTTTTTACACTACATCTTAATATTCAGATTATTAATTGATAAACTTATTTAATAATTCATTTCTTAATAATCTTCCTTTGATGTTTCCTTAAAATAGTTCTTATTTTGTAGAAAATGATACTATTGATACTTTATTATGACTTTTATTTGTAAGTAATTATTATTAAGATCTATTAATACTTAGACTATTCTATTATAGAGTCATTTATTTTTCAGGAGTCTGTCTTAATTTAAAAAAGCGAGGATTAGCTAACTTAGCAAATCGAAAGTGTTTAGTACTTGTTTAATTAAGTTATTATTATTATTATTATTATTATTATTATTATTATTATGATGATTATTCAATAGATTATTCTGGAAATATTTTTTATAATGTCTTTTTCATCTAAATACTTTTTTAAGTCTATTTAAATTCATTTGTTCTCTTAGAAACAAAATTCTTTCTTATATTAGGTAGAATCCAATTCAAAAAATAAACTCCTTCAAATACTAGTACTGATCCTTCATCACTAATACATAGAGCCTGTGATTTTCTAGTTTAAAAGAAATTTACACATTCAAAATCACCTATCAATTATCCAGGTGTATAAATATTAATAGATTTTGTTGTAGTATCTGTTGTTTCTCTTAATTCAAAGATTCCACTAATTACTAAAAACACTTATGATGCCTTTTAATTTTGATTATATAATATATCTTAGCAACAAAGATGCTAGGTAAAACTGTTGAGGAAAAATTGCTTTACTATGGTAAATGGCAAAGTCTTAAAGAGATGGAATGCATATATCTATTAGAGTAAAACATTAATTTTGGATATCTCATACGTTAACATATTGATTTTGAAATCTAACTTGGAAATTACGGCTGCTTTACAAACAGATTTGGTCTTAACCATCAGGTTTGGGCTTGCTTCCTAAATATGGAATACATATCTGCATAACAATCATTCCCAAATACTATTAAACAAGATCCAAAATGTTTTGTACACAATAATTCTTATTCATTTGATTGGACACTCATTTCTCCAGTTAATAAAATTATTAATTGATCCTGATTCTCTCTACCCCTCAAATAAATTATTTGATTTTTTTTTAATTGTTCAAATTTCATTAGCTATCATACTAAACTATTTTATACTTAGCAACATTCCCATAAGTAATCTTAAGAAGAATTTCCTTTAAAATATAAATGAGATCTCATGAAATTCATCAAACGCTAATTGTCTTCATTTGTACGTCTTAGCTCTTCCATCTTTAGAACCCTTATACAAGACATAATGATGTTTGGATTTCTAGTGATGTGCTAATCAAGCCTTCTAATATCCTCCTCATTTAAATCTGTCATAGTACCTTAATTTTGCATTAATAATATTAATATAAAATTCATTCCAAGTAAGATAATTTTAAAGATAGATTTTTTTTCAATCACTTAATTATTATTTGATCTGATCTTCAAAATATAAATACTTAAATAATCATTTGAACATTTTATAATTTTTTATTTTTATAAGGGATAGTTTCATTAGAATATTTAATCTAAATTTATGATTTACATTTTACTTTATTTACTTAAGTATATTCCGATAATTCAATTACTTCCATCTTGAGCATATTTTAATATATCATTTTTGTTTCTTGTATTTATGACATACAATTTACTTTTGGATAGAATTAATCAAAGCTTTAATTTACAACTGCTCAAATTTAAAGATAGCTTTTAAATTATATATAAAGTTTATTGATTAATACCTTAATTAAGTTAGGGAAAATAAAAAAGTTTTATCTAAGATATTTTATATATAATTTAAATAAGCTTAAAATACTTTGTTTTCTTATATAATTTTTTATAAATTGAAAGTTATATGGAATATTTACTTTGAATAATATTTCATTATTTAATAATATTTATTAGAATTTAGTTATTTTTAATTGTATTCAATTTATTTCTTAATTCTAACATATATTATTAAATAATAATTATCATTTGTGTTGTATAATCTTTAAAATTATTAAAAATAATAATATAAAATGAATATGAACTAAAATTCGGATGAGTGCAGTTTAATAAAAAAAATAGAGAACCTTACTCTTATACGTAAACCTCATTATATTTTTACAAAATAAGAGAACAAGATTTCAATTAATAAAATTGACTTAAACACACTTTTAAAAGAACTCTTACGAGATGATTGAATTAATTGATTTCACTTCAATAAATATATATAATTTGTTGAGAAACAAATGAATTGATACAACTCAACAACAACTATTTAGTTATTTTTTATCCTCTTCTGAATTTTGAAGTGTGTTTTTATTTTGAGCATTTGCTCCCTTCTTAATACCACAATTCTAGTTATTTATTATTATTATTATACTTCATCACGCAAATCAATTTATTTGCTTTTTAATTTTTGGATAATTTCTTTAGCACTCAAAACAAAAGCATCATCAATATGATCTCCTGTCTTAGCACTTGTCTCAATAAACAAAATATTTTATTGCTTAGCCAATTACTTTCCTTCCTCTGTTGTAACCTCTCTCATAGACTCAAGATCAGTTTTATTACCAACCAAAATCATGCTCATTGTTTAATTTCCATTCTGTCTTGCCTCTTCAATCCATGTTTAAACACTATTAAAGGATTCTTTTCTATAATAATAGAAATAAAATCATATACTTTGTGACATCATAAACAATTAAAGCACCAGCAGCTGATCTATAATAAGTTCGAGTTATGCTTTTAAATGCTTCTTATCCTGCAGTATCCCAAACTTATAATTTAATGTTGAGATCATCAACTTCTATGGGTTTTGCACCAAATTCTACACCAATTGTAACTTCATGCTTCTATCGAAATCTTTTATCTAATAATTAAAGTAAAAGACAAGATTTGCCAACACCTTTTTTAAGTATAATATTTTACCTGAGTCTCCTATGATGATATATTTAAAAAGATAATCGTAAGACATAATCAGAATATTTTTAAAATTTATTATTAATATTAATCATTATCATTTATTCTAACAAGTGTGATTTATTTTCTTATAATCAAATCAATTTATATGGAAAGAAATTTGTAGATTAATATTAAATCTATATATTATACTTAATTTTAATTTACATTAGGTGAATTAATTATAAAAGCAATTAAAAAGAATTCATAAATAACTAATACTTTTTATAGTGTCTTTATATATCTAGAATAATTGATATAAATAATCATTAGTGTTTAATAATATTATAAATAAATAAATTGTTTTAAATTTAATCTATTCTATAAAAACTTGTTTAAAATCATCATGAATTTCAATAAACATATTATTATTTCATTTTTCTATTTTCTAGTATTGTCTTTAAATAGAATCGAAAACTATAAAAATATTACCATGAATAATAAGATTATTAATGAGCATTCATTTTTGTAAAGAAATAATATGGATCAATAAAAATTATTTAGAAAATATAATTCATGGTTAATTTTTTTAATGACATAATTATTAGAATTTTTTAATATCTTTCATATATTCTGAAAAATATAATAAAATAAAAATATTTTTTAATCTTAATACAAAAATCTAATTTTGGCTAATTTTTAATTTTGGTAATAAAAGTAAAAGAGGCCCAACTCCTACATATGTTTAATTTAATATTAAATTAGATATTTTTGTATAACAATAAGAATATGATAGAATCTACTTTGATTTAGATTAATTCCATTACTGTTTTTAATTTGAAATCATTTTGTGTTTAGAAGTACATATAATAATTTAATAGATGATTTCTATATCTATTTCTTTAGTGTTTCAATGAAATAATTTTAGATAATATATTAATTATATAATATTTTTAGAAATTTATGAATAATTTATCTTTTGATGATATACTTTCTACAAGAATAAAATTTGGTAAGGTTCAGATTTAAACTTTCCTTATTATCAGTTTAATTGATTTACTTGATGGATCTGAATTCATGTTTTTGCAATTATTGAATGCAATAATTTATAAGGAATGGTCATTAAGTTTGAGCTAATTGATCGTTTTAGCAACAGTATTCAATTTTGGTCAATTTATTGGTTCTTTAATTTGTGGTTAGTTCTCAGACTATACAGGACGTAAATCAATGCTAGTTTGGTCATGTTTACTTTAAGTATTAAAAAATTGTAATATTGTTCATAGCAATGCTTCTTACAGCATTTGTGTAAGATTTACCATAATTACTAATATTAAGGTTTTGTTTTGGATTGCTATTTGGCATAGCATTGCCAATATCATCAATATTAATGGCAGAAGTAACTCCTCTTCATGTAAGAGGATAATTTATTGTTACTTTATAAATGATGTATATAGTTGGCAGAATGTGGATGTTATTATTAGCCTTCATATTCTTGGATTCAATAGCAACAGGAAATTGGAGAGCCATAGCTGTGACAAATAGTATTCCATGTTTTATATGTCTAATTGGTAGTATAGTATATTTACATGAATCACCCCGTTTTCTTATATCTCAAGGAAATATTAAGGAAGGAATTGAAGGAATTAATTTTATGGGAAGATTTAACGATAAGGATTATGTTGATTTGTAAGAAGATGAAATTTAAGCACTTTAATAATGGAGAAAGGCTACATTTGAATAATAATATGATAAGAAGAGTTTTAAAGAGTTGTTTAATCAAGAAAATTTACCAATCACATGGAGAGCATATTCATTAAGTATCATATCAATGTTGATGTATTCTGGACTGTATATCATCATACCATTTCTATTTGATGAAGAAGAAAAAACTTTACTTGATTTATTATACACTGTCCTAATAGAATTGCCAGCAGTGTTAGTTGTTGTTTGTTTGATTGACAAAATTGGAAGATTACCTATAGTACTTATAGGAACAGTAACATCTATGATAGCAGTTTTTATAATTTGGTATTGGAGAGCCAGATATCTATTGTTAGGTTTGATTGCTTTCAAATTTTTTAATAGAATGACTTTTCTTTCATTCACTCCTCTTATTTTAGAATCCTATTCCACTATCTATAGATCTTTGGGAATAGGTACAACAATTGCTTTTGGTAGAGCAGCAGGTTTCTTATCTCCAGTCATAATATTACCATTATATTAAAAAGATAATTATAGTCCTTTTTTAGCTTCAATTTTTATCTTGATAATAATGACAATCATATTTGCAACTTATCCTAAAGATTTAACGAGAAAACCACTTGATATTAAATATGAAAAAGTGGATTGAGATAAAGAATATTTCATCTATAAATGTATATGTTTTGGATTTTCAATATATATTAATATATAATCAATTGTCTTTTTCAATATTAAAATTTTATTATGGCATTCTTAAACAATTTTCTATTTTATTGATAATATTTACCTAATGCAAATTTAACATCTTAAAATGCAAGTTTTGGTTTTGTATTTTTTAATTCATCATTTTATTATTAACGCTTTTAACTTACTCTCATAGACTCTTCTAATAATTTATTCATAAATTCATTTCCAATATCAATTATCATTTATTTAGGTTTTTCATCAAATTAAACAACTTCCTCAAATCCCATCTATTTTATTAGCATATCTAATCCTTTAGAATCAAAGAAAATTAACTCTTCATTTTAAATAGCTTAAGTATTCTAGCCCTGAGTTTAATTCATTAATTATAAATTAAAATTAAAATTTGTTATATAATTTATTTCAAACTCTATTAAATCAAACCTTAAAATTACTAAAATTATGCAAAATTTCAGATAAATCTAAAACACTTAATGATAAAACTCAATCTTACTTTAAATTATGATAATATTATTAATCATGAAAAAAAAAGAAATATTTAAATATATATTATTATAAATAATTTGAATTTTTGATTTTTTGTTTGTAAAACTTTAAGATAATTAAAATAACGTTTTTTTTCAATCATGATTGATAAATCATTAGAAAATCAGATACATAATTATTTTAATAATTATTATACACATTAAGTAAATAATCTAATTCAATTTTTTAATTACAATAAATTTCATCATGGTCATTCCTGTTATTGAAACAAATTCCAATTTTACAATAATTTTTTCCAAAATTCTTATAATAATGAGTATAAAAATTGACTCTCGTAAATTTGGATGATAAATATTTATTTAAGGTAGGTTTCTTTTAGAATAAACAATTATCTATGAAATAAATGAATTGAGTTATTTAATACTCTTTATATTTATTATTAATAATAAATATAATTATAGTTTTATAATATTGTCAAGAAAATTGTAAAATTCAATAAAATATATATATTAATATAATTATTATATTAATAAATATGATAAATTATACAAGGACAATTAACATTGATGACACAACAAAACATAGATTGAGTACATAATGTAAAGATAATTTTTTATAATTCATAATGCTGTAGAAAGCTGGAAAGTAAGGTGATTTAAAAATGTTAAATCATTTGAAAACTGTTTACCCAAAAGAATTAAAAGCTAAAATTTAAAAAAACTCAACAAATATTGATTACCTCAAACATCATGAATAAAGTGAGAAGATTTTGAGATAATAGGCAAAGTTTATACTAACAAGTAGAAAAAACAATAACTTGACTGATAGACCTAGAAGCAGATTAGATGAATTAATAAAAAGACCATCTAACTTATCGCCAAGATGTTTATTGACTACAGTAGATAAATTTAATATATGAGTACTCAATATTATCACTAGAAGGAATGATCATTTTACATAGTTTTGATTATAAATTCTAAGAACTCTTATTCTGATAAGACAGACTTTTGTTATAAATTAGTTTTGCGAAGAATATTATGCCAATTCTTATCACTAATTCTATTACCTCCAAAAATTCTTCTCATTTCAATCATAGATAAGGTATTATCTTTATCTACATCCAATTAAGCAAAGACTAATTTTAATTTCTCAACAGTTAATAATTTCTTCTTATCTTAACAAGCCAATAAGAATTCTATATAATAGATATTTATTATACCTGTGTAATCTAAATAGCCATTTCCGTTAGAATCAATCTTCTTAACTAAAGTTTCTATATCATGATCTTCTAATTTAGTACTAGTTTAATATTTTTTATATCCTCTATCTATAATAAAATGATTACCTTCAATTAATTCTTATGTAGAAATTTTACCATCTCTATTAGAGTCAAATTCTTAAAATATCTATAAGATCTCTCCTTTTTATTCTTAAGTTAGAGTCATTTAAACAATTTACATAATAATGGCTTCTACTAAGACTTCACATTTCTAAAATTTACGAAGATTGGTTAAAGCAGGATTTATTTTTAACGCTAATTTTTTTTATTTTGCTTTTTCAATCCATTTATCTTTAAGAGCATCAACTGCAGATGGTCTTTGATTTTATGAAAAATTTAATAATTTTTTAACAAATTCTTTTGCATCTGGAATTTTATCCCAATCAAATGTATCTTCTAATTTAACTATTCCTCTCAGAATTGAATTTTTAATTGATGATGCCATAATACCATCAAATGGCATAGATCCAGAAAGTAGAAAATGTAATAATACACCAGCAGACCAGATATCAGATTTAAAATTATAATTTCCAGTTAACATTTCTGGAGATTAATAATGTTAGTCTCCAACTGGTAATTATATATATTATTAGATTTTTTTGGCAGCTCCAAATTCTAAAAAAGTTATTGTTAATTTTTCATCACAAAAAAGAGTATTATGATCTAATTGTTTATGAAAATAATACTTAGAAAACGATAAATGATATTTTTTGAATGTAAATATACAAAAGTACTTAAAACTTACTCTATTATTAAGGAAGCCATTTGTTCTGGGTTTTCTCCTTTGGTTATCATTCTACTCAAGAGATTACCACCTATATAATCTTCATATATAATATAATAGTGTTCAGTTTCGTTAAAGTATTCAATCATTTTAGCAATATTTGGATGATCCTTTCTTTTATAAATAATTTACTAAATATTGCATTAGATGAATATTATTTAAGAACAATACAGGCTCATCTGATTTAGGATCTGTTGTTTTTTTCATAGTTTTAACAATTTTTCGAGAATCTGTTTTTTTATTATAGCACCATTAATAAATCCCATATTCTGTAGATAGAAATGGTTAGGAATCTATAATTATATATTCATTCTTAAATTAGTTCTTATTGTGTTGAAAGCAATCTCCTTAATCGAAAGGCATTTCAGCATAAACAGGGTTATCTGACAATATATAAGGTTATAGATACTCTCCAACAGTTAGTTTTTAGGGATAATAACTTTTAATTTTGAAGAATGTCTTTTATGAACTTCTTCTTTAGGCTACTTTGCTAAACATGAACCCATTAGTTTAAAAATAAATTAAATTTTATGTCTTAGTATCGGCCATAAAGAAACAATGTATCTCGAACACACTAACCTTAAAAATAAGATAGTTCATTGTAGGAAAGTGATAATCAACATCTTTAAAATCCATAATTTACTCAAGAGTAAAAGTAAAGAAATTATACAAAATAACTATTTTTATAGTACTCTTCCAAGAAGTACTTATAGAACACCAGATGCTAGAGTAAATCACTTTGATGGGATATCAAATGAAGAAATTTATAAGAAAAAGTATATAATAACTTATTCTAGAATAAATGAATTACAAAAATAAAATGATGATTTAAGAGAAAAGTATTTATAATTATCTAGTGAAAATTAAATGATTATCTAAGAATAAAGAGAGGAAATAGAACAATATTAAAATGAGGTAAATATTTTGAAAGAGTAATTAATGTAATATGAAATTGAGATAAAATAATTAAATGAAATCAATTAATCTTTAAAATAAGAAATTAGTGATTGGGAAGGTATTTATTAACATTTATTTAACAATTTATAGATGGTTTTGATAAATTAGAATAAGATTATAATAATAAACTAAAAATTGAAGAAGATTCATAAAAAATACTTGCAGAAGTTTAATTATTGAATGAAGAGAATCAGAATTTGTAAGATGAACTATAAGTAAAAGATAAATTATATAATCAATGCAAATAATAATTATAAAGTCTCTAAATAGATTTGAATTAATTATAATAAGATAGTTAATACAATTAAGAATTATTGAATTAGAAAGATAAAGAAATCTATGAATTATAATAATAATTAGAAAGAGATAAGGAACTTTTAAGAAAACAATAAGAATTTTCTAATAAAGTAAAAAAATATATTCTATAATATAGTAAGATCTCTTAACTAAAGAAATTTAAAAGTTGAATCAACAATTAAAACAATTATAAAAGGAAAACCAAGATTTGAAGAATGATAAATAATTAATTTCTTAGGAACTTCAAGAAAATAAAGTCAATCCTGAATATTTAACTAAAATCAATCTTTTGGGATAGGTATATCAATTCTATAATATAAGGAAGTTGAAAGATTAAATAATACTTTAGCCTTAAAGAGTCGTGAACTCAATGATTAGAAAGCATAAATCTCTAGAATGCAAAAAGAAATCTAAAATTTAAGAATGAATGAATTCAAATTATAAGAAATGAATATGAGTTTGGATAATTTAATTAACTAATATAATAAATTGAAAGATGATAATTAAATCCTCAAATAATAAATGGCTTAAAAGTAAATTAAAGTAAATTAAGAATTGGATAAAAAAATATAATTACTTTAATAAGAATCTGAGAAACTTTCTTAATAACTCAATTCTAGTAAAAAAGAGAATGATTATCTAAGAGAATAATTAAATATATAATAATAATTGGAAGATACTAATAGGTTATTAAAATAATAAGTAGATAAATTATAAATGTAAATCTAATAGTTAGAAAGTGATAGATAAAGTTTAATGCAGGAATATCAACTATTATCAAATAGTTATAATAATTAAAAGTTTAATTATTCCTAATTACTTTAAGAACAATAAGAAAATAATGATTCAGTATAGTATATTAAATAAAAAAATATAGGTTTTCCAATTAAAAAATGAAATCTAACGATTATAGAAAATAATGTAAGATACAGTTGAAAAAAACCATAATAATAACACTTTATAAGAGATTGTCAATTAATAATAAAAAGAATTAGAAGCAGCTAATAGATAAATTCCTTTATTGAAATAAACAATTTAAAAGTTAAAAAATGAATTAGAAATAACAAAAGAGTTCATCACTGAAAATAAATATGAATAATAATAATAATAACCTTTAATATAATAGGATTAAAAATTGATTGATAAATTATAGAAGTATGAAATAAGGTTTCCTCAATTAGTAGAAGAAATTGAGAGACTTAATAGAATATTGACAGAGAGAAATGAAGAAATTTTGATTTATTAAAAGAATTCTTTTTAATAGGATTAAGTATTTGAGAAGGTAAGTGCATATGAAGGTGAAATTGAAAGATTAAGATAAACAATTCTTTTAAAATAATAAACAATAGATTCATTATAATAATAAAAAGAGAATCCTGGAGTTTAAGATATAATTTTTAAATTGTAAGATGAAAATAGAAGATTAACAAATTTAGTAAATGTTAGAAATAATGAAATAGCAGAACTTAAATTTAAATTATCAGAATATGAATAGAAACAAAAATTATTAGGAGAATCTAATTCTGGAAAATATGAATTATAAAATTTAAAATTAAATTAAGAAATTGATTAATTGAATTAGAAATTGTTAGAGGCTAAGAATGAGATAAGTTTATTGAAATTGACTAAAAATGATAAATTCAATGAAGAAAGAGTAAAAGATTTAATAAATGCTTTTAGGGGAAAGTATTGACATAAGAATTAGATAAGTAGATAAGAATAAATAAAGATAATGAAAAAGAATTAATGAGTTTAAGATCAAAATTTGCAGAAGTTGTAGATGCTGAAAGAAAATTGATTGATTGCAAATGTCTATTAGTTTTATTATATAATGAAATAGAACGATTGAATTAAGAAAAAGAAAATGATAATTTATTAGTTTGAATTTATATTAATTTATATAACAATATATGTTTATGTAAATCAATCATGTTAAAAAGAATTAGAATATACACTAATAGATTCTTTAATAATATTAAAATTATAGAACATATATTTATTAATTATTAATTTCTTTATTAAGTCTTTGTTGATGATGATGGATATAAATTAAATTAATAGATTGTATCTCAATTATTAAATTATAATTAAATACCTGCATTTACTTTTTATAACTCAGATATAATCATATTAAGATAGTATATGTAAAAGAAAAAATGGAATATTCCACATTAATAGATTGTGGTTTAGGATTATTAATTATTTGACTTAATAGATTATAATTAATAATAACTAGTCGTATGAAAATATTTAATCTAATTATAACTAAATTATAATGTCAAAAATAAATCAATTAATAAAAAGATATTGATTGATAAAAATTACAAATTTAATTATTTGTTTTTAATAGATAGTTAGTTTAATTAGCAAATATAGATATATATATATATATATAAATTAAATTACCAAAATAAAGATTAAATAATTCTAATTAGAAATCTAATAAAATATTATCTTTTAATTATAGATTAATCTTAAATAAGTATGACTTTGTGATACTATATTTAGCTTCTTTAATACATAGGCTTTAGAGACTCTCTAAAGTTATAAATATTAGGAATGATAATTATCAAGAAATAAAAAACTCCAATAGAAAATAAAATTGATTAGAATAGAAAGAAATTAAGTTAAACAAGTAGTCTTGATGATTAAAAATATATTTGATCATTATAATCTTATAATTCATGAAGGAAGTTTTTATAGATATAACCATAACGACATTGGATTAAAGGCTAAATTCTATTATAGTTATTGTTATTGTAGTTATGATTATTGCAAATACTACTATGATTACTCTTAAGTTGGCAGTCTTAATTAAACATTATTGGGAATAGAGAATTATTCCATTTTAATTTGGTTCTAAGTGATGATATATAAATATATACACTATCTTGTTCAGGCATCGAATTTGAACTTTGGTTGGGAAGATTACCTGAAATATGAATTATTTTTCTTATTCTCTCAGGATTAATTGGTTATTCAGGTTCTTTAAGTTCTTTTTTCTTCTTTTTTTCAGGAATTTTTGCATTATATTCTTCTTCTAATTATTCTTAATCAATTTAATCATCTTCCCTTCTATATTTCAATAAGGAATTATAAACTCTATGGTAAGCTTATTGCATTTCATCCTATGATTTATGTTTAGTATTTTTACTAGATTTTCAATTTGCATAAAACCTTTAGGTATATCATTAATATCTATAATAACCTAAACACAATCATTATTAAGAGGTTCAAGAAATTCTAATATCTTTTTAATATTCTATTAAGATTTGGTTTCATTGGTTTTACAATCAATATATAAAATGATGAGTTTTTAATCTATCTTTTAAATTCCTTGTAATGCATTGCTAGTTGAGAGAACATGTTATAAGGTTTAAATCAAATTGTCAGGCTAAATATTATGTAGAAACTTACTTCTGTAAATTTAATTTTAGCTGAGTTTACATACATTTAGATACAAGCACTGAATTTAAGTAACAAGAAAATTGGATGTTTAACTTTATGCCGTATATTTGGAGCAGTGAAATAATTTATGAGTCCATCAATAGAATTTTTAATTACTTCTTAATTAGAAGGCTTGATTATTAAAAACTATTTCTCCAAATTATTAGGTAAGAAAGGGTCGAAATATGATTGCAATTTTTAGATCTATATATATATATTAATAATATAAATTTACCTTCTATTTTACTATGTCTCTGGCAGATTTACGTGAATCTACAAAAATTGGAGGGGAGATACGAGAATCTAAGATCTGAGGAAATTCAAACTTATTCTAACACAAATACAATGTAATCACTATATGAAATCGTTAATGCTGATCCTATTTTTAAACTTTATTACATCATGATTATATGAAGTAGTGTTGAACTTAAGTCCGGAGAATATACATTTCCCATTCTCCATATCCACTTTTTGGTTTCCTTTAGCACCCACTTCTAAGAGATGATGTGTCTTCATTGGAGTTATGATTGGCTTGACGATTTACAGTTTACACTTGCTATAATTTTGATTAATACATATATATTGTTTGGAGGGGCTAGACGCTCATTTGTCAAAGGGTCTGTAATCTATTTAGTGTTATAACAATTAAAACTATACTTCCATTTCCAAACCTATGTCTGGAAGGTTCCAACTCTTATGCCAATTCCATCCTAAATTTTCTGTATAAATAAAAGGTCTGCTTTAATCAATCTTTATGTTAATGATTGGATCGATGGTCCCATTTTCTGCTGGAATCTTCAGAGATATTTATGGACTCAAATTCCAAGAAGTTTGAGTATCCTTTACTATGCGCTTAACATCATAATTGCAAGGAACCCATTCCCAAATATTCTTGTCTTGGTCTTATTTCATCATTTATTTTTTATAAAATTTTTACAAGAATTACTATATACTGTTGTGCTTATATTGTATGATAATTTATACAGGATTTCAATTTAATAATATATATTAATTAATAAAATGGAAGGGTATTCTAATTATTTATTAATCATTTTTATTACTGTTTTTAAACTTTCAATATATTATTTTTAGATTTTCTTACATGACTATTTAATAAAATTTTTGTATATGATATATGAAATTAATTATGAAATAAGTAATTCTAAAAATTAATTGTCATTTCTTAATTAGAAATAATTTATAAAGATGAATGTGGTAATTATATATAATTATCATCAAAATATTTAATTATTTATTTAATATTCCAACTTAATATAAATATTATAATCTCTCGATTTCTTAATTAAACAATTTTATTAATCAATTTAATTAAGTAATTATAAGTGAAATACTTATATGAGTAAGACTAACTAATAATAAAATAAGTGTATAATTATAGTAATAAATGATTATTTAAGATTAAAATGGTAATTTAGGAAATAATTAATATTTAGTATAATTAACTATTCTCATATTAGATATCTTAATGTTATTATTATTTAGTGTAATTTAAGGAAATTGAATATCACTTAGCTCTTTCTTATCATAAATAAATTAGTAAATTAGTAAAAAAAGGATATAGAAAGTTGTAAATAAACAATAATGTCACTTTATATCTGAAAATATTATAAATAATTAATATTTATTCCATCTAAGAATACTCCTATTTAATTATTAGATTATATTCAATTAATAATTATATTGATAAAAAATATATTACAACATTCATTTGAGTTAATCAACAAAATAACAATCTGTTCTTAAATATCTCTTAACTTATTAATTAGATTCTAATTTTATAGCCAAAAAGAAACTACATTATTAAAGCAATTATTTTGTCCTTTTTTATCTACAATGTAACGTTTTATTTAATTTACCGCAATCTTAAACTAATTCTATAATTTTTTTTGGCTTATCAATAACTAAGCTAATTCTGGTTTGGATTAGTGTTCAATCTTTTTGATATCTCGGTTTTCATACTTTTAATTCAATTTAATTTATTAATGCCTATATTTTTATTATAAATATATATGTTTATAATAAATGATATTAAACTAGAAAAAATTATATTTATAAATTTATGATCATCCTAAGATTGGAATGACTTAAATACATAAATATTCAAAAACTTGAAAAATTTATATCTAAATTCTATGATTAGCTATTTTATAACAGGAACAACAAAGATAGAGAAATTATTATTTAATTTACATATAGATATATTATTCATTATGCAATTTTTAACGACTTGTGAGATGAAGCTTTAATTCTAATTCTACTTGAATAGACAATTGATTAAATCAGAAAGATAATGAAGAAGACCAAGAATATTGAACATTTATTGTTTTTTCTTCTCTCATAATGTAATTCATAACCTAACAGCAATACATTTATTAGCATTTATGTTTTTGTCTGAAAACTAATTAATTAAAAAATATAGGATGAATATTTTAAAAAGTGCTGATTTATTTGGAGTACCATTTATACAATCTATAGACTAAAAATAGTCTAAATATTAGAGCATATTCGGAGGAGTTTTATCTTTAATAATTTTCTCATCCAGTTTGGGATATGCAATCTGGATTATCTATTTATGGCAAACAAAATAGATGAATCCTAAAATATCTACTTCAAAATATGCTACTGATTACTCAACCCTTAATCTTAATCAAGACTTCATTAAACTATATTATTGGAAGTATGATAATAATTTAATTGATCCCTTTAAAACTAAAATTCTTTTGCCTCTGGTTGTCTACAATAGACAAAATTAGTTAACATAACCTTAGCTAATAACTAATAATACCGTTTCAAACTATGGAAATACATATATACCAAAAATAGAATTAGGGTTTTCTAAAATCGAAGGAGAAGTATATACATCAGGATAAATGTATATATAAATAGTTTTATGTTCTGAAATTTATCTAAGTCCAGATGAAAAATGTGCATCTAAGGAGTTAATCGAAGAATTTTTTAAATAATCCTCTAATGTTGTTGTGATCCAAATTTATTCAACCTCTTTGAATTCTAGAGATGGATCAGAATAGGTTGGTTTACAAGAATTTTACATATAAATAGAAGAAAAATTTTGTTATACAATGAATACATTTTTAGAAACGAATTTATATGAACTCTAGGATGATTTTTTATTTGGAACATCTTAATTTAAGGAATTTATTTCTGGAGCTGTAGTACAGACTTAAACAAGTTCATCTGAGTATTGTTATAAGACTTTTAATAATGATGCTCTTTCTATTATCTATTTAGGAATGAATGGAAATCAAATGTAAACTATTTTTGAGTATCCTCGTATTGGAGATATCTTAGCAAATATTGGATCAATCGTATCTCTATTATTCATGAGTAAGTATATAATTATTATGTTAAATCAATATTCTTTAAAATAAAGTATAATAAAAGAAATGATATCCTATTATTATCCATAATTTAAAAATGTATGCATTACCAAAAATTGGAGATAAAAAATTGTAATGGTTAGGATAAATCAAACAGTAGTAGACATCAAAGAGTTTACAAAATTTTATGACAAAGCTCAAAAGTAAATGTTATAAANAAAAGTGCTGATTTATTTGGAGTACCATTTATACAATCTATAGACTAAAAATAGTCTAAATATTAGAGCATATTCGGAGGAGTTTTATCTTTAATAATTTTCTCATCCAGTTTGGGATATGCAATCTGGATTATCTATTTATGGCAAACAAAATAGATGAATCCTAAAATATCTACTTCAAAATATGCTACTGATTACTCAACCCTTAATCTTAATCAAGACTTCATTAAACTATATTATTGGAAGTATGATAATAATTTAATTGATCCCTTTAAAACTAAAATTCTTTTGCCTCTGGTTGTCTACAATAGACAAAATTAGTTAACATAACCTTAGCTAATAACTAATAATACCGTTTCAAACTATGGAAATACATATATACCAAAAATAGAATTAGGGTTTTCTAAAATCGAAGGAGAAGTATATACATCAGGATAAATGTATATATAAATAGTTTTATGTTCTGAAATTTATCTAAGTCCAGATGAAAAATGTGCATCTAAGGAGTTAATCGAAGAATTTTTTAAATAATCCTCTAATGTTGTTGTGATCCAAATTTATTCAACCTCTTTGAATTCTAGAGATGGATCAGAATAGGTTGGTTTACAAGAATTTTACATATAAATAGAAGAAAAATTTTGTTATACAATGAATACATTTTTAGAAACGAATTTATATGAACTCTAGGATGATTTTTTATTTGGAACATCTTAATTTAAGGAATTTATTTCTGGAGCTGTAGTACAGACTTAAACAAGTTCATCTGAGTATTGTTATAAGACTTTTAATAATGATGCTCTTTCTATTATCTATTTAGGAATGAATGGAAATCAAATGTAAACTATTTTTGAGTATCCTCGTATTGGAGATATCTTAGCAAATATTGGATCAATCGTATCTCTATTATTCATGAGTAAGTATATAATTATTATGTTAAATCAATATTCTTTAAAATAAAGTATAATAAAAGAAATGATATCCTATTATTATCCATAATTTAAAAATGTATGCATTACCAAAAATTGGAGATAAAAAATTGTAATGGTTAGGATAAATCAAACAGTAGTAGACATCAAAGAGTTTACAAAATTTTATGACAAAGCTCAAAAGTAAATGTTATAAAAATTAAGTTATTTAAATTTACTATATGAAATATCTAGGTTATATTTTATTATTAGATCGTCTAAATATAGAGAAGAGCTGTATAAATCTCATCTTATTGGAATTAAAATGAATTTTAATCCTATCAAGGAATTAGATGGCATTTTTAATTACAAATCCATTTGTTCAGTATAATCAAGTCGAGATAATATATTATTAAATGAAGATGATGCAGATATATTATCATTATCAAAAAAGAGATTAGAAAATTGTTGTAATTTTATTCCAGAAGAAATATTTAATGAAACCGATTTTTACATAACCAATAAAATAGTTTGATTATTATATTTTAAAGATATAATTATTTTAACATTTATACCATAAGGATTCTATGTGATTTTAGAATGTAAACAAAATATATACTATAATTCTCAATATGAATCAATAATTTCTACAGTTTAAGTAAAAGAAAAAGTATAAGAAATTTGAATTTTTATAGAGAAAAATATTATTACAAAAAAGAAAAAGATGGTTGCATTCAAAAATTTAAAACATCAACACATTTTTAATCATAAATTTGGTTAGATGATTACAATATAATGATAGCAATTTAATAGCTAATACGAAACCCAAAAAAATGTTAAATTTAATATATACTGAAAATCTATGTAAGATTAGCTATTAGATTCGAATTTTATTTTATAGTTATTTAATAATAAAGTCTTATTTCCTTCAGTTTAATTTCTATAATAATTAATCTATATGTCTTATGGTATAAAGATTAGAATAAATATTTCATATATGCTTTTCATTTCATTTTTTAAATTTTGTATATTTATAAGTTTATACATTATTCTAATTAATTAAATGATGGTTTAACATAATATGAATTATCTTAAAATATCTATATATTAAGTTCTATCCTGTAGGATAAAGTGAATTTATCTTTATCCAATTCTTAAATTAATAAAAAAGTTATTTGACTATCCGTAATTTTATTTATTAATTAAAATTAAATAAAATAAAATAAAATACTTATATTAAATAATATAAACGTATTATACACATTTTATATTCTTATCAAAAACTATATCGACAATAAAAAATTAACTTAGATCAATTGCACTCCAATATCGTTAGCTCTATACTAATGTTCGCTTAAAGAAAGTAATAGCACTTCCAATATTGAAATAAACTAAGAATTCAAAGTTCAATCCTTTTTATTTAAAAATACAACTCTCTTTATAATTGTTGACCTTTTTACTCCTTAAGATAAGAAAATTACATGTTAATAAACTCATAATGAGAACATGTTTATAAATAAATTAATAATTCTCATTAATCAATATTTTTAAATATCATTTCAATTGAGTTTTATTATACATTGTTAACAAGTGAAACTTTCCTTCTTTCCTGCCATTTTCTGAAGATAATCAATAATATAACAATTATTATAATTATTAATACTATAATTCCAAATATAAATTGATATCCCATGCTTTGATTAATCATAAAAAATTTCTAATCGTAGAAATAATCTATTTCAATCCTTTCTAAATTATATAAAGTAACAGTAGCTTAATTTAATAATTCTATTACCTATTGCATGAATTGAATATGTAGTATTAATATATTAAATATCCTGGCATATAAAAGATAAATTAGTATCAAGGTATCTTTTGGAAACTATTTTGGTTGTTCTTGTATTAAATTACTAAATTTGCCTTTTTTATTATTTTACATTATCAATATTATTGATATATTGGAAATAGACAGATTTATTATTTGAATTAGAATCTCCAAATAAGAGAACATATTTTATTTGTTCAACTTCAAATGATGAATTCATTAATTCTATTCTAAGTGGATTTACATTTATTATAGTTTCATCATCTGACTAGATTATTTCTGATATAAAATTTTTTGTGAAACTTTAAAAATCTGGTAAAATTGAATCGTCTCTAATCAATGAAACTCTGATTTAGTAAATTGGTTCAGATACTATATCTATAATTTAATTTTCTATTGATGTTTATAAATAGTAAAACCCTATTTTTTGAATTTAAAAATATCCAATCAATTATAAATCATTCTTAAAAATAATTTCAATAGGAGTATAATTTTAATTATATCTGTCAGTATCATGTAAACCTATAATATTGATATTATAAGGAAGATATTATAATTATATTAGTAATCTTCCAAGTGTTTTACATTCAAATTTCCAAAGAATTGGATCTATTGAATTTATTGTTTATTATTAATTTTATATCAAAAGATAAGGAATTTAAAAATTATCATCTTATAATTATTCTTATGGTTACTTTACTTTAGGATCACTTAAATAATATGTAATATAATAATTGCACTCTGATTCCCCCAATACTCCTATATAATAATATCCTTTCATATTCTCATAAATATTATTATTATAATTAGAAATTGAAATATTCTTCTAATCTAAATGATGGTAAACCCAGTCATGCTTCTCTTCATTTGGAAACTCATCTTTTGATATTATAATAGTAGCATTGCATAGATTACTTTCTTCTAAAAATATAATTAATTCAACATCTTCCTCTGTAATTTATACACTATAGTATGCAGTATATCCTTTTGATATTTTACCAGGAAGAAAACTTTTTAATGATAATTGTCTACTTCCTGAGGAATATATTATAGAATAAACACTATTTGAGTCGATTATATAATTAAAGTTTGGAATTTGTCTTATTGTAATAGCTATCATACACCTAGTGGAGCAATTATGTGTTTTAGCAATATCATCTTTAAAGATTGAAACTGAACTTATATGAAAACCTTTGAAATTTTTGGAAATCTTAAGTAAATTTGATTAGGTTTCATTTTAAGGATAGGGATATTCAATATTAGTTTAAATATTTAATGGTTAGAAAAGAGTAACCAATATTTATAGTTAAACATTATGATTAAGATTTCTAACAATAATATTTGAATCTCTTTCATCTATAAAAGAATAATAATGATCATTTTCTTTAGGTAATTTATGGTGAATGATTTAATCCATATGAAGTGATATTTAATTATTCTCATGAGATATAATTAAAGTGTAAAAGGATGGCTTTCTAGTAGTAATTTATATTAAAAAAGAACAATAATTTAATTCTTAATCTTCCTTTCTACATTCTATATCTTCTAATTTTTCTTTAGGTATTAATAATGTAGATTCTTATGATGATAGATTTTCATTTCTTATAAATACTGTTATTCTTACATCATTTTCTTTATCTTCTGAGTTTTTTATGATTGAATAGTCATATTTTTAATAGTAACGAAATAATAATAATTATCCTTTTTAATCAATGTAACCAAAATAATGTTCATTCTCAATTATTTCTTAAATATGATTTGTAGATTAAAATTATGAATGAAGTGCTATTTTATAAGTTGAATAATTATAATGTTCTTGCAATTCTATTCTTAAAAATACAGTTTATTCACCATTCAATTGGTTTAATTTAACTGAAATTTCTTTAGGATTTGACCATATTGAATTATTCCTATTTGTTGAAGGACTTACAAATCCATACATCATGATCCCACCCAAAGGTGATAAGATATGAATACTAATCAATTTCTTTTTTTTATTGAGTCCATAAAATTACCTCTATTTCATCTCTAATTACTCTGTTAGATCAATTTTGAATAAACCAACTGTTTAATTATTTAGTACATGATATTAAGAATCTCCTTAAAATATTTAAGTATATTCCCAAGGATAGGCCCCTAATTTCTCCTAATTAATATTATTAGTCTTAATTATTACTGTTATTGTAAATATACCTGCTGTCTAACAATATACTGATATAAAGTAGACTTAATTATTTTATAAGGTTTCTTTAAAATAATAAGTGATTAAATTATTCTCTCCTATTTATTCATAATGAGTTTCATTAGGATAATCTTAAGTAGATGATAATAGAATGGGAGTACCTTAAATAGATGTTAACATTATTTGTATTTCTTCAAGATATTCTATAGGATTCAATACATATTAAAAATATGAATAAGATTCTTTTGTAATTACACTTTTATACGGAGTGTTATCCTTTAGTCTTTTAAATTATAGCTCACTTTTCAAAATAAAAGAATATGAACTAAAATTCTTGTCACTTTCATTTAAAAATATTCCAATTGAGTAAAGACCAATTTGTACATTCTGAGATATAATTGGAAAATCAAGTTCAAATAAGAGGTTTTATTTATCTTTTTTAGTGAAAATAAATAAACTTGAAGGATTCTCAGATTCAAGTTTATCCATATTTTTAATGTTATCATTAGTTATTACTTCTTATTAAAACATACTCTTCTTTATAATGATTACTACATTATTGTTTTCAGATTCCATTTATAAATTAAGTTTACCACTCATTATATCATTTCTAGCATCCAAAAAGAATGAAAGTAATTAATCTTTATAGACTCTCCCTTAATAATTTACATTCTAATTGATAATACACTAATTATTTTAAGGACTAACCTTAAATTAATAACTTGATAATTCATTGCCATAAATGATAATATCAATAAATTCAATATTATCATACTTAATTAAGTCCATATCTGAAAATGAGATTATGGATGTTTAGTTTATAATGTATTTATATTCACAATCTTCTAAATTCTAGGGTAAATCTTATTAAAAATTAAAATAAACAGTAAATAAACCTGAATATGGTTTCAATTATATTTACTAAATAAATTCATTAAATTAAAATATACCAAATAATTTTAAGGATTCTAATTCTACTTCTTATCTATTTGATAATGATGAAATTAATTTAACTTGACTTCCCCTTAGATAATTGATTCATAAACACTTTTTCTTATTTTTTCATAAGTTTAAGTTTATAATTCAATTAATGATCCTATTTGTGATTCAACAATAATTGTTAATATTGAAGAATTTTATATAGTAATCCAAGGTAAAATTAGATATTTATGACCATGCCAAAAATCTTTACCTACATAATCTGATTCTTATGAAGTTGGGAGAATATCACCTAAATTTAAATACATATGAAAAGGATTTTCTATTTCAAAGTAATTAATAATCCTCCCTGTTATTTCTAATTCTTCAATATTAAGAGTATGATTAATTTAAATTCTTACAATCTAACTTGAAATTCTCTCATTCATTTTAAATCTTAATAAATCATCTAATATATTTTGTATATAGAAATACTCATCAACATTATTTATTCCTAATCATAATTCACTTTTAATGTGTATTAACAATCTTCAGAACAAGTAATACCAATATAATAAGGTTTATCAATTTGAATATGCTTTTTATCGATTACACATAAATCTTGAATTTAAATCTAAATATATACCACTTCCTTATGATTAACAATATCCTAGTTCACTTTATTCTATTGAATATGGTTCAGGATTCAAAAGAGACAAAAAGATATTAGGATCACCTTATGGAGTTTATTGACTAACAATAATTATGATATCTGCGTTATTTAAGAGCTCAGAAATTTCGAAGTAATAGCTATGGCCAAGAGAATGATCAGTCTTAAAATTAAATTGTCTATGTAATTTAAATAGATTTTTACCCATCATATGTTTTTCCAATGTTTATAAAATTAGATTTAGCATTAATTACACATGGAATCAGCAAAAGTATAAACATCATATTTATTTATTAAAATCATTATGTCTATAAGAATAAAAAAGAAATTATTAAATTTATAGATTTCCAACATAAATTGATAATTAAGTATTAATTTATATTAATAATTTAAAAGAGAAAGTGAATTTATATAAATCAATCGAATATGACTAGAATTTGTTAATTGATTATTCATGTTTTTTCAAATTTAGTAGTTTCTTTAATTTATCCTGCAATTTCAATTAATTACTTCCTGATAACAGCTTTATTATTTAAATCATTTTCTTTTTAAGCTTAATTCATTAAATTCTCATATTTTTCATTAAGTTCTTTGAGTTAAATTTCAATTTCATATTACCTGGAAGTTGACATTGGAGATAATATTTATTATTATTTCCTATTTTCAGATCTTCTATCAGGACTACAACAATTATAATTTTGAGTACTCATCATATCTTCTAAACATTCCCTTATAGCTTATTTCAATTAACTTTATTCTAGTCTTGAACTAGTTAATGGAGGAGATATATCTATTCTATTTACATTTTTGTGTTCTTTATAATCTTATTTAAGTTCACCTTAACTGTACTTTCTATTAATATACCTATGTTATCTTTCTTAATAATCTAATTTAATTTTCACTTATTAATATTTAAGACTTAAATCTTTATAATCTTATGTTAATTGTTCAATAATTTATTGATATTCATTACATTTTCCAATTAAATCTTAGATTCTTCTACTCATTTGTTCCTCTCTTACATTTTTATTTCTTTCTATATCATCAATATTTTTAGTGTATTATTTATCTTTTTCTTCCAATAATATTTTCAGTTAATGAATTTATTTTTCAAAATCATGCTATTTCATTGGAGGATATTTGGTTTTATAATTAGTATATTCTTAAAGAATCTATTCTTTTTCTATTTCTAAGAATTCTAATTTCTTTTCTTATATTTTAAGTTATTAATCTTTTATATCTAATTTTGTTTTAAAATCTTAAATATTAGTATTATTTTCAATTTTTTTATGTTTATTTTTATGTATTTACCCTTTTTCATTTGATTTATAAACTGATAATTATCTTTATAAATTTTCATTTGCTATTTGAATTTCTTATTTTTCATGTTTTAATTCTTCATATTTTCTTATCATATCACTTAATCTATCTTAATAATCTTTGAAATGTTGTAATCTTTCAATTTATGGAACTTCACATTATTGTGATGAAATAAAATTCATCTAACTTTCTTGATTTGTTTTCATTAATAAATATTATAATCTTTCATTTTCGTTTTAAAGATCATTTATTTGCTTCTTCAGTTAATCTATTTAATTATCAGAAGGATTTTCTATAGATTTCTTTAATCCTTCAACTCCCTTTAATTTCTCTTATAATGCTTTGAGTGCTGTAGCATATGCATTCTATGGTGCAGAAGTAGGATTAGAAGAGAATGCCCCAAGAGACATACGAAATTCTCTTTCATTCATTTTATTTTGTTTAGGATATCAATTAAATTATTTATTATGAACACTATTCATAGTTGTTCAATTTATTCTTTAACTTATTTTCTTCTTGCTTCTATTTCTTCTTCCTTTTAATGTTTATATTGATTTGCAATACTAGAAACTGCTATTTTTCTATTCTTATAAAGATTGAATTATTTCTGAGATAATCTTCTTTTTACTGATGAATCTCTAATTTTAAAATCAAAGTCAATTTCAAATTTGGTTTAAGTTTAAGATGCTTAAACAGTGGATCCAAAATAGATCTTACTTTTCTTTCGTTCTGAGATCTTAATATCTTTTGAGGATGAATTGTTTTTAAGAAAAGATAATTATTTTGTTTCATCCAACAAGGGTTGACTAGAATTCCTTTTTAGAGAAGGTTTATTAAAACGATTAGTTTTAGATCCAATGTTAGATTCCTCTATTGAAGAATTGATCTATTGTAGACTTTAATTAGGTTAGATGACAGATAATTAAGATGGATCTAACATTAATTATTTGATACTAGGTTAATGTTATCTTCTCATTGGTAATAATGGATTTCTAGGTAATACTTATTACAAAATCTTATGACCAACATCATCATCAAGTTCAAATTTGTATTTAACATTTCTGATCTATTATTTTTTAGGTTTGAGTTCAGGAACATCAGGGATTTTATAGTATCGAGATGAAGTAGAGGCTAAGAAGTTCTTTGCTTTCCATTAACTTAAAGTAATCATATCATTATTGGTTCTTTGTTATATGCATGGTGGATGATGCACAGAATTGATTTGATCAATAATATTTTAATTCATGATACTCAAAATCATTATGGCAATAGTTGTGCCTATTTCAATTATATTGCTTTTGAGTCTTATCATGAACAGTGTGTTTATACTAATTCAATTACCAAATTCACTTGATTAAGGGCAATCTTTAACTAGATCAATATTCAATGAGACAGTATCAATTGAATATAGCTATAATAAAATAATGTCAAAATTAATGATCCCTGCCATTAAGGATCTCTTTGTTGCACAATAATTACTTTCATAAAACTATCACATTATGTTAAATGAACCTTTCCAATTCTATTAAATCAATTCAACTCTTAATGATCCTGATATTGTAGAGCTTGTAGATTACTTGAAATAATTTAAATCCTTAATAAAAAATAACATATCTGTTCTATGTGAAAATGGACTTTTAGCTGTCTATGGAAATTAAAACATTTCTGACTATTAAACTTTTTGGTAATTTTAAGTTAAAAATTGTGTATCTAAACATAATTGCATTGTATTGGATGCATACTCATAAAAATGGATAAAGCCTGAATTCTTGCCAAATGGAATGAAATTTACATTACTTGTAAAAATTATGGGAAAATACAAATGCAGTATAAGTGAGATTTAAAGTTTAGAAATGTTTGTTTCTTTGTCAAAATCATGGGATCCTAAAAATATTTATAGAGGATTGCTACTCAATTCAGTAATTAAATATTATTATATCAAATTTTTAGTATCTTTATTAAGTAAATTCTGATGATGCTCTAGAAATTGGAAATTTATCTGTATTAAGTAGAACATATGTTAATCAAACAGAGAATTGGATTTAGAATTTATATGAATCTTTAAATGATTGTAGTTTTCAATTTAGAACTTTTGAGTATGTTGGGATAGACCAAGAGATATACATTTGCAGAAGCACTTTATTTTTTGTATCAAATCCCATAGTTCATAATTGTGGAATAGTAGACATCAATGAAAAGAAGAACTTCTCAATTTTATTTATAGAAACATTCTCATTGAAGTTTAGAAATGAAGAAGCTGGATCATTAGAAGAATCAGATAAAATCAACTAATATATAACTATTTTATTCATTTCTTCTTTAATAATATTTCTTTATACATGGAGATAGGGTGTTAAAGCTAGTCTCTCATTTGTAGTTCCTTTACGTTTAATGGCTGCTAAGATATTAGAATAATCTGTTATTGATTTGAGTAAATAAAATTTTACTGTAAATTATTATGATGAATATCGTAACTCAACTGAGATTAGATAATTTATAGATGTTGTTATTGATTACACTAATAGTGTTAAATATTAAAGCAATTAATTTGAATTAAATGCAGAAGGATTAATGTTAATGAGCAATTCAAAAAAATTCTTTAAAAAAAAAAACAATCTTTCAGCAGTAGGATTATGTTCCAATAACATAGCTAGAATACATGCAATAAATAAAAGATTTCTTGAAGCTCTTAATGAATAAGAGGAATCTATTCAAATTGCAGAATAAGAATTATAAAGTCTCTTATAATTAAATGAATTACATTAAAAAATGAGTACAAGTAGAAATTGGTTTAAAGTTTATGAATCATTTAAAAGTCGTTTATTATCAAAATTTGTTGGAGATGACAGAATCTTTGAAAGACTTCAATCTTAAAATTATTAACCACAACTTTCAAAAATGATTTCTATGGAATTCAAACAACGTAGTAATACAATGTAATAAAATGTCAAAAGAAATTCTTATGCAAGTTCTAATACTGAAAGAAATAGAATAAATAATCAATTATAAAATTTGAACATCACATCTATTGCTTTATTATAATAAATTGATAAATCTAATTAATCTGTCATTAAAGAAGATAGTGTAATTGAAGAAGATTGTAAAAATATTGTTAAACTCAAATTATTAAATAGATAATACTAATTATTAAGAATATTAAGTTAGTTTAGTAATGAACATGATTAATTATTTTTGAATGAAATTCTTCAATTACTCTTATAAATGAAAGCAGAAGCAGAATAATAAAAACCTACTTCTGCCTTCCTAAACAATTTATAATTCAATCTATCTTGTCAATTAGTTTACTTTTATACAAAATCTAATTAAATTTCTAAAGCTAAAAGTTTGCTTAAACATCTTCCAAATCTTCACACTTAATAAATCAATTAAATGACTAACAGTATTAACATCTTTACTGAAGTACCTATAATTTTAGTTTAATCAAAAATAACTTTATTAAAAGCTATAATTGATATTAAAATGAATAAGATTGTTTAAAGTTGTTCAAAATTATTATCAATTTTATCAATGTCAATGTATGATCCTTATCAATATAATTATGCATTTAAATTACTATAATAAATATTCTATTCATATAGATTAAATATCAATTTATTGGAATAGTTTCACATCACTCATTAACATATTTAAGCTATTATATTAATTGATTACACCAATTAAATGACAGTTGAATAGATTAAATTGTCACATTCTATTACAAAATATATACTGTCTCTATTTACTACATAAGATTAAGTAGGACTTTATGCTATAAATTCAACTTTTCATTAAATCTTTCCTTTATAACAATATTAATCTTATTTGTAAAATAGTTGTAATCGATTATTACTACCTCCTGGAGGAGAATCTAATCTATTATATCTATTATAATTAGCTGCAGGTTCATTCTTCATTAAAAATAAATCAAAAATAAAGGATGAAAATACTTAATTGAATAATTCAAATTAATCAATTCAAAATGAAAGATCAATTTAACATAGTTTGAGTAATGCTGGAGATGTGCTTGATAAATATTTATAGACAGATTATCATGATAAGATTGAAGATGAAGAGGAAGTAAAATCTCAATTAAGGATTATCGTATTATTTGCTGAAATGGTTAAAGATTATACATAATAAAATATAGAAATATTAAAATAAATTATGAACAAAAGAAAAATACATATTATTATTGTTTAAATAGCTAATTAGAATTTAAATAGGATATATTTAGAAGCTTTAGCTGACTTGACTCCTTAATCTTGTATTCTCAAATAAAATTAAATAGTCAAATACTTTTAATAACTTAGACCATCTCCATATATTAAGAAAGAATACATAGAATTTTTTTGAATAAAAATCTGAATGATTTTGTTTTTAATTAATATACTTTTTATTTATTTATTTAAATAAATTATAATTAATTAATGTAAAATGTGACATTGGAGAAATAAATTAACCTTTTGGAAAGAGATATCCAATAGAAATAATAAAAGATAGATGAATTAGCTAAGTAGTTATTTAAATATTTCTAGAACAGTCAAACAATACCAAAACATTTTTGAGTAGGCCAAAACTCAAATTGCAGACTTATAGGATACTCAACAACACTTACATTCCCAATTATTTGATATCAAATAGGATAGAGATAATCTAAGATGTATAAATCAAATAAAGGAAAAAGAAATAAAAAGTTTATAAGATCAAGTGTTAGTTAAGAATCATATTGGAGATGTATTTATTCAAATTAATGCAGACATAATAATTAAAACATGAACTATAAGAATAATACAATTAAATTCATGAATTAAAGTTGGAGTTGCAAACAATTAGAAATCAATTAGAATACTCTGAATTAGAGAGCCAAAATTTAAAACATGAGTTGAAAACCAAGAAAATTAATTAAGTGGTCTATATTCAAAATGAATTCAACAACACAGCATTACAAATTTATAATTAATAACTTGATTAATTTGAAGAAGAAAGAAAATAATATTTGAAACAAATTCAATAATACTCGATTTATGGAGAGAAGATAAGTATAAAGAGATCTAATATTAGAAATTGATAGTCAAAAGAGAATAGATAAACTATAATCTAATTTAAATAATAGTGAAGAGGAGAGACAACATTTATAAGAAAAATTAAGGACATTAGAATAAATGATAGAAATGTATAAATAATAAGCTTAGGAGGAAATAAATCATTAAAGAATATATGAAGAATAAAAATTATAAAATGATAGAGAAATGAGAATCATTATTGAAAGAAAAGATAAGTTGATATCTGATCAAGAAAAAGAAATAAAAAGATTAAATTAACGAATATCCCGTTAGTCTTCAGAATTGATCTTTTCTTCCATTAATGATTAATTCAATGTTAATGTGGATGATTTAGTGGATTTAAAAGTTAAATTGATGCAATAAGAAAAAAATATTAAATCTTTATAAAATTAAATTGTAATTGAATAATAAGAAAAAAGGAATATCTAAGAAAAAAAAAATTAAGAATTATCTATTTTTACATAGAAACAATAAGAATATTTGGAATAAATAGCATTAGCTTAATAATAGACATAAAAATTAGAAGCAGAAATTCAATAAAATAAGTCATTAAGAGATGAAATAATTAAATTATAATCAGAGCTAACATAATTAAAGTGTAAAGATGAAATACAAAGAAATGAAATATATAGATTAAGATAGGATAATCTAAATAACAAAACATCAATTACTTAAGAGTATAAAGTTTAATCAGTTGTCAAATAATCAATTATTAATAATGATTAAACTATGTTTCAGGAAGTGATTAAACATTAAAATAGTAATCTTACATAGTAAGAGAAATTAAATTAAGAAATCTTAAACTTAAAACTTATTATAAATAAATAAGAGGAAGAAATTATAAAACTATAACAGAAAATTAATAATAGTGATACAGATAATGATTAAGATGAATAAAAAAACAGTTAAATAATTCCAATTGCAAAAAAAATAGAAAGTAAGGAATTTTTATTATTTATTTAGAAATTAGACATTAATCTAAAAAACAAACTTAAATGTTAGATAATTATAGAAAATTGAAATTAGAAAGAAATACTTTGGATTTTCAAATTTAAGAATGTAAATAAGAGATACAAAAATTAAAAAATTAAGTTTAATTAGAAATAACATAAAAAGAATTTATACAGAAAAATTTTAATAATTACATAAAAGAATTATTAAAATTGGAAGAGTAACATTAGAGATAAAAGATTGAATATGAAAATAAAATTAAATAAATTTATTAAGATATAGAATCAAATATTAAATCAATAGAATAAATAGATTATTGTTAATAGAATAAATAATTACTTGAGATGAAGGAAAAAGATAATAATCTAATTAAATAATTGAGTGAACAAATAAAAATTTTAAATTTGGGTTGTCAAACACTTAAAGATGAGATTAAGTAAAAAGATGGTCAGATTTAGTAACTTTAAGTTAATATTAATAAGTATGAATTAAATCAAGATATTCTTCAAATGAAATTGTAAATAGAAAATGATAAAATTATCATAAAGACATTAAATGAAAAAATATAAAATTTAAATCAAGAATTATAAATTAAAGAAAATGAGATATTATCATTTTAAGAAGATAAATTAAATTGGGAATAATTATAAGAATTTTCAAGACAAATTGCAAATGAAAATAGATCTAATTAAAATAATTAGGAAGATATTAATGATTTGAAAAAGAATCTAAAAGGATTATAAAAATAATTATCAGAATAAACTTAATAATATTAATAAGCAATTGCTGAATTTGGAAAGGACTTTTAGTAGATGATAATGTAACAAAGTTCTGAGATCAAATCATTAGAATAAGAAAACTAAGAACTAGCTAAAGCTTTAGAATAATATAAATAACTCTATTAATAAGAAAAATTAGATAGTCAAAATAGATCAGACTTGACTATAGAAGAAATTGAAGAAATTAAATTAAGACTAGAAAAAGTTACTAAAGAAAGAGATTAGCTCTTTTTAATAAAAGATTAGATTTAAGAGTAGGAATAATTTTTGAAAAAGAAAGAAGATGAAATTAGATCTTAGGAAAAGGAATTAAAAGAGGAATAAAAAAATTTTGAAAACTATATTGCAAAAAAAAAATAAGAAATTACAGATGATATTTTGATTAAAAAAAATAAGGAATTATCAATATTTGGATGTGATTATATTTTAAGAAGATAGTTGGAAATTTATAAATAGAAATTAATAGAAGAATAAGAGAAAGTTAATGAATTAATGTAAAGATCAAATCAATAAATGGGAGATTTTTAAGAGGGAAACGAATATGATTTATATGAGAAAAAAATGATGGAAAACTAATTGAATGATTTAAAAAAATAAATTGAATAGATGAGAGCTGAGTAATTAAAACTTAGAATGGATTCGAAAATAGAAATAGAGGAATAATATAATTTTGAAGAAGAAAGATTATAATATTAATAGTAAATAAAATAATTGATGCATCTTAAAGAAAATGTTACGCTTGAAGATGTTAGATTAGTAAGAGATATAATTTAAAATGGAAAATTAATCTCTTATTTAGAAAAAGCTAAATAAATACATGAACTTTAAACTTCAACGCAACATTGATATTATATATATATATATATATGTATATTACAATTAATTTAATATAATAAAAAAATCAAGAAGCTGAAGATTTCTTAAATTAACTAGGATTTATGGTAGATTTATTATTTATATTAGATGCAGTTATCCTTGAATCCTCAATCATAGAAGATCTTGCTTCACTAACCATTGATTTTTTATTATCCTAAATAGTAGATTCTTATTATTATAATTATTCCATCATTTATTCTGCAATGACACTAGCTGTAGGAGCTAGCTTTGATCTTTTCATTTCTTCATTTTTAACTTTCTTTGCTTCATCATCTATAAATTTGATTTAAGATAATAAATAATTTGATGATTGTATATCATTGTTATGATATGTAGTTAATATATCTTATAATTTTATTTACATTTATAACCATTCTAAAGCCCATTCTTTATTTTCTTTTATAAGAATACATAACAACATAATAATTTTCTCTTACACTTAATGATAAGTTAATTTTTCCATTAATTTCAACAAATAAGGTACGCATTCCTAATTTATCTTTTTCTTAACTTCAGCACTTTTATGACACATTTTACTCATAACATAGAGAGCTTCACTTTTTAAATTAACAGACTCTTCCTAATCCAAAAAATATTAGTCAGCTTAAGTAGTGACCATATTATACAATAAAATTAATAAGTGATCTATATTTCTTAATTCTACTTCACTCACTAAACATACACTTAAGATTTAACATGTTGTAATGAGACATCTAGCATCATATTAACATCCTTTAATTTATGGTCCTTCTAATATTTTATACAAATAATCAGTTAAATTTGCTGCCAATAATTTCTCAATATTTTATGTAATACTCATTACACAATATATTAATCTAAATTACTTAATTTATTTACTTCAAAGCAAAATGTAATAAAAAATTATCTTTTGTCACTAACTTACTAACAAGTAATGCAGCTCCATCATCATTTAATATTATATATTTAAATTCTCTTGAATTTGTACATAAATTGAACAATGATGCACATGCTAAAGTGGCTATAGTCCTATTATGACTTCTATATAATCTAATTAATTCAACTGAAATTGGTTTAAATGCTGTTATCATAGCTTCTGTCAATCCAGTAGTATGTTTAATTTCAGCCTAAAAATTTATAATATGACGACAGATAGCGACTATCAAATCTACATTATCAGATTGTAGAAAATAACATATTAAGCTACTGTATAATCCTGATCTTTCTTAAAGAAGTACTTCTTAAGAAAAAAAGTTAGCTTCAATTAAAGATTTGGCTATATTCACATTATATTAATATTTATTTGATGCTAATTCTTCTAATTTCTTAATGAAATTACCCTTCTTAATTGGTCTACATTCCTTTTTTGGTACAGCATATAAACAATAATCAAATAATTCTAAGATTATTGTTTTTAATTCCATACTTACTTTTGCCTACAAAACAGGAACTAAATCTTTAAAACTAAATGCTGACCCCATTAATAAACCATCAAAACAAATACCCAAATAATTAGATAATTTTTGTTACCAAACAAATTTTCTCTCTTCTTCATTTCCTGATTTATCCCTTACAAATGAAGCCTATTCAAATGCATCAAATAAAGCTTAGAGATTCTCTTCTATTTAAATGCCATCTGTCATATAATCTTTAAGATTATTCAAAATAAAACCATATTTCTAAGTTAATTCTTTATCTAATATTAAAAATCTTTCTTTATCATATAAAACTAAACGTTAGAATAACAATTTAAGATATTTTAAGGCATAACTCATAAATTATGGAAATATTTTGAATTTATTATAAATGAAATTTAAGGTTTATCTGTTATATAATAATCTGTCAGCAGATAACTATATAAATATCTGATATTGTTTCTCAAATATGAACATTTTACATTATAAGGAATCAATAGCATTTCTAAGAACGTTTTTAAAAGCATGCTCTTCCAAATCCTATTCTAAGGTTAATTTTAAAAGATCTCTATCATTAACTAAGACCTACTCTTTGGCATTTTATTCTTATCCATATAAAACAAATAAGATCTCTTGATATGTTTCAAAAAGAGGAGGAATATGTATTCTTCTTAAGATAATAATAAAAATATCTTAAACTTAAGTTCTTGCATGTAATTCCCATCCAAACCATTCAGAGATATCATTCATTAAATTAGATCTTTTTTTGTAATTATGTGAAGAAATAATCCAATAATCAAGAGTCTCTTCTTTTTATTTATTCTATTCATCTTCTTCTTACTTTTTACCTTCTTCATCACTATCCTAACTTTTTTGATTAGTTCCTTATTTTACACTATCATCTTTTGAATTGATTCCTTTTAAAACAATTTCTAAAAACATTTCAGAATAATATTATAGATTAGCCTTTTCCCCAAGTTAACTTAATAATTAAGTTGGCATTGGATCTGTTATTTAAACAACTATTTTGCATTATTAACTTTCTTTATGTACATAGACACCATCTTGATATGTTGCTTCATATTCATCTGGTAAACTAAATGTGTAATTTTTATTTCTAAACATTTATTTACCTTGTTTAGTAAACATGAGATTAGGAAGAACTGGTTGCTTATCTTAAATATTAGATTTGATATCATCTTTAAACATTGGTAACTATTTAAATTAGAAATTTTTATGCATAAAATCTGTCATCCATGAATATCTTAATGCTTATATTAATTGTTTTCTTTCAAGTGCATAAACATCAATAATAATATCTGTATGAATTTAGAACATAGTTGGTACTCTAGTTGATATAACAATTCCTTTTATTTTACCATACTCTAATGACATTTCTACTTTTTCTAATTTGCTTGCTATAAATAATAATCTATCACTTGCCACAACAGCAAAATATTTCTTATCACTTGTCAATTAAGCTGTACAAAGAAAATCTACTTTGCAATTTAATAATTCACCAATTGCTTGAATTATATTTCCAATCATTAATCTTAATTATCAATATATTTTTATTATAAATTAATGTCTGATTTAATAAAAAAAATACTTTCATTTCTGTGCTTTATTATCATAATCAAATTTAAATATAAATTTGATTAAACTTTGTGAATAGAATAAAATACATTTATTTAGTATTTTAGTATTCAATTAATAAAAGAATATAAAATCATAAGTTTTCTTTTATATTTTTATACATTCATATACTTATAAATTAATCATTCGGTTTATATTAGTTAAATAAACATTAAGAATTATTAATTTTCTGTTCTACTATTTTTTTTTAGAATATACTAAAAGAAATAATAAATTATAAAAATTATGCCTGCAGAATGTGTCAAAGTTATAGTGAGAATGCGTCCATTTAATTAAAGAGAGAAAGAAAATGGAAGTAAACCATGTGTAATAGTGCATGAAGATACAAATAGCGTTGAATTACGAAATGTAATTAGTTTATATTTTTGATTAATCAGAGTCAAGATAATGAAGTGAAGAATTTTACTTATGATTATGTATTTGGAGCTGAAACTCCATAATTATAAATTTACTAGAAGTCTGCTTTTAATTTAGTTGAGTCTGTTGCTGATGGTTACAATGGAACAATATTTGCATATGGTTAAACAGGTACATTCAAATTTTAACATAATTAGGTTGTGGTAAGACTTTTACAATGATAGGAGATCCAACGAATGTAAAATATTTATTCATTCTTAGGAAAACATGAAAGGAATAATTCCAAGAACTTTTGATTAAATAATAAGCATAATCAACAATAACTCAGATTCAAATAAGAAGTTTCTCCTAAGATGTTCTTATATTGAAATCTATAATGAAGAAATTCATGACTTATTGAGTAAGGATGTAAAATAGAAATATGAATTGAAAGAGGGATAACAAGGAGTATTCATTAAAGATCTCAATATTGCAGTGGTCAGAACAACTTAAGAAATGGATAAGTATATGTAATTAGGAACACAAAACAGATCTGTTGGGGCTACTGCTATGAATAAAGAATCTAGTAGAAGTCATTGCATTTTCACAGTATATATTGAATGTTCCATTACAGATTCCAAAGGAAATGAGAGAATAACAGCAGGAAAATTGAATTTAGTTGATTTGGCAGGAAGTGAAAGATAATCTAAAACATAAGCAACAGGAGATCGATTAAAAGAAGCTACCAAAATTAATTTATCATTGTCTGCATTAGGAAATGTAATCTCAGCATTAGTTGATGGAAAAACTTAACATATTCCTTATAGAGATTCAAAGTTAACTAGGCTGCTTCAAGATTCCTTAGGAGGAAATACTAAGACAATTATGATTACTGCAATTAGTCCATCAGATTTTAATTATGATGAAACCATGTCGAGTTTAAGATATGCTTCAAGAGCTAAGATGATTAAGAATCAACCTAAAGTTAATGAGGATCCTAAAGATGCCTTATTAAAAGAACAAGCTGAGGAAATTAAAAAATTAAAAGAATTATTATCAAGATAAGCAGCTGGATAACCTATATCTTTTGAAGCATTTCAATAATTTAGTAAACCAGAAAACAATAATAATGCAGAATTTCTTAGATTAAAGGAAGAGAATGATAGATTAATTAGTGAAAAGTAAGGATTACCATTGGTAGAACATTCAGAAGAAAAATTAAAGGAATTGCATGAATTTAAAGAAAAAAATAATTAACTTTAATAGGAAAAGGAAAAATTTGAATAAGAGATGAAAGAAAAAGAATGGTAGGCTGAATAAGAGAGATAGGCTAGATAGAGATTGGAATAATTACTTAAGGAAAAAGAATAAATGATGGTTTAAGGTGGAAAAGGAACTGAAGATGATAAAAAGAAATACAAAAAACTCAAATTAACAATTGAATAATAAAAAAAAGAACATGAAGCTTTGATACAATAATAGGAACAAAAATAATAAGAAATGCTAGAAATTGAGACTAAATATTAGAGCGTATAAGAGGAAGTAGAGAAACTAAGAAAACTCATAAAATATTTAAGAAAAAAGTTAGAAGAAGCTACTATAGAATAAAAGGATTTAAAATAAGAAGTAGAATATTAAAAGGAAGATATGTTAGATACTATAAGAAATCAGTAGAAGGAAATTAAACTCTATGCAGGTTTAGTTAAGATGATGTTTAGTTAGAATGAATTAGAGACTTTATAAGCAGCGAGTGAATGGGATGAAGATGCTCAAGAGTATAAGATTCCTCCCTTTAATTTTAAAGCTAAGAAAGTAAATTTTCCATCTCTACCATATAAATAAGGTAATACTATAATAAAATCTAAGCCATGGATTTGATCGAGGTAGAAAAATCAGAACGGGTACTCGAAATTAATTCTAGATAATAAAATAATAAAAATAACTTTTCAGATTATGAATAGGATGCTAAATAAAGACTTTTAACTCCTAGAATGCCTAAGAAAGGTATTAATAATAATAAATAATTAGAAACTTAATAAAAATAGAATACATCTAGTTAACCTTAATTAGAGAGAGGGTAATTAGTAGCTGAAAAGATAAAATAGAATTATTAAATGCTAGAATAATAAGAAGGAAAACAACGTTATCAGAGTGATTTAGTGAACTAACAATTTGTAGAAAAAAAATAACATTAAAAAATTATTCTTAGTCCTATAGATAATAAGGATAACTCTATTTAAACCTATAATAGTTAATATATTTATAATGGGAACGTGAATAATAGTAATTTGACTTAAATCACTCCGAATATGAATAAAAAAAGTAATTTGTTTAATTAAAATAGATATTAATTTGTAACCACTTGAATAAAAGCCATTATTGATGTAGTATGATGATTAGCATAAAAGAAAATAACACTAGAGAGTGTAATAAATTTGAATATTATTGACTTTTTTAATTTTAATGTTCATATGTTTTACTATACTATTGTTTCTTATTGATACTTTTAAACATACTCAATCTATTAGTTATTACGATTATTGAATCTTTTCTTTTTATCATATTTATATTTTCTATTTTATTACATTTCAAATTTATCCTCTAAATTTACAGGTTATTAGATTTCTTTCTTATTATTTTATTTTTAATCTGTCGAATCTTAATATTTGTTTTAATATTATTAATATGGATACTGCTAGTATTATTCTTATTAATAGAAACCACTATTAGATTGCCAATATTAAGGTTATTAATAATACCCTTCGAAAACTTAGATATTTAATACCATAATTATAATATCCATATTAAGGTTTACGTTGTTATCTTCTCTCATAAGATGCAGCTGAAAAAGAATAAGGAATTGTTTCAAAAACTGATCTTAATTCTTGAAACTTCTTTTCAAAGTTTGGATTTGTATCTCTTTATTATCTACTTTGATTCTAAATATTTATAAAACTTACTTCTAACTTATCCAATTAGGAAAAATCTTCAAATAAACTCTTCTTTGATTCCTCTTTTTTGAATATCTCTACCATTTTGATTCCGTTTTCCAAAGTTAACTCAGTGCAATCAATCAAATCATAAACTGATTTGATTGTTTCGTCACTTCCTTCAAATTTTTGGATCTGTTTAATATTTTCAAATAACTTAAAAGGAAGATCCTTTACATATAGCTACATTAAGCTAAGGTTTATACCCATTTAATTTAGAATAAACCAAACCATTTGTTTTCAATTAACCAATATTTAAAATGCTATTTAGGATCGAATCCTGATGTCAATTTGGCCATCCCACTAAAACAAAGACTATTTATTTCAGTAAAAAAGAGATAAACATCTCCCTATGAAAATGCTTCATTCAAACGTTCATTCTTTCGAGAAGAGCTGACACTTAATATTAAATACTACCTAGTCCATATGCCATATTTCATAGCTCTATGTACATTATCTTCTCCTTAAGTACGAATGATGAAATATTTGCTTTTTTCCATATTCTTAAATTCATGATCAAAATTTATATGTTCCAATGGAGGAAAGGTCTTCCTTATCATATCCAAATTCTCATATGAAGGGAGTGCCTAAAATTAAGGCTGATTCATAAATAAATAAATAAAAGATTTAAAATAAAATAATTTATGAGAAATTAAATTATAATCATCTTCTTATTATTCTTCAAAAAATAAGAAATCTCTTTATCTATAAATATTCAATCAACATTCGATTCATTAATTATTTTTAATACATAACTCATTTTCTATAAAATTCAATTAATAATTTGCCATAAAATAAAATTTATAGTCCTTTTTTTATTTTAAGATGCCGTCATGTAAACATCTCTATATTAAAATTGAATATATACTATTTAAATCATATTAAAATCATGTATTATTTAAAGTTCTCACTTTAAATATTCAATAATAGTAGATGTGATATGATGAAATAATAAATTACATTAAAAATAATATAAAATGAGAAATTAAAGGAAATCATAAGTAACTTAAAATTTCCAGTTTTTTAGAGTCCTTTTAGAACTAATTAATCTATTATGAGAGACAGTCCAAATACTTAATTAGATGAATCAAGCATATCAACCAATAGGATACCATAAAATAGAGAATCAACAAGAGCTAGAATGAAGATTAATTAATCTCATAATAATGCTCTAAATTAAGGTGGATAAATTAGAAAATAAATTGCAAATGAAAGAACATCAGCTAAAGGTGGCAATCCTAATGAATTCAATCCAAAGAAATTTGTGACTAAAGATCTGAAAGTAATTATGGCAATCTATTACAGGAATCTGATATTATAGATATCAAACAAGTTTTTGATTATTATGATTCTGAATAAGCAGGCATTTTATCACCAAATGATCTAGAGTAATTACTTATTAGTTTTGGTTATCATCCAACTAAAGAGACTCTATATGGTATTAAGGTTTCAATCATTACCTTTTAGAGATTTTTTCAGAATTAGATGAAGATGAATTAGGAGGAATTACATTTGAATATTTTCTTTCCATTTTGAATCAAGACAAATCAAAATCAGAAAGAAAGGATACAATCAGAAGAGTATATAGGAAATATGATAAAAACAATAAAGGTTTCATAACACTTCAAGATTTAAGATAAGTAGTTTACAAAGATTTGAAAGAAGAAATTGATGAAGAAGTCTTAGCAGAAGTAATTTTTAGGAATAAAAAAAGATCTTTAAAAAAGCAGACTCTAATCAAGATGGAAAGATGACATTTGAAGATTTCTATAATGTAATGACCAAAAAGGTGTATTATTGATATTATTATACAGTGCATATTTAATTATAATGTCTTTCTTTATAAAATTAACACAAAGAACTAAAAGAACATTATCAATAGGTATGATATGCTAACTATGAATTAGATTTCTAAATTTAGGGAGGTTTACCTTAAATTAAGGTGATAAGATCTAGGGCATATACTTTCAACAAAACAAATATCAACAAAAACTCAATTACTGTTTCTCCTAGAAGCAATTAAAAATCACCTAAGATTATTTTAAAACCTGTAATAAGTGATTATTATTTTTTTAAGTTGTAAAGTTGTCTTAAAGATTCGCCCCTTTAAGTCTTAAAATGTACACCAAAAAAATAATTTAAAATACAACCTACTCGTGACTTTAGTGTCTCTGGATTTGAAACTACTGATGTAGAGATAGAAGATTTCTTGCTTTAATCATATGTTTAAAAATAATGATCCATATATATTTATATGTTGTATTTACATAAAAAAAGTTAAACAAAAAAGAAGTTCTCTTTATTAATTTAATAAAAATAAATTTTAATTTAACTAATTAATCTCTAATTTTTAAGTTTATTAGATTATTTTATATAATAAAAGATTATATCATTTTCCATTATTAAATAAATGAATTTTCTATTTATTAGATTATATACTATTTTTTAATTTCTATTATTTCTGTATAGAGATAATACTAACTTATATAGACTAATTAAAACAATTAAATATCTTTAGTATTCAATTATTGATTTTAATTCCAGTATATTAATATAATAATAAAGTAAGTTATTTAAATTTAATAATAATTTTATTTATTTGATTCTTATAAAATTTAAGACATTTTCTATGATTTTATAAATGAGTTATAAATAATAAAAAAATAAAAAAAATAATTTTCATCAAAATTCAATTATCTAATTCTTTTTCGAGCTCCTAAAGAATAATAAAATGAATTAATACTTGTAATTGTTATTCTAATTATTAGATTTCTTCAATCATCAATTATTCATTCTTTTAAACTTGTTTCTTTAAATTAATATTCTATATAATACTATTTTAATTTACATCTTCTTTTAAATAATCTACATATTCAAAAGCTATTTTAAATTCTTTTTATGATGTTAAGTTTTCTTAGATATCGAATCTTTGTATTTCTATTTGTTTTTAATCATTTTAATGAGAAGTATTAAAATTAGATTCTTCAGATAAAAATGTTTTCTTGACTTAATTCATTGTCATAAGTAATTCATTATTAAGAATTTCTAATTATTCAATATCATTCATAATAGCTTCCTATTTATTATTATTATTAATTAACCTTTTCATTTCTTAAAACTCTCAATCTGATTTCAAAATCATGATACATTGAAGTAGGGAAAGTAATGTTAATTTACCATTGTCTAAATTTCTTTCTCAAAATTTCTTGTTCATTTTAATAATTTCTACGAAAGATCTATTCTATACGATAAGTTAACTCAAGTTTCTATGATTTTGCATTTTTTGCTTTAATTTTTTAACTTAATCTGGCTGCTATAACACTCTTGAATAAAATCATATTTTACTAAATTCTTAACAGTTCCATCCTAAACTTCTACATCTTAAGTTTATTTCAATCCTTTTATTTAATAAAATACAGGATATAGTTATTTATTGACTAAATATTTCACTATTTCACAAATTCCTCTATGAGATTTTTATTCTATTTGTTTCTGCTATCTTTATAGCTATTTTTAATGTTCCAATTTAGAGTGCACAGATTATCTAGCTAATTCAATGTCAAATTATTGTAATTACTCTTTAGGTACTGTATGATCAGCTTCTTGATCCAGTGTCTTAATGGATTATATGAACAAAGTTCTCAATGCATTTATTTTACTATCTTATGTAATTTAATGTTGTTACTGATGGTATTCGTGAAAATTAATAAAAAATAATGCTGATTTGAATTAAAATATTTATAATGCTTTATCTTTTAAAAGGCAATTATTTTTTCTAAGTTTTAAGGCTATTTTAGATATTAATAGGTTCCTTATTCAGAATCAAATAAACTCAATCGTAATTGTTATAAACCTAAGTTAATTATTAATTTATTTATAATTTATTTTCTATGTGCAGTTTTTAATTTATTAAAACTCCATGCTTTTAAAGACTCTTGTTTTATTAGGATTTTACTTAAAGTAAATTTGTAAAAACTTATCATATTCAATTTTTGTTATTTCAATAGCTTATTGAATTTTGATTCAAAGGTTAATTGTATCCATTTCCTGAATATTTAATGAGTTATAGGTTATTAAGTTTATGCTATTTAATTTCTTAACTCTTTTTTCAAATGAGACACTACATCAACTTTTGCTAAACGGAAAAAGCCTAAACATTTCAATCGCTAATTGTATAAGGATATTGCATGCTAAAATCTTAATAATCCTTCCTGTATTACTCTCTATTATGCTTTTATTTCTTCTTATTATTTATTTTGAACATAAATACTACCATAACAAATTGAAAATACCTTAAATATTTAAACATTGTTGCTGCTTAATTTTTTATTGCATTATTGACTATTTATATTAATCTCTTAAAACGATCATTACAAATCCTGAGATCACGATAATTCTAAATTTAAAAATATTCATTTACTAAATTGTAACTTCTATTATTATAAGCAGAATAAGGATTCTTTTTTATTCTTCCATAAGATCTTGTTTCTTAAGGCTCTTATCTTTACCCAAATCCTAAGCCTTTCACAAAATATTAATTTTACATATATATTTTATTTTTTTTAAAAGAAAAGTTGTTAATAAATAAAATTATTCATAAATGATTATCTAAGTAAATAATGATTTTATAATCTTTGATTGTATTGTTAAAATTATTATAATGATTGATCAATAAGATTATTATTTATTATATATATTTTCTATTACTAAAATCAATCTAAATAGAGAAATTCTCTTTTATAATTTTGGTTTTATATTTATAATGCTCTCCTTCTAAATGTAGTGAATATCAATATTATTTTTGAAAAAAAGGTTTTTTTAACCTTTAATTTGAAGATTATTAATATAGTAATTTTTGCTTATTTAAATAAGCTAAATTATTTATATTTATTAAAATTGTATTTCTTTAGATTTATCTTAATATAATCAAATACAATAATAATTTTTATGGAATCATTCTGCCCTTTCATATATTACTATTCTTAATTATTTTCATAAAATAATTTTAAGTTTTAAATGTAGGCTGTGAAAACAGAACCGATATTGAAGTCAAAGGATAAACAAAAAAAACTATTAATTAAGAAAATAATGATATGGGCTAGATAAGGATTTAATTCAAGAAATATTGGGTTCCATCCTTTTTTATTTTGCGCATCTATAAAGCCAGGTGCCTAAACCAGGCATACCACTCTTTAAAGCTATCCAAATGCTGAACTATGGAAAAGTATGAGTAAGTTAAGCCAATCAGGTAGTATATAAGAAATTTAAATGGAAATATTATTTAAGTTAGATCAAATAAAAAGAGATTACGATTCTTAAATAATAGAAGAATTTAAGTTCAGAGTGAATAATCACTTTGATTTTGCTTTCTTATATAAAGAATCAGAACAAAAATATGTATAATAAAATGATAAATCTGGTATTCCCGATGTTTAAAATATTAATCATCCTAACCTATTAGAACGAGACGAAAGTGAATCGAAATCCTTAGCTAAATAGGTTGATTTATGTAATTCTCGAAAAGGGTCTATTGCGAAGTTTGAGAAAAGTCATTATCACAAATTATGCTAATTTCTAGAAAAAGTCAAAAACTATTTAGACTAATCTTCTTTAGAATTACGTCAATTTTATTAAGGTGTATAATTATTTCTAGAATCTTAATAAATATCTACATAGAAGAAAATGAAAATAGAGTAAGTAGAAAGAGTTGAATTAGAAGAAGAGAAACAGGAGTGTTATTATTTACAATAAAGTAAGGATGGTTAATAATAATAGTAGAATAAAAAAATGTAATAATTAATGTAATAAAATAATCAATCCTAATCATAATAATTAAATATGAAATCTATTAAGAATAAATATTAAATGTTGGATGAAATCAAATTAGATGCATTAACATTATAACCAGGATTAGCATTCTTTTTACCCAATTACAGTAAAATGTTGCCTGAAGAAATAGAAAAGGTCAAAGAAATTGAAAACAACTTTTTAAAAGAATTATATAGTTGTAAAATTCTACATCCCTAAGAATACACTCCAAAATATATACTTTTACTCTGGAGAACTTAATTCGAACCACAATATAAAAAACCTACTAATATACTACCTTTGTGTTAATAAGATATCATTAAAAAAGAATGAATGAGTTTTTGTAAATATATAAATATGTATATATATAAAAGGAATTTATATTAGTTATTAATTATACATATAACATTTCTAATATCTCAAGTGTTATTAGTTATCTTTTATTAGTTTTTTACATTATTTTGGAAAATAAATTTAATAGAATAATTAAATTGACATGAAACCTGTTGAAAATAAGAATATTAATAAAGATAGCTAAATTGTGTGAGCAGTTTTCATTTTATTTTAGTATTCTCAGTCCATCAGCAATTTTAAAGAAGAAAATAAAAAGAAGGAATATTTTATAAAAGAAAAAATAAATGAATTCTAAATTTAATAAACAGAAAGTTAATAATGGAATAGGTGAAAAGATAATAAAGTTATAATAATAATAGTATTAATCTGCATTAGAGGAAGTAAAAACAGATATAAGAGAATTATGTTTAGAATTGCATGATTAAATTCAATATATATAAAAGAATATGATTTATAATTAGCAATAAGGAGTCTAGGAAATTATTTTAGAATTTTATAAGGATATATTTTTTGACAAATATATGATGGATGATATTACAAAATTTTCTTAAGATTCGATTATTTCAATTTGGAACTAAAAATATAAGGAATTAGTTTTTGAATATGTCAGATATCCAAATGTTATAATATAATGAATTGAAAATTAAAATTGATATTATTTTCATAAGCACAAAATTTCTTATGTTTCATATTTAATTAGATTATATTTATAAACCCATATTTAGGAATAATGATAAAATTTTAATATAAATTACTATTGGTATGAATTAAAAAGAGCGTGTTTTTGTAGATAGAAACAATGAATACGCTGAAAATGAATACTTTGTTGGACAGAAAGAATCGAGATTTCACTCCAATGATTAATAAATAAATTTTTAAGTAGAATCATAATTAAGCACTCTTAGTTATATTTTTGATTGGATAACAAATGTAAGACTAAAAAAGTTATAATTTAAGGATTAATTACAAGAGTTAAGATCTTAAATTCTTCATGAGATAAAACAAATAGATCAGAATGTCAAAACTAAATATATTACTACTGCATTATCATATATTTTGATTAAGAATACAGGTGGAATAAATGAGACAGAATGTATATAGTAATTACTTGTAAAATTCTAGTTTAATATTTATTAGAATAAGTTCAATGTCAAATCAAGAAAATTATTGAAATATTTAAGAATGATTAAAGATGATGGTTAAAGAGATATGAATAAGTTATTATAACAGATTTAGTATTATCAGGAGAAGGTTAAAAAGTATTTTTTTGGTTAAGGACAATCATTATTGTTAAAATTGAAGAACCCAAAATAAACTTATACTTAGTTGATAGAAGAAATTCTTGAAACTAATAAATAAGTCATGATTAGAATATTCTCTTTACAATTAGTGAAATAATTTTGTGTAAGTAAACGACCAAGTCGATTAGTAATAAACTTGGGTTACCTTGCATTCTAAATATAATCAATTTATATATTACCTGGAGAATATGCTAGAATATTTAGGATATCAATTAATTCTTTACGACACTTCTCAAAAGGATTAATTAATCTTTTATATCAATTTGTATTAAGAATAACAGGTTAAGCAATTGAAGTTTAATTAAAGTCTTGTGAAAGAAGTCCTTAAATATCACAAACCATTATGAATGAAGGAGAATTCAAAAAATCACCTGAAGATACTAGTTTATCAGAACCAAATATTGAAATTGAAGGATATAAATTACTTATCATTAGAAAACTAATTAATGATTTCACCACATATTAGTTTTTATTTATTGATACTGAAGAAGAGGATGAATTAATTAATGAATGCTAAGAAATTTTAAACTTTTCAACCAACAACAAAGAGTGATTTTATTATTTTTGTATATAAAGATAGCTCCTATAAATTGAGATAAGGCTATTTATATAATAAAAAATTTTAGTTTAAATTGATAAATTAAGTACATCTTTCTCAGTTAATAAATTATTAGACAAACAATTCTTAAGAATTTTTAAATGCTATATTAGAGTACAATAGAATTAGTCTTGTTAAAAATTAAATCTATTCTTTGTTAATTAATGATTACTACTCTTAACTTAAATTTTATCAAAAAATTAATGAAGATATATTTAAATTTATATATTAGAATGGATGAAGATGATGAAGAATATTTGAAATTTATTCAGCCCTTGGTTATTTTATGTTAATTATTAAGTTAATATACTAATATATAAAATTATCGATATACTTAATATTGATTTGTAAAGAAATTCCATTATTTAATCTAAATAATGATCAGTTTATAATAATTGATATTAGAGAACTGATTTTTTTGAGAAATGGCTGACTTAGAATGAGTTTTAAATGAATATTCTCAAAGTTATTATTTTTTGGATACTATTTTATGAAATTAATCAACATTTCAAATATTCCTCTAAACTTTCTTAAGCATACTACCCTGTTTTTGCTATGTCAAACACCTTCTAAAAGGATTAGTTACATTTAGCATTTCTTTGTCTACATAATTTAATATAAACAATTTCATTACACTTTCAAAAAGCAATCAATCATTGATAATGCATTGTCTTTACAAAATTCAGGTTCAACATACTTTCCAAGTGGAGTAGATCTACATAAATTAAAACTCTTTCTTTAATCTTTGCAAACATGATTTCCTTTTATTGCATAAATCATCAACTACAAGCTATTTGCTTATAGATATTAATATTCAACCTTTCATCATTTGTATAAGTGTATAAATCTTTGGGAATAGCTTGAGAGGCCATCTTTGTAATTAATTTAATTAATCTAAAAAATATATGAAATAATCAAAAAATAAATAAATTAGAGCTACTTTTATCAAGGAAGCTAAAATTAATTATTTATATACAAAAATTACAATTAAAAGAGTTCTTAGTCTATTCTATCTTCATATTAATAAAGTTGTTATAGAATTTTTTCATAAAATATAGTATAATCGATATCTAGATTATATTTATAAAAGTATTTCATAAAGATTACATTAATAGTTTAGATTAATAAGGAATATATTCTTAAATTAAAAAAAATTAGAATAATATTATCCTTTTAGATTATTACTATTCTAAAAATAATCTTTTTGACAAATAATTATGTATTTAATAAAATTTTTATCAAGAATAATTATCTAGTAGTAATGGTATAATGTTTAAACTCAGAGTTGAATAGAGAATATAATTATTGTCAGAAAAAGTTTATTTTTGATATTTCATAAATTTTATGATTGTTAAACTTTTTATGATTCTTTATAAAAATTAATAGAGAAATAGGAATAAATCATATTAATATAATTTACTATATAGTTTCTAATGTTGCTTATTAATAATAAATTCTTTGATATTTAATGAGCTTTAATTGATATTAATTGGTTTAGCATATTATTTTCAATATTTTTTAGATATATTTACGTAATTAAACTAATGTGCATGCCAATAGGAATTTTGAGATGTGTAGTTTCATTAGAGGCTTGGATTGTAATGATTTGTGGAATTGCAGCCTTTATATTCACAATGATTATGTAAATACATTATAGTTTAATGCTATAAGCAAATGAAGGAGAATCTGTATATAGATCATTAAATATTTATTTAGTGGATGCTTTTTGGATAGGGTATGTTAACAGCTTTTTGGTTGTTTTCATCTTATATAATAATTAATGGAGTATGTGGTATTGTTGGCGGTTAGCACAAAAAACCATGTTTATTATTAGCGTTCAATGTTGGAAATATCATAATTATAATTGCATTCATTATACTTATGGTGATAGGTTATGTGTTAGCAGATGAGACTAGAAAACTTACTGATAAAGATATATAATAAAATGAAAATACTTGTCTTGACAATAGATCTGAATTAAATACCTTAGATTGGGAAAGCAAAGATCTTTTATGTTCAATAGAATGTCCATGTTATTATACATAATTGAATGGTCCATTGGCTAAAAATAAAACTCTATGGGGAGATGATAAACATCCAGAAAGAGTATTGCATAGAAATATAAGAATAGCCTACAAAAGTATAAGATTGTGAACTCTTTTAAAAAACTTAGAATACAACTGTTAAATATTTTTCAAATTACCTAGGAGAAATCTAAAAAAATACAGGGTGTACAGGATGGTGTGTGCCATATTAAATGCAAATATTTTATGATATCAATATAGTTCCTAAAGATCCTTAGTATAAATTTTACATAAAATTAGATTATATTGTCAATATGTTGTAATTTAAAAATTAACAGAGATGGGAATGTTGATGGGTGACATAGCAGCTGGAGTCACTGCAGTAATGCTTATTTTAATTACTCTTACCTGTTGTTTATGTTTCCATCCAGCAAATAAAGATCAGGATTTCTACAAGAAGATGGCACATTATGAGAATTGATTACATCTTCTATTTGTAATAAATTTATGATTCATTAAATTTAAATTTATAAAATTGAATTGGATTTATTTTTTAAAGAAATTTAAAACATTAAAGCACTTCACTTCATATTATAATATTTAATTTGATCAAACATTATTATTTACTAATATAGATTAGAATTCCTTAAATTATATTTAATATAATTTTTAGTCTAAACATAATTCCTTGTTTAATATTTATAAATTCAACCTTTTATTATGATATATCAATATTTATATAATACAAAAAAGTTTTATCCAAAGAATTTTTATAATTAAATAAGTTTTTGAATACTTGAAAGACTTGTTAAATATTAATATAACTATTAAGGTATTTCATTTCTCCCAAAAACAACAATATTTGATTAATTTTATTATATGATATTTTCCTTTTTTTATTCAAGTAAAAATAGACTAGATCGTAAAAGGCTTCCATTACAACAAACAAGATCTGAAAATTAGTCTCCTTCTAATTACCCTCATATTTATTAAACTTAACCTAGAAAATAATAAATATGTGTTTAAATATAAAAGAATGATAAATCAGATGAAACTGATGAAGAAGATATAAAATCGAGCAGAGATTGCTTTCTATAAATAGGAACTTCAGAAGCAAGCAAACTAATTAATCATAAAAATAGAATTAAATTAAGAAGTGTCTCAATGTAGAAAAAACAAATTCAATATATGCAATTTCGAGAATTTGATAATTTGGATTAAATTGCTGAAGAATAACTATAACTACAGTTTTAAAATTTAGCAGTTCATGTAGGTTAATTTCAGCATCCTTGATTTTATTATATAATATTAATGCTTGAAATCTATAAAAACATTTAATAACATAATAACCTTTATTTTATTACTTCCAAAATGTAATCATGTTTTCCATTTCAATTTACAATCATATTAAAGAGGTTAAATTCTTTTAGTTCTTCTAAACATATTTTCAAAATTATTTAAATTTACCATTATGTTTGATGCATTCAATCTCAAATAAAAAATTTAGGTATTTAATCATCTTGTGTTTTTAAAAAAGGGCATAACTAAATTGTGAAATTATTAGGCAATCATCATATTTACATAATTAACTTATAAAAATTTATAGGACAGAATAATAATTAATAGATAAGAATAGATTTTTTTTTCTTTCTTTCTTTAACATTCTTCTTGTACTAATTAAATAATGTTTTAAAGAATACAATATATTTTTTAATTTGAATCATTTAATATAAAATTTAATGACTGATCAAAATTTTACAAATATATTATACATATATACTAATGTCTAAATATATATTATCAAAAATTAATATAAATGCTTAATTCATAATTTATCTATTGATAAAAAAATAGTTAATAATTCTGTTTTAATTTGTATATTGAATCAAACAAAGTTTTATTTATAATTTGTTATTCAATGAATTGATATAAAATTATGTTAAATTTTAATTCAAACTTTATTAGATATAGTCTAGTATACTATTTATTTATTTATTGGAATTATTAATGAGAGGAATGTAGAGAGATATAATCGATTAGTTCCATTTATTCATTTATAATATAATTTAAAGTCTTGAAGTTAAATGTGTTAAGCTTTTGTTAGAACTCAAAAACGATATTTTCAATATTAAGAATTTGTAACTTGAAGTAAATAGTTAGTCAATCATATACTTAGGAAACCGTTTAAGATTAAGAATTTGTTTATTAATATTAAGATCTGATGAGTTTCTCTGAATGTTAACTTAAAATTTTTAACAAAAGACAATAATTTATTAAATAAAATGAGTTTTTTTTCTGTGAGTATCATTTTGGGCCTTGTCAATATAGTGTTTGCAATAACCCCAATCAAACTACCTTAAAGTACAGATAAATTTAAAAATTGCTTACACGTGGAAAAGGGAAATTGTTATTAATGCTCAGCTTTACATTTTCTGTTTACTTTGCCTCGAGATAATGAAAACTTAGGTTTGAAGGCAGGAACAAGAGTTTGTGTAAAATGGTAAATATAATAAATATCACCTAGTCCTTACTTTGGTTATTTAGATGAGAATAACCTATATTGTGGAGATTGTATAGACAATAGTCAAACTTGGGATTAAAGGAGACTTTGTACTTATGATTACAAAACTAAATCCTCTTAAGCTAAATCAATTTTCCATAAGGTTGATAGACCAGCAAAACAGTTGTTTTACATAGTGTAATCTGGCGCGGATGATGTATTATGTAAATTTTATCTAGTTCAATTCAATAATGTGTGATGGATGTTCTAATTTTTGTAAATCAAAGAGCTAAACATGTTTTGCAGTATCTTAATAATTTTAATATGATTTAAACAATCCTTATATTTCATGTGCATAAGGTAATTTTTAATAACATTTTTAGGATATGCATTTAATGATGCTATTGAAGGATGTGATTCATGTCCTGATAATTGTTAATCATGTCAAATAAATGTTGTCAGATCAATGGATAGTTTAGGGAAAATAACAGTAACTACAAAAAAGAAGTGTTTAATATGCAATGCTGGTTTTAGTTTATTAAGTATAAGAACAAAAAGTAATAAAAATGTAATGTAAACATTATGCATGGCTTGTTTTACTGGATGTAGTGAATGTTACTATGGAAAAAATCAAGTAAATTTAAATTAAGACCCTTGGGATGTCTATAATAACTTTGAATTAACAATAAGTGATTAGGCTCTTTTGGATTAATTGTACATAGATGATCCTGAAAATAATCCACCTAATTAGATATTTTTTGATACATTATGGGAGAGATATCAAATCGGACAAAGATGTAGTGTATGTACAAGTACTTCCTAAAGTACTTTCATTCCTTCACTTAATAGATTTTCATGTATAAGATGTGGAACAAATTGTAGAAAATGTGAGTATGTTTCATATACTCTAACAGAAGATTAATAGTAAAAATATTATAATAATTATTTAGTCCAACACGATTTAAAAATATAGTTATAGAACCAGATGGTACAAATCCATCAGTGACAGATATTGAATCAGCTGAAGCTTCATATATCTTCCGTTGTAGAGAATGTGATGATTACACATAAACATTTTTGGCAACAGGAACTGGTTGTATGGATTGTTCTAATTTACTAAATTGCAAATTATGTCATAAATAAGGAAATCCTACTCAGGGAGGAGATGCGTCATTTTCAACTCTATTACCTGATTTCACTCCTCTTGATAAAGAAGAATTATCTACTCAAAGATGTTTAATTTGTGAGGATGGATATTTTTTAAATAAAGATAAAATTTGTGAGATATAATCTTTATTAAATGTTGCACCGACAGGATGTTTAGCTTATGAAACTGACACTAACAATCTTTTAATAAAACATTGTAGAAAATGTAATACTGGATATACTCTTATGAAAGATGAAGCAGATGGAACTTGGAAATGTACCTTTGATTGTTAATAAGAGATATAAGATTTCTTATGCCAATCATGTGTTAAATAAGGTTCCAAATTTAGATGTTTGAAATGTTTGGATGGATATTATGTTGATGCTAAAGATGGTACATGTTAACCATGTTCAGACAATAATAATTGTAAAAATTGTTATAAATTGTCTTTCAAAAGTATTCATCGAACTGATTATTATTTATATGAATATGATGGAGATACTTAAACATATGGTCCATATTGTTATGCTTGTACAGCTGGTGACAATAAAATAGGACCTAAATTTAATGAAGATTTGAGAATATGTGAAAAAGGAGAAATTTATTGTGAAGATTTCTAAGCCAAAGGAACCAAAGGTTATTGTGATTTATGTATATCTGGTACTCTAGAAGAACCAGAGTTATTTAAAACTTCAAGATCAGCCTCTCTTGATGGTGCTAATTGTATAGTATGTCCTGCTTATACTATTGGATGTAGAGAGAGAGATTAAAGTGAATTAATGGTTGCAAATAAATATTTTGCTCCTACAGAAGAAGGCCTTATTTAGTTTTCTTACTTAGCATATAAATGTGATTCAACTGTATCTTATCTTGATACTAATATTGGTAGATGCTAAACACCAAAAGATGGAGCTTATTTAAATTATGATACTATTGTAATCTAAGCTGATTGTATATAAAATATGCCTCATATTAATTCAATATGGAGATTTAATTCCCAATATACAGATATCACTTAAAAAACAGCAACTTTGATACTTGAAAATGTTAATTCTACACCTCTTATTGATGCTACCAAATTAAAAGAATACAATACTAAATCTCTTAGTAAAATCATAATTGAATTATAATTTAAATATAATCCTGATCAAAACAACAATATTTGTTACTTTTAGAGAGATACTTTTATTTCAACTAATCTTAGGAAAAATATTTTTGCTTTAAAAGATCTAGAACTTGTAATTAGTGTTTCTGGTGCTTCTCCTGGTTAAAGAATTTAATGGTATATCATGAATACTATTTATTTTGAATATTTCACTTCAGTAACCATTAAAGATATTGAAATATTACCTGCAACTGATTTAAATACTTTGGGTCTCTACAATAATGTAGAAAGATATGATAAACCTTTTGGATTTGAGTTTTTAAAAAATGAAGGATCAAAATTTTAATTAGAGAATGTTAAAATTAATAATGGTTAAGCTGAATCTCATTATAATTCACTTGCTTATACAACTCCATATAGTGATACTGCATAATCTCTTAAGAAATATAAGCCATTTTTTACTATATTATTGAATACATATAGTATTTCATTAAAGAATGTCATTTTTCAATCTTAAAATTATTTAATGGGGCCAGATTTATCATATTAGGCTAAACCTTTTGGATTAGTTTATGAGAATAATTTAACATTTTAATATTTGAACATTAGACTTGAAGATGTGAGATTTTATGATTTTGCTGTAGAAGATTAAGCCATTTTTGAATTATTGGACATGACTTTAGTAACAGCTCCAGAATGGAATAGTAAAATATATGTAAAAAATGTATAGTTTAAAGATTGTTATTTTATTAATGATGGAGCATTTTTAAGTACAAAATTGACTGAAAAATCTACAGGAATGATTATAATTGATAATTTGTAAATGGATAATATTGAATATAATAATTCAAGAGGAATTATAGATTTTTAAACTATGTAGAAAGTTAAAATAAATGGATTTTCTATGATTAATAGTAGAGTCAATTATACTACTTTATTTCACATTACAACTATAGACATGAGTAAAGTTTACTTGTATAATACAACATTTACATATTTTGGTAAGATGGTTTAGACTTAATTTGATATATTTACAATAAAACCAAATGATGTGGAATATTCTGGAATGTCTTTGAGTTTTAATGATTTAGAATTCAATTAAATTACTTGTTTATATCCTGCATGTATAATGTTATTGAGTGGTATTAAAAATGATTATGAATTACCAATAAACATTTCTATGAGTAACATTATAGTTTAACAAATAAAATCAGATGGTTTTAATGAAACTATATGGGAAGCAGCAACTAGTGCAGCCATTTAAATTTATAAATCTCATATTTTACAAGTTTAAAATTTTTAAAGTATTTAAAATCCAGATTTAACAATATTTTATACAGAATAAGTAGAAGATATTACATTTATTAATTTAAAATGTAGATAAAATATTGATTTAAGTATTAGAAATAATTATTGTGTGTTTTTGAATAATTTTTATAGGAGAATAAAAATGATTGATGTTGAATTAACAAATTTAAATGGAATTGATAATTCATTCATTGGACTGTCTTCTTGGAATAATTTAGTATACAATACAAGTAGTGAAGATTTTAATGAAGAAATACAATTAGAAAATGTAATAGTACAATATTGTACAATAACAACTACAGTTTTAGCAGTCCCATCAAGTGCTATTTTAATAGATTCAACATAAGAATAAGTAGTGATCATGAAAAACATGAACTTTTAAAATAATAAACATTTCTCTGCCTCATATTTAAAAGGAACATTAAGACCAAGTAATCCAACCTTTTTGATTAGAAGTGTTGTAGGTACTTTGAATTTATAGAATTCTTATTGGAAAAATAATCAAGTAAGTGGATATGGTGCTGTATTATATTTGGAATGTGGAATCTAAATAATTAAGAATATTTCAATGCTTAATAGCAATTATGATGCAAGTACATTTATTAATCAAAATCAATTGTCTTAATAGATTAATGATTTAGTAGAAGGAGGACATTTATTTTTAGCAGGTTATAACATTTAATTATTGGATTCATAATTTACTAATTCAACAGGGAAAGTTGGAGGTGGTATTTATGTAAAGACTTAGAAAGAAGGTTAAGTCTATTTCAATAATACTATGATATCTAATGCATTGACTCCAATGAATGGTGGAGTAGTGTCAAGAGGTGGATGTATTTATGTAGATTCAACTTATTCTCAATTGAATATGCTTTTAGAGAATATGGAATTAAAAGGATGTATTGCAAGAGCAGATGGTGGTGGAATATATGTGATTGCATCAGATAGATAATAACAATTTACAATGAGAAGTAGTATAATCTCAAATTGTTATGGTTTGAGTGGTACATCAATTAAAGTGAAGTTTGATGAGAGAACATAAGCAATATAGAAGACTACATTGATTGGATTGAAAATTTCAGGCAATTACACTAATGCTATAGATTATTTTAGCAATTTGACTAATTTCTAAATAATTGAGGAATTCATGTTAATTAAACGATTAGCTGCATTTGAATAAGATAATGGATAAGTTGAAATATAAAATTGTTATAGTGAAGGACTTTATTATTATGGATTTATTTCACTTCAAAATCCTAATCTTGTAAGATTCAATACTATTGAATCTTAACATAGTATTTTATCATATAGACCATATATCGAAGTGATTGAACCATTGGCAAATCCAATTTTTATTGATTCAGTGCAATTTAGAAATATATCATCTATGAATGTTACTGTTATTTGTAATTAGGAACAATTGACTAATTAATAGAATGCCATTTGTAAGATATTGTAATCTCGAGTTGATTTTCCTGAATATATTATTAATCCAGCTATGATGTTAATTGATCAGATTACTAAAAATACTCCATTATTGATGAGAAATATCTTTATCAATAGAGTAAGGTGTAAAGAATGTTATGGAGGATTAGTTTAAGTAATGAGAGTATCCAATAGTGAATTAAGAGAATTAGTTTAATTGAGTGTTTGCAGATGTTCTAATACAGAAGCAGCATATTATGGTTGTTATATGGTATCAGCAGCTTAACATTCTAATATTTTAACAAAAGAAGATTCCTAAATTGGTATTACATTTAGTTCTTCTCTAAGTTTGGAGTCTATATTAAAAAATACAGGTTTAAAAAGTAGAAGAAGAATTCTATAAGCCTAATATTCACCATCTGATTATAGTTATGCTGTGCCGATCCCTACTTATGTGGCTCACATAATTGTAGATTCATTGAACATTTAGGATGTCAGAGCTATTCATGGTGGAGGTATATCTATATATGGACTTACTACTAATATAACAAGTGCTTATTGTACATAATCTGTAGTGATTGGTCAAGGTGGATGTATCTATTATGAAGCACAAGAAAAAAATAAGAAAGTAGTATATTAAAGATTGAATATTGCATCCAGTGTATTCTTTAGAAATAATGCCAGTATAGGTGGAGCAATTAGAGTCAAACAAAGTGGTATAAATGATTGGACTAAGACTTTAAATACTATGCTTTAAAATTATGCATTGTTGTATGGCAATGATGTTGCTGGATATCCAACACATTTAGGAATAATAGTCAATGGCAAATTATAACATTCAAGTTATATTAATGATAATACAGAATGGCTTCATTATCCTTTGGTTATAAAAAGTGGATAAGAAATGTAAGGATTTGAAAATCAATCTGTTCTATTAGTTTTCTTAAATGAAAATAATGAAGCTATGAAATATCAATTTGAATCTTAATCCAATATTTCTGCAAACTTAACCAATACTATTTAAGGAGAATCATTAAGAATTTTTAATTTGGATAAACAAGGTTTTGTCTATTCTAATTTATAAATATTATTTGATCCATATTAAAATATCACTCTAGATGTTCAAATTAATAGTTCACTTGTCAACATTCCTCGTTATTATAGTTAATATCCTTATCAACTTATAGGATTTGATACAGATTATATTTTATAAGCTCGAATTAGATCAGTAGAATGTGATCGAGGAGAAGCATATAATCCACAATAAGGTTCATGTACTCCATGTCCTATAGGATAATATGTATTAGTTTATAAGGGAATTTGTAAATAGATAGATGATACATCAATGAATTACACTAGAATGAATTAAATTAGTATTAAGAATTAATTTTGGAGACCAGATCATTTAAATGATTTACCTGAGAAATGCAAAAACAAACCTGTTAATTGTTTTGGTGGTTTTAATGTTGGAAATGATTTATGTTATGAAGGTATGATAGGAGCATTATGCGAAGAATGTGATATTTATGGAACTTTTTGGGGAGCAAAATATAGTAATTCAGCAAAATATGAATGTGGTACATGTTAAGATAGAACAAGAAATATTATTATGATAGTCATCTTGAGTATTTTTACTTTGTATTCTACTATTTCATCAGTAAAAGCCAATTAAGAAAGAATGGAAAATTGTGTTCTTTATGATATATTTGCTCTTCTTGGTTGGGCTTCCTCTTAAAAAGCAAGTGGAAATGTTGCTGTTTTAATGAAAATATTTAATAATCATACATAAATTTTATCTATTTTGAGTGGATTTTAAATTGAAATACCTAATGAAACAGTAGATTCAGTAAATACTGTAAGTATGCCAGCAAAAACAATAGGTAATTCATTGGATTGTTTTTTGGTTGAAAATACTTGGGGAATTGATTTAATATATTTCCGTTTAATATGGTCATTAATTATGTAGGTTATTTACATTTTAATGATGCTTATAATTATTTTTGTCAGTGTAGCAATTGGAAAAATGTAATTCAAAGTCTAATATTTATATACTATGGCAATTTATTTATTTGTTTTTCTATAACCAAATTATGTGATGGAATTCATGACATTGATATCAAGTAGAGAAATCTCAGGAAATTATTACATCATGGCTAATGTATCATATAGATATGATACTTTTAAACATGATTAATGGATTGCTGGATTTGGAGTACCTGGTTTATTATTGTGGGTTCTTGTCTTACCAACAGCCTTTTGGTATGTATGTTATCAAGGAGCCTAATAAATGAAATTGAATTCATTTAGATTTAGTTAATCTTGGGGTTTCTTTTATCATGAATACAGAAGAGATAGATATTATTGGGAATTCATAAAGATATTTTATAGATCTTTGATTAGTATTCTTATTTGTTATTTCCAAGAGGAAATCATTGTCAAAGTAATAATGTTATCTTATTTTTTAGGGTATTTTATCTTTTCTTGTAGTTTATGCTTATTATGGACTTAGTACACACTTTAATCCTTATAATTTAAGAGTGATCAATGATCTAGATTAACTATCTACAGTAGTCTTATCTTTATCCCTAATAGTAGGTGTATTTCTTTATAGAACAATTGATATTGACTTTTATGGTCTAACATATGCAGGATATGTTTTGATTTCTATTTTGAATGCTATATTTTTGCTTCTATTCTTTTATAATCTTTTCAAAGGGAAATTGTAAGAATTTGCACCTAAATTGGATGATGTTAGGGAGAAGATTAAAGAAAAATTCCCTCATCTTAATAACAATCCTCGTCTTCGTCCTTATTTGTAGAATCAAACATAATTGAATCACAAGGCAAGATAAACATGGGTTGAATTAAGTAAAATTGTTAATAATGGAATTACGTTATGGAGAGCTGATAAATCTAAACCTTTGTAATTTTTTAGAGTGTAATTATATTTTTTTAAATTTAGTACTGAAACACCAAAGAGTGATTACAATACAAAAATTAACTAAATCCATTAAGAGTTCGGTTCTGAGAGTGATGATTAAAACTTATTGTATGGTGATGGATTACATTCAATTTAAATGTCAAAAGAGAATATCTAAGATGAAGGAAAAGAGAAATATATATACCATTGATATTCACTCTATATTTTTAGATATTAATTTTTTAAATTATGTCAAGTGTTGGTGATGAATCACTAAGCTTTGAAAATAAGAAGCCATCGTCTATTGGTGTAAGTCATTTCATTATATTGTAGTCTATAATACTTATTGTATTAACCTTAGCAGGCATAGCAGGATTTACAGCTTATGCTATCATAAGTTCAGAAGATTCTAATTCTATATTGTTAGAAACAGTATACAATTAGAATGTAGTCCTTGATACTTATTGGAATGAGAAATTCAATAACACATTAGCAAAAAGAGTTCGTGTAAAGGTAAGAATGGATTCAGATAATGAACTTACTGTAAAGATTGGAAATGCTGATGAACCTGGATTCGAACTTCCAGAAGACTCTGAATACTTTCCAAGAGACTCAAATTCTAAGGATACAAAGGATGGTAAGAAGAGTTACAGGGTTGATTTAAAATAAAATGGATCATTTACAATATTTAGAGTATAGGATGGAAAAGATATAGATACAATATTTGATTCAGTAGGACATCAATTGATAGTGGCTTAAGATTATACTTAATTTGCAACAACACTCAATAGTAAATACTTATATGGAATGGGACAAAGGAGAAAGGAATTACGTTACAAAGGATCAGGTAATTACACTACATGGCCCAAAGATTAATTTGGAACAAATGATTATGGAACACCAGGAAATCAATTATATGGATATCATCCTATGTGGTTAACTTATGAGAAATCCTAAAATTATCATGTTGGTTTGTTGAAGAGCACATCTGCATTATTAACATAAATAGATGAAGCATAAAGAATGATTTTTCATGTTGTAGGTGGAAACATAGTTCTTAAATTTTTCATAGGATAAGGTGAACCTGAAAAAGTTATAAAAAGTTATCATAGATACATAAATGGATTTGGATTACATCCATTTTGGGCATAAGGTTATCATTAATGTCGTTGGGGTTATAAAACTACTGCATAAATGATATAAGTCTTATAAAATATGGCAACAATTGATCATCCTGTAGAATCTTTATGGAATGATTTAGATTATATGACTAATTATTAAGTTTTTACATTGGATACTAAAAATTTCAAAGTAGATGAAATGAAACAGATAGTTGATAGATCAACCCCTTTAGGTGTTCATTGGGTTCCTTTGGTAGATATTGGAATTGCTACTTAAACAAAAGCAGAAGAAATAGGAAATGAATTTGATATCTTCCTTAAATCTTCAGTCTATAATAAAGAATCAAAACCATCTAATTTAGAAGGATGTGTTTGGCCTGGAGCTGTAGTATTCCCAGATTTTAATAATCCAAAAACTTAAACTTATTGGACAAATTGTTCAGAATTAATGAGAGAATAAGGAATGAATCCTTCAGGTTGGTGGATTGATATGAATGAAATGGCTTCATTTATACCAGGAGAAAGAGATACATCTAAAGATGAAGCATGTTATGGTGCAAATCCTCCTAGTCCTGCCCCTGTCAAACCAGAAATTGATGATAGACTTTGGTTTCCAGTACTTGTTACTGGTTTCTAACCATTAGCTCATAAAACTGTTAGTTTGAATGCAGTACATTATGGAAAAGAAGACGGAGTTCTTTTGAAAACTCCTGTTAAAGAATAATATTTCCATTCAATAAATAATCTTGCAGAATAGATTGCTACTCAGAAAACCTTACAGAAATTTACAAATAAGACATTGACATTCTCACTTACTCGTGGCTCTATTTATGGTTCAGGAAGATACACAGCTTTATGGACTGGAGATAATATAGCTGATTGGGAATTTTTGAGATTAGGTGTTTCTGAATTGTTGTCTTTCTAATTTTATGGTATTCCCTTAGTTGGTAATGATTTATGTGGATTTGCTGGTAATACTAATCCTGAATTATGTGCTCGTTGGTTAGCTTTAGGTGCTTGGGAGCCATTTGCTCGTAATCATAATGATAATGAAAGTATTTCTCAAGAACCATATGCTTTTACTTAAACATATGTTAAGGATGCTTCAGTTGCAGCTTTTAAAAATCGATATTCTCTCCTTAAATGGATGTATTCATTGTTTGTCAGTTCATTTGAACCAGATTTAGGAGCAGGAACAGGTACTATTATATAACCCATTTGGTGGAATAATCCCTAAGATGAATTTGCATATTAATTTGAAGATTCTGAATTCCTTTTTGGTAATACTTTCTTGGTTGCTCCTGTATTAAGTAAAAGTTCAGATCCAGCCTCTGAAAAAACAACTATAAATGTTTATTTCCCTAAAGGTTCTTGGATTAATTGTGAAGATTTTAAGACAATTTATACATATAAAGAAAAAGAAGTATAAAAATTTACAAGAGGTTTCAATTAATAAGCCTTATCATTTTAAAAAGAAGGGTATTTTATATTTTCAATATTTTTAGAACTCTCGTATTCAGATAAGATCCAAAATAGAGAGCTAGATTATTAGATTCTAAATATAGTATATATGCCTTCCTCAATTCTGAAGGATTAGCTGTTGGTTAAATTATGACTCTATCAAATTTTGATGAAAGCGATGATAATAAGGTTGCAGCTAAATGTTGGACTAAAGGCTTCAATTGCATAGCTATATACACTATTAAAGCACTAGATGATAATAAATTTTAAATATCTATCAAAGGATAAGATGCTTAAACTATCTTTGAGACAATAACAATTCAAAAGGTTATAATTAATAGTAAAGATTAAAAACTTGAATTCACTATTAATTAAGAAGTAACAAAAGCAGAGGAATTAATTATACCATTAGCTTAAAATTTGAGATTATAATAATAATAATAATGAATTAAATTTAACTTATTAACCATCTTTAATTCTTTTTAATTAGTATTGATTCATAATAACTATAAAAATTAAATTTGATATTTATTTTATTGATAATTAAAGTAATAGAAATGATAACAGAAGAAAGAGGAGATTATATTGTTAAATTTGACAAATTATTAGGTAAAGGATCTTTTGGATCAGCATTCGTTTGTTATAGAAAAGGAAATCCTAATGAAGAATTATGCATGAAAATCATAAAAAAAATAGAGATGAATGATTCAGACTAAGATTTTAAAAAGAAACAACTAAAAGCAGAAATTAATGCAATTTCAGAATTAAAGTTTGCAGATTGTGAAAATTTGGTTAAAATGATTGATATGTTTGAATTACCGTAGGAATTATGCATAATAATGGAATTATGTGATTATGATTTATACTAGGAGTATAATCAATTAAAATAATAATAATAATGGTTTTCAAGATTGGAATAAATTGACATTATTAGATAAATACTAAAAGGAGCAAAAATCTTAATTGAAAATAAATTTGTTCACAGAGATATTAAACCTTAAAATATATTAGTGAAAATTGTTAATAAAGGAAAAAATAATCAAAGAAAAATATATAAAGTTAATATAAATACTTATTATTTAGTTAGCTGATTTTGGTTTTGCAAGAACATTAGATGACATTTACAAAAAAGCTGATTTGACTAGAGTAGGTACTTTTTTATATTGTGCTCCTGAAATAATTAGAGCTCAAAATTTCTCTGCTAAATGTGATATATTCTCTTATGGAGTTGTATTTCATTAGATTGTTTATAAAGGATAATTTCCAGACTATTATACGAATTAATAGTAAATGTAGAAGTTTCTTACCAAAATTGAATAATAACCATATATGTGCGAAAAATTGTAGGGAGATCATGGTAATTTGCTTACAGATTTAATTTAAAACATGCTACTTTTTAATTAAGATAATAGAATTTCATTTGAAAGATTATTATCTCATTAAATAGTAACATTGTCTCTTCCAATGTAATAAGATTCTCTCTTTATATAATTTGATAAAAAATTTAATCAATAAGAGATGGAAAGATAAAAACTTGAAAATAAAGATAATAAATACTCTAAGATAGATTAACTTATTGATATTTTTTACAGAAAATCAATATTATGTAAATCTGTAGTTAATTATATCAAAAAAGAAATAATTGTTCCAAATATCGAATTACTAATTATTTAATAATTAATTTAAATTATAGGTTATGAAGAAATTAAATTTGGTTTTGCAATGTTACACTCTATAGTATCTGACTTATAACCTTTTATTCGAAATAATCATGACATTCCTCTTTTAATTAATATTTTATAAAAATACTTTGAAGATTCAAAAACAAATTAAATTAGAAGCAAACTACATCAAAAAGTTAAAGAAGAATTTTACAATTAATTAAAAAATTCTTAAAATGATTATAATACTTTCATTCTTAAGATTAAATAATATCCAAACAATAATTAAATTAAAGATATCATATAATTTATGGAAGATTCATAATAATAAAAAATAGAAATTAATAGATGTTGTCTATTATTAGAAGAATGGATAAATAATTAGAAAATTAGTTAACAAATTAAAAAATTTGAACAGTAAATATACTTTAATATATTAATTTAGAAAGATTCAACAATATATTTAAATTATCAAGAAAATAGAGACTAAATTTGATATTGCCAATTATTATTTTATTAATCCAAATGATATATTTGAAATCAATAATGAGTGAAACAATATTAAATACATTTAAATATTATATTAATAATAATGTATTATATATATACTATTTTATTATATCTTAAAAACTATTATAATAATTATCATTAATCTCAAATTATATATCCTCTTATTTTTTTAATAAGAGAAAGGGAAAATTTATAATTTTAAATAAAATTTGATTTATAAAGCGCTTTAAATATTTTTATTAGATTTATTTAATAAATAAATAAATATATCATTTATTTACTTTATAAATATGCAACAAATAGAATAGAGAGGAGATTATATTATAAAAACTAGTGATTTGTTAGGATAGGGTTCATTTGGACGTGTTCTTAAATGTTATAAAAACATTAATCAGGATGTATTATATTGTATGAAGATTCTAATGAAACCTAATATTTCTGAAAAAAAAATAAGAAATACATTAGAAGCTGAATTAAAAATATATAAGTAGTTAAAAGATATATACTCTAATAATTTAGTTAAATTATTAGATCATATAGAAACAGATAATGAATTTTGTTTTGTTATGGAATTATGTGATGATGATCTAGATAAATTATTTTCAAAATATAAAAAAAATAATAATTGGTTTAATAGATAAGAATAATTTGATATGATTAGATAAATCCTCAAAGGAGCTTAAATTTTGAGAAAAAAAAAAATTGTTCACAGAGATATTAAACCATAAAACATACTTGTAAAGGTTTTAAATCCAAATTAAATAGATCAGAAAAGAATCTTTAAGGTAGACTTAGAAGATTTATTTTTAGTTAGCTGATTTTGGATTTTCAAAAAGTTTAAATGATATTTATGAACAATAAGACATGACTAGAGTAGGTACCTATAATTACTTGGCTCCTGAAATCTATTATAAAGATTAGTTTTCTGGAAAGTGTGATATTTATTCTTATGGAATTTTATTTCATTAAATATTGTTTTATAGAAGATACCCCGGATAATATAGCAATAAAGAATAATTACATCATTTTTTTTAGAGAATTAAAGAGGATCCATATAAATGTGAAATTTTAGATGACTAAGATGGAAAATTAGTGGCTGATCTAATTGAGAAAATGATACTCTATGATTAGAATAAGAGAATTTCGTTTGAAGATTTATTCCAATATCAAATTATTTTATTAAAGGATCCATTATTTTAACCAATGTTTTAAATAAATAAATTTTAAAAAATTGATGAAGATAATCAACGAATATTTTAAAGAATTTATACTATTTTAGATAATTTATATAGAAAAAGTATGCTTTGTAAAAAAATAGCAGAAGAATTTAGCAAATTTAATTAATAAGATAATATAAATATACTAAAAATTTAATATATTATTAAATAGATTGGTTTTTATGAAATTAAACTTGGATTTGCAATGATACATCAGATTATATCAGACTTTTTACCTATAATTTTTGAACTTTGTGATGTCCCTCATTTTATAAGTTTGTTAAAGTTGTATTTTAAAGAAAATAATCCTTAAAAAATAGAACTTAGTTAGAAAATAAGGATTGAATTTTATAGTTAATAAAAGACTCTTACAAAAGATATTAGTGATATAAAATTCAAGATATATCATCAATAAAAGTAATAAAATATTTCAAATATAACAAAAGATGATCATATATTTTCTTTAGAAACTTTAATTGAAAAATAATAAATTGAAGTTCTATGTGAATAATTACAGAATATGATTGATACTAAATAGACTTGTGAAATAATAAATAATTATGATATGTAAATAATAAATATTGAAATAGTGATTTTCTAAAAAAAATCAAGTAAATTCCAACAATAGAAAGTAGATTTGATTTTTTTGAATATAAACTCTATGAATCAGATTAAATATTCAAATTGTGATATTTTATTTAATGTAATTATTTATTATTTTTTTTCATAATAACTCAGGTTTAAAACCATCATTTTGATTGATATTTGTGTTTATTTCATCTATTATTTTAGAAAGATCTCCCTGATCTACAAAATCAGCAACAACAAAGTTAGGCATTTTACCACAATGTTTATAATATTATAAAAATCTTTTCTTGACATGATCATACTGATTATACAACTTTCTATACTACATATCTAGTCTTAAGTTTAATATCATATTTATACTTCAAGCTATTTTCTGGATTTAAATGGATTTCTAAAAAAGGTGACTAAATATATCCATTATTTTTGTTTACTAAACCTCTTGCAACATTTCCAGTTGTGACATCTTTTGAAGGATCAGTTTACCAATCAACTTAAGCACTTACAATATAAGAATCATGTGTATATTCTTGTAAATCACCTAAAATTTATTCTCTAGGTTCAATTGTAATCAAAATATTCTTTTAATTATCTCTACACCATCCTAATGTAGGCACATTATTTTCTTAAAATCTTATAACTCTTTATTTTGCTTTAATATCAACTAATAAATTATGCAATTTTTGAGCCACTTCAATATCACTCCACCCTAATGTTCCATTATCTTTAGACCTCTCTAATAATTTACTCTCTAATTTCATAATAATAACTTCATCAGGATATTTAAAAGTTAAATTAACTAATTCTTTAAGACGATCAACAGCTTTTTCTGGTTTCGATGCTAATCTCTAAGCAAGAGACATTTTACAATTAGATTTACCATTTTCTTCATGGGCAATAACAATCTAGTAGACTAAATAAAATACTTAAGGGACACCATTTTAGACATGCCAATGTAAAGGAATTTTGAAATGTCTAGCACCATATTTTTCAAACTACTCAGTTATAGTCACATTTTATTATGTGTAATGCCATCCATAACAACTAGCCATAGGTGAATTGTGAGCACCAAGATAGACAATATCATGTAAATGTAAACTGGATTTGAGATGAGTATTTCCACCTGGTAAATTTTTTTACATTGATAGAATAATAAATAATTTTATTTATGTATATCATTTTTTTTTTTTATTACACTAATATTAGATCTACCAGTAGTTTAACTTTATGGTCTTAGATTTGTTGTACTAGTAAATGTATGTTTCTTCTTTTTTTTTTTGGCAGGTGATGCATTTAATTTTGGTGTTTGTGCAATTATTTAGAGTTATTCATCAAAATGTTTCTTGAGTTTTTCAATAGCATCATTTGATTAGATAGTAAGTTTTTCTTAGAATTACTTTTATTCTTAAAGTAATCGATCTTCAACAGATTCTTAGAGTTCTTGTTCTAATTATTCAATTGCTGATTATGTTAATTATTTTTATTCTTATAATTCAGATTCTAATAATTTTTCTCTTTCCTTCATTTCTTCAATATCTAAGAGTAATTCGCTGATAATTTTTTTCTAATTAATTAATTCTAATCAATTACACTTTCTTAATTTTCCATTTTTAATGCTTTAATTACTTCTTATGATTCTAAAAAATTATTTTTATATTTGATAGCTTTGATTCGATATTTAGATTAAGTATTAATATCTTTTTCATCTTATTTTTATTAATAATCTAGTAATGCTTTTGCATGTTTTTCTACATAAATTCCATTATCTTAAAAAGGTTTTTTTCTCATTAATAATAATTTTATTGAAAAAATAACATCATAGAACTTTGTTATAATTATTAATGATAATAATAAAGTTATTAAGAAATATTATATAATTAAAATTAATTTTATCATCAAATAAATTCATCATGGGTTTATTTTGATTTTTTATTTTATAGAACACAATATATAACCAAAGCAATTATAAGCAATACTCCAACACCTATTAATATCCATACCCATATAGGAATGGAATCTTTAACTTTGTCATCATCATCATCTGGAACTATTTTAGTTTTTACAATCCAAAGATAATCAACAATTGAATCATTTATACTCATTCTATGTTCGAAATATAAATGAGTTTCATTTTTTATTTCTAAGATACCTATACCATCACCTGCAGCTTAAAATTTAGTATAAAATTTTGGTGGATCTAAAGTCAAATAAATTAATACAAATATTATCAGGCATTATTTCATCATTACCAGCTGCTCCTTCTACAATATATATAGGTGCTTTAGGATTTGTATAAGTATTATTTTCATATTTATCAAATTAAGCAATCTTATTATATGCTAATGGTTCATCTCTTTCATATGTGTGTTGATGTCCAGCTAAACATAAATCTACATGATATTTAATAAAAATATCTTCAAATTATTTCATCTTTTTATAATGATCTTTACAAAATCCATCATCTGGATTGCTACAATAAAATGGATAATGATTATAAACAATTAACCAAGATGTATTTTCATATAATCTAATTCTTCTTAATTCTTATTCCATTTAAAATAAAGTATAATTAAAGTATGTTTCATCTTTGTTCCCATAAGCAATTTTATAAGGATGGAATTATACATAATATGCATGTCCAACTTAAAATGAATAAAAATCATTATATTTTATTTGATTATCATATTCAGATATTCTTGGAGTAGCAAATGATTTTCTAATATAAACAAATTCATCATTTTTGCCTGAATCATGATTTCCAAATGTCAACATAAATGGAAAATGTGAAGTAAATAAACTTATATTTCTAAGAAAATTATCTCCAACAATACAATTATCATCTTCTAAATCATATGCCATATCACCTAAATAAATGATACCATCATAAAATGTTGTTTATGTAATTTAATTTTTAAACCAATCAAAAGTTTATTTAGAAGTATTTAAATTCCAATTAGAATCCAAATCCCCCATAACAATAAATTTACTTGAATAATTTAAGGATTTAGATGGAACACTAAAATAAAATGGACCTGAAATTATTGTATTTTCCCAAAATATCACAAAAGTATATTACTTTCCTTCAATTAAACCATCAAATTAACCAAACTTTACATCATAAATATATGTTTCATAATGAATCATATTTTCTGAGTCTTTGTAAATATCTGTCATATTGAGTAATTAATAATTATTAACTTAGATATTATGGATGCTTGATACAGTAATGATCTGTACCACATAATCTAAACAAATATTTTAAGAATTAAAAGTGAGTGTCATATAGTTATTAATATCATTAAGAGCTGAATAATAATGTCCTAAAGATAATCTTATTCCGTAAGGGATACAATCACAATTAATAAATGTGATGAGTGATATTATAATTAAAATCATATAAAATTTAATTAAAAATATTCATTATTTGAAGGTCAATATTATTTAATTAGAGACTATATAATAGTATCTAATATATACAAATATCAATAATAAGAAGATAATTTATATAAATATATATATATATATAATTATTTATATGTTATTTGTTTATGATTTGGAAAAATGTGATGCTCAATTTTATGTGCTTCATTTTTATTGTGACTTCAACTATTCAAAAGTTTAAACTGGAATTAATATAAACTTTTAGTTTCCTATTTAAAATTAGTTGTAACCCAATTTTACACTGTTTTTACAATCATCGCATTTACATAATTCTGAACATTTCACCCCTGCATTATAACATTCACAATATTTTTTTTAACAATTACTTTTACGACAATTACATTTAATCTAAGCAGAAGAATTCTTCTCAACCATTTGTTCAAGTACTTTGTTTCTTTATTCAGGGTGTTTATCATCATTATGACAATTTTAACATGAACACTCGCTTCCACAATACTCACCAAAAGCCAAGCAATCGCAATACATTTTCAGACATTAACTTTTTTTACAAGTACATTATCTCTATTTCTATTGGAATGGTTTTTTAATTGTAGTTTCAGTTATAACTCTTTTCTGCTATCTTGTCGGAGTCTGGAACTAGTCATCGTTAAATATAGTGTCACAATGATTTGGTTTCATATATTAAATTTATTTATCAAAATGTAACACACAGAATCCAGAAATTATTAAACATTTTACACTCTCTCAATAACCTTCTCAAACAGAATTTCTAAAGAACATAAATAACAAAATTATTTAACTCTATAGAATAATAAATCAACCAATACAAAACTATTGTTTTTAATATAAAATCTCAAAGATTTATCTTTCCATTTTACCACATAATAATCAATATTCATTTAATCTATTAAACCAATCTCCTATTATCTATTATTATATATCAAATCCACTTTTCTAATTCATATAAAATTAATCCATCATGAGTTTGTTAAGAAGTAAAAACTCATTAAATATTCTTGGATCATTAAAAAGCTCTTATAAATACACAGACTTTGTATCTACATATCCTTTATAATATCAAAACTTATTGATTAAACTAGATTAATCAACATAGCCTCCTAATTAGCTTTGGATGATAATTTAATATTTAAGCAATAATTATTTCTGTAAATGGAATAACCATATAAATGACCCTAAAGTATTTTGTTCTATCTGTTTTTTTGTTACTGTAAGAATGACAATCTTTGTCCACAGAAGCTAATAATTAATAATATTAATTAATAAATAATAATTAATAAAGTAATTTAATAGGTTTCAGTTTTTACTAATTAAATGCTTTAATTTCTTTTATTATATCAATTATTTAACAATATATCTTACTAATCAATATCTATTCTATTCTAATTCAACTACATCAAATTTATAGAAATTTAAAGTCAGTAGCATTATTTTGAAAACTTTATATTCTTAGCTGATTATATTCTTATTTATTTCTCTTAAATAAGTTATTCTGCTTATTCCAAATTGTCTATATATTTGATTTTTTAATTTCTTACTATTAATTCCAATTTAATATTTGTTTATCTTTAATTATATATATATATTATGCATTCGAATTTAGTGAACTTATAATAATACATGATATCTAAGAGTTATTGTATTAAACTAAAATAAATTCATAAATGAAAATTCCATCTGAAATTCCTCAGCTATAGGATACTGTAGATGGTAATTCTTAAGGAAACTCCCATTCTTTAGGTGATCATGATTCAGCTTCTTTAAAAGATGAATTAAATAAAAGTTTAGATGTGGATCGCAAAAAGAGGTAGTAACTAATATTAAAGAATCCTGAATTTTAAATTAAATAGGAAATAGAAGATGAAAAACAAAATATTAAAGTTGAAACATTAATTAGAAGAGAATTGGCCAATTCTATCAATATAAAAGATCTTTGTAATTTAACAATATAATATTAGTAAAATTGAAGATTTCTTCAAAGGATCTAAAAAATCCAATACATAGCCTATTTCGTTGGATTCTTTTAATTTTTTATAAGGAAAATCCTGATTTGTATAATTGGTTGGAATTCAAAGTAGAAATTGATTATATATATAAGGAATAAATACTTGAGAAGAATAATGGTGAGGATTTAGTAAATCGTTTTGGATATCAAAATGTAATGTATATAACTAGGTTGGAAGGTGAGAAGACTAAGTTCTTATTAAATTTGAAATAAAAAATATTAGAAGAAAATGGTTAACCTGAAGTAGCAAAGAATGTATTAATTAAAATATTTGATATGGTTGAGATAGTATATAAAATTTATGAACATGCAAAAGGTATTAATCATCTTGTTGATGAATTAATAAAAGTAAATTATAATATTGATAATAAAAATAGCAAGAAGATAATATCAACTAATATAAGGTAGAAATCTAGAAAATAAATCATCATATTTAAGAAACCAAAATAAGTCTTAAAAGTTTAGAAAATAAATCTTAAAATGATGAGAACTTATCGTAGAATGATGAAATTGTAAAAGAATGATGTTATATAATTAAAATCGTTAAATTTTTTATGATAGACTATAAAATAAAGAACCTAGAGGAGAGGATTTAGTTTCAAGAATAAAATGTAGAACGTAAGATATTCAAATTGGAGGAGAGATTAAAGTAAATCAACTAGAAGTTCGATAGAATAGAATCATTAGGTGATAGATTAGAATCTCTTAACAATCTATTTGATTAGTTAAAGTCTAATTTTGATGCTAAGTTATAAGTATTTGATGATAAGATATCTCATTTGACAGGAAAGATTGGGAAACTTAAAATAGATAATACTTAACAACTATATCAAATAATTAAAAAGTCATTTGAAGAAGCCAATTAGGATTTTTCAAAGATCAAAGCTTAAGGATATAAAAAATCAGAAGCATAATTAAGACAATCAAACATAATGGATTTATAAAAGAATGATAGATTGCGTTCCATAACATAAGAAAAGAATTAAAATGAAGAAGATGTTTAAAAGAAACTTAAATGTTAAATGATGGATAAATTTCAATTTACTTTATAAACTAAATAATCAGATGATACATAAATCCTGACTGAATCAAATAAAATATCCAATAAGAAATTAGAAACATTAACATTAGAAAGTAGTAGTATTCTTGATTAAACATAATCTCATGATCCCATAAATTCAAAGCTTAAACATACAAATAGTACAATATATATAAGAGAATAATTAAAAAATCTTAGGAAATGAATTAATTTATATAATAATAATAATAATAATAATAATTATAAAAATATGTAAACTTTGATGGCTCATTAAATTTACATCAAAGGTACTTGTTATTATTATTCAGATTTCAGGTTGTAGTAGAAATATAGATACTTTAGAATTGACAAGTACATAAATTATTGAAATAATAAGATTATTTATGTTAAGCTGTGTTGAAGTTGAGAGATAGAAACAATTAATAATAAGCAATTGAATTATTAGGAACTGCAGGTGCCATACCAACCTGTATATTAATAACAGAAATCATAACAAAAAACATTTCTGGATTATCATAAATAACATCCTTTTAATAGTATTGATTTAAATTATAATCAGAGACAATATAAATAATGATTAAGAATCACTTTCAATTGGTATCAAAATTAGATTGACTTATAATCCAACAGAAGTAGAGATGAATTAACCAGGTTATTAATTGAAAAATGTAGATCTAAACAATAAAAATAATAATTGGGATGACTTGTATTAATTTATTATGATGTACTCAAATAATTTGTCAAAATATAAAAATCATGGTAAAAAATTACATATAATTTTTATTAGATTAAAAAAGATAATCATTTAATAGAAAATCCATCAATCAATTATAATCTTAAGTTCAACAACAATAAGTCATTAATCTTACAAATTAGAATAATTATGATTAAAGAACATTTGTTTATTACTCCAATCTTGAAAGAAATGATATAAATAGATCAACAATCAAAACAAGAGGGAATTCAAGAAAATGATGTTATAAAATAATTTTAAACAAATCACCTACCTTTAATTAATGTAAAAGTCTCTTACATCTCCTAACAAATTATTTGAATATCTTCGAAAGAGAAAAGAAGAATTGCAACAAGCCAGTCTCATATCTCCAATAATATCACCAAATAAGTATTAATCATAGAGTTCTATGGATTAGGCACTCTATTCCAATTAATAGGAATAGTAAACAATTAATAAATACCAAGAAGACTAGACCTAAAAGTAGTATAGATTGTAACAATCTAAGTACTATTTTAACTTAAAATACACATATGCGTTAGAACAGCAAAATCATAGATTGTAAAGAGAATTCTAGTTACTTATCTACTTCTGCCTTGAATTTACTCAAAAAAATTAAGTCTGAAAAGTTGGTTAGACCCAAAAATGATATAGTATAATACAATAAGCCAGATGTCAAAAAATAATATGAGCTATTGTTAGATTTAGCGAAAAAACCTCAGATTCTTAAATTACTTAAAGGACCTCGTTCTATTAGTAATCCTGAGATATTAGTACCCGAATATTAAATTATAAAGGCTTATGGATTATCTTAGGCTGGAATGTTGCATACAGGATAAAAAAAAATAAATCAAGATACCTACAAGTTAATACAAAAATTTTGTGGATAAGAGAATGATTGGTACTTTTAGGTTTCTGATGGTCATGGAACTTATGGACATTAGGTTGCATAATTTATTTATGAAGCTTTGCCTTAATTTGTAGAGGAAGAGTTAAAATAACTATAAAATTAATATGAAAAGAATAGATCAATACATAAAATTTTGAAATAATGTTTTTTAAGAACGAATTAAGAATTATTAAAAAGTGGTATTGATATAACCTATTCTGGTTCTACTACTATTGTTGTAATAACTTTCAATAATGAATTATATTGTGCTAACATAGGAGATAGCAGAGCAATTATTGGAAGATATAATGGCAAACTTTCTGTTGTTGAATTATCAAAAGATCATAAACCAGATTGTTTTTTAGAATAGACAAGAATATTAAGTAGAGGTGGAAGAGTATTACCTTTTTATGATGAAGATGGATAATCAATTGGACCAGCAAGAGTTTGGACTATGAATGAAAATGTTCCTGGTTTAGCTATGTCAAGAAGTTTTGGAGATTATGTTGCTAGTTAAGTTGGTGTTATTTGTGAACCTGAAATTCTTAAATATTCTTTATAAGAATCTGATAAATTTGTCATTGTTGCATCTGATGGTATTTGGGAGTATTATTTATGTTTAATTAGATTTTTATAAAATGACTTAGTTGTTTAAATTGTATATGAATTTTATAAAAAAGGAGATGTGAATGGTGCATGTGTTAAATTATTATCAATTGCAAGAGAAGCTTGGTAAAGAGAAGATGAAGTCATAGATGATATTACTTTAATTATAGGATTTTTTAAATGATGACTTTAGTAATTTATATAATTAATACTCATCCAAACTAAATTTATGATCTGCCACCTGGAGGATTTCTTACTTTAACTGATGTTTTCTAATCTTATTGTTATTATTAAACAGGAGGTTGATTGACTTGTTTTCTTCCTAAAGGTTGAGCTACTTGCTATTAAGGAGTATAATCTCCCTTGAGGTTTTAAATATGGTATGTACAAATGAAATTGATGAATTTCCTCCAGGTGCTTAATGTAATCTAACTGATGGTTTATCTAATCCATATCCTTATATGTTATTCATTTTTCAAAAGTTTTAACTGTTATTTATATTATTAATATTAAATTATGATTATATTTAGAATTTAACATAGATTTTTATTAAATATCTTATTAGGTGATTAAGGGAATATTTAATTAAAATATGTTGAATATATTTTTATGATTTTTCATTAAAAAAATATTAATAAAATTTCATAAACAAAATTAATAAAAAGGATAAAGTCCTTAAGAAAAAATCATTTTCATTTTAAAAGATATTGATTAACTTTTTATTTTCAATATAAGAATCTTCTCATCATATATGTATGGATATAAGTATTATTAGAAGGGATAGATTTAATATTACAATAAAGTACTTCTTTTCTATTCATTATTAATAGATTTAATTCATTAACTAATTAATCCTAATAATACTAAACTCATTTAATTTCTAATTATATAGTAAATTATACAATTGAGAACTAAAAAGGAATTGTAAAGGCAAATATGATTATTAATAATTTATAATATAAATGTTAAAAGGGATCAAGAATCAAGGAAATAGTTGTTTTCTCAATTCTCTTTTGATTTGTTTATCTAAAAGTCTAGTTGTTACCTAGATTTAAGATGATTTATTTCAATCATTCTTATTAGACACACTTTAATATTTAAATGAGTGTCATGATGCAAAAAACTTAGAATTGTTTTGGATTGAACTTCGAAAGAGATAACCTATGTTTTTTTCATAAAATCCATAGAATTAAGAACCATAAGATGCTTTTGAAATATTGTTATTTTTATTATCAGAGAGCAAAGTTTTAGATTCATGCTTAATAATTAATTAATCTCCTTATTGTGAAATACCTGAACATAGAAATTGTATATATATTCATTAAAGTTGGGTGAAAGATATATTATATTATATATGGGAATAAAATGTTGATATCGATAATTTAGAATTATTAGTTGATCTAAATGATAATTAATAAAGTATGAGAATGTTTAAAATGGTACCTGGTTCTTCAGAATAATTTAATTGGCATGTAGCAGATAAGATGGAATTTGATCTATTTACATATCATGTAGAAACTTAGGTTGATTAATTTTTATATAAGATTGAGTAAGATATATAAAAATATATTAGAGAATTGTTTTATAATATGTTGAACATGATATAACATAAACAGTTTAACGATCTCGATATTTGTATTTAGATTAAGAAATAACTTAACATTAATTATATTATTTACTTAGACAATAATTAGAATAAACTCATATTAATTTTGATGTTTATTGTGTAAATGGTTACATTAGTGATTAAAATGAATTTTGGGAACCAATTTCTCCACTTTACTTAGTTTTTAGAACAAAAGATTTAGATGAATTCTTATGGTGTAAATAATTGGATATTCCAAATTAAGTCTTAAATTATTAGAATATTTTTAAATAAGATAAACCTATATAAATTGTTGATTAATTGACAAATACATTAATCCTAATATTATAAAGAAATGATATAATTAAAAATACAAATCCTTATTTTATTAGATAGGAATTAAAAGTTAAAGTATTAAAAATTAGAGTAATATATATAGACAAATTGTTATGATTTAATGGGTATCTGTTGTCATTTAGGAGATGCTAAAGGAGGCCATTATGTAAGTTATGTTAAGAATATGAATATGTGGTAAATGTGGGATGATGAAAGAGTTGAAATGCGTAACATAGACTTTTAATGTATGTAGACAGCCTATATTCTATTTTATAAATTGAGATGATAAAAGTACATAAATTTTAATATATTATTAAAATTAAATATGATTCTAAAAATATAACCTGCTCAATTTTTGTTCATATGATTAATTATAATGTTAATTAATATATGAATCTCAGCTGTAGTGAAATGTATCATAGAATATTACAAAATCCTCTAATACTTTCTTTATAGATTATATATTGGATATCGATTTGAGGTACTAATGATTTAAAATATATATATATAGAGTTAAATAGTAAAATAATTACAATTTGTCACACAGAATCATCTCTATCATCACTAAATTCACTATATCAACAATAAATATATATTCAATGTAATAAAATAAACAATCCTCAAATGATAGATCTTAAATGGTATAATGATATCTAATTATCATATTTAAGACTACATCTATAGTATTAGTGACAGAAATACTAAATATATATTATAATATCAAACATATCTATTAATAGTAATAATTAAATACTTTTATGTTTTGAGAACAAATAATAATTTAAATTAAAGATGATTCTTGCCTCAATTCTTTTGATATGTGTAATTGATTCAATCATGGCCCAAAGAACTTATTGTCAATTGCCAGATCCTATTTTTAATGATGGCGTTAAAAATTCAACTTGGGGTGATGCAGATCCTTCTGATTGGAATTATATGAACGCAAATGACTGGAAAAGTACTTTATTTTTGTTAAGAGTGTAGCCAAAGTTGTTACATGTGGTGCTAGCTTTTAATCTCCCATAAACATTGTAACGTCTACAGCCACCAAAGAAACTACATTCCCAGCTATTAATTATATACTGAAGTCTTCAACCAAAAATTATTTCGAAGCTCAACGTATATCACTTAAAATATCTATTCAGGGGATTATACAAAAGAATTAGAAGGAGAGTACGATTTCATCACTGCATTTGATTTATCCAATTTTTAATACAAATACTATGCTAGACAGTTTCATATCCATACACCTTCTGAACATTAGGTAGATGGTAAAAATTATGATTTAGAAGTTCATTTTGTGCATCAAGTATAATTTCAATATTATTAGGCTGTTGAAGATGGTGAATAGAGTTGTAATGACATTAGAAATAAATTGACCGTCTTTGGACTACTCTTCCAATAGTCCAATACTGCTACCGAATATGAAGTATTCAAGCCATGGTTTGATGACACCATAAATAGAGTTACATCTTTTGATATGAAGTAATCACTCCCTATAAACAAGTGACTTCTTCCAAAAAATGACTGACAAAACCTATTATCATTATACAGGCAGTCTCACTACTATGTATATTCTTAAAAACTAAAAATAGACCTTGTTCTTAAACCGTAAATTGGTATGTTTTTACATCCCCATTGCCTATCTCTAAATCATAATTCAAGCAATTCTAGGATTTCCTTGACAATGATGATTACTTCCCCGAAAAATCCAACAATCGTCCTGTCCAAAATCTTAATGGACGTACATTATACAAAGGAGTAATATTATTAATCTATTTTTAGACTGCTTCATTTAATGGAGTGACATCCCTTCCTGTTATTGAAGCCTCATGGACCACAATCATCCAAATGTCTTTGCTATTATTCATCTAATTGATAATGATAATATGAGATGAAAATCTATAAAATGATCTATAATTTCAAATGTATAATTTAAATATATCAAATAATGAATCAAAGATATACTAAATTATTAGATATCAGTAAAGTTAATAGAGATTTATAATCTTATTTTATTAGAATTAGTTAAATTATTGATATTAGTTAAAATAATTATTATAATTCTTAATCTAACATTATAATTCTTATTTACTTGTTATTGTAATTTAGAAATCTTTTTATATCATAATGGTCTAATGTACCAAATAAATTAAACAATTTCATAAATTATATAAATAAATATAAATCAAAAGAAGACTATCAAATAAAGACAACAGAATCTACAACCCTTTTTCTTTTTTACTTTTAGGAATATAATTGAAAATATTAAAAAATCATCATCTAAATAATTAGAATTAAAATATAATATAATCATTTACTTATGGCAAATATAGACCAATCATTTATTGGATATCTATTATTTAAATCTTAAAATGCTTAAACAATCTTTATATAGATATTATTTATCAAAATAAACATACTAGATTTAAGGATTCTATTTTGAATAATATTATAGATGGAATTAGATTGTAGATAATTAAAAATAATATAAAGTTTTTATGTATTAATTGATCAATTTTAAACTGTTTTTATAAAACCTATCTTTCTAGGTGACTAATATTAATGAATTATGTATACTTCTTAAATGAAATGAGTGTAATATTCTCTTATGAATAGATCCCCTAAAATTGAAACTCTTTGATCAAAAGGTGCTATCATTAAATAGCATTAAAAAAATGAACATAATAGATACTTTTCAGGTGGAATTGTGAATAACTTACCACATAAAGAAACTAATAGTTTAATAATAAAATACATACTTTCAAAGTTGGGATATTCATCTATATTTGCTTAATCACATTCAGTTATTCCTTAGTATTGAATACTATCATAGCATTCAATTCCAAAGTCTTTTAAGTATTCAACTAATCTCTAATGATCCTTTTCATATAAAACTATTAATGAAGTTCCTGAATCTATGACAAAAAGAGATGTAAATAAAATATCACTTTTTTCATCTAAAGTATTATGAATAGGCTAAATAGATTTTAATGATCTTCTTTTTTTACCATCTTTAGATACAAATGATACATGATCTCCTTATATAGCCCAATACCTATTGTTTATTACATCACAATAATGCCATTAATCATTGTGATCTCCTAGATTATCCAATTTTCCACCTAATATTAATTTAGATTAACTATTTTGTTTAATATATTCATCTGTCAAATAAATAGAAAATTCCTAATTTAGATTATTAAATAACCTTTTTTTCAATTTAATTTTAAGTAAATAGATTATCTATAAGTGTTGGATATCCATCACTCAGAGTATCAAAACCAAGTCCTGCTAAACCATCTCCTTCAAACTTTTTTAATTCTGTTAATTCATCTAAAATTAACATAGTTTAATTTTGAATTAGAAAAGATGCTATTTTTAAATTTTCAATCATAAATTATGCTTCAGCTTTACCAGTACCATATTATAATTTTATTTTCTTATTTAAATAATTACAACTGTTTGATGCTTCACAATCAAAAAAGTGTTTAACTCCAGCTTTTTTGCAAGTATGACAATCACTAGAAGCTACCCATCTAAATTATATTATAATGATTTTACGTATATGAAGAGCCTGTATCAAATAAAACTTCAAAATGTTATTCTGGCTATCCTAACTCTATTTGACCAAAATATTAAGCATTGTATGAATTCCTAATTGTAAGGATATTTTATATTTCTTACCTTAAAGGAATATATGCAATCTAAAATGCATATTAAAGTCTGTCTAGATGATCTAATAACAAATTCTAATTTTTTATAAATTCTTATTCTTCACTACTTAACTTAAATGATATTTTTATATCAGAATCTAGAGTTTATTTAATGGCATCTTAAACTCTTTAACCTTTTTAGATCAATGGTATATGCATTAAGTTTGATTTTCTTAATCTAATTTTTCTAGAGAAGATAAAAGAGATAAGAATAGCAAATAGTATTACTTTAATATGCATATCAATTATAATAATAAAAATTCGAAATTTTTAATAGTGATGATTATGATGAATAATAATACAAGGATTGTAACAAGTTGAGTTTTTCTCATGATTGTTAATGTGTTACTTAATAGATTCAATATTTTGGTTGATTTTTTTTAAGTTTTTATACTTTATTATGAAAATACTTTATTCACAATTCAAAAGTATTTGTGAGCTCAATCAAATAGTTCAACTTCTTGAATAAAGGCTTCAGAATCAAAAGATGAGATAAGATTTTCAAGTTCCTTAAATTTTTCATCTCTTGTCATTGGATTATGAGGCCTTTCATGATATAAGGATTCAAATGTTTAAAGTCTATTAGTATAAGTAATGATTAGATACAAAACTTTTTAAGGACTTTACGAATGAGCTAATAAAAATGGCTCTTTTGAAGTGCTATCCCAAAAAATGTTAGAATTTGAACCTTATTTACTAGAACGAGATGCACTATATTAAAGTCTTAATGGTATTGGTGTGTATATGATGGAAGAGTTGTGGGATTTAGGTGTTTTCTAATTAGACATATTATATTTAATTTTAATGAATAGGAATGAGATTAATATTAGATACCTCTAATATATTTATTAATGTAGAGATTGAATCTAACTAATACATCTTGATCTTGTCTTGAACTCTTAAAATCTATCTATCAAAATATTTTATTATGATTATTTAAAATATTTTATATAATGATTTAATTGGAGATATATTTGAAACTTTGATTGACATCAAAAATCTATTTAATTTTACTTAAATGATCTACATTATATATATCCAAAAGTCATTTATAGAATATATTTATTAGATTTGAGATTCTAGAACTTCTAAGTATTCAAATAAAATATATTAAAAGGTTGTTAATTTCATAATCTCATTCAGAATAAGTAAATTTCTATAAGAATCCCTATAACTTCTAAACATATAATAAAAAATAATATTAAAAATAAAAACAAATTATTCTCATCTGGTAAACAAAGTTGTCAGAATTGATTTTTTAATTAATTAATGGGATCTTGTCAACATTTGTGCAGATAATAACATACTTTAGAATAGGAAATCACAATTCAATAAAAACATAAATAAAGGAAAGAATCTGATAAGAATTCAAAGACTAATAATTTATGTTCTTAAAAAGGAGTATTAGATGATCTTGTTGGAGAAGAATTCAAGTCACCTAAAGAAATTAAGTAATTTACTAAAAGAATTTAAAATTTTGAAATATCTGGAGACAGAAAAAACAGATTTATGCATGATATTGAAGAAGAGATAAAGTATATCATTTAAAAAAAGTATGTTATCAATTATAATCTAGTATTTAAGAAGAATAAGAAAATTTGAAACGTATTCAATAAATTTATGAATAAGAACTTGAACTTTAAAGGAAAGAATAAATTAAGAAATAAAAAGAATAATTAGATAACTAATTTTCATTTTAAAATTCCATTATTTAATCAAATGACTAATAAAGTGCAAATCCCTTCTAACCTAAATCAACATCCTAATTTGCTCCTAAAAGAAATGATAATGATACAGTTTCTTAAAAATCTTAAATCTCCAAAACTCCAACTCCTCCTTATAAAGATAAATCTATTTCATCCTAATCTGATATTATGAGAAAAAGTGCTTTAATGAAAATAGTTTAAGTAAGAGAAGAATTAGCCAGTAATAATGCAAGTAAAGGATCTTCCAAAAAAAAAATGATGCTTGATGCTTATGAAAAAATGTTTAGTGAATTCTTTTCAGCAGATGAAAAAGGATCAAGTAGTTATAGTAAAACTTAAAAGAGTCATAAAAGTATATTAAAAAATAGATCTTTAACACATCGTAGTTTCTCAGGTAGTAAATCAATTAAATCTACTCATACAGCTGTTAGAAAATCAAAAAAAGTAAGATTTTCTAGAGATACAAATTTCAGTTATGAAAGAAAAGGAATTGAAAAGAAAAAGAAAAATTTTTGGGATTGGTGAATATATATGAAAAGACTTTGATTAATGCTTACTTATTTAAAATATTTAAACATTTAATCTAAGAAGCAATTTTGAATTTTAAAGAATTGATTATTCTAAAGGATAATTAATATTTAAATATTTTGAAATGAGTGTTTATCATAATAAGAAAATATAATAAACTATTGTGATTATGTAATTTTCAAATAATCATTTTTTGATTATAATTATATTGAATAATATTTATAATTAATGCATTAAATTGAATCAAATAATTTCACTTTGAATTTTGAATGTTTGCAATAGGTTTTGAGTTATATTCCTATTAATTAAAGACTTTAAATGAGAGAATTAAATACACTTTTTGATTAAGCTGTTTGTTCAACATTAATCCCTTTACCTATGAATAAAATTTAAGATGATCTATTTAAACCAAAAGAAGTGAATAATTTATTATCTAAATTCATCAAACCATAAGAAATTATATTTCCAAGCATAAATATAAGAGAATTATAAGAACTTGTGGTTCCAAAAGATCTATCAGAATTGACAAAATTTGATTCGTATTAAATTACTGACATCCCATTAGAATATATTGAAAAAATAGTTGCTTAATCATCTAAATTAAAATCATTTGGTTATAAAAATAAAAAAAATGATAATTTGAACAATATCATATAATCATTATCAAAATTAGAAATTTAGGAATTTAAATTTGGAGAGTGGAATGATTAAGTTAAAGATATGATAATTCAATAAGCAGATCATTTAAAAAGCATTACAATTGAAAAAGGGAATGATGAAATACTTAAAGACTTGATTTCTTTATATAATAAAATGAAAGAATCAGCTGCTAGTAATGATGAGATTAAATTTGAGTAGAATGAGGTTTCGAAAAAATTAAATCTTTAAGAGATAAAGTTTACCTAATTTGAAAGTTCATCTAATTAATAGTAGAGTCTTTAAATTTTTGAAGAATTACTTAATTAATATAACTTGAAGGTTTTTCATTTTGGTATAATTGAAGGAGATTATTAGGAATAATTTATATTATTAAAAGAAAACTTTTTCTAATATCTTAAAGGTATTTATTGTTTTATTATTAAATGATAGGGATTCAAGAGTTGTAATTTGGATTTAAGGATTAAAATTTATTAATGAAAGTAAATCTTAAGAAAATTGAATGTTTAAAATTATCTGGATTTAATTTTAAGAAGGATAATTTTTAATGGTTAATGAAATAAGCAAGATTGTTTAATAGGATTGATCTTAGGGAATGTAATTTTAATTTTGCATTTACTGATAGCCTTGAGAAAGTGGAATAAAATGAAAATATTGTTGATGTTTATGTAAAAAGAAATATAATAATTTAATAGGTTAATACAAAAATAACTGATTAATGTTCTTGTCAATTAGCTTAATTTTAATACAATAATATTTGGATTAATTTTATATTTCCATTTTTGTATGATTTGGATGAAGAGTTTGAACTTTAGAAACAAAATAAATGATGAATTATAATATGTTATTATTTTATATTAGAAAAATAAGGATGAATTAATGGAGCTAGATAGCTACCTAATTTAAATAAAATATTAAATTATTTGATCGAATAGATGAATCTGAGTTATGCAAAGAATCAAGTTTTGAGATTAATTATTAGATGAGAAATATAAAATACAAAAAAGAAAGACCTATTGAACCAGATTAACCAGATCCAGATGAATGTTGTGGTTCAGGTTGTTAACGTTGTGTTTTAGAAGTTTATTATGAGAAATTAGAGTAATATGAAAAAGACTTAATGGAATGGTTAGCAGAGTAAGATGAAAATGAAGATGATGGAAAAAATGAATAAAGTTGAATTATTGTGATTTGCATTAATGATGATTATATGTATTATGACGAATTAATTTTTTTTGAATGAGTTATTGTTGAGTTTATATCACAAATATTTCTAGATATCTAGTAATTTAGTTAAAATAACTTACAAATAGAATGAGAAAAAGATTAGGTGCAATACATTCAGATTCAACTGAAGAATACATTCAATTAGCATAAACTGCTTGGAACAAAGATCTTTTTTATTATGAGGGTAATTCTAAGAAACAAACATAAAACATAGGGAACTTTGATTTTGATGAGAGGGAAACAAATGTATTAATATAATCTAATAATATAGAATACAGAAATAGAAGAGGAAATATAGGCATAGATATAATAGATGGAAGCATAAAATGTTAAAATACTTGTAATGAATATTGAGAATGAAGCCTAATATATCTTTGATTATTGTGGTTAAGAATATCATCAAAAGAAGGATTTTGATTATATTTCAAAGATTGAAATCAATAAAAACAAATAAATCACTTACCATTTTTGGATGAACAATCTAAACTCAACTAAATTCACTGATATTATTGATGGTAAAATTTATAAATTTATTTTTTTTAGTATATGTAAAAAATTGTGATGTAGTGATATATGTTTACAATAAATTAATGGAAGAACATTATCAAGAATTTGTCTAAAAGATATCCAAAATAAATAATAAGAACTTTATTATTTACAAAGTTAAGAATATTATGAATAGAACTCAAGTATTTTTTATTATAAATTTTATAGAGTTATAACACATTAAATGATTAGAATAAAGAGAATGTTATTTCTGTTAAAAGCTTATAAGAAGCCATCTCTAAAACTATTAACTAATATATTTGATTATAAACTTATATTTATTTTTGAGTACTACAATTTTTGAATAAATTTAATATCAGAGTTATCTTGATTATGCATCATTGAATGTGACATTTTCTATTTATTTTATTTCATTTTAATTTTATGATGTAAAACGGATTAATTATTATATGAAATTATTATTGTTTGTGTTATTCGTATATACATATGCGACAAGTGCACAATATAGATAAGCTATGGAAGATGTATATATTAAACTATTCAATAGCTTAATGATGATAACTTTGGTTAAACACTTTTAGAAACAATTTAAATGCATATCTAATCTGATGAACCTGTAGGTAATTTAGTCAACATGTTATAAAATCTACAATCATAAGTAGAAAAAGTGTAAACTAAATCTGAAGAATAACACAAGAGAATTTCTACTAATTGCTACATCAACTTAGGTTAATTGAATGATCAAATCGATAATTATAAAATTAAATCTGTGACTTTAAAATCATATATTGAAACTCTTAATCCTAATGTCAAATAGAGTGTTGCAATGGTTGAAAGAAAATAAAAAGAAATAGTATTTTTACATATAATAAAGATAGGATGACTATAAATAAGAATTGAAATAAGCAGCACAAAAAAGAGAAAAGGAACATGAAACCTATAATAATATTTTAGATAACCTTGAGTAAGCCTTATTTGGTTTCCATCAAATAAAATAAGCATTTAATCAATTTATTGATTCTGTATAAAAAGGATAACGTAAATTTGAGTCATTTGTTGAAATGAAGTAAATTTTAAAGTAAGTTAAACACACTTACAAACTTGAAGGATATAAACATTTTGTGTAATTACTTTAGTCTCTATCAAAATAAACAAGTGAAGAAGTATTATATTTCATATATATTAGGAAGCATTAAAATTAGCTATTCAATTAAGTACAATTCTCAAATAAATTGAATCATACATTTAAACTGAAAGAACAAGAGAAGATCAAGCAGATTTATCAAGAGAAACAGCTTATAATGATTATAAAGCTCAAATAGCTGATTTGTTGAATGAAGCTTCAAAATCTCTTACTGAAATGACAGGTATTATTTATGAATAAATGAGGAATTTTGGATAGTTAGTCAAATGAATTGAAATAGAGTGAAAATGAAAAGAAGGAAGTTGATGTTAGATTACAAAATAAAATGAAAGAATTTGACAATATTCAAGCAGAATGTTCAATTCTAGATTAAGAATATTAGTAATCAACTAAATAAAGAAATTAATAAACTAAATTACTTGATTAAGCAATATTATTAACAACAACTTCACTAGGATAATTGAAAAATGATTTATTAAAGCATGCTGAAGTTTATTGAATGTATTCAAACCATGAAAATTTAAACATTATTATTCTACATTAATTATTTTCTTCTTTTACATTATTATCATTAACTTATATTATATTAATAAATATAAAAAAATAAAATGTCTAAAATTGACGAATAGCAAATCATCAAAAATACAAAAAGTATGTAGAAAATGTAAGAAATTGCAGATCGCATTTATGCTACTACTGGTGATTTAACTAAAAGTATAAGCATTGCAATATATAGCAATTAGTTCTGATAGTATATTGAAACCGTCTAAATTGACATAAGAATAATTATTATTATAAGCTAAGAAGATGGAAAATATGTAGGATAGTAAGTAGAAGAAGAGTAAAGGATAATAATCTACTTCAGCCAATAAAAATGAATTAAATTCAATTGAATGGTTGAATAAATTATAAGAAATATAATAATAACACAATGAAGATAAGAAAAAACTTAGAGAAGAACTTATAGCAAGATATGTTTAAAGGGAAATGGAATTTAAGAAAACTATTGATGAATTGCAATAAGAATTAAGATCTAGAACTGCTTTGGATTAAACTGATAAAAAGATTATGGAATTGATTTATAAAGATCATGGTAAAATTATAGAAGGAATTAATAACATTTAATTGAGAACTTCTAAAATTTTAGTAGATTAAGAAAGAGATATTATTAGATTTTTTAATAATAAAATTAATGAAATAAAGAAATAATTTTAGGAAGAAAGAGAGAAAAAAGGTTAGAATGATAAAGAGTATCTTTTAAAGGAGAACTAATTAATTAGTGAATTAGAATGGATAAAGAAGATTGCTTAGAAAATTGATGATGAAAATCATTAATTGATGTAGAAATATAAAGAATTAAAAGTTGAATATTAAACTTAAGAAAGAGATAGAGATATGTTAATGAAAGAATTAATAATAAAGAAAAAGGAAAATGCAATACTCAAATCATAAATTTAATAATATGAAAAGTTATTAAATGATGTTCAAAAAGAAGATGATTAAGAATCTTATTAAGATTAAATTTTAGATAAATCTGGAATTAAAAATCAAAAAACTGACAAATCTAAATAATCATCATCTTAATAACAAGTGAGATTTCCTTAAATAATAAATTCACAAGTTTCATAAAGTGTTGATGAAATATAGAAAGCTAAGTATAATATATATTTTAAAGAAAATAGATTTTAGAATATAATTAAAACATATCAGGATACATTAAAGAAAGAATAAAAAAGACTGAGAGATATCAAATAACTTTACACTAAAGAATTAGCTGCTAAAACAGAATTATATAATATTTTAAGATAATGCATTGAAGATATAAAGGAAGAGATAATTTAAGTTAGGAGTGATGAGAGAACTTTAAAAAAAAATAAAAGTAATTTATAATTATATTTAGATTTAAGTAATGAAGAAGTAAAAATGGAGAAGGAAGATAGAGAAAAATTGATTGAAAATTTACTAAAACATGAAAGAGTCATTGAAGTTATAAGTGATAAGATATTTTATGATAAGAAAAATTATGATGAAACCCTTTTGCAATAATAATATGAAGAAACAAATTACAATGATGAATAATATTGAATATTTTAATTATATTTTAATTATCATATTAGTCGTTTCTAAAATGCTTCAATCAAACAATTACTAATAGGTGTATTGCATTTCTATCTTACACATCTATATAATAATCGAGTGTTATCATTATCTACTAAACAATTATAGAATTGTCCTAATGCATAAGGCATTTCTTAAAACCTCTAATAAATATTAACACATTAAGTCAAATGCTTTTCACAAGTATCATTTGCTATGCAAGTCCTCCATTCATCTGGACACTTATAAAAAACACAATTATTATCTGGATCTGTTGGTTTTTGTAATGCTATTATAGCAAAAACAAATGTCAAAAACAATTTCATATAAATGTAAATCAATATAAAATATATACACACAATTAATTAAAAAACAAAGAGTAAATTCAAATTGAAATTGTGATTTATGAGACCTACAAATGCTCTTCTTTAGCATATTTTCTCTTCACAGCTGGATACAAAATATTGTTTTAATTGTTGTAGTAAAGCTACAATAAATATGTGGCACAATATTTTGATTCATCTGTGATTTCCATATCAGATTATATTCCTAAAATTTTATTAGACAAGAGTAATGCAGACTAAGCTAGTTATGAAGGCATATATTAAAGACTTTCATAACTATGTAAGGCAATCTCGAGTATGTAGGATGATAATTGAAATTGTTAGGTTTGAAATACTTTATTGTCTTCAATTTAAGTGTTTTCAATTACAGTAAATTCTAAAAATCTTAGAGGACTTATGTAGTTTAGTGAAAAATTAACAGTATTTAAAATCTACCCTTCCATTTAGAGTATCTCTTCCTTTGTGTAGGCTTTGTCACAAACATATACAAAATCTTTAATATTTGGAGGGTAGATTTCTTCAAATTTTGATGAAATGAAGAGAGATGCAACTCCAACCAATTAGAGTTTGTTTCTCTTTACAATATTAACACTTAGGTATCTATCTATAAGGTTGATGGCTAAATATAAACTATTTGGAGACTAGAGAATATTAAATGTAACAAAATACAAGTTTGAATTTCATATGAACTTCTTCAATCCAGTCGATAAGGATGGACCTCATTTTTTAATTAATATCTTTTTAGGTTTGTTCCATAAAGCAAGAGTTAGGTAAGTAATTACTCTAAATGAATAGATTAATTGATTTACTTATTCTTCTAAAATATATCGAAATATATCCTTTCTATAATTGCTAATGAATTGTGGATTGCTTAATTCTTCATCCATTCTACTACTGCTAAGACATGATTCATTATATTCTTCATCCATTGTACTTCCTGATCCACATGTTGATGTTCGTTAATGTTTTGGGATTTTTTCGAATGTTACAGATTTCGAGTTTCTTCTTAAGGAATTATAAAAAGTATTGTTGTTTTAATCTTCTATTTAGGTAAGAGAGGCAATCATTGCAATTAATTTAAATTCGAATTATTGTTTTTATTTATTAATTTTGTTATTTCTTCAAATATTGGGGAAATGCCCAATTTGAATTTGAATTTCAAATTATGTTTTAATAACAGTTATTAAATGCTTTCCTATTTCTCGCGCATATTCACTTTAATATCCAATCATAATCTAAACATATAGATATTCTTTAAATGATTCTTTCAATTTTCAAGTACTTTTTTTTATAAATACAAACCAAAGCAACATAAAAAGTATTTAAAAATTGAGAATCATATATTATTCATACCATATACAAAAATCAACTGATTATAGTAAGATCATCAATTTGAACTTAATCCCAAAAATGTATTAATAAATTGTTCATTAATTGAACTTCACAGCACACGTAATAAAGAATAATTAAATCAAACTAATTTTTTATTTATCATAAGATCGTGGAGTATACAATTAATTATTCATATTTTTATTTAATAATTATTATTTACTATTCCTCTCTAAATGACTTTATCCATATTGAGAAACATTTATCAGTTTCATTTTATTCCCAAATTACTGTTTGGTGATCCATATTGCGCAAAAACCAATATGAATGTAACATAATAAATTAGGACTTATAAGATAGAGATTTAAAATAAAGGATGCTCATTAGAACAAAGTTATGAGATACTCTGAAACAATATATAGTAATAAACATTGTATTTGATGGAATTTATATTATGAAAAATAAAAATTATTAAGGGGGTCTAAAAGATTAATAATGAAATGTCTTTGTAATATATATTATAAGATTTAGAAAATTCAAATGACATCATATTTATTTAATTACACATTATTTATATCTAATTATTTAAGAATTAAATCCAAACATCTTTGAATTAACCGATTTTTAAAAAATATCATATATTTTTGGATATGTCTATTTCAGAAGTCCACAATAAACTTAATTTCTCAAATTATCTGAACTAACAAACAACATTAACAGTCTATCTAGGTGTAAAGGAAATTGAAATTGACCAGATATAATAGTTAACAGCATTTGTCTATAAACTTTCTTTCAAGTATTTTTATAATTGATATTTAAAGGAACTCAAAGAGATAACTAACTTTGCATACTAAATCTAGCTTCTCTCCAGTCTCTGTATATATATATAATATATTTTAATAGGGTAATCAATTAGAGAAAGATTATACACTTTCATAAAAATTATCTTCTGCGAACATGCCAGTCCCCAAAACCTTGTTTTACTGTAGAGATTAATCTATTCTTGGAGTTCCTTTTTATGCTACAGAATATGTTGAAGGACGAATTTTTACCAATGAATAATTACTAAATATTTCACAAGCTGAAAAAAGATTATTGTTTTAAGGAGTTTCTAAAGCCTTAGCTCATTTACATTCAATTAGCTTTAATTATCTTGGGCTTGGAGAGGTGGAATAATAAACTAATCATTACCAAACTTTAAATAAAAAATTACATAACTTATATAAATTACATGAAACCAATTTATCAACAAATGTAGAAGATTTATTGTATTGGTTATCATTAAATACCCCAGTAAATTCTGAATTGGATAATCTTTGTTTAATACATGGTGATTTTTCACTCTCTAAAGTTGTATTCCATCCAACTGAACCAACAGTTTTGGCTATCTTAGATTGGCAATAAGCATAAATAGGAAATGCTTTTATTGATTTGGCAAATTTTATTTTACCATACTATATACCTTATTCAAATGGATAACATTAAATTGATGGATGGTTTGGTGTTGAAGAAATAATGGGTTAACCTAATCTCCAAGATGTATTATCAACTTATTTTACAACAAAATCAAGTTAAACCATTCCAGATATCAGATATTAAGTTATTATGTCAATTTTGAAATCATCAATTGATTAACAGATACTCTATAAATAAACCAAACATGAGAAATATTATTAGAATTCTCTTTTTTTAGCCAAAGCTGGTAATGACATAATAATGGAATTGACAGAAGGAGATCCTTTTGGTGTCAAAATGAGAGCTACAAATGATGCTTAAATATGGTCAAATTGGCCTGTTTCAGAAAGATGCAAAAGTTATTATTATAGAATTAAGGATTTCTTGAGAGATGAGGTTTTTCCAGTAGAAAAAGCCATCTTAGATAAAGCTAGAGAAGTTCCAAAATCTCTACCAAATAAAACAATTACAGAAATAGAAGAACTTTAAAGAAAAGCAAAGTCAATAGGATTATGGAATTTATTTATCTAAGATCCTATGTATGGTAAAGGATTATCTTAATTGGAATATGTATTCATATCAGAAATTATAGGATTAAGTTATATAGGTCATGAAGTATTTAATTGTTTAGCACCTGATACAGGAAATATTAGATTATTAATTGCTTATGGAACATAAAATTAAAAGGAGAAATATTTGAAACCATTATTAGAAGGTAAATGCAAATCATTTTTTGCTATTACTGAGAAAGATTTATCATCTACAGATTAACATAATATCCAATTAACTATCACTTCTACAGAAGAAGGATTTATTTTAAATGGGGTAAAATGGTTTGTTTAAAATGCTGCTGATGAAAGAGCAATCTTTGGTATTGTAGTTGGTTAATCATCTCAGTATACAAATAATCCTAATGAAACATAATCTATGATTCTTGTTGATATGAATAATCCTAAAATATAATTAACTAGATAATTCTCTTCTCAAAATTTCTATGATTTACCTCACAGTTATTCTGAGATTGAATTCAATAATGCTTTTATTCCAAAAGAAAATCTATTAGGACCATTTGGAGGAGCATTAAAGATGATTGAAGATAGATTATTAGAGGAAAGATTAAATCATTGTGTTAGACTTAATGGATTAACTAGGAGAAGTTTAGATTTAATATTGTCTAGATCTGAGAAAAGAATAATTTTCAAAGAAAAATTAAAAGATAATGCTGCTTTCTAAGAGAAATTAGGAGATTTAGAAATTTCATACTAATCTTGCAGATTATTAACTTTAAATGCTGGATTATTATTGGATTCTGTTGGAAATAAACATTTAAATGCATATTTGGCTGTTAGTGAATGTAAAGCTCACATTCCAAAGGCTAGTCAATATATTTTAGATTCATGTATGCAAATATTTGGAGCTGAAGGAGTAACTGAAGAACAACCATTAAGCCTTATATTCCGTTTTGCCAGAGCACTTAGATTCATTGAAGGACCATGTGAAGTGTATCTTAGACAAATCTCAAGATTTGTATATGGAAATCACATGTTTAATGATTTAAATAATGCTTAAGGATATGGATTAGCAAAGTTATGATTTATTTAGTATTTAACAAATAAAATCTGACCATATAAATTAATTTATGGATTCTTATCTAATTTATTATATGATCATTTTAGTATTTACAAATAATAAATAGTACAAACTGAGTATTTTATATTAAGCTATTTCCCTTAAATAATTTATTTAAATCTTTATTTTCGATGAGCACAGCACTTGCTAAACCTAAAAAATTAAAACTCACAGATTATGAAGTCTTTCAAACCTTGGGTACTGGTAATGATTAATTGAAATGCTGAATTTTAGGTTCATTTGGAAGAGTGAAACTGGCAAGGAATAAACAAACTAACAAATATGTTGCCTTGAAAAGTTTAAAAAAGGCTGAGATCATAAGACTTAAGCAAGTTGATCATGTGATTAATGAAAATACCATATTAGGAAATTTACAGCATCCATTTATTGTATAATCTATGATCATTCTTAGGTAACTTTTGAAGGCTTCTGCTAAGATCCAAGATATCTCTATTTAGTCTTAGAATTCGTATCTGGAGGAGAGTTGTTCACTTACTTAAGAAGTATTGGAAGACTCGATACTTCACATGCAGCGTAATATTTTCAACAATTCTTAGCTTTTATGGTGCCTAAGTTGCTTCTATGTTTGAGTATCTACATTCCAAGAACATCATCTATAGAGATCTTAAACCAGAGAACTTATTGATTGCAGATGATGGATATCTCAAATTAACAGATTTTGGTTTCGCTAAGGTTGTAGAGGGAAGAACTTATACATTGTGTGGAACACCAGAATATTTAGCTCCTGAAATTTTATTAAATAAAGGACATGGAAAGGCTGTTGATTGGTGGACTTTGGGAATTTTAATTTATGAAATGAATGCTGGAATTGATCCCTTCTCAGATGAAGATCCCATGGCCATTTATCAAAAGATCTTGAAGGGCAAAGTTAAATTCCCAAAAAGTTTTGATAAGTATTTATAAAATATTAAATCAAAAGGAATGCAAAATCTTTAGTCAAGCATTTACTTGTGGCTGATCTTTCTAAAAGATATGGAAATTTAAAAAATGGTAATACTCTCATTTCTAATTTAAGGTGCTGCTGATGTTAAAAATCATAGATGGTTTGCAAGTCTAGATTGGAATCTCCTTACTTAAAAGAAATTACCTGTTCCATATAAGCCAGTTGTGAAGTAAAGACCTTATTCTCATTAATTTTATTAGAGCTCCAAATGACACCTCCAATTTTTCATCATATCCAGAATCCGATACCTAAAGCCCTGCTCTTAAACCAGCAGACGATCCCTTCTTAGAATGGTGATTAATAGAGCATTATTCATTATAATAAATTCAACTATGTATTCTCAATATATAAACTATATTATAATTATTAATGAGATGTCAACAAATTTAAAATGTATTAGGAATAACTATAATCTGGCCAAATAAAAATATTTATATATAAGTTGATAAAGTCATAAAGTAATTATATAAATTATAAAGATTATTTTTATATATATGTATATTTTATATGATAAATTTAAATAATTATTTTAATAATAAGGTTTGTTAATAAAAATAATGATTAATTATACTTCATCAATTAATATGATTTTATTTTCATATCATATAATATTATTTTCTTCTTCCTCATCTTATTCTAAAATTTTTATGCATTATTTTTGAGAAATATTGGTTAATTTATTCTTAACTTTTATTCCAGCTTACAATTTTTACCATTTAATTTTTAACATCTCTCTATTTCTATCTAACATCAATTACTATACTATTTATTCATTCTATTTCACTTATTAATATTCTCTAAATAATTTTTGAACATTCATTAATTAATCTTATATTTAATGACCCATTTTCAATTCTATTTATAAATTGAGTATTGATTCTAAATGATATCTAATTTCTTATAAATATCTCATTGTTTATGAATTTTATCTAGTTCTCAATAGTTCGCTTAATAATATTTAATAATAAATACTCTTATAGCTTATAAGATTATATCAATTGATTCTTCCAGTTTTAATCATAATTGATACATTTTAAGAAAGAAGATGGTAATTAATAGTGTTAAATGAATCGTAAAATAATTGGATTAGATATAATCTCTTCCTTAGAATTCTATTTAATTATTTGTCTATATTTAATATAAAAGTATAAAATCTTTTATCCATTAACTTTTAATTATTCTGCTAATGAGAGATGTAAATTCCAATTATCTAAACATTCTTGATAAATTTTGATATCTTGATTATCGTTTTAATTGTTTTAGATCACTTATATAGATATTAATTTTTCTTCTGAATAACCTGTATTTATTAATGATTGTGAAATTAATTTTGATCTTCTCGTTTGTACACTTTAATTTAATAATGATAAAATATTCTTTAATTAAGGTTTTACATTTTATGGAGCTAATATGGTTTGAATTATAATCTACAATTCCTAAGAAATTGTGGATAAATTTAATATTATAACTATTAATAATAAATATCCACTTTAATCATAATAAGGAGAATTACAAGATTGAATATAATTATATAAGCAATTAAAATACTCCATCAATATTTCAGTATTCTTTTGTGGAAATTAAGTATTTTATGTCAAAGTATTGTCATTAGAAATATCCTAATTTAAATAATCTAAGTAATAATCAGGAATAACTATTGTTGTAATAAATTTTTATGCCAATATTAATTTGAGTCCAATTCGGATTAAATGATCATTCCATTCATCTAGATATAAATTGTATTCACACTAATAGCAATAATCCAAAAAACATTCAACCATATCTTCAGTTATGTTATAATTTTAGCATTCTAAAAATTCAATATATTTTAAATATTTTTCATTTTATAGTTTATCTTCTATTGATTTTATGGAATAAATTGCTAATGGAAGATTATTAGAAAAGTTACAAAGATTAATTGCTAATATTAGATATGCATGTTAATTCTAACCCATACATTTAAACGCTAACTAAAACAACATTACACATTAATTAATTAGAGATGTTGAAATTGATAATGGTAAATTAACTACTCTTTAGTTGGTTTTTAAAAGATATTCATAAAATACTCTTTTTTCATTTTAATTAATTACTTAAAGAATAGAATACTCATCATAATCAAATGAATTTTAGTTTATAAAATTTAATTATTGCTTATTTTTATTCTATTAATTGATATTATATTAAATATATGGTTTAAGAACACTTTATAATTATTAATGTTTTATTGTTTTAATAATGAAAGTCAAAGGAATTTAATAATTGTATTGAAGATCTTACTAAAAATCAAAAATTTTAAATTCTTAAATATTAGTTCTGCCAAAATAGTTTTATATTTATATTATTAATAACTCAAAAGGTATCAAAAGATATTCAAAACTTGAATCTGCAAAATAGATCTTTTAAGGTTTGATATTTTTTATTAATTTTGATTAAATATTCAATAAAACATATTATGAGTAATTATTCATAATTTCTCCTTATGGAAATGAAAACTTAAATAAAAACTGAATTGCATCTATTAAATTTTGATTCCAACAAATACTTTTAATTTAATTTATACAAAAATATATGATATTAATTAAATGAATCTATTATTCCAAAGTTACATCTTATAATGATATAAAACCACAACATAACAAATAACTTAAAATAACAGATTCTAATTATCTTAACTTTTCTTCAAAATTTAGATTTTACTCCTTAAGTTTAGAATGATATATTATTTGATTGATTAATTTAAAATTGATTAATTCACCTTAAGCTATAGATTTAGTAATTTCGAATATTTAATCAATCTAAATTATTTTTATGGTTTTATCTATAAAGAATTATTCAATTTATAATAAGTATTGACTTTTAATTAATTAGTATTTTTAATCTTAATTTAATTATTTTTCCATGTTTTACAAAATTATAATTAAATCTGAATGATTATTAAAAGATAGACATAGATCTTTAGAGTGTTTATAATTCATTTTAAAGATGATTTGCTTCCAAAACCCAAAACCAATTAAATCTTAGTAACATTTAAGACCAAAACTATTATTATAATCTAGATAATCTTCATATTTGAAATTAAGTATCTCAGAATTCATAGCTTCAAATATATTTTATAATGCTTAATGTGCAATTGAAGCCTAATCTAATAAATGTTTTCGCTATAATGTATTTCTAATCATTTGAATATCTACTCCAATTGAATTTTTATATAATGGTGTATATTTTGAGGCTAGAATTACTAAATACTTTCCTAATTAATCTAAAAGGTTAAATTAATTACATATATATATGCATAATTAATAATTTTGAAATTTTTCTAAAAGATTCAAAATAAATTTTATTGTATCAATTTATGTTAATTTAATAATATGTGAATAATCTAATTATTATTATCCAAGCTTTTCTTAAATATGAATTTTAAAGTCTTCTGAAATTTATATTAATAATTAAATAATCTAAAATAATGTTGACTCATTAAATGTTACTTTTTTTTTCTTATTTTTTATTAAATTTGATCCATCCACTTTATTTAACAATAATATTTTATTATCGTTTGATGATCGAACATCAATTGAAGCTATTGATGTTATCAATTAAACTTTATCATTTTAGATCCATTCATCATCAGGATCATAAATTGAAAGATGATCAAATGAATCATTATTAATTACTTAAAAGGACTCTGATAAGCTGGATTTATTTTCATTCCTACTTAATTTTGAGTTTTTTAATTGAAACTCTAATTTTTCACAACTTTATAATAAATCAGAATTACAAACTGAAAAACTCTCAGATTATTCATCATATAGAAGAAACTCATTTTGTAACTCATTTTAATTAAAAATTTCTTATAAAACAATTGGAAAGTATTTATTTAGATATAATTGATATTCCTCTTGTGATAAATCATCTTTATATTTTATAATTAATTCAATTACTTTTTTATAATTTCCTTGTTATATATAAGATTCAATTGATCTTCTTATATCTTTAACTTCAAGGAATAATTACCCTGCTTCTTCATATTCTTTACAGAAATAAGCTGCTTCTGCTATTTCCATTTTAGAATTTAACTATTTATATAATCTATAAGCATCTTTATATTTCTTTGCTGAAAAATAACATTGTGCTGCCCTGTTTTTGATATTCAAATCTTCAAAAATCAATGCTGCTTCATAAAATAAATTTTCTCCTTTATCTATAAGAGTTGCTTAAGTTGCTAATTAATAAGCTTATGCTTTTTATTCTAATTGGTATTCTTTAGCAAATTTAAAGCATTTTTTGGCTTATTCATAATTATTTACTCTAAAAAAGTTTAATCCTTAATTTCTCCAACTATTCTTATTATCAAATTATTAACTAAAAAGGATTTCAAATTCTTATACATTTTCAATTTATGATGTATAAATAATTTCTATGAGTTTTAAATCATCCCATAATTTTTAAATGGTTTTTCTCTTTGAATAGTTTTAATCATAAATAATAATTTATCTTTTTGCTCTTGTAAGAGCTACATATAATAATTTGAGTTCTTAACAAATTGTTTAATAGTTTACAAATCTATCAATATTATCTGATATATTTTATTATTAAGTATTCTATATTAAAAATAGCTTCTTCATTTAAATAGTTTCATAAAATTCATGATATATAAATATATTAGGATTTTATTACATTTTAATAAAAACATCTTTAATTTAAAAGTTTTTCAATATATTCCAATCATCACAAGTGCTATCACTATCAGTAAAGAAATTAAATAAAATAACATCATCAAATTCTAATCCTTTTGCTTCATAAATTGTAAGTATTAAAGTTTATTAAAGTGAATTAGGTACTTTGGGTTTTGATTCTTAATCCCTCACAATAATTACTTAATTACTTCCAAAAGATACATAATTTGATTCAATCTTAGAATTCTTTTTTAAATAATTAAACAATATCTGTATATCTTCACTTTAAATCACAATTGGTTTTGGACCTTATAAATAAGATCTTTCTTCCTTATCAAATACATCAATCTTATAAGGAAATAATAATTCAATCATTCTAATAATAGAATTTGTTAATTATAAGATTTAATCATGAAATCTAAAATTTTGAAACAATTTAAAAGTGGATATATAGTTATTTCTATATTTCTTCTTTAAGTTTGATTCATTCAAAAGATTTCTAAATTCTACAAACTATTATCCAGTTCCCTTTTAAATATTTTAAGCATTATCTCCACAACAAATCAAACCAAAATCTGCAATTTAATTTAATAATATGAATATTGCATTTGGAATATCTTAAAGTTCATCTAATATTAAATAATGTACATTTTCTAGAATATCATTTCCATATTTTAATTCATAATTTATATGATTTACAACATCTAATAGATCATAATAACCTAAATTCTATTTAATTAATTCATAATGTTCAAAAGCTTTATATAAAAGCTTAGTATACTCATCTGATAATACTTTATGATAATATGAATAATTATCATAATTCATATATTTATTTGGATATTCATAAGATGTAGCATGACCTTTAATTTTTGACATTATCTCATACCAAACTAATGCTGGATCTAGTTATTTGATCTTTTGATTTGAATGTTCTAATTTTTTTATTATTTTTGGCCATATAAAATTTAAAAACAAATCAAAAGTAACTTCTTGTGTATTGTTATAAACTATAAATTCTTTATCATCATAGTCTTTTATTTTCATTTAAAGTTTCTCATTATTATATTAACTTTATTGATTTAATGAAACAATCCCTATCTATTCATTATGCCATTAAGCAGAACAATGTTAAGTTTAAGAGAATTTAAAATAAGGATTAAGAAGAGAAGCATCAATAGAGAAAATAAGTTTTCTTAATGTTAAAAATGCTGGATATTCTGTTATTTCACTCAATTTTTAAAACCTACCCATCATTTTTTCATAGTCATCTATTTCTTCTTCATCTGTATCTGTATTATTCTCTTTGATTTATGAATCTTGAAGTTCATTAAATATCTCATATAAGCTTTCCTCTTCTATATTATGAGATTAATTGATATTTGAAAACTTTTCTTTGATTAATTCTTAAAAATTGTCAATTAATTATAAATAATTTTATTTTATTTACCAAGCTAATAATGGACTAGCTGTTATAAATAATGTTTTTAATGTAAGTTTATCTTTAGGTATAAATTAACTTTGAATTTATTATTTGATTTAAGATTTAATAATATAATTTTATATTTTTAATTCCTATCTTAAATTAAATAAAGCATCTAGAATAAATAATTTTAATAAAGCACAAGTTGTTTTACCAGTTCCACTTCTACCCAAAATAAATGTAATACCTTACCAAACAATTGCTTATAATTATTGTTCACTTATTTTATTCTTGAATTTTGGTAATTTTTATATAAGTTTACTTATCTATATAGCTGAAGGTAAGCAAATGTATTCCTTTATCAAATAATAATTTTCATTTTAAGCATTAATTTTCATATTTTTTTTTTAAATTGACTCATATAATTTTTTAGTCATCCAAGTATTTGATTAATTATCAAATATATATAAATGACTATTCAATTTTATAGTTTCAAATGATCTGGGTTATATTAATAGATTTTTATTTTTTGTTTTGATTCCTATTTTAATTTTAGTTGATGATTAACAAGACTTTTATTTTTCTTTGATTTATTTAATATTTGATAATAAATCATTACCTTTTAAATATTAATGAAGGTATTCATCTAATATTGTTTAACATTTTTTTATTTTATCAGCATTATTTCTATAAGAATCTTAAATTATATCAATAAAGCACATTTTATGAATAAATTAAATCTCCACTAATTCATCTAAAGAATTTGTAATGTATTATTTTTATGGTAAAATTAAAACAATTATTAATAAAGATTATAATGAAACTAAACTTGCACTAAAAGCATATTAAAAAGGTAATTTTAAACTACAACAATTTAAATTTAATATATTTGTAAATTCCTTATTCTCTTCATTAAATCTACCTTATAATAAATAAGACATTATCATAAGTAATTGTATATTATATATATTTGTCATATTTCTAATGAATTTAACTATCTAAATTAATAAGTATACTCGTTATATCAAATTCCCATAAACGATTAGGAAATATTTAATTGATATTTACTGCTTATATAGACTATTCTTTGTATTTAATTTCCTTTGAATATTAACTTAAAAAATGGATTATGAATTAATGAAAATATTGAAATTATTATGTCTTCTGATTAAATTATTCATAAATTAAATGCAATTTACTTTAGTATTAATTTAAATTTTCATGATATAATTTAAGTTGATCCTCCTTATACTAGTTATTATTCATTTTAATGATAAAATAATCAAAAATATTTTTATTAAAGAAATAAATATATTTCATTTAAAAATTATATATTATTTATAATTTCTTATATATAAAATATAAAATAAATAAAATTTTATCTAAACATTAATTTTTATAAATTTTTGTTATCTGTTAATTTATATCATTTTATATTCTTTATAATAATCTTATTGCAATTACTCTATTAAGTCAACACAAAAATAAACATTCAAAAATAATATAGAATCAAATGAATTTATGATTTTTTTACTTTACGAAATGGAAGATCATTTTAAATAATATGTTTATAGATTATATTATAATATTAATTATGGAATTTAATAATAATGTGATCTCAAAAATACCAAGTCTTAAATGTAATCCTTAAGGTTTTTAATAATTATAGAAGCAGATAACTCTTTTCAAAGATACCAAAATCCATTGAATGAATTATAAATTAAAAGCGAATCTAATTCCTTTGAATAGAAATAACCTAATTATTTAATTCCTATGTAGCCTTACATATTTTATCCTTCCACACCAATATATCCAATCCTAGGTGTTAATTATAACTTAATGTAGGAGAAATAAAGAGTGAATATATCGAATAAGCTAATCAATTCATGAAGCATGGAATCTAAAATAGTCTAGCAAGCATGATATAATAACAAATTATTACTTAGAATGAATTCAAAACTAATTAAACTGTTTATGGTTGTAAAAAGATGTGTGAAATTGATTCCATGTTAATTGGCAGATATTACAATTAAAAGTATTGGGTAATGAGTATATTCTAATAGAGATATTTCAAAATTCAAACTAAAACTATAAAATAGATCAAACTAAAACACAAAATACTGATTGGCTTAAGTCAAGATTGAAACATAGATATAAATCTTAAATTTATGCTTCATTTTTAGAAATGATTGATCTAATCTAAGAAGAAGGAGAGTTATTTATGAATGCAAGAACTCAAGCAATAAAGTTATAAAATATAAAAGTGTTTTAAAATCTGGAAAGATAGATTTAAAAATTGGTAAAATCAAAAAAAAATTTTGATGTCTTTTTGCTTGAAATTTAAAAAGTCTTAGCAGATTTTATTTTCTCGTCTTTAAATTGATTATTAAATAATGAATATCTGACTTTAAAATTCATAAGAAAATGTTGCTGAAATACAATTTATTATTTATTCTTAATTTTAAATATAATTTTTTGATTGAATTTAATAAATAAAAGGCTAATCATTGATTAGTTAAACAATAACTTTAAATCCCTAAATTAATTGTTAAAACTTATTAAGATAAATTCTTTATAAAGAAAATACATTAAAACTCAAACAGAATTTTTTAAGAATTGAAAAAAATGTATGGTCTAATTATCTAAATTAAGTTAATCTTAAATATCATGAATTTTCTTAAACCATATAATTGCTAACTTTATTAAGATATCATTTTTGAAAATCCCTATTAGCAGTTATGGTTTTGTATGCTGGAATATATTTGATCTAATCTTATAAGGTTTAGCATGATATTAGTCACTTATGATTGTTATATTTGATAAATGAAGATGTATTTTCTACCTTTGTTTAATTATGATAAGCTAATAATATTATATTAATTATTTGAACATTTATGATAAGACTTTATGAATATTAAATATGAAATCATAAATAGATTAAAAGAGATTAATAGGCAATGAAAATTTTGTATATGAATAAGTAAATAAATAGATAGATAGATTATGAAATAATGTAAAAGATAAAGTTATAAACAATAGATATCTAAAACTATAATGGAACATATTTATTGATGCTGTAATTAATACTTGATGTTATTACATTAATTTTATTTTGTTTAAAGTTCGATTAATTTTTTCAAATAAATTAAATTTTTGTCATATTGTCTCAACCTAACTTGTGTCTGGGTTAATAATTAATCCAATAAATATTAAGTGCAATTCCAAAAATTATATTAACATGTTTAAGCAATTCTTAATGAGAAAGAGTTTCAAAAACTCCATCATATCCTATAATTAATCTTTAATAACATTAAGAACCTTAATTTTGATGTAGATCTAATTCTGTTTTTTTTTATAACATCAAGAGATTCTTTAATCAATTATTCGTGTGGTCTAATTATATTTGTCACTTTTATATTCCAAATTTCCAAAAAAGATTATAATAATTTCAATTACCATTAACTTGACCATCACTTATAAAACTTTCTATTCTTTAAAATTTCTTGTTTATTTTAATTATTTTCTGATTATGGTCGACACTCTATCTTAATATCCTTCTATTTAATATTATATATATATCTGCATATTCAATATAAATAAATTATCAGTATTTTCCCCTTTGAATCCAATCCAATTCATATTTAGTTCTTTATATACCTCCAACTGATTGAACATTTCCTGGTTAAGCATTATTGCTAGTTCTGAACATAATGTCACAATCCTTTGAAAATCTTTCTTGATTTGTAATATTTGTATATGAATTGAATTTATCATACATTTTGGATTCTGAATAATCAATTACACTTGATGATCCCTCCAAATATCTTCTTATCTTATTTTTTATTATTATTTACTTTTGCATAATTCTTGTCTATTTTACCACTAATCTCCCCCTTAATTCTACCAATTTGACCATTATTCCATTATATATCTGCAGGATACAATTCTCGATCTTTAGATTTTATCACTACAATATTATCACCTTTTAACTTAAATATAGGTTTATGGTAATTTTAATTTTAACTACATGATTATTCTACAATTCAATACTTTTTTTTCTCCTTTCCCTTCAATCTCAATTAATCATAAAAGTCTCTCTCTAATTATAGTATTATTTTAAACTACATTCAACTCCATAAGTATTCACAGATTTTGATTTCTAATCATTCTTACTAACTTAAGCTTTTAAGTAATGATTTGTAATATCATAAAGGGACTAAGCTCTTTCCTATTTTCCTTCTGGGAATATTTAAGTTGGTCCATAATTTTTTAGTAATCCAGCCCTCATTTTAAATAACTAATTAATTTTGATATATTATAAATAATCAATTTTTATAAATAGATTATTTTTATATCTAAATGAGAATGGTTATAATATTATAGAATTGAACTAATTGAATTATTTTTATTTACTTCCTTCTTAGTATTAACAATAATAATATAGATCTCCCTATATATATATATTTTAAGATTAAAACATATCTTTTATTAAATAGAAATAGTAGGTTTATCTTGGATCTAAATGAATTGATTATTTTATTATTTTTAATAATCAATTGCATATTTAACTATATTCAAACCAAATTTAAAATTGATCAAAGGTACTAAAAAAATTATTTTAAGTAAACAATTTATTATTGAATTCAAAAATCAACCACTTAAATAGGATGATGGATGGCAATATGCTTATTAATAATATAAAATAATCTTAAATAATGGAAAAAACAAATTACTCATCATCGCTATTGTTCAATAACAAAACTTGTATTACAGTAATTATTAAGACAAATTCTTGATAGCCCTTTGAATAAAGGACTAGAAGTATGAGTAGAAACATATGTACTTCTTTAAGCACTTTTAGAATTCTTTGTCCTTTCTGTCTCTTTAAATAGTTTATTATAATTGTCTTGTAATTCAATTAGACTTTCATCTTTTTCAATCATTGTTATTTTTAATCTCTCAATATCAATCTTACCTTATTATATAATTTTTAATTAATCCTGTATTTACAATCTCAGTATTAATAAATCTTCAGAATACTATTAATTTTCAGCTTCCAAAATTTTGATCGTTTATAGAAGTTCATAAATGTGTCCCTACAGTTTCTTATTGCATTCTTATACTACATAAATTTGGGCTAATAGATTATAAGAATAATTAGTACATTAATAAGTATTAGCTTGATTTTTCACTTGTTTATTAGCCTTTAATTTAAGATTCAATTTCATTAAAGCCTTATAATGTTAAGCATCTCTCTTCAAACTTTCATATTCAGTCTTCGATACTGAACTAAATATACATTGTTACATACTTCTAACTGTATCATCTTTTAACTCTATTATAGAATCCTAACTTAAGTGACGGTTTGTGTTATTTGTTGGATTTGTAGTGTAGTTTTCATCTTTTTTGCAACTAGAAAGAAAATAATATGCCTTAAATAATAATCAAATTCGCATACTTCCTACTGAAACTCAGGTGATAATTAATTTGAATTATCATCTCCAAATGAGGGGATTTCTAATGTTTTAAGTTCAATTTTTTTGGTTTCACAAGGCTTAAATAAATCATGAATTTAAGTCTATGTTAAATATATGTTAGAAGACATTGTTTTTAACAAAATAATTTTTTTATTTATACTTTTAATAAATTTCATAACATCTATCCTAATTTCTTTATTTTTTATTATCTAGCTGACTCTAATTGTGATACTAAATAGCTTATCTCTTATTAAAGGTTTTTTAGATTTGCATAGTCAGTCTCTAAAAATACTTATTCTATTTTTCCACATTCTCTTGAATTATCATATTCCAAATCAAATTTCATAAATATTCTAGGTTTGAATTCTTCTTCATATCCTCTAGATGCAATCTAAATTAATATTATTAAAATATCACTTAAATGTCATATCTCCATTCCAAATTTTTATAATATGGCATACCATCTGACTCAATGAAACTGAGTCTTTTATGCAATTGAGTTGAATTTGCTTCTAATTTCTATATTCATCTTATTATTGCATTACTTGTAAAAACAATGCTTTTCTATCTTCCTTAAATTTTAGAAATTCTACATTTTGTCTAAACTATCTATCTCCAAATTTGAATTTTCCAAAATAGGACACTAATTTCAATGCTAATCTAAAGAATTTATCTGCTTCATTCTCATCAATTTCAAGCACCTCTGTAAATATAATTAATTTCTATCTAAACCTGCTAATGTTGTTTGAGTATCATGTTTAACAATATAACTTATTGCGAAATTTATGATTTTTTCATATGAATTCAAATCAACTGCATCTAATATTTGAACTTCTTCAATAAATTTATCACTCAAAATCATAATATGGAAAAATTTTAATATCAACTATAAATATCATTTGTTCATAGCAAGAATTTAATTATTTAATAAAGAAAATGTTTAATTTATAAGTCTATATCTATATATAATAAAGTCACTACTATTTATTAATAATACTCTTAAAAATAGTATATAGAATTTTAAAGGAACAGCAAACACTATTGAAATATTTATAAATAATATTAAAATATCAATTAAAGTATTGATTCTAATAATAATAAAATAAATAATTATCATTATTAATAAAATTATTTATATAAATTATTTACATTATTGATATCTTTGTATTTTTAGATATTTAATAAATATTATAATATCATTGATATATTCTTATTAAATATACAATAATAACATAGTTACTAAAATTAAAGTCTTTTTATACTGAATGATGATAATTTTTTTATAAATATTAAAATCATTTTTTTAAAGATTAAGCTTGCTTAACATTATTTTAAAAAACAGGTTTTGGCAATTTAGAAGCAGGTGTTAACTAATTTCTTCTGATTGTTGTTTTTTTTTCAGTCATTGCCATTTAATGAGGTTATATTGTTAGATTTGATAATTATTACTATTAAATTATTGGTTTTACTGCTAATTATGATATTTATTATTATTATTAAGTTATTTCTGTTTCAACCTTCCCATTCATATTCTATAATTCTCGTTCAAATTGCTTAAGTTATCTTTAAAATCCAAAATTAGGACAAACTACACTTCTTTTTAATCTTGCAAATTAAAATGCCTCTTAAAAAGACATTCCCTATTTTCTCATGAGATATGCTATAACTGTTGCAGCAGATCTAGATACACCAGCTGCACAATGCACCAAAACACCTCCCTTTTACAATCCCTCATCTATTTATTAGTAGGTATCTCCCCATATTCTTTTTATATTACATGATTCAATATCTAGAATATTGTAAACCTACAATTATTTATTAGATATATACTTTATGAACAATATCAGAATTAGGAGGATATTTAACATTCAAACCAGACGCTACTGTTAATACTGTTTTGATATTCTTTTATTTCAAGAGTTATTAATTGATTGCTGCAGTGTAGTCTCCTAACCACAAAGCTCCTTAATTCTCTGTTTAATCTATAATAGTATTCATGCTTTTGTAGTTATTTATGCCTCTAAATAGCATATTGATGTTGCTTATTATTCTAGAAATAAAAATAATTAATAATTTAAATAACAATTTAGTTCATATTTATATCAACTCAATTCTTTCAAAATCTTTAGTTCATAATATGCATTTCTCTATATTTTTCACTTACTTCTAAAATTATCCATTCATTCTTAATAGTTTCAACCAAATATAAAAAATTACACCTTTTAATATATTTTTATGTTTTATATAGTTAATTTAATCATAACAATGATTTAGATACCAAATTTATCTAGCATTCAATTTTGGATTGATATCTATTATTAAATTGTTCTGAAATTCAAGTAGATTTAAATTTAAGCTTTTATCAAATGACTATTGATAATATTAATTTGAATCAAAAGTATATTTAATAATTAATCTGAATTTTTGAATTAATCAGAATAAGCTATTAATAAATAGGCAATTTTTTTCTTATATTTAAATAATTAATATCTCATCGTTAATAGATTTATTACTATGAAAAATAATATAAAATGCCTTAGTAGTATTAAGTAGAGTATGAATATATAATTAATTAATGTCCATATAGTAATTACTTAATAGCTTAACATTTGTTGTTGTTAAAATTCTAACAAATAAGAAATAACAATGCCATAAAAGGAAATATAAAAACATTTAAAATCTTCTGTTTTTGAGTTTATAATTAAATACCTGAGAATGTTAATTTAATCAACAAAATTTTTTCCAAACATCAGTTATATACATAATGTCTTCAAATATTTCAAATGCCTCCGTAAAAACAAATGAGATCACTTATATGATTGCTGAATACAACTTTGAAGAAGAGATGCTTGAAATAGCGGCTCTTTAGCAAACTTTCTCTGATTAATTTGACGATCTTGTAGGAATAAATATATAAGCTCTAGAAGAAAAACAAAAAAAAGATTAGTAAGACTATAAGCTAATTATATTTTAGAAAGTTGAACAAGATGAAGTTTAGAATTAGAAAATCTACAAAATAAATAAGAAAAGGGAACAAAATTAATGAAATTTAAGTGAAAAAGCAATCTATTGTGGAGAGAAGTCCCTTGAATACAGATTATTTTAATAATCATTACTTTGAAATAAAAAAGTATTAAGGGGAATGGCAAAAATAAGAATAGGAAGCTTTTGAAGAACAATTGGCTATTCCCCTCTATTAAAATGGCTTCCAAACATAAAGTATGTGTTTTTTAATTAACATTTAGAATTGTTTTATAAAGATTAACAAGATATTATGGATATTAACAGGGTTGATTTAAGCATAAACAGAAGCATTAATAATTTGAACAAAAACTCAATGAATTTAAGTTCGTCGTCATCAAATCTAAGTTCGATTTGAAGAAACCCCTTATTTCTGAGGAATTCAGAAAAAAGGGGTTGAAATAAAGTGCGATCACAAATTAAGTGACAATGCTTTCATCAACACCTATATAATATTTAAAAAAAAATAATTTCTTTCTTTATTTTTAATTTATATAACTATATAACAATATCAAAATTTATTAAAATCTGGAAATAAGAAATCATCTGTTAAGATAAGCTGATAAACATTCTTTATTAAAAAAAAAATTTCGATTTAAATTTCTTATGATTTTTCAATCTAAATTTATTATTATAGATTTAATTAACAAAGACTTTTTATTTGTTTTAATTATATTTTGTACATCAAATTTTATTTATTTATTATAAATGAATAAGGAAGAGGATAATGGGCATATATCGTCAAATAATTCTCTAGATAATTCCTAAAATTATGCTTATTTACTTTAATAAGAATATTATGAGAAATTCAAAATGGGATAGAATTTATATGAACAATCAGCTACATTATCAAGAATATCATTAGGAGAAAAAACTAGTGAAGATAATAATAATACTTACACATATATCAATATGGTTCATTTACAAGAGAGATTATCAGAATAAATCTTGAAAAATCAAGTAACTTGGTTGTTAAATTGGTTAGTTCTTGGAGAATAAAATTGAATAGCTTTCTAAAGAAATAAAGGGAGCATTAAATCATGTTGCTTTACTTTAAAAATAAAATGAATTACAATCAAGTTTACTAAAGGATGCAAATGATAAATTACAAAAAAAAACAAAAGCTATTGGAATAGAGAAAACCATTAATCAACACCTTAAAAGAAAGATATCAAAATTATAATAAATAAATACGTATATCTCAAAATGAAACTAGCAATTATTTAGATTAAGTAGAGACTATGTCACAGTAGAAAGAATCTATCATCCTATCTAATTATAAGCATTCTAGTGTTAGTGTGTTTAAGACATCCCATCAATCAAATAGTTCATCTTAGAGAAAATTAAATTCAGATAAAATACATTAAGGTTTAACTGAAGATTCCACTGTTAAAGATTCATCTTGTAGTGAATAAAAATCTCACGATTAAATAAGATTTTCAGAGTCAGTCTAATAATTTTATAAATCTTCAAATCTTTTATCTCCAGCCTTATAAGTGTCACCAAAGACTTAATAAAATGATTTAGAAAGTAGAATAGACTCTACTTTAGCTTAGATTAGAGCGATTAGATTATAGATTTAGCAATTAAATAAAAAATGATTAATTTTCAATTTCTTAAAATGAGTATATATTTCAATTTAATAAAGATCATACTTTTAATTGTAATCTTCTTAATAACTAAATATATTCTTATAGATAGTTTTAAAATATAAATCTTATTTCAAATTGAACCATAAAATTATTTCTAACTAGAGGAAAAGGATTCATCGGTTTCATCAACTGGTAAAAATGATTCTCCTGCTAAACCAAATCTTTTTCTAATGAATTTTCCTACACAACTAATAAATAAAATATAAAATCTTAATACGTTTTTTATAAGCAAGTGATACATAGAATCATATCAATGATAGTGATAAGCATGGGAATATTTGCTAGTCCTTTCTTTCTTCCAATACATAAATTATAAAATAAGCCTATGATAACAAGGAAGATAATGATATAAATGGCAAAGGCTTAAAAATAATAAGAAATTATAATTACTTATACTATCACTCTCCTAATATTTTGCATTAATGACATTTTATACTTTGAATGCATAATTACAATCTTTAACAATGACTAATGTAATATCTTTAAAATATTGAAATGGAAAAGTAATTTCAATCTTTGATGTTCCTAATCCAATGCACTTAAAATTAAGTGTAAGAACATTTTCTTTTTCAGTAATTAAACCTCCATTTACTAAATCACCTTCAAACCAAGCTTTAGTAACATTTTCCATTTCAATATCTACATATGGTAAGGTCAGATTAACCTCAGGAATAGCTTTAAGAGTTGCTGTATCAGTTATGAAACCTTCTGGAATAGGATCATTTGTAGGATTAGATTATTTCATTTGTAAAATAAATTTGATAACATTAATGTCTCTAGCTACATTAAACACGTAATTATCTAAATCTGAATCGAAGTATGAAGCATTAATGATTTCTGAGTTTTTGATTATTTCTTGTCTATAGTTTTTATAAATCATATCTACTGCAAATCCTTCTCTTAATGTGAGGGGATTTCCACAAAACTTTTTCCAATAGATTTGAGCATCACCACAATTTGGTACAAAAAATGTCATTTCATAATTGATAAGAGTTCCCCCATATTGTTTGCATTTGTAATTAATTTCAACAGCATATTCTGTATGTTATCCATTAGGTCTATGATCTAAACGTGTCGTCGAATCAGCAAAATAATGATCATCAAAATCTAATTAGAAGTTTTCCAAACTTAAATTAGGATCATCACTTGTAATGTAAAGATAATCTATATTTTAAGTAGCTGGAACTATGATTGGGTTTTCTATGTGAATAATAAGATTAAATTACTGGCTTTTCTATTCCATTATTTTGATGCAATTCCTTTAGAAATTATATCATCTTTTGATTTTTTTAGATTTGTGCTTACATGCAATGATTTACAGATTTCACTTGAGTGTACTAAGTGTAAAAAGGATAGAAGGATATAAAATAAAAACATTAAAAAACAATAATTGAAAAAATCAATTTGGAATAAATTAATCATTGATCCACCTTATGAATCCTATTTAAATATTCTCTAATGGCTTTAATACGTTAAATGAGATTTAAAGGTATCATTGATAATAATAAGGTTGTTCTTCTGATCTATGAATGTTTAAATAAATAGATTTACTTCATTATTAATTTTATTGGCAATAGGCCACCAGAATAATAAGTAAACTAGAACCAAAACAACTAAGAAAACAATAAAAATAGTAACAGTAGTGGTTGTATTGGTATCAATATCTTTTTGCAAACTTTAATTAAATGTAACCAATAATTATTAGAATATCGATCTAATATAAATATCCTGCATTTAATCTATTTAATAAATAAATAATATACTTATTTCTATTGCAGCAATATCTGTATACATGAGTGATAATATTTTATTAGTTTATAGATTATCTGTGAAATTGTAAAGAGTTCCTGAAATTGTAGTTGATGAAGAATCATTAAGGAGAGAATCATAAACAGTAAGTAAATACCTAAGATTTTCAAAATGTCTTGAAAGTGCTAAAGCTAAAGATTCATCTACAATTCCTTTGACAAATGCTTAACAAGTAGTTAAATCTACAGGTGCAATTTGGATAACTTAGGCACATGCTCCTGCTTTCATTATTGAATCAAAATAATCATTATAAAGAGAATTGTGATAACCCAAATTTAATGAATGATCCTTTTGCATATTTGTATTAAGATTATATAAATCTTTTACAAAGTCTGTTGAAACAGTTTTTGAAACATTATTTTTTACAGGGAAAGTGGGATCCAACAACATTTATCTAAAGACATTATTAGCAAAAGTTATAGAAGGTACAGCAAGTGAGGTTGCATTCATTTCTTAAATCAATTATTACATTGAACTCTATAAATTAGCGCCAATAAGATAATGAGCAATAAAATAAGCAATCAACAATCCCATAGAAATGATGAATTTAATGTAAAAGTTACGTTTATCTTTAGAATCATACTTATACTTCTTTCTTTTCTTTCTTCTTCCAAATTCTTCAACAACCCCTTCTCCTTCCTCATTTTCATCAAATGATACATCATTTTCTTAATTAGCATCTTCATCTTCCCCTATTTATAAAGTATTAGAAAAGGCTTCACATTTAGCAAATAATTGCTTAACTTTAGCTAATGGAATCTCTAAGAAAAGTTTAATAACTTCTTCTTGATTCTAAGAGACTAAATTAAAAGCACAAGCAATCCACGGTATGGATACAACTGTAAATACACAAGCAACAATTAAGAGTATAAGTAATACATCAGAATCATAAGCTAAACTTATAAGTTGATTTGTATAAAGATCTGCACTTTCTAATGTTGCTTGATAATAATCATTAAGCAAATTATACCTAATGAAAAAGATGGAGTCAGCATCAGGATCAAAATCTTTTATATCAAAATTCATAACTTCAAATGCCTTTGAGATGATCTATGATGTACCTTAATTGATATCAACTAATTAATTGCTTTCAGATCCACTACTATCCTTACTAATCATCTTAATAGTATTAGTAGTCATTAATTCATCTTATCTGCCTGATACTTCAGTAGAGGATTGAATTTTAGATTAGATATCTTTCAAATCACTTATTGTTGTATTCATATTTGTTAATTATGTCTTTACTTTATCATCAGTAGCTAAAATATTAATTTTATTCAATCTACACAATTCCATAATTTACCATTGTATTCTTTACCCTAAAGCAACTCTTATATTAGAATCTTGCATCATTATATATCCTTCTTAAATATCAGAGAATAATTATTATGTCAATACATAATCAAGTAATCCCAATACACCTAAACAAATAATTAAAATAGCAGCACTCCATTTAAAACAAATCATACTGTTTTAATTGACATTTCTACTTTCTTATAAGAATTAAACAAAAGTTCTTCTAGATTTATAAATGTTAGCATGACCTCCTTCTGCTTCTTCTTCATCATCTTCTTTTTATATTTATTACATTCCTGCAGTTCCTGCTCCTTTTTTTTAATCATTATCTTCTTCTTCATCTGAATCTTGATTCTTAAATTCATCAATATCAAAAAGTTATCCATTTATATATTTCATTGTTCTAATTCCAACAGCAAAATCAACTTTATCATCTTTTTCTCCTACATTAGAAGAAGGAGTCTTTTCTTCTTCCTTCAAAGGTTCTCTTTGTGAATAATCAAAGGTTTCATCTTGTTTGACACTTGAAATAGCAGACATCTAGAAATTCTAATCTCCTGAAAACTCTCCTACATACATATGTTATGCCTAATCAAATTAGAAATAGAATTTGGTTAATGATTATTATTTCTTTTATTAAGATTATTCATTAGGATTAAGAAATGATTTTTCTTATTTGTTATTTTCAATTTTAATTATATATCCTTATAATTTAGAATCTCTGAACATAATTTCTCCAGCAGTTATATTAAATTTCCCCTAAACAGATTAATCTCTATTCTTAAAATTGATATCTGCTTCTGCTCCTGTTTTATTTAAATATTCAGTAATATTTTCTTAGAAATTAGGTATTATATCTGTAACTTTAGTCTTCTTCTTTGTTATATAATTTAAATCTATATGAAACATTGTTATAAAGGTTGCTGAAATATTTTCAATCTCTTGAGTCTATCCATTAACAATCATAAAGGCTACATTTTTAAATACTTTTTCTTGTCTCATAGCTCCAAAGAATTATGCACCATGTATAAATGATGGAACATATCTTACATAAATAAAAAATGGAAATATATATCCATTCTTTGATTTTCCAATAATCATTCTTTCTCTATTCATTATTCTACTTTCATAGGTTTATAAATATGTTTCCATAAATTAATCATGTGATTAAGCAAATACATTTGGCATCAATATATTAACTTTTCTATTAATTAATTCACTCTTTGAATAACCAAACATTTTTGATGCTGACATATTCAATCCAATAATTCTTCCAAAAGTCACATCTTCAGCTGAAATACTAATTAAAGCAGTAGATTCATTAGGAAAATCATTAATATTATTAGTTATTTTACCTCTATCCATATTAACAGAATAAAAATTCTTCAATCTTTCCAATACTTCTTCAGCTGATTCTTTATCATAAAGTATATCAACTAAATATCTTGAATAAATCATCATTAAATTTGGAGGAACATCTAAATTCATTTTAATTATTCGTTTCCATGAATCTTCCAACATTTTATCTATATACATCATTCTAGTTCCAACATCATATAATTTTCCTAAATCTGGTGTATCTTCACTTAATTGTGACCAAAATTCTATATGTTATGATGCTGATTTTTCAATCTATGCTCTAATTTCTCTAAGATTATTTTCAGTTGTCAATTCATTAACAGCATCAATACCAGCAGCTGGATTTCTTGATGATTTTGAATTTTCAAACATTTGCTCTTCTATTAACTTCTTTAATCTATAGATAATAAATTATTCATCAACATATGGTTTCTCTTATTCTGCTGCTACTAATTCTTATAATGCTTGTTAATTTGATTACATTTTCTCCATTAAAAATAAAGAATGAGAAATTCGTAATTCTGTACAATTTGGAAATCTAGTTAAAGATAAAGTAAATATTCTTTCCATAATATATACTAAAACAACATACTATTCTTTAATTTCATCATCTTAATTTTATAATTTAAAGTTTTTTTGAAATTTCGCAATTTTCTTATTACCCATATTTTTTGCTTAACAAGGACAATCTTCTCTTTTACATATTGTCCTATGATATTCTACAAAACCATCCAATAATGTGGCTATATTCCTATCTGTATGATAATAATTCAAAAATTTAGTTAAGTATTATAATTATTAAATTGCTTAATTGAGTGAATCAAATTTATTTGAATCAATCATCATTATATCATATCTATATTCTTTTCTAAGCATAACTATCAATAATAATAAAGGACTTCCAAAAACCCATAAATAAGGTGCCCCTTCATAATAGGTATCTTCGACAATTATACCAAATATTATCATACATATTGTCCACATAATTATAGCATGTTGTGAATTTAACACTTTTGAATAATAGTAATTTAAATAGACACTTGATTTGTTAAATGAAAAAAATTATATGACTGCAAATAAAGTAATTATGATCACTACTAAAATTCTTAATTCATTTACATTCAGTAAAGTGAAACATAATACTAAAATGATTTTAAAAATCAAGAATTTCATATCATCTCTACCAGATATCTTACAAAGTGGATTATTTGGCTGGAATCTTGATTCATAAAATGTCATTGTAACTAATCCACTGATACAAATTAAAATGAATGCTGCAATTGCTGATAAGAATGCATGAAGTAAATAATTTCCTGTATAACATTCTTAATCAGAATAATATTTATGATAGCCTGTACCTGAATCGCAATAGAAGATAGTCAAAAAAAGATGTAAGGCTGGCATAAAGAAAATGTAATTGAGTACTTCAAAAAATATTTTGAGAACGACTAATGGTCCACTCAACTTACCTACTGATGTAGTTTATGCTTTTATTGCAATGAAAATAATTAAAATAATTAGCAAGAGAAAAAACCCCATTATGATATAAAGCACTAAGATGAAACTTTGAAATTCTACATTCTTCAAATATGGGGAAATCATAAAGTACCCAAAAAATGATTGAAATGACTCTGACCATGATTTCACCTTCCATAATGACAAAAACTATCATAATCACCAAATATGTATACTTCATCACTAAAAGCAAAGTAAAACACTTGGAAACTCTCAATTACAACAAAAAAGATGTAAAGAAATAGCGGGAAGTTTTCTCCAGAAATTAAATAGTAGATGATTTCAAAAAGTAGATTCTTAAAAGAGTTTTACATCTTATCCAAAGCTGATTTATCATCATCAAATATAGAAACACCTTGCATGTTTTATATTATTTATGATTTAAATATATAATAAAATAAACAATATTTTTTAATAATTTATATATGTTAAATCCCATAAATATGTATCACTTTTATCTTACAAATAATTATATTTATTTAATGCAATTATTTTTTAATTGTTTTCAAGTTGATTAGTTTGTCAAATTTGATTGATCTATTTAAAAAAAAAAATGACAAATTAAATTTATTCAACAAAAATTGATTAAGCATAATCTCGATATAATGTATCCAACTTCTGTTTATCTTATTTGTCCTTAAATATATAATTTATTATTATCATGTAAAATCAAGATGTCTATTTTCCAATATTTATAAGACTAAATTCAAAGCAAGAATATTGAATCTAAGATAGTTTGCCAACTGAAAATTCAAGCCTTTTCAACTCCTTCAATTATTCTGATTTCTTTGGTTTAATTATAATTGTAGGATTCCCTCTACTAATATCCATTTTCATTTATATTACTATCAATAATAATCCTACCTAATAATCTATTGTGTCTTGAGTTTAATAGAATACAATTTTAGATTTTTCCACTTTTCTAATGCATGAATTCAATTTCTAAAAAAAGAAATATCGTCTTACAATTTTTTCATCCCCACAATATGCATTATAAGTAATTACTATAATAATAAATACAACATTAAAAAATATTTAGATTAACATATCCAATAAAATTCTCTTCATTTTCCAATTTTTCAGCTATATAAACCAAAATAATCCTCAGTAATCTGTTAAATTGATAACCTTTTTGTAGAGATTTTCAAAATTTTCCCAAAAATCATTAATTTTTATCAAAGGACACAAAACTTTTCTAACGTGAGATATATAAATCAAATTTAGATTTTATCATAAATATCTTAATTGTTTGATTGCCCAATTCAGAAATCTGTATCTATAGAATTTTTTATTCAACAATAGATTATCTGCACAAAAATAAGATAAATTTAATGCTTCTTTGCTTATTAAATAATATGTTCTAAATCAGATAAATATGATAAGTTATATTCTTTTGTTTATAAAGAATGAATTAATCAAAAAGACAGAAACTCTGAAGAGACGAAATCCTATTAAGGTCATTTTTACGTTTTTTTTGTTTAAGAATAGTTATGAAGATTGATAATTATTTAATTATCTTAACCTATTCTTTAAAATATCCAATGAAACTCATATAATATAACGAATATTAGGCAAATTAAAATAATTATCATTTATTAATATTCAATGCTGATATTTCTAATTTAATGCGACCTGAAGCATTATCAACTCTTTATCTATTCTTATCTAAAGATTTTAATGAACATTTTCCTTTCTTAGATTTACAAGTGAATTTAAATCCATTTTTAAAAGCATTCATATCTGGAACATAAATTATAGTATCACAATTTTAGATAGAATCATATTTCAAGCTAAATTATTATTTTTTTGAATTGAACTATGAATAATATACTTTAGATCCACAAATTTGTTGAGCATAAGGTCTAACCAATGCTTCCATTTTGTAATTCTAAAGAGATCCATCTTAATTGAAAATTCCTTCATCATACATATTTGATGCAGTTGTAAAATCATTGTATCCTTTATATTACCAATAAGCCCAAGATTATAGGTATTTATCTGCTTTATACAATAAACCATTGAGTATGTCTTTAGCAAATGGTTCATTTGGTAATGCTCCAAATTCGGTTAACATAGCACCAGTTCCTAAATGATTGATGTTCATTTTCTTTAAAGGATACATAAAATTATATAACTATTTACAAAGGAAGGTAGAAACATTTTCTTTTTGATATGAATAATATAAATACCAATTCCACAATAAAGATGATAGCTCAATACTTCTTTTTTTTAATACTTTTTGCCACCTACATTATGCTTGAATCCAACTCCCATAACATCTGTGAAATAAGGTTCAAAGAATACAAGTTTTTCAGTATCAACTTCTCTAATGTATTTATTTATTATTTAATAAAATGGCATAATGAGATGTTTATTAGCCCATCCTGGCCATACATATTATATTTTGCTTCTTTAATAATTACCAGAGGCAGGTTCATTCATAATCTCATATCCTAACACATTCCATTCTCCTTTATGTAATTCTGCAACTCTTTTCCAAAAGAGTCCAAACATATCTGCTACACCATTTTCATTTTTCAATATTGATTCTAAATTCTTGCCAACATCTGATGTCAGATAAAATTTAGCAAAGTTGTCCTATTTCAAACAATCCTCAATTAATGGATATCCTTATTCATCTAATCTTAATTCAATTGTTTATGGAGCTGGAAAATCTGTTTTAGTGACAGCCCAATCTGGAAATCCTTCTCCACAAAACTATCTATTTAATAAGTCTTAATGAGCATCAAGAATAACGTAAATATTATATTTTGCAGCTAATCTCACTATTTCTCTTATGTGGAATAGATATTCATCATTTAATATTCCTCTTTAGGGCATTCCAGCTTCAAATGCAACATGTAATCTAATTACATTAAATCTATGAAGATAATATTTAATTATAATTACCCTAAATCAACTAGGAGTTAGCAATCTTCATCAGAAAATGATGTCATCACATCGAAATGATCAGTTATGGGGAAATATGGAGCTGGTTTATAGACTACATTAAAGCCATGGAAGATTCTGATTGCTCCATTCTTATAATTAATAAAGTTATTACTTCATCAACAAAGTTTCCATGTTTATTAATGTGAACTGATACTGCTATTCCAATAATACATAATAAAAAAATCATATTTAATTTAATATCCTTTAAATTCCAAATATAATTAAAAAAATCGTTAAAAAAAATAAATGGGCAACGAACCATCAGCTCCAAATGATAAGATTGATTTCTTAAGACCAGTATAAAAGAAAGCACCAGAACCTACTTAAATCAATAAGGTATAGTAGAATGAATGGAGAATTGGATTGCAACATCCTCATCTCTTATAAACTTTAGGAGGACAACCTGAAGGTGATTAATATAGATACTTTTTCGAATTCTGTCCAATCACTTTAACATCTCTACTTTAGGAACGATATGGAACAAAAAAGTACTTTCCTGAAGAAGACTTATAAGCATTGCTTTTAGGTATAAGTAGTGCATTGAGTTTCTTGTAAGAAAAGGGATTGTCACATGGAGGTAAATTAAAATCATATATCAATTAGATATTTGCACAACAGAAATATTCTTTGATTCAAATAGTTCAAGTTTCAAAGTTTTAGATTCAAATTTAATTAATGGAAGAGGAGCTTCTATTCAATAATTATTGTCAGGAAAATTGAAATATCTTGCACCAGAAATATTACAAAACCCAACACAACCATTATCTGAAATGTAATTGAGTAAAAATGATGTTTGGTGTTTGGGCATGGTCATGTTAGAAGCTAGTACTCTTAAACAAAATGATAATCTCTATCAAAATGGCTTATAATTTAGATTAATCTCAGATAGAATTAATGAAGTAGCGTAAATTTACAATTTACAATATGCTGAAAATATAGCTCTGATGCTTAATTTCAACCCAAATGAAAGATTAGATCCAGTTAATCTATTTAATTATCTACTGGAATAATAAAGAACTGCAAATGAATAAGATTAATAAGTTGTTTAACAATAGTAATATTAACAATTGCTTTAATAATAATAATTGTATTAATAATAATTATGTTAACAATAATAATAATAATAATAATAGTTATTATATTAATAATCCTAGTAGTAGTAATTGACTTATCAATAGGCTTAGTAATCCCAATTATAACACTAATAATAACCAATATAATATTTACCTTAATAAGTCGAACAATAAAATTAATAACAATAATTAGTATAACCACAATAATTATAACAAACTTAAGTTCCTCCCTAATACCTTCAATAATAATAATAAACAATTTAATAGCAATAATATAATACTCAATAAACACAATATTTATAATAATAGCAATATGCTTAGACTCAACAACCAAGATAGAACTCTCATTAATCAAGGCCATCCTAAGATTTTATGATGACTTAACCTGATATGAATCAAACTATGTAAGGAGGTGTTTCAAGAGAAAGAGTTCCAACCAAAATTATCAAAAAGTTAGTATATCCTGATGGAAGAGTTGAATATTAAGAGAAATCTCATTCAGCATCTAGAATGGGTAATATATTATCCTATTTTTTTTAGTTTAATAACCCTAATAATAGAAACCATAATAAATGATTCCTTAACAATAATAACCCTAAGCTATGCCTTAGTAATAATAAATAATGGCATAATAATAATAAATAATGGCATAACAATAATAAATGATTTAATAATAATATACTTAGTAACCCTAATATAATCCATAGTTTTAATAATAATAATATTTGTAATAGCCATAACCTCAATATTAATAGAGATAGAATGTTCTTGGTAATATTGAAAACTAAATGTAAGTTGTTACTAATGAACAAAATATAACTAGATTGAAATAAGAAATTGAACACTCTAAGACTTTAATTTAATAATATAACTAATAAAAACCATAAGTTCAAGCTGAATCAATAGAGGAGAGAATAAGAAAAGTTATTGCACAATCATAAGCTTTAAGAGAAAACTTTTCATGAATTATATATATATATATATTATAAATTATCAGATAATGCTACCTAAATTAAATCAAGCTTCATCAGTATAATATGTGAAATCTCAAGAAGATTTAAGCATAAATGAAGCCAAAAGACGTTAAAAATAACTTGAGTTAGAATAACAAAATGTTGAAAACAGAATCAAATAACTTACTAAAGAGAATGAGAAACTGTCCAAAAAAGTTTAAATGGCTGAGTAATTAGCTCTAGATGTTTATGCTTCACGTCTTGCTTAGAAGATTAAAGTAATTGTTTATTTCTTAAAAAATACTTAGAAAGAACAGAAATTACAATAATAATCTACTGTTGATCCATTGAAATATTAATAAACTTAATATGAAAGAATGAATCTTAGGAAAATGAAATAAGAAGTAAAAGAAATGAAACATAATGATGCATAATTGATGAAAAAATCAATTAAATACGAATTGATGAGAGCTAATGAAGAATAAGTCAAAAAAGCATAAAATTTGAAATTAAGAGCTGCTTTAATTAAAGAAGATGAGAAATTATCTTAGGCAGTGATTCAAGAGAAATTGTTAGAGAAATAATAGAAAGTTAGATTATTATAAGAACTTGAAAAATAAAAGATTCTAATGGAAAATGAAAAGTATGAATACTAAATCAAATAATTGGAAGCTTAAGAAATTAAATTAGTAGAAAAATTACAAGCTACACAATAGAGAGAATAAGATGTTAAATAAAAACTAATGGCAGCAACTAGACTAGCTCCAGAAGAATTTGATAGAACTTACTTGGGTGGTTAATCAATCATTTGTGAGTAAGGGAATCAAGTAAGATCATAAATATATATATATAGGAAAAAACTTAAGAAGAACAGAAGGAATAATTAGAAGAACCAGAAAAAAATGATTAAGAAGAAGCTAAAGAAGGATAATAAGGGACATAAACTGATTGAATTGATTTATTATACGGATCGTAAGAATATATTTATAGAAAATTTTACTCCCGAATTAACTTCAGATATATTAAATATATAATATTTAGTTTATACCCACTTATGTATTACTATATATTAGAATGTAATTTACTTCTTCTCAAATAAAATGCTATTCACTATATACATCATTTAATTTGAATTAAAAATATACTCAAATGTTTTTATCAAATGCAGTTTTATCTCAAATTCTATCTGAGTCTCATAAATATATTTTATACAAAATATAATCGAATTTATTAGGTATATTTTATTTAGATCTCTTTTAAAGGCTATTACATTTTTAATATTAAAGAAATCAAACAACTACTTTAATAATTAAAATTCTTTATACTGATAGGTAATTAATCAAAATACATAAAATAACCTCAGAAATGAATTTTAAATTTGTAATTAACAATTAAAAAATTAAATATTATAGAAATGATTAGAAAAACAACATTGATTTATGCAGTATTTTAAGAAAATTATTTGAAAAGTTTTACTTATGTATACTTATATCATTTCAAATAATAAATTATAATGATATCAACTTATTAATTTAGACCTTTATTTATCTTTTTTATATTTGATTAAACAATTCAAGTTATTTTTAATATTCTTTTCAATTATATAAAGTTAACACCATATTATAAATGGGTTTATTTGTAACCTATCAAATTTAATTCTAATTTTTAATTAGTTTATATTTATTTTATCAAATAATTTTTGTTACTTAGAAATTATATACATTTAGATCAGATATTCTAAATCTGAATAGCATTTTTTCAATTCAAGTTTTATTTACAAATTTAATAAACGACTCAGCTTATTAATTGACATTTAATTAAAAAAAATTTGATTCTCAAATAAACTAATACTTAGAAAAAAATATTTAATATATGAATAAATTCTAAGAACTAATAATAAAACAGAATTAGAGAATTCGTAATGCACTCTATCAAAACCTCATTATTCTAGGATAATTTTTTTATACTCTTATATGGATTTTTATAGCTATATATATTTTGGGAGAATAAAGAGAGGACTTCCAATTAAAAATATTTTATTATTTTAGTTTACCAACTATTTCACTACAATTCAATGTTGAATAAATCATCATATAAAGCGTAACGATATTTTTTTCATTAACTTTCCTTTTAGCAATATTGTTTGGAGGAAATTACAAATATTCAAAGAGGATTGTTGATTTGCTTTGGGATGCTTATCCAAATTTATGTTAAATCATTATCATTCAAAATAGTGGGCATAGCTTACTAACAGATAAAATCAACTTTACATTAGGTGTATTAAATATTTTTCTGGCAATTGGAAATTCTCAATTAACCAGCTTATATTCATTTTCATAAAACCATACTCAAAAATTAATAAAATCTTATTTCGAAAGGAGCATCCATCCACTATGTTATTCAGTATTAGCATTACTTGCAGGTTTACAAATAAACAATTTATACTTATCCTACATATATTTAGGAACATAATTAATTTTCGACCTTTATTTTGGGATATTTTATTATGTAAAACCTCATATGCAATATTTAAATGTTAAGACTTAAAGATTAGTTGTATTATATTCATTTTTAAGATTTCCAGTAGTGTTGTTTCTATTTTATTTTTAGGGCAACAACATTTTATTTTTATCATTATTTTCCGTTCCATTTATGATACAAATTCATTTAACATTATGGGACAATAGATTTATGAACTTAATATATAAAACAAATATGTTTTTCTAGTATATATGTCTTGATAAGTTTAGAGAGAGGGACAATCTGATTGAATGTTATATAGCATATTATTTTGAAATTATTGATTATAAGAAGCCACTTAATAGGGTGTTAATGCTGAGCATTTTTTGTAATCATATGAATATGTGTTAAAATCTAAAATGTTTCTGTTAAAATAGAAACTTTCATGAAAGAGTTAAAATTACAACCCAATTATCAATAGATGTAAAGGATATTCAATAATAGATAAATTATGCAGTAGCAGAATAAGATATTTAAATGAGCTTTAAGGAATTAATGTTGTTATTTCTAGATAATTATATCAAGAATGTTAGATATACTGTATTGGGTGAAGCTTTAATCTTAAAATTAAGCTTATATGAAATTTATAGTTTTTAACAGAGACTATTCTAAACAAAACTTAGATTTTAATATCTAAAAATATTTTATCATAAATTTCACCCTCAATTTTTAGAAAGATGGGCAACTTGTACATAGGTTACTGAAAAATTGCAACTTTACATAGGCGGAAGTGATAAATTAAATTTTAATCTTACTATTTCAATGCAATATTTTCGTTTGCTAGATAAAATACAAACAAATATTTCTAGAGTGATTGAAGATAAAATATATATTTTAGAACTTTTGAAAAGGAATTACTAGAATGCAGTTCCTTATCTGTTACATTAATCTACACAAAAATATTTCAATTAATGTAATGAACTTGAATTTTTAATGTAATAAGTGATTAAACTTAACGGAATATCATATGATGTAAGAGAGTTATAAGATGAATTTTATTCATAAATAAAGGTAGATTATGACTATAAGAATATCCATAAAAAATCAACAATTCCTTTTATTAACTAAAATTAAACAGCATTTGTAATTTGTGATTATGAAGGAGACCTTTTAATAAAGGATTATTCGAATAATTTTATCTCTATGATTAATGTTAGTTCATAAATAAAGGGCAGTGCAATTGAATAAATTGTTCCAGTTACCTTATAATAATATCATAGAATTGCTATCTCTTAAATGGTTAATACAGGCTAAACTAAATTAGTTAATAAGGAATAATACAGTTTAATGGTTAAATCGGAAAAATATATTTTGGAAGTGGATGCATTACTAAGATTTGATTATAGATAATTAGAGTTTTTAAGGTTTATTGGATTCATTCAATTGCATGATAAGGATAGCATTTTAATACTTGCTAATGAGAAAGGCAAAATTGATTCATATTCTAGATCTGCTGGAATTCTGCTTACGTTAGATGAAGTTGATAGTAATTCATTAAATTATTTTTATTTATCCCCTTGTTTATTATAAGAAAAGGAAGTATTTGAGTTTGATGGATTTTTATTAATTCCTAAGAGACATTTAAGGTCAGATATTTTGAGTTATATGAAATACTTTTTAGGATCTCCTGATGAATGCAATATTTTTTTAGTTAATGGTTAACATTAAAAGAAATGTTACACTTCAGTTACTATATAATTTTTGAAAGTGAATTCTTTTTATTAATTAAAAGAATTTGATTTTAAATTAATTGCTTTAGATATTATGATGAGATAAATTATGATCTTAAAATAGGTAAGTAAATCTAAATATTTGATGCCAACAGAATCTGTCCGCAAAATATAAACTTTTAAAAAGACTTTTAAGTTTCATCAAACTCATACTATAGAATTTACTGAAGATGAGTATAATTTGATTTATGAAGATGATTCAGAAAGAGAGATTTAAGTTTAAAACAAGAATTAATATATTCTTCCTGAATTCATTCCATCTTTAGATTCCATACGAACTTAAAATGAAAAATTGTTACTCACCTTTGAATAATATAAAGATTATCAAAATAATTAAAGTAAAGATAAATCTTTTGAATAACAATAAAAGTTAGATACTTTGGAAGGGTCTAAGTCAGAGTAAGAAACATATAGCAAATAAAAGAGGAATACTCATAAACTAATAGAAATTGAATTGAATTCTGCAGAAGATCAAAATATCGAAGAATAATTATAAATTATATTGGCTACTGTTAAAACTAGATAAACACGTAAAGAATTCTTGGAAATGAAAAATCAAATGAAAAATAAACATAAAGCTAGTACTTGGTATGGTAGTGGAAATCAATAAACTTAAAAAAAACTAGTTAGAAGTATTGTTCATTAATTTCAAAATTCTACTTTGAATTCTTTAATTTATATGAAAATAGCATCATGCTTTTTAGTATTAATAAATGTTGGATTTATTCTTGGATTTGTTATTAATAGTATAATCAATATTGCTGGCATATAAATGGATTCTAATAATCAAACTTATCCACTAATATTATTTTAAGATATCAATTTAGTATTATTAGGGATTCAACTTGATGATTGGAAAAACTCTTATTAAGAATTAGCACAAACCTTTATGATTTTAGGAGCTGAGTAATACTAAAATTTAAGTATTCATGTAAACGATGCTGAACTTGACTATCACACATTTTTGTAAGAACTTGACTAATAAACAATTATGGTATAAGAAAAAGGATTACCAATTAAGTATTATTTAAAATATTTTCTTAAAAATTATATGGTTGAAAAACTTAGAACAATTGAAGAAGCTGCATCTGTTCCTATATTTGGAGAGGAAAGTCAGTTTCTATTTGATAATTATCCAGAATTAGCATTATAATTATGGAATTTGAAAAATAAAACAACAAGGGATGTTGTTGAAAGAATAGATGAATTAAATTCAATGTCATAATTATTACTAATCCTATCTATTATATGCAATTTAATAGCAATAATTCTATATATGACGATATTAATAAATATTATTTAATGGAGGGATCAGCTTTATTCAACATTGTTTCTATTTAACAACATTTAAACTTTAATTACATAATTATCAGATTCAATCAATCGTTAAATTCTTCCTACCACAGGTATGAAGGGAGATGATGAAGAAAAAAACAAGAAAATTAAACTAATTTGGCAATTTTATGGAATTTTAACTTTTTTTCTTCTAATGATTATCTCTTTAGGTGTTTACACACCACTATTCTTGTATATTGATTCTGTAAATTAATAATCAATTGATGTTAATTAACTTCAAACTGAACTGGCAATGATGTAGTTGAAATAGTCTGTCATTCTCACATGGTTTGCTATCAACCAAACTGAACTCAAGTATAATACTAATTTAGTCCATAATACATCTATTATACAATATGTGATTGATGAATGTACACCCTCAGAATAATTTGTTTTATACGATCTCCCTTTTGATAATAAATATGATTACTTTCCAGAAATTTAGTAGTATTCAACAATCTCGTTATGCGATTGCTCCTTATTATAAAATTAATTGAGGAATGGATATTACGGATTTTAATCTTATGTTTCTTAACATTTATACGATTAGCAATAATAAGATGAAATTATGCTTGCCTACTAAATTGTATTTGAATATTAAATCAAAAAAAAAAAAGAATTTGACGACTATATGTAAATTCGATTAAAAAATACTTAATTAACATTATAAATCATATTGGAGATAAGTGTGATAATTATCATTTTGATGTAAACATTACTTCTATTTTTACTCCACAGATAAATTATTAAAATAGTAAAATCTGCTAAAAACATTATATACTTATTTCCTCCTCAAATTTTAGCAAATAATAAATATACTTTATAATTATTAATATAAGGTAGCAATTAATGATATAGTATTATTTTATGTATTATTTATTTTATTAATCTCTAAAATTATATATTATTATATTTTTTTCCATATCCCAATCATAACTTTTTTTTGTAATTTTAAATTAAATATTTATTTCTAGATAAATATCTTTTAGGTTTAATTATTCTGAAATTTAATAATTTTTAGATTTAAGGATAGATATTTATTAATTAAAAATACTGATGTTGTGTTATCAAATAAATTTATCATTTTACTATTAAAAGTAATCGTTAAATCAAAAAGTAAACATCATAAAAGCTTCTCATTCTAGAAGGCTTAAATTTTGTCTTAAACTCACTAAATTTATATAAATTCAGGGATTAAATACTTATGAATATTGTAATTATTTCTTACTTTAATTAAAAAGTATATTTCATGATTAAAAAGGACTTTAATAATCAGGTAACCAATTTTTGAAAATCACAACTTTATCTATCATAAAAATAGTTAGAAAATACCTCTACTAACTTTGGTTCGTATATCCTGGTGAATGATTTTTGGAGTTTCAGATAGGAATACTAAAGAATTTCGCCAAAGCTGAATTTAAATATTTGATTATATTTATCAATGAAAAGAGATTAATTTATTAAAATTATCAATAAAGTTGAAACCGACTATTATCAAATCTCATACTTTAATTAACTGAAAAAATCAAAATAACTAGTTTAGAAAATTCTAGAAAACCAAGTTATTTTAATTTAAAATATCTTAATGCACTTTACTTTTTTAATTGTTTCTCTTTAGTTCCAAAAATAAGGTCTTCATACTTTTTTCATTTGTTATAGCTAATTATTTTAATTACAAAATATTTATGTTCTAATTAACGATGTAATAATTAAAAGATGTAAATTCTTTTCTCAATTGATTTACCCTATTTTCCTGCCAACTCTAATTTTAGATAATTAAGACTATTAGAAAAAATTATGAATTTTTTTAATTTATTTCTGGTCTTACCTTCAATATAGCAGAATTTATGAAGATCTGGAATTCAATTATTAATCAAATTAAAAAATCCTTATAAAATTTCAAAAATCAGTGAATCAGATTCAATTTTCCAAGAAGAACAGGAAGAGATGTTAATTGGAATAATGAAATATTTATAAGTATTTAAATTTTTATCAGAAGAATAAATTACAGGATTAAGAAAAAATCTTTTATCATTATGGAGTTTTAATAAATTCAAAAATGCTATTAGAATAGTAAATATTTAACATCTTTTGACTACTCCATTCATGCTTGAAATTGTTGTTTAAGTCTTGCCAACTATGACAAAGAAATATCGTGGATCTATGAAAATTAAAGATATTGTGAGGACGAATTATTAATACTTGAAAAAGAGAGCCAAAATTTAAAAATTAAATTAAATTAATCTTGTGAAATAAATAAATTAAACTAAATTAAATATTATCTGAAAAATTGAAACCTCTTAACAGAAATTCAAAAATAAAGATGACTAAAAAATAAAAAAAAGTTGATTATATAATAGACATACTTGAAAGCAAATAGTTTTTCTAAACTTATTCGATAGATAGCAAAATTGAATCTTATGGAAGAAATATTATTTTGGATGGCTAATACTTATAATTAAATATTGATGATGCTGATAGTATTGTAATGGCTTTGAAAAAAAGAAATTTACTGCTTTTGAATTTTATTAGAGTTTTATTAACTATTATCACTCATAGCAATTTCAAAATCTAAGAGATTTGGGCAAAATTTCTAATTATGAAAGTTTCTTTCTTGATGCCTAGTAATTTTGTTCATCATTAGTTTTAGATATGACTATCAGAGATTTATCACAGATCAGTTATAATTAAAAAGGATAATATTCAAACTTGTCCTTAATCCTAAAATTAATTGACCGTTTAAGAATTAGATAATTTGGATCGCTTAATGAATTCTGTATTTAATTCTCATTCCTTAAATATTAGTACTGTTGCTTTTAGAAGAGCCTGATCTTTGATAACAGATATTTTAACAAATACAGAAAATATAAATTAAAAACTGATTGAGATAGCGTAATAATCTAGAAAAATAGAATTTAGCAACTTCAAATATTATAAATTTATTAAGTTTAATGAATTTTTAACAAATTCTTCCCTTTTAATATTTTTACACTATCTAGAATCTTTAAATTTTGATTCAATTTAATTAGCTGATACAAATATAATTGGATTAAGTTTCTTTGAAAGTCATTTAAGTAAATCTAAATTGAAGAATTTTGCAATAAACTCCTGCATTTTCAATTCGGCTAATTTAATTGACATCTTATGGGTTGATATTATGATATGTCTAAATAACACTCAGAAACAAGTTCATGTTTTCTATTTTGCAAATCGATCAATATTTCGAGAAACAAAAAATATAGAGATTATTTGGAAATATCACTCATATATAACACATTATGCAATGTCTCCAATTAATTTAAACACAGTAATTTCTTCTTCTGATAATAGAGTCATATTAGTTTAAAATCCCAATTAACAATAAAATCATTTGGTAAATATGAGAAAGAAATTGTGTTCAGCAAAGATGGCAAAAACTTGCAATTGTTTATGAAAGTACCATCACAATTTGGGACCTTTAGACAGATAAATGCACTCAAATTAAATTATAGTATTAAAAGTGTAAATTGTTATTCTTATAGATAGAAGCTAACTTTAATAGGATTGAGGACAATAAGCATAAAAGAAATTGAACCAATTAAAGTTACAAAAAATTAGCATCAGAATGTTATTTTGAGATTTGTTTAAGTCCAACTATCATTTAGATTATTGCATTAATTAAGTATTAGTTTGATCGAATATCAAATAGATAATATTTACTTTACTTTTTGTGGATATTATGAATACATTAATTCTTTTTCAAATCAGATGGAAACACATTTATAGGGATTATAAATAATGAAGATATTCTTAAATTAATCGAAATGTTTAAATGTTGAAATGTTTAATAATATTCATTTCCTAACCAGAACTACATTACAAGAATGGAACTCCTAATTTGGGTATAGGCCACAAACTCCACAATGCCCTGACAAAGTCTCGATTCTTTGGTAATCCGGCCAAATGAGCTAATTTCCGGAGATTATTCCAATTATATATCCTCCTAGGATCAATCCATAAAATTAATCGAATTTCTTATATGAATTTAATAGTGTATCAGGTCTAGCTTTTTATCGAAAGTTAGATTATATTGTAATATATTACAACATGTAACTTCATTTAATAGAATTTTAGGATTAGGGATTCAAATTAAGGAAGTCGTTAGATTTTTCTAACGACTTCTTTAATCCAGAAAAAAATTTTGTGTTGAAATTACAATTCTCTATAATGGTCAAATATTACTATTTGTAACTAATAACTTAATTAGATGGTATG